TATAGACTAAGAGTCTTATACATATAGTATATATAGTTAATATATAACTAGTATAAAAAAGGTTAAGATTAGAGAGAGAGTAGAAGGAGATATATATATACTATAATTCTATAGATCTACGATAAGATTCACTACTTAGTATTTATATATACTATTTATAGGAGTAAAACTAATAGTCGAATAGACTAAATAAGATAAGAGTAAAGTAGATAAATAGATTATAAGAATAATAGTAAGAATATTTACTATACGAGAAAATGTATACGCTATATAAGAGGAAACGTAGTGCGAGAAATAAATAAATAGAATGAATAGAATAAATAGAATAAATAAGAATAGTAAAGGAATCTAAGATATATAAGATAAATACTATAAGATTCACTTCGCTAGAAACTTATACGTATCGTAAGAGATTAGTGTAATTAAGATAATATAGCCTTACGTAAGGATTCCCTAATAAGGTCGAAACTTATAGGATTTAAGGTATACGACGTGTATACGATACGCTTCTCGAGGACGAGAAGCCTAGGGAAAGGGGATAATTATTATAAACGTCGATTTAGACAACTCCTAAACTAAATAAATAAGCTAAGACTCGAGAACCTAGTTTAAGTAGAAGGCTTATCGTACGCTCACTGTATAAGAGGAGCTTCCCTCCTCTCTATACTTTAAGTCTTAGTTAAGACGCACGTTAAGAAACAATCTATAACCTACTAAACTACTCTAATCGTTATACTTTACCTATCTATATAGGTTCGTTCCTAATATATTTTACGTACGCTAAGCTTACTATTATTAAAGTCGATATTATATAAGATCTTAAATTTAATATTACTATTCTAGACCTTATAATCGAAAAGACTATAGGCTTTATCGCTCGCATATAACGTCTAGTCGTTACCTCTAGTTATACTAAGAATCTTAATATTCTCGTTATAAATAAAATCGTAGTTTTTAAATCTAAAGCTAGAGTCGTCTTACGTTTATATAATAAGTTTCTTACTATTACTAAAACCTTTATTAGAATCGAAGCTAACGATACTCGATATAAATTTAAGTTCTACGATAAAAGACTTATTAACTTTAGTACTATAATACTTAACGTTATGTTTAAAATTAACCTATAGAATACTAAGGAGAAGGCTAGATATTTAGGTAATAATAGTAAGCCTAACGCGAATCTAGATACTATATAAAAGGATAAGATTATAGTAGTATCTAATAGCGTATAAAATGATGTTTAGAAGGGAGGTGCCGTAGCTATAGCTAGCGATTAGAATAATATATTATTATAGATCTAGTGAATATCTAGGATACTAATATAAAAGAGATAATAAGCGTAGAGTATATAAGAGAGGATAATATATAATATTAGAATAGGGTGTTTTCTTTTCTTTTCTTTTTAATGAGAATATCGAATTTTTCGAGAGGGCGGCATATTGTTACGTAAGGTTACGTAAGGCTTAGCACCACTGCCACTACCACCTACTACTCTCTCCTCTCTCTCTCTCTCTCTCTCTCCTAGTAGGGAGACAGAGACAGCCCAACCAATTCAATTGACACTACTTCAAGTGACTTGTTCTAGCTAATACAGCTTGTTTTCTCATTTCCTTTCATTCATGTGACACACGAAGCTAGGTAGATGCCACATTAAGTCAGCGTCTATACGAATTAGCTCCTTAGGGGGCGAGAGGCTGTATGCAACGATGCATCACTACTTCCTAAACCTGGTTCCAGCTCGTGTCTTCTTCGCTACCATCTTCCGTAATCCTTTCATCGCTGCTATCTCCTGATATCTCGTCCTCGCTCACATCTCCTACCCAGCTAACAAGTCCTATAGTTTCTTCCGAAGCTCCACTTGCCAGTTCTCTAGTTGCTTCTTGTATCCTTCTTTCTTTCTCCCTTGATTTCAGCTTGACTAATATACTGTCCAACTCCTTGGAACAGTTAGCATAGACTAAGTGGAACCAGTCGCTCAGGCCAACTTTTTCTAATCCTTCGACAGGGCTTGATGCAGTGCATCGTACTTGGGTCTTCAATATGTCATGAATCTCTTCGTAAATTGCCACATTCCACAATTGCTTTTGATTCTTGTACAGCCTGACAAAGGCCTCTTGAAACAACGTAAAAGCCGCGCCCAGGCCCGTGTCAGTATCGTTGTCAGCATTCTTCAAATGGTTGAAGATACTGCGGAGACATCTTGGCTTACATGTGTCTATGGCACATGCGATAGGACTGAAGGACATGGTCTGCCAATTACACACTCGATTTGTAGAAATGTCCGTCAGGAGCACCTGAAGCAAGACTTGATCGTCACAGGCACATGCTGCCCACAAGGCTTCCTTGTACATTTGGTCCCAAGTTCCCGCCGCAATATCGCGTTCATGTAGGTGGTTTAGTATCATCGCAATAACATGACGGTCAAGGGTTCGACAAGCATAACCGAACGGGGTAGAAGAATGTCCAGTAATCGGGTCCATGGCCCGCTTACTGAAGTCGGCTCCGTTCATAATCAGCAGCTGAAGGATCTCTCTGTTACCAATCTTGCAAGCTTCATGGGCCGCGCTTGCGAGGCCTGGGTATACGGCGTTCGGGTCAGATCCTTGCTCAAGAAGCCTTCGTACAAGAGGGGCCCAATCAAGCTGACAAGCCGCATGTAGGGCAGGTGGAGGGTCGTCATTGATATAATCGTCTTCAAGATAAGGCCCCCACCACCACTGTTGATATGCTTCTTTCCGGTGCAGGAATAAGTCGAGAGCAAGGTCAAGCACGCTATGATCTGTGTCCCCCACAGCGACTGCATGAGTCATACAATGAGACAAACTGTACCGTGAGAATGGGAATTTCCACCGCAACTGAACCGCCTCTGAATATTTGTAGGCGTTCATGTGGATGGTATAGCACAAACAGACTGTCGCGACCGAAACTTCTAGTCTCGGCAAGTCGAAATATGGTGCCCATTCATCATCGAGATGAGCCGGAGTCAAGAACGCTTTGACTGATGAATGAGCGAGCTGAACATGCCTCTCGTCGAACCAATGGGCAGGGAGTACCTCAACTAGCGATGAACAGTACATGACCACTTCCTCAGGCCGTGGTATTCTCTTTTCCGGATCAAAATACGGCTCGGCATCGATTTGAACTGCAACGGCATCCACGAGTTGATTTATCGTCAGGCGCTCCCTTGCCGCGATTAGCAGCTGTAATACCCTGATAGTCTTTGTTTTGTGATGTGAAGGAATGGCGTTCAGAATACGATGGTAGGTCTCATCGAGTGTTGAGGGCAATGAATTGAGCGCTTCTTCTATCTCATCGACACCAAGACACATTTTTAACTGGTCTAGCTGGCAAACAACCCATCGGAACCTAGAACACGTATCAGTACCTGAAGAATGACCATCCGCTTGCAAGGGATTTTACATTCCATCCGCCTCTCCGACAAGCCTTTCCTCGATGTCGTCGAGGATATGAGCATACTGTGGGCTTTTCCACCGGTCGAATTCATAGCCATTTCTTAGTCTTGTCTCAATATTACCATGAGCTTTACAGTGGGGCAGTTGTTCGCAACGTTCCGAATCCAAGACAGCAAACCCATGGTGGATCCAACATCATCTCGCATGATACACTCGTCGAGAGCGTCAATGACAATGTGGACGCGGGTAAGTGTCTGTACCATTTCGGTCAGCATGTCTATCAGCTCCCCAGGCAATAGCTGACGATCGCCGTTGTTATGGTCGACATAAGACTTCTGAAGTGTGCTTTGCAATTTCATATCTTGAGATGAGAGCTGCAGTACCAAAGACCGTAGCATTTTTTCAAACGAGTGCTCATTGTCGAGGTCCCTAAAGTCAAAGTAGAAATAGATGATCCGGCCGTCATCGGGGAAAGCGGTTTCCTTCTCGAGGGCTTCAATGACAGCAGAGCAAAGTGTGCTTTTCCCGGATCCAGACTTGCCATGTAGCCACAGAAATGACTTCCTACCTGACTTCCACTCAATGAACGCTGGAAGTTGAAGCAGCCATTTGCAGGTATTCTTGAAGCGTTTCTCGGTGACCTCCTTCTGTTGCGTTGATGACTCAGGAGCTGCCAACCATTTGACGAGATCGCTCCGCATGTTGTGTTCAGTCAATCGCTTAGTATCTGACCGGACCTGGTTCATTGTGCTTTCAACTTGACTAATTTAGCAAAATTTTCATACAATGCTTCACTGTGACTAACCACGACCCATGATATCCGCAAGTCTTCTCTCTTTACTTATTTGCTGTACAGGAAGCGATCGGATGACAGCCCTTGTATAAAGGGCAGCCGCCAGCGCTGCATAGTTCTGCCACCCTTTGTTTTTGTGACTGTCTGAATAGTCACAGATGCCGCGGATGACTAGGCAGGGGAACTTGTCCATCAAACCAGCAGCCTCCATTTCAAAGCAGAGAATGTTGTGGTCTGTTGCCAACTCGTCACGAAGTACGGCGTCTTTCATCAGCTGATCTGAAGATCCGATCAAGCCATAGTGAATCTTAGGAGCCCTCGATGGATTTCGTGCTTGACGGGGTACTAGTGCATTGGGCCAGCTAACTCGACAGAATCTCTGGCAGATCTCATCACTTGGAAGCTCTTCATCAGCTCTTGTGCTCCTGTGAAAGATGTGTTCGCAGCCTTCGATGTTAATCCCATTGACGAATGTTCCCGCTCCGAATGCTAAACATAGCGAAGCAAGCATAGTCACCAATGGCGGAACAACCACGACGCACGAAACAGCCAACATGATCACGGCAAGCAGAGAAATATTCGCTCCAAGCACTGATTGAAGGTTGAGAGCGCGTCCAACATTGTGAACAACATTGCTCCTGAAGAGCATGTCATCCTCTTCACTTGGTCGTTCAAAATCCCGTCGGAGCTCTTGAGGAATTCTGGGATGAGTCAAAATATCTTCAATCTCCTCATTGATTGCATCTTGTTGGCCGATGTGGTCAGCTTTAAGACCAGCAATTGTACTCATCACGAATGATGGTGTGGAGTTGAGGTGCGAAGTATTTTGGTTGGGTTTTGCCTGATGCTTCTTGAAGTAATCAAACTCAAAGACACCCCCCTTACCATCTCCTTTTCTGCTGACCACGATGTCGCCTAGGCGAATGTCGTTGGTCTTACTCGGAGCCCCACCACCGACACCAACCATGAACCCGACCCGGACGTTTGTGAAGGTACGAAGCATGTGTGTCGCGACGGAAGAGGCAGATGATTTTCCGTATTGCCCATCTGGCATGACCGCAAGCACTATCTTGTGATCACCGATGACACCTAGAGTATATCGATTGGTATCGCCCGGAGGAACTTGGGTAAGTATTCGATAGTCATGATTGAAAACTAACTCGGCAGCTTTTTGCTCAAGGGGAAGGGCCGCGATCCAACCGATAGTATAGTCTGCGACAGTAATGTCGTCCAGCCTTACCTGGCGCTTTGATTGTGTTTGATAGATGCTTAAGGTCGAATGATTGACAGCATGGTTGTTGGGGATAGGTGATGAACTTTTTGGGTTCCACGAAGACATCAAGAAGGAAAGGTTAATTGAGAAAGATGCCGGATGTCAACTGTCTGGAAACGGGGATTGTGTGGTGGTAGTGGTGAATGTGAGAGAAGTGCAAGAAGTTCAGCCTCACTTCTGCTTGGTCAAACATAGCCCACAACCCCTCACTACCTTGGCAGGTACAGTAGGTTCTCGCAATGGCCACATGAAGTAGTCGGCGTGCAAGCTGCAGAGAATTCGAATCTACTCATGGTTGGACGATTTCAACCTTGCAGCATGCGCCTTGTCTGAACCAACAAACTGGGTACAGGCTGCAGTTGAAAGCCAGCGGCTAGCAGGTGGTCGAGCTGGCAATTCTGAAGCGAGCTTCAGCCTGGCGATTAGACCATGGCGCCTAGGTTCTTTGAGAACTTGTTGGGGGCTTGGAAGCCGGCGCTGATCTGGGATTTCCTTATTCTACCATGGCTTGAAGTTTGGGAAGTTCAGACGGTACATTTCGGAGTTTGGTACTGGGAATAGTAGTTCTGTGTTGCGTGCTTGCGGTATCATGGATTGGACATGTAACTAGATTGAGGTCCAGATATCCCGAGTGATTAGAATAACTCTGTCTCTAGCGACATAATCTTCAGGCAACAATTTCACCAATCCTGGGTGCACGACTCTTCAGCCAGTCCCTGGCATTGCCGGCATCACCCTTCTCTTCCTCTAAGGCTTTGACGTACCACGCAAGTTCATACTCTCCTTCACCTGCCATCATAGTTGCAATGGATCTTCTCGTCTGACTGGCCTCGTCAACACAAAGTGTCAAATGTGAAGTGTCGCCTTGAGCTAGTCGATCCATAATCGGTTTGATCATGGGCAGACCGTCCTTTGCAGACAAGACTCGATCTTCCCCAGTGACCAGTTTATGTCCAGTCTTACAATATTGATCATTGCGACACCAAGACTTGCCACAACCGCCGATCAACTGTTGTAGAAGCCTTCTCTCGGTCCTCCTTCGGAGCATCTTTCCCTCTGGATCATATGAGGTGATATATAGAGGGCCAAAGCATTCATTACATAATCCGAGCTGCTCTTTTTGTACTCGCCCTATATCATCATACTTGATCGTTCGCCCACAGATAGTGTTACTGCATACCTTTGGACTTGGTCTGGAAAATCGCTCTCGGTCATGGAAGAGAAGGTGTGTCTTCATATCACGTAACCGCACGATTTTGTTGCATAAATGACATTCTGTTGTTCGGGCGCCATCAGCCAGTTCATGCGGAGTAAGTCCGGAAAGGAGAACCTCGGGATCGGTAAACGACGGATCGTCTGGCCCCTGTTGCGGTACGACCAGATGACAGAACTGGCACAAAATCTCCTTGCCCGGACAATCGCTCGTTCTGTGGTGAGCTAGAATCGACACATCGTATGCCTCGAAATCACAATTTGAACATCGGACTGGGGCTGATGGATGGAAAATGAATTCATGCTTCAGCTTAGATATTGCATCATTACCATGCTCTGAGTCGTGAGGACAATGCCAGTGACTTTTCCAGGTATCGGAATTTTTGAGAAATACACCTTCGCATTTTGGACATAGGATGTTGTTGCGATAACAAAATGCTTCATGTAGATGTAGTGTTCGCTTAGGAACAATCTGATGACAGTTCTTACAGACGATCTCATCTGCGTCTGGTTCAACGTGGTTTCCACTTGTGCCATTCTCTGCTGAACCCGCCACATCGATTTGAATTGAGTAAGGTATGGGTTGCTCCACAGAACCCTGCGGTAAGTCTGAGGAGTTCCATGCGTGAACTGCGATGTTGAGCGATTCGGCTTCCTCGAGGTAAACACTGGTATGGGAGAGCTTTAATCGCTTCGTTGGCCTACCTGACAGATCACCAAACACAAATTCGTCATCACGAGGTTTCGACCTTTGATGAGGGGCAAATGGTGTGATGAGTAGGTTAAGGGTGCTGTTGTCGTCACTGGCTTTCAGCACAACTTCCAGGTCGTCTTTGCGGTTCCAGTTCTTGACCTGATAATCAACACATTCCCCAGGTAATGCCTGCTGCAACTTTTGCTCCCCGAGAACAAGCAAGCCGCCTGTGGAGCTCCCTCCAGTCGGCTTTTGTGCCTTCTTGTTCTTGGCGAGGCGCTTATTGAGCGTTTCACGAGCCTGATCTTCACTTAGTGGTTCAATATCAACTTCCAAGTCCGTGTCCACGATGCAAATCCCATCACCTTCGGGTTGGAATTTGTCAACCAGAAAACGAAATTGCTCATGCTGTGGTCCTGGAACCAGAAGTAATTCACCACTGGTCAGAGTCGTAAAATTATCTCGTAGATAACGTTCGAGAAGTGATTTCCAATCGTCTGGGTCATATCCAGCCTCCAGAGGTCGCAGTTTGACGTATGTGCCTTTCGGTAACTGCTTCGCATGTACTGTCACAGTGTCTCCCTTCTCAAGGTCGACACCATCTCCCATAACGACATCGCCGCTTGGAGTTCCATCTCGGCTCGCACGAGATGACGACGGAGTGGACGATTGTAAACCAAGAGCTTCTCGTAGAGGGGCACTCAGCCCTATACTATCTTCATCGGCGGAGAACTCCCGGATGCCTGCATAGACGGCTCGTCCGTTTCGAGGGTTGACGATTCGGAAAGTGAGAGGATGAGGCAATTGTTGCTGGCGATCTTCGAATGCCAATCGGGCCTGACGTTCTGCAGCAAAGGAATAGTGGTTGAAAGGGTCAAAGGATGATGTGGCATTCCTGGACGCATTGTTATGAACGGCCACGACAGGGGCTGCAGCGAGAAGTGCTTCCAGTGCGGACTGTGGCAAAGTGATCTTATCGCCAACAAGACGACGGTTTGGACTTGCAACATGCAGTTGGGCCGACCATTTTAGGGAATCCGGGGGTGATGCCATGTTATTTTCTGAGAGTTGCGATGATTGTGCAACCTCAGGAAGAAATGTACAGGGTCGATTGAAGCCATGATAAAGTGAAGGTCAACTATGGTGCAGGCAAGATGGCCTACGCAACTTTCGAGAAGCGTCGACAGCCGTTTACAAATACTCCCACTAATGACTTTAGTGGCCGACTAATTCATTAGTGCATCTTCTTTCGAATGCCTTGGATGCCGCTTTAAGAATGCTTGAATGTCCCAATATGGAAAAGGCTCAGCCTTCCAAAAGGCCCACGAAAAGGACCTGCAATCCATTTCATGTCTGCAGCGTCGGCAAAATATGACAACTATTTCGCAGCTCCAAGCTTCAGCTCCATCACATGTAATGAATGTCGTGATTACATAAGATGCACAAGCGTGACATCGCATCACGTGGATAGTAGCTCATTCGTTGTTGAATCCTGCTTGCAGATCGGGCGGCCTCGGCGGATGCTATCGTCATTGCCATTGGATCATTGATTCATTGTATCCTAAATGTGAGTAGTCAGCTTCCGGCGGTCTTTTTCTCAACAACACCCGGGTCTAAAGGCTGTCCTCTTGTTGATTCAATTCTTGTCTCTTGACGATCGTGGCATGTAGAAACAGCCAGATCCCTTCCCTTATTCCCATCTCAATCGTGTCCCTGAAGGGTGCCACTGGCATTAGTATTGTTGCAATTACATCCACAGTGAAGGTCATACAACGTATCTGACCCCTCAGCTATGGCAGATACCGCTCACCGGAAAGGTTCACTAGGCCTAGGGTTCTTAAACCCTTTCAAAGGCAGCAGGCCATCAAGTCGATCCAGCTCAAGAGCCGGATCTATTTCCGACTTCGATGTCGATGACTTCAAGGCTGACCGAAAGACTGCCTTCTCATCAACCAACAAGCTACGGAAAGGCTCGGCTCCGCCTACATTGAGTAAAGGATCCTATACTAGTCCGAAGACCAGCCTTGAGCAGTCTCGATCCAGAGCGTCAGGTCATAGTTCTCTATCCACGAGCAGAACCACTGCTGAGTGGGACCAGGACAAGGAAACTGGTGAGAGAAAGGACTACACTGAGATGCTTCATAGTTTAGCACACCGCGACTCAGCCGAGTCGTTGGTGGAAAAAACTCAGGCCCTGTTTGCTGGTATTCCCGAGCAACCGGCCCCAGAATTCTTCGCTAGGCTTCCCCCAAAGGTATGGTCACAAACGATCGACAATATCAACGTTCCAGATACTGCGAGCCTGGCATTCTCGTGCAAGCCGTTCAGAGATTTGATCGGTGCAGATTCCTGGACCAAGCTCAAAGGCAAGGAAAGTTATCATGATCGAATAGATTTCCTGAGCCGGCTCGACAAGGATTTGCCAGATCACCTTCTATGTTTTCCTTGTGCTGTTTATCATTTGCGGACCCAGAAAGGGAAGGAGGACTTACGACCTACAAACGTTTCAAACCCAATTTTTAACTGTCCAAATGTTTTCAACACAGAAAAGAAGATGTCTCGAACTAGAATTACAGTTGGACGGACCTTGCCATTTCCATTTGTTCAACTCGTTCTCCGTGCTAAGAAGTTCTCCCCCGATCATGGCATACCACTTAGTAGACTGTCACGCCGGTGGAAGGATCGCGATGGAGAGTGGACTCATACAACACAATATGCGATAGTTGATGGCCATCTCCTTCTCCGGGTTATCAGTTGGGCTTTTGCAACGCCCGAGCTACCACCAGCAGGATTGCGAAAACTCCTATATTCTCCAGCCGACAATTTTGCACCGTGGTTCTCCGTTTGTGATCACTGGAGAGATGGCAACCTGATGCCCTCTGTCAAGTGTGCGCTTGGCCATCAGATTAAGCCACCGGAGGGAAGTGGCGTGGCTGGTGCTGCTGCCAAAGTCAACTACAGATTACATCGACCCCATCCGATTGTCACTTTATGCTCCAACTGCAAACCCATGAGGAGATGTCCTGAATGTCCTTCAGAGTACCTCATCGAAATGCGAATGCAGGAGGATAAAACTGATCCTACGCAATTATTCAAACAAGCAATTGTCTTGACGAGATGGTCTGATTTGGGTGATGGCTCGACCCCCGAGTCTCCTGAGTGGGCGGCAGTCAGAGGGGATGCCAGCTTCGACTCGTTCACTGCACTAGGCAGACGCGCCATTTCTGGTATTTTCGAGTCGCAGTTCACTGTTGAACAAATCCCACCACAACGAATTGTGTCCATGAACCCCAATAAAGACCACCTTGGTGAAGCGGGCCATAATTGGTATTGAGAGTTGTTCTCAAGATCGAAATGGTGTCTATCGAATCCAACGTGGTAAAGCGTGCGGACTTGTGTTGGACTTGTTTTATCGAGATGAATCGCTTCGAATGGCTCTTCTAGATGAGTGTTTTTCATGCTATTGTACGCTGCGACGTTTACGGTTCGTGGGCTTTGGCAATATGGGATGGGGGAAATGTCGGACAAAACTACTCTGCAGGGCAGGGTCAATTTACTCATTCATGCCCTGGCGTTCCATACCTGCTAATTGATCTGGCTGCTTGGTATGATGGTCTACGACGAAGACCCCTAGGTGAACTCTTGTAAATCTTTCCATGAATCGCAAGATGTCAGCTATGCCTATTCGTGAGAATTCTCACTCCAGACAGAGTTAAGCGGGAAATCCGGAGTACGCCCACACTTTCAGACTTGGAACATACACTTCCTGTGGAGATGCCAGCTCAAGTATCCAGTATACTACCATTTGACGAACCTTTTGCATGAAATCTACTTTCAAGTCATAGCCTAGCCCATCCAAGAGCGACTTCGAAGACAATATTCCCGTTAGCATCACGAATGCGACGTATTGAAGCACTAGCGTTACGCCACTCTACTGCAGATCCAATCAAACCCTCGTTTGAGGTTATCCGAGATGGGTATCACGAAGCCAATCTGCCAGGCATCACTGTTTCTTGCCGAGTCACCTCTACACTCTGCAACAAATGCCACAAGCTCGATTTTCCAAGGAAATGCTGCTGCGTTTAGTAAGATATAGTTCCAACACTCGTTCCATCTGTGATGGAAATGCAGGCAGAATGAAAACCCGGTTGAGGTGAACATGCTTGATAGTTTCAAGATATAAATCCTGCATTCCCTTACAGCATGTCTTGCGACTTTTCCCCAATAACAAGACCGCGCATATTGTCAAGAAATCTTCTGTTTCTTCTTCAAAATGGTCAAAATCGCCATCTGTGGTGCCGGCATAGCAGGTCTGTCGACCTACCTCTTGTTGCAGAAGCACCTCAACGACCTAAGCTCGCAACCCTCAGCACATGAAATCACAATCTACGAAGCATACGATGTCGGTAAGCCAGCACCAAAGGCAAGTGACGAAAACAGCTCAACGAACGAGTCTACTCCCAGTCCACAGTCAATTGGCGGTGGCATCGGCATCTCCAAGAACGGGCTCAATGTCCTGTCACGGATGGAGCGCACAGATGATAAACCAGGCAGCAGCAGCAGCAGCAGCAGCACAGGCGTCAACTCCGGACTGATCAAAGAAATGACTCGCCGAGGCCATCCGATCGAGCGCTGGGAGATCAGCACGGCGCGAGGCTGGACGATCGTTGACGTGAACCTCGTTCCAAAGCACCTCCGAGACCCAAGTACTCAAAGCAATGGCAAGAAGTCATCCACCTCAGTCACAAAGGAAAAACCATACATGTACCACAGCGTGATGATAACGCGCAAAGCATGCTGGGAGATTCTGCGCGACCGGGTGATCGAGCAGTGGCCCGATGCGGTGGTGAAGAAACGAGTCTTGGAGATCTCGATCGGAGACTCTACGACTCCCAACGTGATAAGATTCGAGGACGGGACCGAAGAGACCGTAGACCTGGTCATCGGTGCCGATGGACTGAGGAGTGTCGTCAGGAAGGCAATGTTTGAGATCGACGACTCCAAGCTCCAGGCTAAGGATGACGATGGTGACTATGGAGCGAAATCGCAGCATAGCTGGGCTCAGGCTGTCCTCCGATGGTTCGGTCTCTCGCGTGCGCCAATCAACACTGCCAAATCCGCAAAACCGGACTATATAACTCCACATTACGAGTAAGTCTCCCTCTTGCATTCGACATATACAACCCCTTATCTTACATTCGCTTCTCATACCTGTCCAACGCTAACCAAAGCGGCACCGTCCAACAGAGGCCTCGTCGGCGTCGGCGGGCTCGTGCCGTCCTCCCTCCTAGAATCCACCGGCCACAAGCCAGGCACAATGTCCATCGTCTTCGGACCAAATGGATTCTTCGGGTATGGCTACTTGACCTCTGCTCCCGCCATTGAGCGCAGCGAAACGGAAGAAAACGCACCCAAACTCAACCCAGCCCTCATCCCAGCAACAATCCCTCCCGGCCCGATAGCAGGATGGTGGTCGACCTTCTCCAGCTCCACCCCCTACCCGTACAACGACACAGGGAGCACCACCCCACCGTCGACCAACAAACCAGGAATCTTCAACCGACCCTTAGCGATGCGATCTCTCCTCGCCCGGCACGCCCGATGGAAGAACCCCACGATCTCCGCAATCACAGCATACGTCGAGACATGCAACACGACAACCCTGCGCGTCGACGCCAGCTGCATGGGCCGGTGCGACTACCGGATCGTCGCGCCGGCGTCCGCCCCACCAGCAGACGCAGTGCCCCCACCCACCGCCGCGCTGGACGGCAGCTACCCGACGTGGACGACGCCGGAGCTGCCCTTCTGGACGGTGCGCGGGCGCGTCGCGCTCGTCGGCGATGCTGCACACGCGCTGCAGCCGTCGTCGGGCCAGGGCGCGTGCCAGGCACTCGAGGACGCAGAGGCTCTGGCCCTGTTGCTGCGGCATCACCTTGATCGCTGCGTTGCTGGTGCCGACGAGGTTGGTGCGCTGGCGAACGCGCTCGAGCAGTATGAAGCGCTGCGTATGCCCCGTGTCCATGCCATCTATGAACGGAGTCAGAGGATGAGTCGCATGAAGATGGAGATGGGTGTGCTCATGGAGTGGACCATGTATTTGATGATTTATGTCATGAGTAAGCATTTTGATTTTGTCGACCTGTTCTCCCTCCCTCCCTACCAGGATTGTTGGCTGATTTGGATTTTCTTACTGTAGCTTGGTTTCGTGATACTTATAATGATGTCTTGTTCGAGTATGATCTGCCGGCGGATGTGGAGAGGATCGTACGCGAAGCGGCAGGGAAATGATCGGGAGGTTTATGAGAACGTGACTTCCGGGAAATAAAACGGCAGACAAGACGTCGCAGCAAGTAGGTGCTGATTGATATCTGCTCTAAACCCCTCTGCTTGTCATTACGAAATCTGAAGACCCTTGGGTGGAATAAGACTCTTGTCTCTGAAATAAGCAGACTGCAGCTCATACAATCATCTTATGCCAGTTTCTGTATCCCGTGAAACCCCATTCTCTATCAGTCTTACCATCCCCTTCGCAGCTTACGTTTCGCCCGCTTGATCATTCCAAATCAGCTGTACAAGTGTCCTACAGGATGACCAGTTCCGAATCACGGCGGCTCAAAGATTCAGGCTGCCATTCTTCCATGGACTTCACATTTTGTTGCAGCAACCTACTGGGTATCGATCCCGTTGATTTGTTCGACTTCAAAATCCCCTTCCCAATCTGACCAATCGGCATCACTTTCATTGAGATCGATGATTTCTGCGTCAGTACATATTTCATATGAAGAGAAGTACCCTTTGTCCTCGTCATCAGTCTCGGACAGTGGTGATGGAAGCATTAATGCTCCATGACATGAGGGTGTTAATGAGTCAAATTTTTCGGGCGGGCTTTTCGTTTTCTCAATCTCTCCACCGGCCGAGGCATCTGATCGTTGGGTCTGCCGATGGTATTCAGATTCGATCGATAACTTTGGCCGTTCAAGAGGGAGTGCAACTTTTCTGATTTCTCGGTGACCATCGTTCGGAATAGAGTTGAAAGTCGCATCACAAGACCATCGCCTTCCAGGTGAGAGGGCAAGTTCCTTGGGAAATGTGCTAGCCAGCACTAGGTCTCTGCATGGAGCAGGAGGGGAAGTGAATGCCAATTTTAGTTCAATTCCTCGGAGTAGGGATCGTTTAGCCATTGCGTGCCATGGCTTTACAACGCTTGGGTTCCAAGCAGAAATGTTGCAAGGCTGATCTTGTGAGGAGATAGACAGTTTTGGAAAAATCACATCGTCATCGTTGGTCTTGACAGTGTGGTGGGAAGTTGGAGGCAGACTTCCATAAACATGACCCTTGTCGATGTCATTCTTTTCCATATAACATTGAAACCCGCCGGGCATGTGGAGTATATCAGACCCACCAGACCCACGACTAGTCTGGCCTCGATGTGCAGTCTGATTTGAATCTGTAGAACTTGATGCCCGTTGTGGCTTCTCGCGCTTGTGACCGAGGAAGGTCACGAAAGCATTGGTGGGGAGTGGTGAATAAATTCCTATTAATGGTGCTTGTGTGCTTGTATGGACATCGTCATGAGGGACATTGCGGTACGTGACAAAGTCCGGCTCCGGTACTGGTTGACCATGTGCAAGTTCAAAATCAGGAAGATCTGATGGGGTTTCAGTGTCCGGAGTACATGCTTTCGAGCTTGATCGATGATATAATAACGGACTAGGAATTCGGATATTGTCGAGGTAGAAACCGGAATTGAAGGTATCATCAGTGCCCGAACTGCTGACACCCGAGAACGATCCAGACATTCTGACAGTAGGGTCTGCCTCGGAAGCGAACACATCATCAGGGAAACCTGGAGCCATGTAATCGGTGTATGTATTCGTCAAAGGTCTTGCATCGAGTACGACATCCGATTTGTCAGGTACGGTAGAAGGTAGCGAGCAAGAATTTTGACGATAATCCTCCTTAGGCCACTCGGGCAGACTTTCGTCTCCGGAAGGGGTGTTTAGTAGGCTTGAAGGAAACTCCGAGCTATCTGGGTCAAGGATTGAGAACGGATTGACTGGGAGAAAGTATTAGCGTATGCAATGAGAGAGAAGGAAGTGCATGCAATACCACTTTGAACCACTGCACGCCCGATATGAACATCTGGGTCAATGTGATAGCCAAGGTCCTCACAATGATGGAAGCAATCGTCAAGATTCAATGCCTCTTGGTCTCGAAGTCTTCTCGTCCTGGATCGGGGGGTACGACGGGCGAGAGTTGGGTCTGGGTGAGCCATGTGTCGACCTCGAGCTTTTGAGAGCCGACTGTGACGAGCAACTCTGCGCTTGGCTGCTGCGCTGGAGAGGGAAGTCATGTTGGACTGAGGTTGATTTGCAATCTTGGGTTGATAATGATAGGTGATGAGCACAATATAGGATAGTGAATGATAGGTGATGTGAGGGAAGTTGTTGGGAATACCGTGGCAGAACTTGAGAATGAGTGGATTTCTTTCTGGTCGCATTATCGTTGATTGTGAATCAGAGGGAAGTCGCGCATCTCTTCATTGTGCTGGATGGCTTGAGGAAGCTGTGATGCCAAACAACCCATTGGGAAGGCGAGACCTGTCCAACAGGTAGCACCGATCGTAAGGCAATCTATGCAACTAGTGAAAAAGTATGGGTAGCCATAAATTGAAAGATTTGGTTCCAACAAGCAGCTGGCATAATGCTGATATTAATTTACATCTTCTTGATCCTGTTGACTTATAACATCGTTTCCCGGCTGCAGGCCTTGTGGCATACCGCAGATGATCATGATTCTTTATGACGTCTGCATCCCGCTGTTGATAACGACACTGTATATAAACCCATTAAATTCTTCATATCAACAAACATACCATATGAACATATAGGCCAACATGGATCACATTATACAACACCACCCGACTGGAGGGGAGCTTCATTGGCTTTCCGTTTGACCTTTTCCACGATAGTCTCATTTTCATGTTCGTGATCAAGGCCAAAGGCTGCCTCGTGGGACTTCCTCACGCCTCTCAAGGCCCAGAAGTTGTATATGGCGAAGAGGAATCCAGCGATGCCCACACATGAGCCTGTCACTATCGCAGTGATTTTGGCCGTCACGCTCCAGACACCTTTCTGTGCTGTGTAGACATTGACGAGGGTGGTAATTAGACCAGCCACCGAGTTCAGAGTAACGGGCCTGGAGATCGAGGTCAGTACAGTGGATCGAAACAATGAGACCAACTGACACTCACAGAAAGACCCTGTTGATGAGCCAAACATAGTTATGCCGCCATCGAAACCACATCCACAGACAGCCAAGGGTACCCACCGCACAGAACCCAACGGAAAGATAGAGCAGTCCAATATTCGCTATCGAATGGACGATGTCATGTGCAATATCATCCTTGTTACTATTGGCGTTCTGGAAAGCTTGAGAATTCTTGAACGAGGTGAAGGTACCAGGTACGACGAGAAATCCAGCGAGGATGACCCATGTGAATAGACTGGCAAGGATGTTGTGTATCCGTGGGATTTCGTCAAGGTGCAACAACATCTCCATGTAACGTGTCTGCACCGAGGGCACCCTGGTCAACGGTGGTTTCGATGTCAAGGTATCAGATCGACCTAAGAAGGAGCTTTTGGTTGTGTTCTTCCGGTGCAGTGATGCGGAACTTTTCACTTTGCCTGCTGCGGCACCTGCGGCTTTCATTGTCGACCTGGCACCATCGGCATAGATAGTGGGTAGCGATGGTCCTGCCGCACCAGGACTTGCGCGCCTTTTGTCAAACATGATGAGCGTGTCAATAGTGGTTGCTGACTTGCAATATCAAGTATCTGTGGTGGTATATACTAGCCTGCTGGGCAACCAAGAGCCAAGGTGGATTTTATCACAGCAGATCCAGGTATATAGATAGGGTATATAGGAACTTAATTGCGAAAAAGCCAACAGGACGACTTATCTGGGATAAAAAAACTTACGAAGAAAAAACGGCCAGCGCAACGTGGCAGCCATGGTACATAAAAAAGAACCCTCGATATTACCCGCGACTTAGGGTAATATTGGGCATGTCAAGAAGACTGATTGAAGCGAGCAAACAGGAAGAGACATCCAGCTCGATCGCCAGGGAGTGCGAAACCTGATGAGCGCCTCTTGAGATGAGAAGTAGTACTGCAGTGGTACTGCAGCGTGACGCAGTGGGAGGCAGTGCAGAGCCAATTGTGTCAAGAGGGACGTTGAGAAGGGCTGCATTGACTTCGGATGGCTTCCTGCTCGCTCAGCGGATCGACATGCTTTAACAGGTACCAACGTTGGCAACAAGTCGCTTAGCGATAGGGCAAGTGGTTGGTGATGGCCGACAGCTGAGAAGAAGAGCTGTGAAACTGGTTTTGACCCTGGGCGCGTAGCTTTTAGTCGCACTAACCAAGTCTCTAAGCGGTAGTAAGAGGACGCTAACGTCAGCCACTAATGTTGCCACCCACGTGCTGAGAACTTCAAATTCCCCCAAAACTTGGTCGCTGGAACATGATAAGTGAACGAAATAGTGCTAAGCCATTCAAATGGATCAAAAACTCCAACCTGCATTATTTTGCGATGCTTCGATGTCCCCAGTTGGTCTAAATATCCACGGGATTATACTCATACAAATATCCACCCAATAACACACAACCTGACGCCATTCTCATGTCATTGGCATGTCATTTCTATCGTCAAGGACCTCATCAAAACAACAATGAAGCATAGGTATCGACCCTTGAAATGTGACCCCTTCTATGGCGCTGAAAAACCCTCTTGTCGCGCCACCAATGATGTGCTCCGTGAAACCAAATGTCTCTCGTTTCGAAAATAGTAAAGTGTTGTGGATGAATTGGGCGCCTTCAAGCGGCCATTGACTGGCAAGTAGGCCGAGGCACCTTAGATGAGTTCTTCTGTGTCCGTGACTGTAATTTCCACCACGTTTCTTGGTTGCTGCTGGGCTGAGCTCTCGAGACAGGGGAACATGGACTTGACGACAGTGCTCTCGTGCCTGTCTCGAGGCACAAACCACAGCTGAACAACTCCCACAAGTGCAAGCGCACCAGCTCCCCACCACGCAAGGCCTGTAAAACCAATCTTGGTCCCCCATCCGTACAACAGTCCCGCAACCGGAGGTGCGATCGTTCTGCAAGCCGCGCCGGCTGAAGCTGCGAGTCCGTTAATGCGACCAAGACAAGAATCAGAAGGACTTGCTTGCTTGATCAAAATCAGAAGAACGGGATACAAAAGAATTGAAAGCATATTTCGCACTGTTAAGCAGAAGTATATGCCTGGAAAGAGCAGATTCTGTGGCAAAATAGCCAAGTACGGCACAATGAAATAAGCGACTGGATGGAGGATGATGGTCCAGACGAATAGCCGCCAGATGCCAAACCAGTCGGCGGCAAGAGGGAAGATGATAGCTTGCACAAAAAGCGCAATGAACCCGTTGACAGCCATGATGATGCCCACAGTCTGGATTCCCAGACCTAACCCGCCAGGAATATCGACTGGGCTAGAGGCAAGGATAGAGATGTCATCCACAGATTTGTCTTGGAAGAAGATGGGAAGAAGATGGTCATAGCACATCGAGTGACATGTGAAGAGGCCCAGAGAAACCGTCAACATGACAATCTTCTTGGTTAGCCATTTTTCGGATGTCTTCTCGGAGAGGGATGGAGGTCTCGAACTCCCATCGGCAAGAATCTGCCATTGATCATGTCTTTGTAGGTCAACCTCATTAAACGTGCCATATGAGTCTTGTCTCAAATCGATACCGGGATCGGCATTGGCGCCCGCGGCAACTATCATGGGTGTTTGTTCAGTAATGTCGTGGTAGACATTGGGGTCAGCCCCTTGACAAAGATCTGGATGGGTTTCTTGGAGGAGAAGTGCGCCTGCAATGATGGACACAAGCATAAGGGCAGCACAGACAAGGTTTGGTAGTAGGAAAGGATATGAGGCGAAGAGCCCGTGACGAGAAAAGAAATCAGGATATGACTTGACGGGGTTGGCAAGCATACCACCAATCGCTGGCCCAATGATTGTACCGATTGACCAAACGAAGGGCATGACTGCGTATGCTTTCGGCTCATGATCTGGATTCTTGACCAATTCGCCTACCATGGTTTGGATGACACCTGGAATAAGCATTAGCCCGCCGGATCACTGGATGTGGTGTGGTTAAAGCCTTACCGATGTTGCCATTTAGTGCACCTCCAATCACCCTGGCTATCAGAGCCATGGTGAAGCTTGTGGAAAATCCAACCATCAACAGGGACAGCATTGTTCCAAAGCAGCCAAAGAGGAGAATGGGCTTACGTCCAATGCGATCAGACAGACCACCTGTTTGCAAAATCGGTTAGATGATGTCATCCTTCCAAAAAATGGCTCTGGTGAGCAACATACCCCAGAACATGCTAAAGGCGGCCTCGGATATGGAATAGGAGGCTATCAAGATGCCGGCGTAAAATGACGCATCATCCATCCCAAAGTCCTTGGTCATGAGCCAGGCATATGGAAGGATAGCCGTCAAGGCAATGGGTTCTGCGAGGCGACATATTGCTGTGGTTGTAGGTTAGCGAGTTGTTGAGGGTCTGAAGTTGTTATTGCAGGTTGCATTTACCTAGGATGAAGAATTGTAGAGTTGGGAAGCCGTCGGGGGCAAGTAGAGGAGTCTTTGGCTGTGTAAGTTTCATTTCTCAAGAAACACCAGTCTCTTACGACCTGTCTTCCTACTTGAAGCCTGTTTTGAAACCCCAAACTAGACAGTCAGTCGACGCAAGTGCAAGGTCGACTGGCGGTGTAGTGCGTGGACTAGGTATCAGAAACTAATTTTTGAGATGGCGAACGAAATTTCAATGCTGGTGATGTCAAGTAAAGGAGTGGGAATAGACAGGAGAGTTGAAAATGAAGTGTAAGAGGGAAAGAGCAAAGGAAGAACATGAAGGCAGGTGAACTCGAAGTGGGCTTCGGTCCAAGGTTTGCCGAGATCAGCATCAAATTCTGAGGCCGTCATGTGAGGGAAGGCTCAGGCTGTTGGAGTGAGTGGATAAAGCATTACAATCTGCACTATCAAGTAATACATATAACCACCGTTACATGCAACCTCAATCCACGCATTTTGTAGGCCGAACTTGAAGGGCCACTGCAAAACAATCCGGCAGTGGCAATGGATGGAAAACTGGACATGGACTTGGAGGCAGTTGAAGGCAGTCCCCCTCACCGCCCGGAAGACCGCAGGCGGTGAGTCGAAATCATGATATCATTGGCATACCGCTCAAATTGACTCCACGTTATCTTCCCCAAATCCTGCAGAACGATTCGATCGGAAGTGAACTTGATATCTTATCCCTGTTAATTCAAGTCTTGGCGTGCTGCTATCTACGGCAAGGAACCTTAGCGCATGTTAATCTTCCGATTTCCCAACTTCTCTCGATTCTCGACTTCGAATTCCTCCAGACGTTACACGACTCACTCCTTTTCAATCATGTCACACCACGAGCTGACCTTTCACACCGCACCACTCACGTTCATTATGTGGTAGGGCCTGGGGATAATGGAGTCAAAGTCGTAGTGTCCCGATGTTCACAAGCAATGACCGGTAAAGTAGACGTGAGCATTCCAAGACACTGCAAGTGATGCAACCAAGTAGGAAATGGTCGGCGAGCATCCAGAACCCGTATCACCAATATCACAAGAAGGTTTCGCAGCGTACAATACTCACGAGTCTTAACACACGCGCTCCGACATGAGGAACAAGGCCTGTAGACGCATATCCGAATCCGGCATGTTGCAGTCGCATTGTGACAGTCTCTCAGGGTCTTGCAGAAACACGAGGGTCTTTTGTTCTGCACTACGCACCTGCGATGGTAATGTCATGGTAGCCTCAGGGCCCAGGCTGTGCTCAAGTCAAAGACTCCGTCCGCTTAGCGCAAACCTGCTCATATAAAACCGGCAGAAATATCGTGACATTCGAGTGTCTTGGGAGGGGCTCGTCAACCGCGTCCGACGGCATGGCCGATCATGTGACGATTCTATTTTTCGCCAGTCAAGTATTGACGGACCATAAGTAGCAATGTTGAGCATCGACTCTGTCTACTTCTAATTATCACGAGCCGAGAGATACGAAGGCTGAATGAACATCAAAGAGGGAAAATAAGAGGCTTGTTCCTCAAGCGAGCAGCCGAGTCAACTCTGCATCATCCGTGTCACCGTACATAGCCCAGAACATCATCCCCTCCATTCCACGACTTTTGGCAAATTTCTTCTTCAAACCAATGCTGTGTGGATCGTCATAAGAGATGATCTGCGGTTCGTCGGTCGAGTTGCCATCAGTGAAGACATAGGGGGTTTGCGTCGAATCGTCGAACCCATACGTCCATCCTGGACCAGCGCCATAACTACCGTCGGCTTGTTGGACGACTACCTTCTGTGATTTAAGATTCCTCCACTTCCAGAATCCCGACGTGCTGTCGGGGCCCTCATCACTGTCGCCTGACGATTTTCCGTCCTCCACTGGACTGTAGAGTCCTGTGGTGTTTGGGTCGCTGTCCTACAATCGACGAGTTAGCACCCGATGGATTCACCAGTCACGATGAACATGAACTCACGTCTGTCAGGTAGTATCCGTAGCCATAGAAAGGAACGCCTGGGTAGATCGGATTAGTCAGAGAATTTCCACTTATCAAGGCAGTGCGACATATCCGCGTACTTACCATAGACAAGTTTACTCATGGGAAAGCCTGCATCATGCCAGGCTTGAACGCCATCGGCGCCGAAGTCCTGACCATCAGGGATGTCGGAAGGGGATTCGCCGTGGTACTCCAGGGCTGCGTTCGAACCTGCCGTGTCGTCGTCCGGAGGGTTCCACAGGTCATAGGACATCAGATAAATCCGGTCGAATAGTGGGATGAAAGGAGTCATGTCGACGTTCTCAAGCGTCCCATCTGTTGGACTCTTGGCTTTGCGGAAAAGATTCATCGATACAGCAGCCGACAGTTCTGCCACAGGTAGGGCTGCTCGCAAAGCCTTCAGCATCTGCAAATAACCGTTTGCGTCGGTAAAAGGCCTTTCAATGGGGGCATCAGTCAATTTCCCGACATGTTCCCAATCTATTTGTAGATAATCTTGTCAGTTTATGGACAGAAAGCGGTTAGATTGGAATCATTGGAGGTTTACCGATGTCAACTCCTGCGAGATCAAACTCGGACACAACGTCCTTTACTGATTCCACAAATGCACTGATAGACTGGTTGGTCTGAACCATGTCGGAAAAATATTTCCCACCGTCGCCAGCACCTCCAATGCTCAAGATCAATCTGACGCCGTGTGCTTGTGCTTGTTCACTCAGATAGCGAAGCAGTGCTTGATGCGAACCCAGGCTAATGGAATAGTTGTTCGCTGCACCACCCACGCTGGCAAACGCGAAACATAGATGTGTGAGGTACTTCCAAGGAATCTTCTCTGCTGGAAAGATGTTGGTGTTTCCTGCGCCAAAGTATGCAGTCACAGTGTGGTCCGGCCAATCATCCGGGGTTGGGGTAGGCTGTGGTGACCTGGAGCTGCTTGAACGTGTTGAGGAGGTGGTGGAAGTGGAGAAGGCCCTGGTGCTGGTGACAGTGTTCTTCTCAGATGACCAGGAGGGCGGAGGCGGTTGCAAGCTTGACTTGGGTTTGGACTGTCCGGAACCAACTGCCTGTCCTAAATCCTCTGGCTGCCCTGCCTCATGCTGGGGTGCCTCAGGTCTTGACCAAGGCCAACGCCATCCAGGCCGTTCGGAGTTCGCCTGCGGCCCGTCCTCGTTCTCGTCATTTCCATCCCAGTGTTTCAACCACGGCGGGAGTCCTGCGTTTAACGCTGGATTGGATTGGTCCTCGGGCTGTGTTCCAGAATCGAACCCTTTCGTACCAGAAGTGCCTGCGGTATCCGATCCAGGCCAGCCACTCCAATCCGTGGGTACAGGAAAGTATTGAGTATAACTCTCTGTCCGTACTATCGTGGAATAGACCGTTGAGATCACCGGAAAGGTAACGGTCACGACTGACGATGGTGCGTCGAGCATACAGTGGTCAATATCATTGCCACGTTCTTGCTGATCGACATTGGAATTTGGACGGCTTTCCCCGGGAATAGCCAATAGGGGCAAGAATAGAAATGACCACATCTTTCCAAGACTATCACCGTGAATGGTTCGAAGTCCCGGCGTACGAGCATGGTAGTGTTATTCGGCTGTGGACCTTCCATTATTTATATCGACATCGACATTCCAGATGAGCACACTTGAAGTAGAAGCGTCCGCAAAACATATTGCGTCTGTGCATCTTCCGTGATGCTTAGAGCAAGCCTCTCAAAAATAACGCATCTGTCAGAAGCTTCAGTTGTGATCAGAGCAGCGTTGAGGGGAAACTCTTCCTGCTACTCCGACTCCCGACTCCTTATGGCCGTTTAGGAGGAATCGACTCAATCCCACCCCTAATCGACTCTAGGTACTCACACACCAAACATAGATATAGAGGTACAACGATTCAATTGTATATCTTTACACGGCGCGTAGGATCACGCGTTAGAATCAGGTGTACCTTTAGCCTTTACCTAGGTATTTATAGAATTACTTGGCAGAGCCAGAGTTCAAATCCGGCTCCAAGGAGTCGGCGTACCGATTCCTAGAAGAGTCTTCACTCAACACTCGGTCAGAGTTCACAAACACTGACACGCTTAAAATTGGAGCCAGCATCCCAAAGGAGAATACCAATCATGGAAATTACTTAATCAAACGTCGTCGTTAACTTTATTCTGGACGACGGTAGAAGCTGGTGAGCGATGCGTGCTCTGGAAAGCCGAACTGGCGCCATGTCACAAGCTACCTCACGTCACATTCAGAATAAATCTTATGTGAACGCCAAACGGTACGAACGGTCCGTCCTGACAAGGACTTGAAATGGTGAGTTCAAGGGTCTGAGGTTGGTTGTCAACGTTTTTGAGTGACACCTGCCAACTCGGTGACGTTCTTCGTTATCTTCCTGAGCTTGTAAGGGATGTATCCGCGTGGCTGACTACGAGTAAATGCCTCCCAAACCTATTCTCTTGTACTGGCGCCCGGGCCTTTTCGGGACGTTGAGCTCACCTGGACCCTGAGGACTCCCCTGTATCCACCTCCATGGTCTTACTATTCTATGAGTGTTGATATGGGAATTTGTTTTCTGTAGAACCGAAGCATATCACGTACAATAAGAGATACACCCTGCCTCTTATCCTTAAATTATTCGTCTCTTGGTGACGTCCCATCATAAGAAGAACGACGCCTTTAAGCCCGACTTCAAAGTACTGGCTTCTTGCAAGACGGTAAGTATCTCTGGGGCAGATGAGTGGCTTTCGTCAATAAAGCGCGGTCTGCCATGGTGTGAAGATTTCGCTCATTCGTGGGACCTAAATCTGCACGGGGTAAAGTCTCCGCTTTGCTTGCGATATCCGCATGTCTGAGTCGCGCTATTGCACAGGGAAGACAAGTTAGGGCTCCATGCCTGGTCTTTCATTGTGCCTTTGCCTTCTCCAAATCATCTGTCGCGGTTCCTTCACTTACAGTCTGCAGTTGCTTCTTTGGCAGACCCAGTTGGATCTCACCCCTGAGCACCTTGATCATAGTCATCGCTTGATCTTGGCTTGCAGACGTATTTTTCCCAAAATCGTAAACCAAATTCTCCAACGCCAACGCAGCCACAAACAACCAGGCATCACCGGCCTTGATTCCCTTCCACCATCGGTGCTTGACTCCGACCTTCCATAGGGAGTCGACACTCGTTCGTGCCGTATATAACGAGGTCATATGACCAGATGCAGTTCGATCAGCTAGCTGGAAAAGACCACCAAGCAACCCACCGAAGAAGAAACGGAACTGAGGGATAAATGCCCGAGGCAGTATGATCTGGAACAAACAGATACTGGCCCAAGCCATGCCGATGGAGCCTGTGATTGCGAAACTTGACCTCAGAACCGACTCTGACAGGCGATTGAGTGCTGCAAGAGGCGCCTTCATGATTTTCTTTAATTTCATGAGTGAGAAGGCACCATAGTAAAGAGCGTAGAAGCGTGCGATTTGTGGAAAAGATATCAAAATGTGTCGAAGAAAAGCTAAGAAGCATGATGGATCGGAGGGATGAATCAACGCGCATGATAGGTTTGATATTGCTGGATGTGCGCTGGATGTAATGGTCGATATAACTGGGTTTATGCCGGTAGGAAGCGTGTTTGAGACCCCTGGATGTAGAATAGGCGAGATAAATACTGGCCATCTCAGTTGAGCCATTTTTGCTAGAGCATCGACAATTTCATTTGCTTTTGGCCACCGCACTTTTGAAGAGAGACTTAAGGGACGCCTTTGAATATACTCTGGTGTATAGCCCAGAATGAACGATCCGTACGCCTCGGGAAAGCAATCTCGGTCGAAAACGAATGCATGTAGCAATTGACCTTGGGAGACTGCAAAAAGAATCCAGCTTCCAACCCAAGAAGGCTTATTCTTCACAAAGCTTGTGTTTTCAATGGCTTTATAACCAACTTCCAACGCACGGCAAGCGATGTATATCGCTATTGTCACTCTCAGTTGATCAGCTGGGCATAATCCGAGCGCAAATCCTGACAAACTCGCTCCAATGGCTGGGGCCAATTTGGAGGTGAGTACAGCATAGATCCTCGGATATCGCTCTTGAATGTGTCGGACTTTCTCATGCTGCAGCTGCACTCTCAGACGGTAGAAAAGGCGGTATAAAGTGGCATGGAAAAACAGTAATGATGAAAGTGAGAGTGCCACTTTCATGGGTGATGCTACCAGGGGCTTTCGTGCTCTTGTAGCTGTTGGTGATTGGCGGGAAGATAGTCGTCCCAGAACTGCCTCTGCCGCCTTTAGTGAGCCTAAGCTCAATACGAAGGCTCTTGAAGCCGTGCGAAATGCTGCTGCAGTATGATTGTCTTGCTGCGACGTGACTGTCGATCCGAGCACATTGTCGCTGGTCTCCTTGGTGGGAGTGGGAGACGAGATGATTTTCCTCAGGACCTCATACTCTCGTTCGTTGAGCACATAACGCACAGGGAGACTTGCTACCGCCATGGCGACAGGAATGGACCAGGTGAAAGCTTTGGTTAAAGGGTAATAAGCGTGACACCGAAACCGGTTGCTTCGTGGTACCGAATCAGGTAAGAGTTTCTGCTCAAGCAATACGCTATTTAGCAGGACGCCATTGACGGTGATTATCGCGTTGGAATCCAATTGAGCTCTCACGCTCTGAGAAGCGAGATGATGGAACAATCTTCGTGATTATCACCACCAAGGTTAGAGGTAGGAAGAATGATGAAGAGAACAGTGGTATGGAAGTAGATCCAAGGAGAGGTTGCCTTAGAAGCCGATTCAACCTCGGTTGCACGTGCTGCGGCTACTTACTAGATCGAATCTCCCAAGGTGCCAGTGGGCATACATAGCCTAAAACCAAGCTTTGCGGGGAGCTCCGGAGAATTGACTCTATACTCCACAGTACTCAGGATTACGGTCACGCACCACTTCTCAATTCAACCACATTTACGAGGATGTGCAAGGCCGACACCAACATCCGTTCACTCACATCACCAACTAGAATCCCCAAAGATCGGAGGAGGGATCCTCGAAATCCCTCTGGACTGACTCCATCTCACCTCACAATGCGGCCCTCCATATCACCATACCTCCCCCTAGGCCTACTCCTCCTCTTCTCACTCCTGAACCTTACCAGCGCCGCCAAATCCACCGCCATCTCATTCTGCAAATGCATATGCTTCAATAACAGCACGATCATTGCACTCAACCCTCCAAACTCCAAGAGTTCCTCACACCGTTTCGAAGTCCGCTCTTCTGACCACCACTCCCTCGAAGGCACCTCACCGGCCCGCAGCCCCCGAGAAGCCCAAGAAGAAGAAAAAGCCCCGTCAAAACCGCACCACAAACTCAGCTGCGCCGACTGCACACGCGCATTCTGTCTGGACTATAACCTACCGATATGCAAGGACGCGAAGGACGAAGACGTCTTCACGACCTGTTTCCGTAAGAAACCTAATTCCCTTCCGCACAAGACACGGGACATACTAATCCCCCGCAGAACGAGACTCGCTCAAAGATGAAACCGTCGTGGTGATTTTCATCATCGCAACTGCGGGGCTACTGGCATGGGCGCTGGTGAAGCCATGGGTCGAGCGAGTCCGGCAGCGGAACGAGCGACGAGAGTTCCCGCCACTGGTTGGGTCACAGGGGAATTCGAATCGGGCAGCGGGCCACGATGCCACGTCGCCACGGAATCAGGGTTCGAGTCGTGGTGGCGCGAGCAGTAGTGTGCGCGGTGGTGGACGTGGAGGTGTTGGGAGAAGTGCTACGGATGCGAGGTTCTTGGACGCCGATGAAGATGCGGTAGATATAGGGTCGGGCAGCGCATTAGGGGCTGCGCGGTGACTTTGCATTTCTCTAGATTTCAAATGAGATGGAAAAGTTTTGGGAACGCTGCAAATGGGATGAATTTTCCTGGTGTTGAAACACGTGTCTCTGGAATCGATGTCAGATGCCGAATTAGTAGGTATCTGGGTATCATGCCACGTTCATAATCACCATGCCGCATCAAGGTAGGGTTTACGTGATACACTTGAGTCAATCACCACCAGAATACTCTTCTTTCCATTGACATTTTCGCATTTTGGGGGTTTGGGTATCTCGTTCATCTGATTTCTCATGGAATCATTTCCTCGTTCACGTGCCTGACGAGCATACATTAGAGTCAAGGTTACTCTCGCTCAAAATATTCCTCACATCTCCATGTTGGACATTTGTTGAAGCTCAATCGAATATTCGACCGTTGTTGATTTTCCTGTTCCGTAGCCAAGCGCCGTCGCCGTTAACATCACCCACGGCAAAAAATGAACTTGTACATTAACCCTGGACACCGGTGCATTCTGACTCCTCACCACCAATCGTTTTCCAGCCCAAGTTCCATGTCCATGCAATGATGCACCTTAATCGATCGATCCATTTGATGTCCAAGGCGCTTTGTTCCCGAAAAAGTCAACCCATGATGCACACGCTCCGCAACCCATGATTCGCCTGCTGAAGTGCATAAGAAGAAAGTAATCCGGCTTTGTGATTTTGAAAAGTGGCAACACTTTATTTGGAGGAAGGCAGGAGGAAACCGACACGCTTCTCGGAAAGTCTGCCGTTTTCGAAAATCTCTTGGTGTCCAACAACATCCCATTTGGCAGAGGTAGCCATTCTCTCGGCGTTGGAAGCGTGTTGGGCATTCAGAACCCTCTCACGACGTGCCTCACGCTCTTTAACAACCTCCGTCATGACTCTGTTGGCATGTTCTGGACCTTGTCGCTGCAAAAAGGTGTTGAAACGGTGAAGATTCTCGAAATCCAGACTGAGGATGATATTAGTCGCAAGAGTCTCTCGGGGTGTGAAGCGAGTGGTAGAGAAGCCTGATTGAGGGGACGAAGGTGAGACGCCAGCAGAAGAGGGCATAGATCCAAAAACCATAGAAGACAATGCCGGATTAGTTCGTGGACGGTGATCATCGACTGGGGGGAGTCGAGAAGAGAGCAAGGTTGAGGTGGCATTTTTATCAATTTTGAATCTAGCCACATCCAGACGTCCCACGAGGAAATGAAGGACTGCCCGAATAATAGAGCTGCTCAGAACAAAATAGTCGGTTCCAGTCATGTGCTTGCTATTGGACGAAATCTCCGACTTGGTAATCTCATCTGCGGCTTTATAGGCTGGCTCAAGGAGATCCCAATCAAGGTAGTCCGATAATAAACCTTCGGCACGCTCAGTGATTGTGTCGAGACCCAGTTCGACTCCTGCAATCCAATACGACAAAATATACTCCAGGTTGTTCAACCTAGTTGCCTGAGGATCAACAGCAGGGGGTTGCTGCAGAAAGAAATCTTTAGCGATGATAGCATCTGAGTACAGGAATCGTAGTGCAGATTCGAAGGCATGCGAAGAAACATGTCTCGGAGGGTAGAGATCAATGATGTTGGATCCGTATGACGACTGACGTATTACCAAGCGTCGCAAGCGATGGCTACGAAGCAAAAGGATTGAGTGCGCGTATGTTGGGAAAGACTGGGCCTTGTTGCCAGGAATATGAACTTGAATGATCCAATCGGCATTCTCCTTGGATGCTGCAACATGGAGGAAATACTCATTGAGCGATGGCAAAGTGTTGATTCTCGGCGAAGATGTCGGGATTGTCATTCCTTGATTGTGCATTACCGCGCCACCATAACGATGAAATCCGTTGTATTCACTCTGATCAGAGGTTACCAATGCTTGATTGGTAGGTTGGCTAACTTGCGGCATGGCACTTGGCACTTGAATCGAAGCTTTATCCTCAGTTTCAGCAGCCACAGAAGTAGCGGAGGATGGTGCCAATGGTTGCGGCTCATCTTCAACGATAGCACTGGTGGATCTTGAGCGGTCGATATGATCGTAAGGAGATTCCAGACGATTCTCCATATCAGGTTCGGGCTCGGGTACTTTAACGGGGGCCATCTGAGCTGTATCCACGGATGTTTCCGCTGCAGAAGTCACTGTTCCTTCTGGAGATGGTTGGTTATGGACTTCTTGACTGGCTTCTAGTTCGGCTTGCTCAATAACCACCTCTTTGTCATGATCGAGGGGATAGTTTGGCACTCCTGCGGCAAGTTCCTGGGTGGCGGGGGTAGAGACAGATGGAGTGCTGGCTTGGGAGGCTAAAATAGAACAATGAGTCAGTAGAGATTCTCGGCAGTATCGAATAAAAGAGGCTCACCAGTAGAGGCAGATACAGCTTTTTCTTCAACGGAGTCGGGATTGCTGGAAATATCTTTCTCGGTGCCAACTTCTGAAGAGAGCTCGTTTATTGCTGTCTCGCCCACTGAACTCGGGGTGTCTCTAGTCTCGCCAGCGCCGTCAGTCTGTTCAGAGGTCGACTCGGCCTTTTTACCACCTCGTGCTCTGAACAAACGGGAGGGATCAGGGAGGACAGGGAGGACATTAGGACGAGCCTTTTGAGAGTTGTGTAGCTTGGGAGCCATTGTGAATGAAAGGATGTGTTAACAGAGCAGAAGAGCGGAGATCGACTCGAACCATGGAGAAGAGACACCGGACAATGCCCAACTCTACGCACCAGTGAGAGAATTAAACAACGAAGGAGAGATATCAGATGGATCTCTGTATCTTTGTTATCCACTGCAGTGAAGGTTGTGGCTGTTGACCTGCAGCGGTGCTCTTTTCGTGGGGTAGTAGTCTCAATGGGTCTGGCAGGTGAGCCTGAGATTGAAGTTCAAGTGACAAGATTCGTCCTGAACTTTCGGGCCAAAAGCTACCAGTCGTGATTCGGAGTCTTTTTCTTCCCCGCACCGCCAGGGTAGAACACGTGTTCGGAAAATCCCCTCCGGTGTCGGCATCGGAATTACAAGAGGCCGGACGGCCAAGACAACGAAGGACCAAAAATGCCAAGCCATAGCTGCTGCTGCTGTTGACTTGGAACATGGAATGCAGAGACAACCTGAGTCAAGAATAATCAAACAACAGGTGCAACTCTAAGATGTTATTCAAAGGACTAAGGATGAAGAGGAATGAAGAGGTAAGTATATGAGGAGAGAATTTTCATATAATTTGGGTCTGAACCCCTGACATCACCAGCCTTGCTCCTGAGCCTTGCTATTGACTCCCTGAACAGGGATGCACGACCTTGTGCAGAAATTCATCCTAGGTATATCGCGCCGACTCTACCTGGGTAAACAAAGCCCATCTATCTCACATGCAACACATCACCATACGCCACAGCTGCTTGTATATCAGGATCCTGAAAACCGGGGAATCTCCATGGTGTCGTGGCTCGCGGAACTCAAAGTTTGCACCTCTACTGGAGCGTCAATCTGTTGGTTAAACTCTTCCTTTGGGTCAATGACGAAATATGCCACTGCAAAAGCCCACACCGAAGCCCATTAGCCTAGTTATTGCAAAAGAACCACCCTCAGAAAGGTATAACTTACATACAATGCCAACCGCACCAAAACATGCGGCAACTATCCAAACATGGCGAAAAGCAGCAGAGTATGCCTCGAGGACCGCATGACCGCCAGCTGCAATGATCGATTTCGAGATGCCCGGGACCCTGGATATGCCTGTTGTGTCGTGGGTCACAAGAGCAGTGATCAGTGGCTTCAGCGACGACGCAGGCAAGCCCAATGGCAGCACTGCTTCCGAGACTCTTCGACTCAAGTTGCTTGAAAGGGTGTGAGTAAAAACGGCTTTGTATACTGCAAGCCCAACCGCGCCACCCAAATTCCGCATTGTCACCAGCAGCCCAGTAGCTGTAGCTATCATCGAGGGAGGAGTTGCAAATTGCGCCACAGAAATCAACACCAACACGCAGACTCCAAGTGCAAATCCAAATATCATAATGTATCCCCAAACCTCGCGATTAGATCCAGGTCTAGTTGTTGCCATGAGGACATTGAAAAGAGTCAAAAAGACAAAGCTGAGAAGAAGGGGAGCACGGAGACTCCGCCTCTTTGAACAGTACCACCCAGCAATGCCGGCAGATCCACATCCAACCAAGAAAGATACACTGATCCGGAGAGCCCCGAGCAGAGAATCAGCCGTGTACAGTACACCAACTTGATACGGATAGTAGTATGTTCCGGTGAAGAAAACAAGTCCTTCCACGAATATACAGCCAACCGCAAGAGCGAAGTTGCGGCTCTGCATAAAAAGTTTATGGTGGAATATTCCATCCCTTTTGTATTTGGTCTCGTAAATGATGAGGCCTGTACTAATAGTGATACCGATGAGGAAGGTGGCCAGCACATGGGCATTGGTCCAGGGGTAGGGGTTTTGCGACCAGATCAAACTCATGCAGAAAAGAATCAATCCTGTCGATAAGAGGGCGTAGCCCATCCAGTCCAGGGCTTTCATTTTTTCTCTTCGATTAAGAGTTGTTTGTAGCTCTCGAGGGGGCGGATTATAAAACAAGGCACATGCGAGAGCAGACGCGATGTACAAACCCGCTGCGATATACCAGTAAACTCGAAAGCCTCCCACGTGTCCTTTTCGAGTAACTGCGGCCCCAAGAAGGAGTCCAAACACAGCTCCCAACACACCAATGATATTAGAGCTTGCCTGAGCCACAGGCCTTAGCCGTCGTGGGAGGACCTCCGATGGTATGGCAATCACGAGAGGTTGGGCTCCAAATGAAGCAGCTGCAATAACCCCCCCAGCTATCGCCATAGTCATGGAGTTTGCGCGGGACGTTATGACGCATCCAATACCGCCCAAGCTCGTCAGGCCAACAAGAAACCACTTGCGACCCCATAAGTCTGCAGCTTGGCTGATGGGAGAACTGAGAACGACAGCGAGAATAGGCACGGAGCTTGAGATCCATGAGGATTTATCGGTACCTCCAACAACGGCAGCAATGTCTCGAGCATGGGAACCTGCCCCGACCAAGTACATCAGCTGTGCAAAATAAACAGAGCAGACGCTCTATAAGCGGGTACCGTGGTCAGTCTCTCATCATACTCCTCTTTGTTCTCCTGGGGCTCAGGACTTACAGTGACAACGATAATTGTCTTGGCGTGGATGACAGGAGCAGCTCTCAAATCAGGATCGGAAGGCTCAAGCAAGTCCGCATGCTGCACCTGCGTCGTCGATGGTTTCTCGGACTCCATAAGCACTGGGAATTTATTTTCATGGATCTGATGGGATGTGGATAAGTGAATCTCGAGGACGACTACACTTGCGAAATATATGATTCTATGGCGATCCTCATACCGGCAGCCGAGACCCGAGGACAAACACAGCGAGAAATAGTGATGATGCAAAATCTATGAAGTGGGCCAAGGTCTTCTGCACAGAACATTCCTAGGGGTCTCCAAAGCTCCTTGGATGATTGGCTTTGACCACAACACATATCCAGAAGGCTCTCAGCCATGGCAAGAAACATTGCAACCTCGTTTTGTCGTGGCCCTCTAAATCAAAAATCCGAGGACCGACGGCTTCACAAACGTGCTAGAACCAGGGTAACTGCACAGTTCTGAGGCCACAAATTAATTACATGATACTTTGGAGTAAGGAGTCTCTCATCTGGTATTTTTATGGAAGCTTTACGGTGATAATTGTGGTAAGGAAGGTGGCTGAACCATCATCTAATACCATCACAGTATAATGACGGAGCAACGAAAGGAGATTATCGATCCTGAAACCTTCGACCGGTGTGATTTCCTGCCATGCCACGAAGGTCCGAACGTCCTTCCACACGACTTGCTGTTCCATTCCTTATATGATTTGGCACTCAGGCAGAACACCATTATCATCAAGGACAAAAATACCGGACTATGTGCGTCTCATCAGCAATTCATCGGAGACATCCTTGCTCTCCGAAGCAAGTTGCGTGCAGAACTTGACCCGAGCACTTTAACGGATCTGCAGCACGAACGTGAAATATGCCTCTTGATATGCGCTGAAGGCTATGAATTCGCAGTGTCTTTCTTTGCCGTTCAAGCTCTTGGTGGTATTGCTGTGCCCTGCAGTCAGTCTACTTAAGGAACCTTGACAGATTCACGCTGATCGATGATCCAGGTCCACACATTACCCTCAAGGAGGTGAACCATAATGCTGATACAGTGCGAGCGAAAGCCATCATAACGAGCATCAAATCGTTGCAACTTGCACAAGACCTCGAAGAGCAATTCAAGTCTCGGACAAAGTCATTCAAGGTTGTGTGCTCCACACCAGTTTTGATCTCTCCTCTTCTGGATCTAAGCTCTGTCACCATCAATTCAGGGAGAACACCAGACCAGAACAAACCTGCACTGGTGATTTTCACCTCTGGCTCAACAGGGCCGCCAAAGGGAGTTGCCATAAGGAGGTACAATCTTTACGCTTTAGCAAGATATTTCGTCAACAACCTGAAAATAAATCAAGAAACCACAATCGTTCAGTTTCTGCCTACTCATCACGCGACGGGACTTCTCTTCAATACGCTCCCTGCACTTATCGGTGGCGGATGCGTTGAGTTCAGCCAGGGAGGCTTCGATGCAGCTAAAGTCTGGGAAAGGTTTCGGGAAGGTGGCTTACCATCGTTCTCGGCACTTCCGACCGTCTACGTTCGTCTTTTGAGGTACTGGGAAACGGTCTTATCCAAGCTCCCCCAAGGACAAAGCGAGAGCTACCGAGTGGCCGTCTCGACCATTGGCAGTTTCCATTCATCAACCTCTGCACTCTCGCGTGAGGTGGGCGTCAGATGGAGAGAATTGACTGGCAAAGCTATCACTGAGAGATATGGAGGTTCGGAGGTAGGAGGCGTCTATTCCAATGTTGTGGGTGAGCTGGTTGTCCCAGGATCAGTTGGAAAGAAGATACGAATGACAGAGTCAAAACTGTCTGGTGGAGACCATGGGGAGATATTGGCCCGTAGCCCCTTCGTGTTCATGAAATATATGTACGACCCAGAGGCAACCAGAAGAGCGTTTGACCAAGACGGTTTCTATCTGACTGGTGACATCGCTCGGCAAGAGGGAGACCTGTACTTCATCGAAGGTCGTTCCGCAGTCGACATTATCAAGTCTGGGGGCTATAAGATCTCCGCCCTGGATATCGAAGAAGAGATCCGAAGTCATCCCCAGGTGTCTGAGGTAGCTGTGGTTGGTGTCGACGACGACGAGTTTGGACAACGAATTGCTGCGGCTGTGGTTCTTCATGCCTCGGCCGAAAACCTGACTCTAACTGAACTTCGCAAGTGGCTTGGAACACGCCTTTCCAACTATAAGTTGCCGACGATGCTTCGGGTCGTCCCTGAGCTTCCCAAAACACCGACATTCAAGGTGCGGAAGCTGTTGATTAAGAAAGACCTGTTCGAGATAGCGCACCCTGACATCCAAATGTGGTCAGGATCGAAGAGGAAGGCGGCAAGGCTATGATGATATTGGCCAATTTGGCGAGCAAGCTGGCAGCATCAAAAGAGAACACTAAGTCGAAACAGCTATGTAGGCATCCATGATTCTGCCGGTATCTAGATAGGTAGACAGTCCGAAGCGGATTCTCCGTCATATTTTGGCCTTCGGTGGTGCATGGGGCCTCTTTCCATGAACGTAACTAACTCTCCTAAACCTTTCTAGTGCGTCACCCCATAGCTCATTCCTAAGGAGGCTATACACGCCCATAGCAGCACGAGGAGCATGTATCTGAGCAAGTCGTATCGCTGCCGCATGCATCTCATCCGGCGGAGCGATCTCATCCACAATTCCGGCCTCCAATGCCTCCACACCAGTGAATCGATATGCCTCGAGTAACACCCTCCGCGCCACCTGAGGCCGCAATTTCAACCTGGCAAGCGCCCCGATTCCGTCAAAATGCAGACCGAGATTGACTGGTGGCATGCACCAGAAGCCGCGTTCGGAGTTCATAACTCTGTAATCGCATGATAGTGACAATGGACCGGCACCGCCAAACGTGTGTCCCGTCAGCAAGGCGATGGTAGGGAGTGGGTAGTCGAGGAGAGTGGCTACCAATGGATAGAATCCGTCGGTGCTGGCAAATGGGTTCTGCCTACTCTCCTCCATGTCAACGCCTGTACACCAGAACTTCGTGTCGGAGCCCTGGAGAATCACGCATCCTGGCTTGCCAGGTCCTATTTCCCTCTCAATGAAGCGCAAAGCTGAGATCAATGCCTGCGCAAATGTAACGGTGATGCGGTTTTCGGGCGGTTTCCGCATCGTAATCGTATATACCACAGAATCCGAGGAGGAAACAGTCAAATGCTCGAAGGCTAGGGGAGACATTTCGATGTGATAATCTGGAGCTCACACGTCCAGGAACGGAGGCGATCGAATTACCAAGAAGAAGCTTTCCACGAGGCTATGGCCAAGAAGCCAATAATCGGCACATCAGGCCGTTTGCGCAGAACCGTGGCGATATTTGGGGTACCATGTGGTGCGACAACTATTCATGACCCAGGTCTACAAGTGAACTGGATGGGTAATGGGCCAGATGGCACCCTCCTGGCACCTCGGTATCGGTCTGTCGGTTACCGGTTGTCGGTCCCAGACCACACGCGTGGTTGGCAAACCCCAGGGTCTAGGGACTCTTCGCTACACCTACTCAGACTCCCTACGAGTATTCGGGTTAAACGGTCTCAGTCGCAGCTATGCCGGAGATCTGTGGGAGGAGATACAAGGGATTGGAGGGAGGGGTGGTGGTGAGTGCCCACGATTTACTGGACGGAATGCCGGCTCAAATTGTCGGACGAAGATTAGGCCTGAGATATTGGCGAGGCCGCCAATGCCAACCAGGTAGTTGAGCATCCAGCTGGCTGGGTACTAATCGGTACCTACGCCCGTCCAAAATACTGAGTTGGATATCTTACATCTGGCTACTTCCAAACTAGCAATCACAATGACTACAACGCACTGTTGGCGACAGCGTAATTAGCCAATACTACATTCTGGATCTACACACAAAGCCTATTACGATACCCAGTATTCGTTGAAAAGATCCGTGACTTAGAGAGTTCAGCTCATTAACCGTCGACCACCCCTGTCTTGTGTGAACTAGTTACGCCGCCTAGCGCTAGCGGACGGGTGGTCATCACCTCCACTCCATATATCGTTGGAAGGCGGGGACCCGAGCTGTGGGGTCCTTGCTAGGTGTCGTCTGGCTGGCAGCTCTGGACTAAGTGGCTTACTATTAAGTGCAAGACGGGGCAATGCTTATGCTGGAGGATGGTATGTATGCGGGGCGCTCCTCCTTACACTCCATTGCAAAGTATTCCTCTTGCTTTTTTCGAATTCCACTGCGCGACGAGTATACAACTTGAGACACCTCCTTGTTTCTTCTATTTTATTAGGACGTGATGGTTGGTATCGAACAACACGAGTTGGGTGCAAGGCTTGACTCTCACTCTAACGTGGAAGATGCCACAAGTGGGCCAATACCGCGCCGCAGAGTCAAAAAGCGCACACGGAGAGCAACGAGGGGTTAGTGCTTCAGCTTGAGAAAACCACTGTGCCGAAAGGAGGCAGAACTGATTGTGTTCCCCAGCGTGCTTGTCATGCCGAGCACGGAAGGTGCGCTGCGATGTGATACTACAATCGCCCAACCCATGCACCAACTGCATTTTAGACGAGGTCAAATGCTTTGTTCCTGACAAAAGGTGCATGTTTCAGCAGATATCGTTTGCTCTCACTACTCACTGACCTCTCTTGTCATGCTAGGCATCTCAACAAGACCAATGGCCCCCTGCCCTCCCGTCAGAGTGACGTTAGCAGCTTGGATGCAGATTTACCGCCGTTATTGAGCCCAGATAGCTCTATCGCTTCAGAATTCAACTCTTTGGACACAACAGAGTCGAATCCGACCCAAGATCTTGTTCAGAATGGCCTACAGCCTTCGATCTCTGAGGCTGGGAACCGTACTTTCCCGGGGGATGCTAGTGGTACTGATACAATACCCTTGGATCTCACAATAAATCCCAGTGATGATACTTTCCTTGAAGCCCTGCACGACTTCCCAGGAGAAGATAATTTCTTGGTTGATTTTGAGGCCTTCACCCAGTTACCGAGCTTATACGTACCTGATGTCCACTCACACAACGCTACTCCCGCCAACCGAACCTACACTTCGCCACTCTCCTGGGTGGCGAACTGGTGCGAGCACGATAATGGCCAGCATGCCCGCTTAAAACCCACGAACATCTCTCTGGCACCTGAGACTATCGAGTCCTTACTTCGAGACTACTTTCAATTTGCCAATCCCAGCTTTCCTGTCGTGAGCGAATGGGACCTGTATCGTCTAACTCATCCAAATGATATCGAAGGAGGAGAGCAAATTCCACCAATGAGTTTGGCACTATTCAATGCCATTATGTTTGCTGGTTCAGCGGTAAAACTTCTTCCACAACATTCATTGTTAGCGCTCGCTAATGTATTCTAGTTTGCGACAATCGAGGTTGCACAGGGAGCTGGTTTCTCCGATATCCGTGCCATGCGTGATGCATTCCATGCCAGAGCCGCAGTAAGCCAACTGTTTTTGAACTCTAAACCTCAATCACGTTAGGCTTTAGTTTATAGGGAGACTGATACCGCGATTCTTTAGTATCACTATGAAGCGCGCTGTGAGCGTGATCTTTTGAACCAGATTCGAATATGTCTTCTGCTCAGTCAACGTCGAAAATACCCTGACGGAATGTTCGAGAATGAAAAATGGACTCTCAGAGCCCAGCACCTCCTTCAAAAAACCGAGAAACTCCCTTTAATCTCAGACAACCAGTCTCAAGGAGGAAAATCTAGTCGTTGGAAAGTACTTCAGTGTTGTTGTCTGGTCCGAGCACAACGCGTACTCATAGGAACACATCGGAATGCTTCAGTTACTACGACCCAAATCGAACCACCATGTATCACGATAATGGATTTGGAAGACGATCTTCGATTCTCATGGTTCCTTACAGCAACGATTAAAGAAAAGCTAGCACAAGTGTTCGTGGCATCTGTCGATCTACACCGGTCTCTTGCGCCGCTCTGTCCGCTCATCCTAAGGCGTGATTCTGAACCAGGGGCTGCTCAGAAAGGTACCCCAACCTTCACCCCATTTCGAGGGTCTGTCATGGGTGCTTTAGAGGAAGTAGAACGCTCGCTCGTCGAATGGAGAGCTCGCTATGACGGGCTCTTCCTCACAAGTGATACTTGTCCCGTATTACCGCCCTCCTTACAGGCTACCGCAGCGTACGTGAATCTTTGCTATGAGTACGTTTTGACCTAGCTCTGTCTGCCACACTAACTTGACAGCTGACCCTGAGGACTCAGATATGGTATTTCTTACCTCCATCAAATAAGTTTAGACTTTGAGAGGTCCAGCACTACGCCATGGGCCGCTAGAATGAGAGAATCGTCTCGAGAAGCTCTTCAGATATCAGCAGCATCGACTACCAGAATTCTTCGTGATCTTCTTGGCCAAGAGGCAGTCAAATTTCTGCCGTTCTCCACGTAAGTCTGACTGCTAAGCCCATCTAGTAACTTGTAGCTAGGTTGCAATTGAGTCTTGCATCAAGGACTTGATGCTAATAGTCGCAGTATCACGATGTTATTCATTCCCTTGACGATCAACAGCGTATTTCTGAAATCATCTGTACAGAGCTGTAAACGCTCGGTCTATGACCTTTCGATCTGTTTCCAGGCATTAGAGGTCCTAGCTGAACGTCACGAGATCGCAGACTTCTTCTGGGAGCTCAACAACGCGTTGGTCATGCTTGTGCACGAGAAAATGGCGAAAGGTGATGTCTCACCCACTCCCCTAGGATCGGGCAAAAATTCCTGGGATAAGATGACATCGGCATATGATGCGCCAGAAAAGGTGCCACTGCCTCAGACAGACACCTATTCATCAGTGTTAAAATTCTTGAGGCAGTCGTTCGTTCTAGGAAGTGTACAATGGGAAGTGTTGAGCCACTGAGGGATTGAGTCTGAGAGCCGGATAGACATTTATCTACAAGGACGTTTCCAAATCTGGAACGCACTCGCACCTTAAGTCGATTTGCTGTGAATATACAGGCTAAGCTGGCCAGGAAGTGAAACCAATTGTTCAGTACATGATCTGGTAGATGTCCAATGCTATCGAAAAGCTTACAGAAGTGTCGGAAGTCTCCTCTAAAATTGCTTGATTAGCATTCATCCACAAGAAGTGGCTAAGAAGCCTCGGGATGGGATGCCCGCATTGTCCGTATTTGGGACCTCGGACAACGCGGCCACTTGCACACTTCTGAGGCCTTAGAAATGAACAAAGATGCTGTTATAATTGAGCAGATATATCTAGAAAAGAAAAATTTATATATCAGACGTATCACCGGTGTAAGCCACTGAAGTAAACTCCGCCGAGTCTGATTTGCGCTGTGATCTCACTTCACCAGGCTTCCGTCCATATCCACTGTCCCAAATCCTGGCTTCCCAATTACGTTGTCTTTTAAAGCTCTTTCACCATAAGACTTGCCCCAGCACATCAAGAACTCCTCTTCTCATCATGGCAGTGCCGACAGAGACGAAATGCTGGGTCATGGCAAGGAAACCACAGGGTCTTCCAACATATTCGGGGAAAGATGCGACGTTTGAACTCCTGACAAAGGCATTGCCCGAACTCCAGCCCAATCAGGTCCTGGTCGAAGCCTTGTACCTCAGCAACGATCCTGCACAGCGGACATGGATGTCGTTGGATGTTTCAGCGAAGCGTCATTATGGTAAGCCCCACTATGCGTTCAGTTTCCGCCCTAGTCGCTGTTTCGTCTCCATTTTACACTCGACCTTTGTTGGCGATGGTTGGAGCAGTTAACATCTGAGTTATAGTGCCGCCAATCGAGTTTGGCTCGGTTATGAGAGCTAGGGGAATAGTCAAAGTCCTACGAAGCACGTCGAAAGGCTTCAAAGAAGGCGATCTGGGCTATGGTCCAGTAGGCTGGTCTGCATATGGGGTGCTCGATGCAGATTCCGTCCGGCCTCTCTCGCCCTTGCCAGGTGGAATGGACATGACCCTCCATGTCGGTACCCTTGGACTGACCGGCATGACCGCCTACTACGGGTTGATCGAGATTGTGCAGGCGAAAGAGGGTGAGACTATACTTATCTCGGGTGCTGCAGGTGCAACAGGGAGCATGGCCGTTCGAATCGCCAAACATCTCGTCAAGGCTGGGAAGATTATTGGAATCGCGGGGACTGATGAGAAATGCCGATGGGTTGAGAAACTCGGCGCTGATCTGTGTAAGTCATTTTCACGTTAGTCCATTCAGGAGGAGAAGTTCTTAACGCCGCTGTGTTAGGTTTGAACTACAAAAGTCCCACATTTGGTGACGACTTGGCGAAAGCGACAGAGGACAAACTCATTGACGTCTTCTTCGACAATGTGGGAGGTGAAATGTTGGACAGTATGCTCTCCTACATGGCCATGTATGGTCGGGTAGCCTTGTGCGGCGCCATCTCCATCTACAACAGCTCGAGCGCAACTCTGTTGAAGAACTTCCCACAGTTGATCACGATGAGGCTGAACTTGAGGGGTTTTGTCGTGCATGATTTCTCCAACGATGAAGCGAAGCGAGAGCAGTTCATTCAGGCGATGCTGGAGAGTGATATTCTCACTGCGAATGATGGGATTCAAGACACTGTTGTTACTGGTATAGTTGAAGACATTCCAAAAATCTGGTTGAGGTTGTTTGATGGAGGCAATCAAGGGAAGTTAATTACCAAGTTAGAATGACAAACGAGATTCAACTCCTTGTGATGGGAGAATGCCAAAACAATTCGCAAACAGGCCAGTCTTTGGCTACCAATGTTTCAAACGCTTCTTCAAAGGACCATTGACTGAGCTCACCATGTGGCGATATGCAGCATTGGCTTCCAGTCACCTAAGTCTCCTACTTCTCCTCCTCGCCACACTATCTGTTGTCTCATAGATTCGCCTTGAGTGAGCCAATCTCGGTATTCTCAAGGCTAGGAGTGCCCTGCACGAGCGCTAAAATTCTCCGTCGAGCATGCTCCTCCCCTTCTCCCCAGATGATCTCTTCGCTCCGATAATCACTGTTGAAGACCTCTGCATTCAGTGGGTTTCGCTCGTGAGCAGACTTGAACAAGTCGGGATAGACTTCGCCATCATATCTTCCAAGAGCACTGTCCAAAAGATAGTCAGGGATACTCCAGGCATCGACCAGTCGGGCAGCATGAATCCGTATTGTTTGCATTAACTGTCGTATTTCCGTCTTCAACGTGTCAAGCTGTGAAGGCTTCAAAATTTCCATGGCTATGAAGTCTGAAGAATTATCCTGCAAAGTAAAGAGAGCGAAGAGCATGAATAGCTGCTGCATTGTACGGTGTGTTGCAGCATCAAGTGGTGGGAAAGGCTGCTGAAGCGCATCGTGGAAACTCTGGACAAGCAGGAATTCGCAGTGAGCGTTGCTCAAGTGATGCAATTCAATGAGCATGTCGTTCCAAGAGAACTTTTGCATGATGCGCAGCTGGTAGGCTTTGTGAGCCAAATAGCTTGCGCGGTATTGAAAGGCAGCCACCAAATCATCAGGTCCATATGCTATTAGATCGAGAGATCGTCGACGACTACTTGTGGTGAGAAATTGTAGAAACGTGATGTCCACTTTATCTACCGGGGTCATGGTGGGAGTTTCGATACACGTCTGCATCCGTTTTATGAGGTAGCTTGCCGTTTGCTGTGTGATCATCCAATTATCCCCTTCGACCGTGGGCTTGTTCAGGTAATTTGCGTTCAGTGGAATCAAACCACTACGGCCACCAAACCCGTGGCCCCCAAGAGCACGGCGACATGTTTCGATTCCATTCGCTGCAAGACTCGTGCAGAGCGATTTCAAGCCGGATGACATGGCATGCATCTCTGCCAATTTGGAGAAATCGTTGTCCTTGTCAATCTGTGCTCTCACGTTTTGAAAAGCGTCCTTCACCATCTCAGCCGTGTAGTGTAGCGCATAGGTTGTTGCAAGTAATGGTAAAACCCTGATCTGAACTGTGGAATAGTTCAGTACAGCCTCCTCCGCCGTGTTCGTGGAGGCGGAATCTCGGTCGCTGAATTGACGTCTGATGAGTGTATAGCGGACGGCGACGGTGACTGCGCGTGCAAGTACTAACGCAGCCTGACCAATGAGGTATGCCCGGGCGTATGTCATTGAGCCATATACTGTTGCCGAACTTTGAGATCTGGTGTACTTCCCATTCTTGTCCACCTTCGAGTATTTAGCCAACAATGAAGTCCGGGGAACTCGGAAATGGTCAAAAAGAATGTAGCCATTATCCATGGACGCATAACCATATTTGGGCCCGATATCCCCAATCGCAACTCCATTGAGCGGTTTGCGAGTTTGAAGATGTCGAATTTGAACGATAAACTGATGTGGCCCGTATGATTGCATCTTCCCTGTCGAACTAGGAATCAAGAGCTGTGCCACCACTACGGCGTGGTCGGCTGTCCGACCTAAACTGCCAATCCACCACTTCGAAGCTGTCAAAGTAGGACTATGGATGGTGAAGTCCTTCGTTTCAGGATTCCACCTTGCCTGGCACTCAATTTGTCGGACATTACTCCCATGTCCAAGTTCTGTTTGAGCATAGCAGCCAGTGATTTCCCAGTTTTCGGCCTTCCCGAGCCACTGTGTTCGTTGTTGCTCATCACATTGCTGCTGCAATGAGACTGTAAACATGCTGTCGGACAGAGAATAGGGCGAGACTTCGTCGAGAAGATAATTTGCCATTGTGTAGTCCTCGGCACTCCATCCCTCACGTCGTGCAAGGCGTCGCACTTCCTTTGCACGTGCGAGACCGACATGATACCGTTCAGGCCTTGAAAGATTTAGATTGGTTGTTTTGGAGAAGAGCGGGTTCTTCTCAATGATTGCCAACACCCTTTCCTGTCTATCCAGGAAGTTATCACGATGTAAGAGATGATGCGCCAACTGATTGACGTTCAAATCAGATCGTGCGCGCTCTGTCTCCAAGATTTTGCGGCCTTGAGGCTCTGCAGGCTTCAGTTTGATGATGAAATCGGCCATAATATTGCAACTTGTCACAATCACGAATAGGTTTATGGCATTATTTGTCTTGCTTTCCTGCCCAAGATATCATAAGATATCATAATTTACGCTGTAACTCCCACGAGCCACAATTGGAGGCCCTAAGAGATCACGAGTCTCCGGTGACCGAGGAGTGCCTTGAAGTCATGGCATACCTTATCCCGTGGATAGCTGTGGCCGAGGGCCGAGCCATCTCAAGCTTTCGTTCATGTGAATGCCATGTATATGGCCACTGGAGCTCAGTGTTAGGTGATAAGGCACGATCTCCTGGCAAACTCCATCTTGGATACTAAAAATTCCAAGAAGGTACCAAGCCTACCTCTACCATGGAGCCTCGTTCTGGAGTTGGCGGACGATTGTTGCAGGAAGAGATTGTCTTTGAATGACGCACAATTCATGTCTTTTGAACGGCGCCCAGGTTCTTCAAGTTTCCAGCCCAATACCAATGTAACTTGACCTTTGAGGCATGATCAAGGACTGCCATTTCTACGTTGTTTCAAATAGTGAAATACTATAGTTGATGCTCAAATGGGCGAGACACGGCTCAGAATGTCAAAATTCCGTGTGACTGCTCTGCGCCACTGGTTATTTTGCAAACAGAACCAGAGCTACTGACCGAGTTGCCGTGTACCGAGTCTCGGGACAGCAGCTGAGGTGTTTCTCCGAGGTATGGCGTAAACTACTCTAAGCCTGGATCAAGTCTCTTACCAATGTTATCTTGCCACTGCTGCGACGAAAAGAGACTGACAAGAACGCATTGTTTGAGATGTCTTTTTGTGTCATAGAAGCTACAGTTATACAGCAATAGGTAGTGTTGAGGGCGCAGTAGTCTTCAAAAAATGAACCCTGAGATCTATGGTGTAAGAGACTCCCGATTCGGTGGGAAGGTCCATCATTATCGAGGGATCTCGTATGCTACAATCTCAGATCGATTTGCAAAGCCAACTCTTGACACGAATTGGCAGAAACAAGGGCTGACCTTCAGGCAGTACGGTCCACGATGCCCGCAACCAGCCTTCCCAATGGAAGGCAGTATGTGTTTACCCACGTCGAACCAGCAAGCCGCAATGATAGAAGAAGACGAGTTCACGTGTTGCAACCTCAATATAACCACCCCTGTAACGGACTCCAAATCGCGATGGCCATTATACCTATGGATTCACGGTGGGGGTCAGTCGGTATCATTCCCATCTGCCCAGCATCGGCTTGGTGATACTGGCCCTCTGGTCGCTCAGTCAATCGAGATGAGGAAGCCGATTATCCTTGTCACAATCAATTACAGGCTCAACATATTTGGTTTTGCTGACCCGGAAGGTGTCAACATAAACTTGGATTTGCAGGATCAGGCAACTGCAGTGAATTGGGTGCAAAAATATATCAGTCTATTTGGTGGAGATCCGGTAGGTCGAGATGGTAGTACTGCTCGCTGGGAAAAACACCTTCGTTGACGTACTCAGGAAAATATCACAATTGGTGGTCAATCAGCAGGTGCTATCTATACCCATGGTCTCCTCGCTATGGGCATCGGCCCCAAACGAGTGATTATGGCATCTGGTTCGTTATATCTCACAGCTCCGCAGACTCGAGATCGCGGTCTCAAACTGTTACGTTATATCGAGCATCGCTTAAGCTCGGGTGAATCGAAAGGCACCATGTCAAACATCTCTGCCAAAGAGGGTGACTTACTCCGCAAAGCGCCCGTCCACGCCATTGTGAAAATATTCGAAGAAGCTAAATTCTACAGTTGGTGGATGTTTGATGCTCCACTCGGCGACTGGAAAAACGACCTACGAGTATTTGGCAACGTGGAGGCTGTACTACTCAGTGATTGTAGAGATGAGGGAATCCCTTACGAGCATCGACTGCGCCAAAGCACGAAAGCAGAAATTTTGAACGCGTTCAAGGGCCTTTCAGGGTCAGATTACACGACCCTCATGAGCGCCTACGGTCTGGATGCGACGCAGGCCGGCCATGCCCAGTGCGTTACAATGGCTACTGACTTCGTCAACGATGCTCGCTACGCCCTGTGGACACAGGAAATTTGGGGCCAGCTCCAGCCAGTCAAAAAGAAAGTGTACCTATGCCACTATGATGAGGTAAACCCCTTCGGACCGTGGCCGACCCTCGGTTATTCGGTCGCTCATCACGCCGTTGATCTTCTGGCCGCATTTGGCGGCTACGACGCAGAGGTAAACGATGCCACAAGAAATGCCGGACGGCTGCTCCGTGGAAAATGGATTGATTTCATCAACGGTGACGAACCCTGGACTCCTGATATGGTCTACTGTATCGGCCCGGATGGAAAGAGTGGTCCGGTTCCAGCTGGAGAAATTGGTCCAAGGAGAAGATATGCCAATTTCGAGATTCTAAAGCGAATTGGTATCGATTCGCTGACCCACATATGGCAACAGCTGTTGCCAACTGAAGGGGTAGACACTGGAGATTTATGGAAATTGTGAAGCAGTAACTAACATAATGTGGCCACGGGCTGAACTACTATAATTGAGCTGAACCCATGTCTGCATTGTGGGTCTTTGAGTTGCCCAGCCACGAACAAAGGCTGTTTTTATGTATGGGCTATGGCAATCACATTGTGAACACCACACTCTGAATTGTGTGTCAAGCACGTGTCCGCGTAAATATCCATCCTCAGGTTACTAGTAGTTAGTTGCCTTCTCGCGATTTCAAGCCTGAGTAGCAATATTTCAAGCACTCCGTCCATGTTCAAGCCAACCTGCAGGGAAGTCCAGGGCGTCTACCACTCTCAATTGCTGGGCCGAGGTTGTAACAAGGCCGCACGATATCTTGAAAGGGAAATCGAAACGGAGCCCTGACGGACGGACGATTTCTTCGCCCGTTGACCGATCCCGAGTGCTTCTCTTTCGCGATACTCACGTCGCCTGGTTATCGTTCAGCCTTGTCAGGAACCTCGGTAGGAAGTTAAGGCCCCATCGGGGTTCGGAGCGATATAATCACAGGATTGGGTATGTCAAAATCAGGAAAGACTGGGAGACTTCTATGAGGACATCGAAGATCGTCTTGTATCCTCTTGCTCGAGAGAGAACAAGTCTCGAATTTCTGCAACCTATTTCATGATGGCTCTTAAGTATAGCAACAAGCTTGCTGGCAAACGCGTTCTTGTTATTGGTGGCACATCTGGCATTGGCTTCAGCGTCGCAGAAGCATGCGTTGAACTTGGAGCCGTTGTTACGGTGGCTAGCTCGAGGCAACCGAAAATTGACAAAACAATTACACGTCTGATCACGACCTACCCAGACGCGAACGACCGCATTTCCGGACATGTGGTGGATCTGGCAAGTTCCGATGTCGAAGCCGCATTGAGAACACTCCTTGACTTCGCAACGGGTGCAGGCAAGCATACGCTCGATCATATCGTGAGCACAGCTGGTGACACATTGGCGGTCGAGAAAATCGCCAATGTGACAGCAGCACAGGCCCAGCAATATGGCCAGGTTCGTTTCATAGGCCAACTGATGCTTGCTAAACTGGCACCACACTATATTCAACGCAGCAGCGCGTCCAGCATCACTTTCACGGGAGGCATCAGTAGCACGAAGCCACCACCAGGTTGGAGTGCATTGGTCGGGTGGAATAATGCAAAGGAGGCTATGGTTAGGGGGCTCGCGGTCGATCTGGCGCCACTGAGGTGCAACCTGGTTGCTCCTGGGGCGATAGATACGGAATATCTATACCACATGGCTGGTGATGATGCGGCCAGGAACAAGGAATTGGTAGCCATGTTTGGTAGTAAGAGTTTGCTGGGGAAGTGTGGGAAACCCGAAGATACAGCTGAGGCGTACTTGTACCTTATGCGCGACACTTTCATTACTGGCCAAGTGATAAAGACTGAGGGGGGATATCTGTTGACTTGAAGGTCGTCTACCGTAAATATGCAGTATGGCTGGGACAAGTTGGGTCACATTGAATTGCATACTGCTGAACGAATAATAACATACATTTCTCGCGCGTATGAGATTTTGTAACTTTAGGAATGGATTGCCTCCCTTAACCACATGTCAAGCTAGATTGACATGAATGACGTCCATACTTCAGTATCAAAGAAGCCTACCACTTATTTCGTGGTGGAAGTTTCCATTAAATTGTTTCTTTAAACTATTCCGTTAAATTTATCGCCATGCCTTAAAACGTGCTCAGACGAATATCACTCTCAAGTGCTGAGTCCGAACGAATCCTTTCATCCACGGAAATGCTGAAATCCTGCAAACTCACCAATCCGACAAATCAAAGTGTAGGGTGACCGTCGGTAGGAACAGGCGTACTCGGATGCTTGGAAATAGGTTTGCTGACGATGACGAGGCTAGTTAAGTTCCACGTTGATTTAAGGCAAGAGGCTCTGATCTTCTGTAACGTGCTAGGTTAAATGAGGCGCGGAGGAGTGTCAACCCGTGCCAAAATTGGACTAAAATCAATGAGTACAATCGAGGTGTGTTGGTTGGAATTCTTCCATGGATAATCCTCTGCTCGTCCGAGTAGTGTGATTAAGGCAAGCAGAAACTATGCCGCGGAGCTAATCTTCCTCCGGGCCCAATTTGTGTCTTGATAATCGGCGATTCATCATACGAGATGCAGACTGCAGCTACCTAGGTACCCTTCCTCCGTAAAGCCGTACGAGGGTACCTGTATCGGTATATACGAGTATGTGGGAGTGGCATTTTCTTGCATCGCTAACGGCAAGGCCTACCGAAGTTACACTTGCCCTACCGATTCAATCAGAAATCTGTTGCGATTGCTCAAGTTCTGATTCGGACAACTGGTCATCTTCATGCCTATTTCCGTCCTTTTTACACTGACTAGAAGTTGCTGTGGATTCCGAGCAAATACTAAGTAAGCACGGTATCATCTGTGGCGACATGCTGAGTGACCAAATAACCAAACTTTGGAACTAACCAGACTGCACATGAGGAAATGCCCGTTCAGTTACCTAGGCACGAGGTATGCATCAAAAGAGCAACCTAGCCCTAAACAAGCTGGGGACCCCATGGGATTCGCCCACAACTCCATCTGCACTTGACCTCAAGCGAAGCCTCCAGCCGGCTATCACGCAAGGGTCAGGTCGTATTCCGCCGCTGGTCATCGCCCTTTAGGAAATCCCCCGGTGTCTAGGCCGGCATAATGTGATCGAGATTCCAACTCAAGCAATACTTCTGCCAGAGAAATCTTCCTCAAACCACGGAATTCTGTGCGTATTCTCATCCTTCCTTTCATTCACAGTTATTCTTCAAATTACCCGTGTGGCGCTCGAATTAGCCTCAATAATCGGGCGATTGGGGACGTTCCGAAGGAATTATATCGCTATGGGAAGAGGTTCGCTATCAACGTGGTACCACACCACACAGAGCGGCCTAGCCATGCATGCATGCTTGGATCCAGATTCAGACCTTAATGATTGATCCTCACGAAGTTACCCCTTCAAGATGCCCCCGCCAGAGAAGCTCACCGAACTCCCTGGGGACGCCCACTGGGGTTGATATAAGGATGATTCGCCCCTTGATTTTGTTGGTCTTCACAACCTCACAACCTCACAGGAGTTCCAGAGCCTCTATCAGGCATAACCTCACGTCACTTTGGGGCAGAGATGGCTACCGATAAAACCGTCGACCCGATCCACCTGGAAGCTTATGGCGGGCTCTCCCACCTCAAAAATGCGAACCTCCATGATGCATCGCTGGCTGGTGGTGCCTTGGAAGGTGCAGCACAGGAGCATAGCATGGGAGTCTGGCAGGGCCTCAAGGCTCACAAGCGTGCGGCATTCTGGTCTGTCTGTAAGTAGAAGAACAAGATTCCATGCCGGTATGATCTGTACTGGAACTGACTCTCGGCCAGTGATATCGACCACTGTCATCATGGAAGGTTATGACGTTACTTTGCTCGGCTCTTTCTTCGGCTATCCCAGCTTTCGGAACAAGTATGGTGAATACCTCAACGAGAAAAGTCAGTACCAAATCTCTGCCAACTGGCAGCAGAAGTTCAATTGCCTTGGGGCGCTAGCCAACATCATCGGTGCGTTACTGAATGGATGGGCCACTTCGAAATGGGGCCACCGCAAGGTGCTTATGGTCACCCTGGCTCTCTTGACTGGTTTCATATTCATCGTATTCTTCGCCCCCTCGATCGAGGTTATGCTTGTGGGACAGTTTCTCTGTGGCATTCCATGGGGAGTCTTTGCCACCACAGGTAAGCTAGTCCATGAAATTGAACGTTCGCTGCTCACCTGAAACCCCTACAGGACCTAGTTATGCAGCAGAAGTTACGCCCTTGGCAATTCGAGCATATCTTACGGCATATGTCAATCTTTGCTGGTGCATTGGTCAATTCATTTCAGCGGGTGTTCTCAAGGGTCTCGTGAACAACGAGACCCAATGGAGTTACAAGATCCCCTTTGCTGTTCAGTGGGTTTGGCCCGTCCCTCTCTTTATTGCAGCGTGGCTTGCCCCAGAGAGCCCGTGGTACTTCGTGCGAAACGATCGCATTGAGGATGCAAAAAGATCACTTCAGAGATTGACTCAACCGGATCACCACGGCGACATCGATGCAACACTTGCCATGATGGTCCACACCAACAAGCTTGAAATCCAAGAACAAAAAGGCGTGCAACTCTGGGACGCTTTCAGGGGCACCAACCGCCGCCGAACCGAGATCGCCTGCATGGGATTTCTCTCTCAGATCACCAACGGCGGCGCTCTCTGCTACAGCGGCTCTTTCTTCTTCCAACAGACCGGCATCAGCGCCAGCGCAGCGTACGGCATCGCCTTGGGAGGAACGGGCATCGCGTTCGTGGGCACCATCATCTCGTGGGCGTACATCTACAAACTCGGCCGTCGCACCATCTGGCTCTACGGCTTTGCCTCGCTGGTGGCCATCCTCTGGACCATCGGATTCCTCGCCTTGCCAAAGCAAAATCTGAACCTGGCTTGGGCGCAATCCATCCTGTGTATCGTCTGGTTGGGCGCCTACTCCATGTCGGTGGGCCCGATCATCTATGTCCTGGTCGCCGAAGTGGGCTCGACCCGATTGCGAACACAAACCGTCGTGCTCGCACGAAGCACCTACTACGTTGGAAACATCATCTGCGGTGGGCTGCTTCAGCCACAGTTGATCTCTCCTGGAGCTTGGGACGCCAAGGGCAAGACTGTACGTTCAAAAATTCAGACAGCAAAATGATTTTGGAATAGCTTTACTGATCAACTCTCTCTAACTGCAGGCTTTCTTCTGGGCCGGACTCGCCACATTGACTTTTGTCTGGGGCTACTTCCGTCTTTTCGAGACCAAAGACAGGACGTTCGGAGAATTGGATTTCATGGTAAGTCAATCCGATGCATATCGAAGAGCGTTTACCACGACCTTGTGCTGATCAAGATAAACCCCAACAGTTCCAACAGGGCGTCACAGCTCGCAAGTCCGCCAAGTATGAGATCCCGACAGAGGAGCTCTACAACGCCGACGAGGACATCAAGAGCTGATCGCAACAATGTTGTGGTGTGTTGGGCCCAGTCGAATCGAGTTCAAATGTGGTCTATTCTGGCTTCATGTCCACAAGATGTTTTCAATACCTCTAGTTCGTGCCATGAATGTGTCGCGCTTTGAATAATCGGCACCCCAGTCTGAGTGAAAGACCAACAAATGTTGATAGCCTAGGCACTGCACTACTAAGCCGACGCCGAACATGAATATTGCATAACCGCTGACGAATGAATAATGCTTCTCACTCACGTTGCCCTCGTATTGTTATCTAGTATGCGTGACTAGTGAATGCCCGATGTCCACACTGTATGTGTTTAGATTCTCTGTGATATCCGCCTAAGCGCAACCTGTAGAGCCTTGTGGTCGGCGTCCCCTGGGAGGATGGAGATCCGAGCCCCGTGATCATTCGTCTCCGTGGAAAAGCAAGCACATGTCACAGACCTTGACGCGAACCGATCTGCTGGATGGATGGAGTCTTGTCCATTGGGGCCGTGATCAACTATTCCTTGCTTACATGAGACCAAATGGTCTTGAGCAGTCCAGGTACGCACGGAAGGAGGTCGCTGCTGCGAGGATCCGCATATAATGATATTCATACCTGTGGGCGGCGCGGGCGTGAAACAGTGCACTTCTTGCCACAGTGTACGAGTAGAGATGGTGAGTGTTCCTGTTCCTGTTCCTTCACGGTGGAATATCCACTCATAATGGAGGATGATATCCTGTTGTTACCTTTGGAGCGAATCTTTGGGGATATGTGACAAACCTTGTCTGGACTTTCCCCTGAGGATTTTCCAGGAGGATGGTTCTGTTGGGTATGTAGAGAGTCTGTGTCCGGATTGGTGTGATGCTTAATCTACATCTTCGGTAGTAGAGCGGTTCCCTCGCGCCGGTAGCTGGTAGCTTGCTTTGGACTATACCTGAACACACATGTGGAAAGCGTGCTCCTCGTGCTTCAAAGGCAAGAGATCGGTTCACGCGTGTACTTTTACCTTTTCGAGAGACGCACGTCACGGTCACACGCTCTGCAGGCGTTCGAGGATCTCAATATGCTCTTTGGATACCTACTGCCCTTTGGGCTATGGACCATCGCCCCCTGGGGCAGAAACCCGTGGAAATTGCACGGTCTTCGATTGAGATAACGGGATCTCTTCATGCTTGCTATGAGGGGTGAAATGCACATTCACCTAGCTCATTATTTACGATATCGGATGAGATAACCGGTAAGTGAACTTACATTTCCGGCCCTGCCGCTCAAGCAATCTCACATTCGATTCCTGGAAAGCTGAGCCGCACGTGTTCCCCAATCCGAGAATCGCTCCGTCAGAGCCAAGTCTGCTACCCAGGCGGGCGACTAGGCCATGCTATGGAGTAAATTGGTGGGATTGTGAAATCCTGTGGCAAAAGCGCGTCAGTTCCAAGCTGCCAATATTGCCAGTTGAGCGCGTCGTGAACTCTGCCCATTCAGGATATCGTGGCTGTTAAATTAAATTTCAGAAACAATCATTAATCAAAAGATTGTGCGGGGTAGTGCTCGTTTGTTGGAGGGGTATGGCGTAGTTCAGACGCGTGGAAATGAGAAGCTCCATTGCCCCAAAGTCTAAATGGCTGTCCCTTGCATGAGAGCCCGGAGAGTTTCGATGGTCTTTCTCCGTGACAGCGGCATGACATGAGGCTTATTTGGAGATTGCAATCATGGTGCTTTCCGTATGGCCCATTTCTACATGGACAAGCAGCTTAACTGGTAATCTTGGATAATCGATGCGATATCGATGTCGGCAGTATCAGCCGAACAGGGCGTTGTGCTAGTCTCACTTCCGCGCGTGTTGGGCCCTTGTGGGTATAGCGATGAAGAATGTCGTGTGTTGAGAACATGGTGCAGCATCGAAACACTTGAGAATCGAATTTTGAAAAAGTCCAAACATAGTCTTAATCGGCGAGCTCCAAAGAACTTTTTCTTTGCACCGTTGTTGTGCCATCAAGCTCTTCTGGCACATATATCCATACTGTTGCATCTGCATTGGTGCACGATGTGGTATGCTCTGATGATGGTGCTGCTTGGTGACTTCTGAGGCACATGTATCTAGGTACGGATGCTAATTGTGAGGAGTTTGGCTGAAGCCAGGATCCATGTCATCCTGAAACCTAAACTCGTCGCGCTCAGAAACCAGTCTCTGGACCCCAGAGTGGCTTGCAAACTGATAAGAGCCCAGAGCCAAGGTAGGTTGATATCCGACGGGCAGGGAAGAAGTTCCGAGAGAAAACAATCGCTGATTGACACGATGAAGATCTTGACTTACGAGTAGCAGAATGAAAGCGGGGGACCAGTCGTAGTGGATGATACTCCGTTTGATACTATCTGACGTTGAAAAGCAATTTGCAATCAGATTGCCTCCTCATCAGGCTGAGCTACCCAGGAGACAAGACGCGTGGGAGGAGCACTGGACACGCTAACAACGAGCTGCCGCTTTCATGTTTATGTTTCCTAAGATTGGGCCAGTCCTCAGACGCGTTTCACGCGTTGGACGATGAGAAATGTTTACTACGTTACGTCAGCACGTAAGCACTGGAATACCAGGCTGCCGAGAATTGAAGTCAAAGGAAATTTGTTCGATGCGATAGTGCACTCTAGCTCGCCAAGGATGACGTGGGTGACCTTTTGTCGTGAACATCAACCTTGCATTCGCGAAAACTGGGTGTCAGAACCGCGACACTGTCCCCGGGGTTCCCTCGGAGTATGAGTAATCTCGAGTGCGAGACGGCCACGGTTCATGCCAGTCATCGGGGACTGATTTCAGTTCGCCCTCCGCTATGATATGAATAATAGGGATTGAAGTGGTCCAGTACGGCGCGCATGGTTCGAAGGAAAAGAGTTAGTATTTCGAACGAATGATCCAATCAGTAACAAGGTAAAAAATTCGAACAGGATTTTCCTCTAGTGTCCAATAGTTGACCACCAAGGATCGAGATCAGAGTCTGATCAAATGCGAGTACGGATATCCAGCTTCTGCGGCCTTACGCAGTAAGGTAGGACAATCAGATGGATGGATCCGGTAATTTCGCGGTTCAGGGGTATAAGCTGATAAGATGGACTGATTGGGTTAAAGGTGAAGCCATGGCCCAGCCTCAAGGGTCCTCCCGAAGCGCCGGCAGCGCCACTGAAACACGGTCGTTTGAGCCGTTTGTTGGGAGACCATCTGCAGCGTGTGAATGGTGGCATTTCCTCCGAAGGGACCACGAAAATAACCTTGGCCCCTGTAAGCCTTGTGCTCGAAGCGGCATTCCGACGAGCCGGCTACGGGACCATCGATCTGAGCAGGCGTTGTTAGGTGGTAAGCGAGGGTGCGTCTGGATCAGGAGGGCACGAGACAGAAGAATTTGAAGGGGCAATTGTTAGAGTTGGTGTCTTTTGGGAAAGAAAGGCCTTACGAGTAGTATCCAAGGACTTTGTACCTTAGCAGATCAGTCATTACGGGCACCAGGCAATCTGTAGCGACATTTGAGAATAGGACCAGACCAATGAAGGAAGATATCGTGAGGTCCATGGCCAGAAAGGAATCAAACTCTGCAGCTGAACAAGGGATGTATTGGGACGCGGTGGGTGCTGCTTGGTCTGGAATACAGTCTCAGAAGTGCAAGAGCGATGTGTAAGTTTATGCAGGAAGCCGCGTTATGGGAGGGAAGGTACGAGGGAGTAGTCGCGGGATCTTCGACAGGGAAGGAACCTGCCAAAATTGACAACTGGAACTTGGGAAGGTGCGATGAATGAATGAGCACTCGTGACTGTGTTTGCAATTCCCATTCCCATTCCCATTCCCATTCCCATTCCCATTCCCATTCCCATTTTTCAACATTTCTTTTGCGAGGACTCCGAGTCGGTCCCTACGAGTACTGAATAATTCCAACTCATGTTGATGGCCCAATTCTGCGACACGCTATCCTAGCCACCAAAAGCCGCCATCTGTCCTTCCATCTCTGCTTCTCTCATCCGTTTCCGCTTCCGCCGCTTACCTGCTATGTCCCAGTGCCTATCTCCATCCTTGCCCAGCCCGTTTCTGTTTCTTGATTGCTCCAACAACCGTGCGACCAACACTGTGATGGTCCAACAAGTCACTTCTCGTCATCCCCAATAATGCTTCACCTTTGAGACCTTGTGTGACCTCGATCTTGTCCTCGTACTTTGTAGTATTCAACCCCCGGCTATTGAACCTTCGACGCCTGTCTCCTGGCTCCCCCATCTTAAACTCCAACTCTCTTCAGGTGTCAGCTCCACGTCTCTTGTTTGTTTGATTGTCTCGTTCTCGACCGCCCAGTGCCCACACAATTCTCTCCGAATTTCTCAAACGGCCGGCACGTTGGATTCCACCTTTGCCCGTGTCCACTGATCAGTGATCCCTACTACTTCGTACTTCACTAACCCTGTTGGAACTTGTCGCCTCAGCCCTCTGAGCCACCCCGGCCCCGGCCCCGGCCCCCCGTCACTGCTGCCAAAGCGTGTTAATCTTGTTCTCCATCCGCACGCGTGAACCTGGCAGGTGGGCATTCAGGTACCAGGAACCAGTGCCAGGTACCAGGGTTTCAACACAATCAACTCTCTTCATTTCAAGTTTGCTCGAGTCCACTACGACTCCGTACTCCGTACTACTGCGACACTTTGCACCTCCTCGTTCTCAGAGCATTCACATTCCCTTTCCCTCGTCTCCCCCAGAGCTGTCAGTCGTGTCAAGAGAACCGAGTTCTCTATCTTTCTTTTCGCTTGTTCGCCTTGTCTGCCGGTCCAGCATCCATCTCCATTCTTTTCTGACACCCAAGGCTCTCGAGCCACCTTGACATCACATCCCGGAAACTTCACAACTCCGTGCCTCGTAGTCCTCGCAAGATCTACGAAACGACGTGCCAACCTCCATTCTACCGGAAACCGTCCTTCCTCACCTCTGTCACCGCATCCCAGCCTACCTGCATATCCTCTGTCCGCCTGGTCCTTGTTCGCGTGCACGAGTGGGCTCACTTGATCACCAATCTCAACGTCTGCCATTGCCTACTCGTACCTCATGCTCACGCACGATAACACGCACCCTTCCACCTCGACCCCCTCGTGAGTCGTTGACCAACACTCCTTTACAACACCACGGTCGCTCTTGCTATTCACGTCGACGCCTTTCGTCCATCACGCTCGTTACCAGTCTCGCAGCTTTCAAACAGCCGCTTTCGCCTTTCTGCGGCATCATCGTCTCAGATCTGTCTCCACCCGGACGCCATAGATTCCTCGTCGATCGGAAAGGGATCTAAAGTCGAAGGGGTGTCACTACACGAAGCCGCATTCTCATTATTACCTAGCCACTTGTCACCACCACTGGAGAACCCGACACGCTTTCTCAACACTATCCTTCTTTGACGAGGCTGTGCCTTGAGATCCATACGTCGAGTGCATTGCTGGGAAGGCTGCGATTTGTGAACAATAGCACTGAGCAAACCCTTCGATCATACTCTCCTCATCCATGGCAGGATTGTAACTCGCATCCACTGCACCAAAGTCACTCTTTTAGTCCAGTCAGTGTTCCAACCATCCTACTTGCCAGAGAGCAATGCTAACTATGCCCACAGTTCCGTACACTTACGCTCTTTTCTTTCTGTGATTTGGCTCCTACTCGCCAAAATGAACGTCTTCAAGAAGAAGGGAAAGGCCAAGGATGATACCTACATCATTCCTCCAGCCCAACCCGTCGATGCCCCAGCTCCATCCAAGATGTCTCGAAGTCTTAAACGCAAACAAAAGCACGCGGTAGAACCCAAGATTGAGGTTGACCTCACCACCGTCCTGCCCGAAACCAACGATTTCCGAACGAGCCTGTTGATGCCAGGGCTGTCGGCTCGCTTTAGTATGCTTCGGGAGCAAGATGACCCAAATACAAAGCTGGGCAAAGCAAGTGACGATAGTGTCTTGTTTCCCAAGCGTGCTTCGCGCTTGAATTTATTTGCGCACAACCCCCTCACCGAAATTTCCGAGACTGAGTCAATTCGGCTACCATATCGCCCCCCTTTTGCAGAGCCTGAAAGGTCGCTGTCCTTTTCCGAGGTTGGCAATTATGCTAGCGATGATAACAGTAGTCTCTTGAACAGATCAAGACCGACAGAGAGCAATAACCTCTTTGGAGGTCGACAAAAGATGTATCGTGTTCCAACTGCCACTTCCTCCAATGGAGAACTTGGCGACGAAGTGACTCCAATGGCAAGCAGTAAGCATGTCTATCAAAAGGACATACCCTCCTCCCCTTACCAGCAATATCGCGCCAAAACGAGAGAGGAATCTCGCGAGCGTGCCATGAGCTCTGAAACAGATGAACACGATAATAGCAGCGTCGTCAACACTCCTTCGACGGGTTTCAGCAAGAGCCGAGGAACCGCCTCCTCAACTGCATCCGGTCCTTCAAATCGTCGTACTTCAACCGCAGCTACATCAGTGACTTCAGACTCTCCTGCTTTGAGGCAAAGCAACATGAGTGGGGGCTTCAATTCGCGCACGAATGCCTCAGATTTTGGCAGTGAGGAAAGTTTGTTGAAGCGAAATTTCTCGTCAGAGTCACGCAGGGGCTTTCCTTTCAATGACCACGTAAACCAACCACCTCTTCCGAACTCTCCTATAATCCAAAGAGCGTTACCTCAGTCAAGAAGTGCGACAAACTTGACGGATAAGTTTGGTGGTGACAATGCTTCCTTCGCTTCAGGCACCCCTCGAGCGCTAAGTCCACCACCACCAAGCACACAAAACGAGAGTCTTGCGTCTCTCGATTTCGGCCTGAAGCAGTCTAACCACCATCCACGAAAATACAATATGCCCACCTCCACAGCTCAGGACGTGGGAAGTGACGTCTATATCCAAAGCCTTCAACCCAAGGATCATGGCAAGGCCACCGCTCTAGGCCTATTTAATAGACCCCGTCAACAATTTGATGAACAACAGTTCCAACAGAGACAGCTTCAAATGCACGGAGCGCCACTGTCGCCTTCATACCCAAGTCGTCCAGTGAATGAAGCAATTTCAGACCGGTATGAAACACCTATAACCCGTCCTAGAAGCCCATCGTCCCCCAGCCTCAAAAGCTCTTTACACGGTCAAAGTTCCAGTGGTGCTTCGGTCAAAACACGGTCACGGGCGCAATCAGCCGCCTCTACACATGCAGCTCAGGTCACCTCACATGTCGATGCTTTTATTCAACGCCAGAACGAGGAGTATTCTGCTCTCCAAGCTTCGAAGGGTGTACAGATCAATACCCAGCAGCCTCCAACCACACAGTCTGCAAAAGCCATGGCAGATCAGCCTGCCTCTCGAGGCACATTTTTCAATACCTTTGATGGTAGCGATGAGGACGAAGATGTAGACAGCCCCATGTTGGGTCGGTATGAGCCACCACCCCGTCTAGCACCTATGGAAGTCCACCCAGCATTGCGCGATAATTCCCAAGCATTCATATTTGGAGACCAAATGCCCGCTCCATCAAGAATCGCACGGCCTGCTTCGAATGCTTCCGCTGATACATCTTCGCCTTCCATTGTCCACGATACTCCAGATACATCTGATTCGCTTCATCAGTCTTCCCCAACAAAACAATTCGACTCACCAACATTGGGACCAACTGCTGGCTTGGGCCTGAGCGGAATGATCCGAACGCATCTGAGGAACGATAGTGATCGATCTTCATTCATGCCACCATCCCCTATGCGCTCTCAACATGCCGACCATGGTCCAGATCCCTTCCGACAACGAGAGACTTCCATTGCTTCCACCGCTCGTACCATCAACCCCCCTGAAAGCACACACAGCGATCCATGGGAGTTTGATAATGCTCATCGCACTCAACGAGGCCCTGCAGACTATACACCGGCTGATAGTGCTCCAACAATGTCTCAGAAAGCACAGCAGATACTGGGTCAAGCAATCTCGCACCGAAATCAGGCTACGAGCAAAGCCCAGCAAATTCTTGGGAATGATGCACCTGCTCAACATGACGAAAATGTTGCCAGGCCGTGGCATCCTGATACCATGCAAGGCCATCAACGTGGAGAGAGCACAGAGACCCAGAAGGAATTTGGTGATAAGCTTGCCGAGCGCGCTAGAGGGATCCAAGAACGCTTCAAGGGCGCTCCGGAAGGCGAAAAGCGATCGAAAAGTCCTGGACCTCAGAGGGGCGATCGTCAGAATCCAGCAACAAATGCTCTGCATACTTTACGGCAAAAATCAAGCAAAACATCATTGGTACCGCGCAGTAATGATCCTCAACCAAAGGCCATGAAAATGCTCGGTATGGGTAACAACACTCCCCGCATGGATATGCCTGGGAGGTCTCCAAATATGAGCGTGAGAGGTGATTACCGTTTCGACCAGTCTTATGACGACCACAGTAACCAGTACACTCCAAGGCATCGACCCAATGAGTTTGATTCTCCAAGACAACGACCTTCGGAATTTGACCCTCCAAGACAACGACCGGCTGAATTCGAACCTCAAAATGGACGGCGTACTCCAGGATATGGGCGACCAGCTCCCCAGATGCACATGCACAGCTCACAAGAAGACTTTGAACGCTCCAGACAACGATCTGCCACTCCTAATGGCAGACCCCCACCACGCCACCGAGCTGAGTCTGAGACTGGTGAGCGTTCTCGAAGTAGAATGGGTCGCGACAGAAATGAGCCTCCTTACCATCAAGCAGAATATGGTAGACAAGGTGGCCCTCATCAGCGCCCACCTCCACAGTGGGACCAGAGACGAGCCCGTGGCCCACCTCCAGTCCATCCACACGGACCTCCTATGGAAAACCGTGATTATGAACGATCTTCTTCTGCCATGTCGAATCGCCGTCCTCCCCCATCGGACTACTTCGATAGTCGATCAGCCACTCCAACCATGGGAAATACGCCAACGCTGGGAGCCAGTCCAATGCTCACTGGTGCACCCAGACCATCTCCCCGTCCTCCGTTCCCCCATTCACCGATGAGTCCGTTCCAGCCAGCAATGTCTCCTGGCTTCGCTGGGCCTCAGTCTGCTGTCGTCTCAGCTCTACCCTCCCCTGTGGTGCAAATGCATCCTCCTCCAACAGGACGTACTACCCCGGGCGTGGAAGGTCGCCCGACTGGGTTTTCCGCCCGCAAAAAGTCAATCACGAAAGGTATGATTTCTGAGCCAACATTCATCTCAAGCACATCGTCCGTCCCTCTCGTTGGACTACCCATCAGCCCTCGACCGGGTCAGATTGCGACTCCGCCAGTTCCAGCTATGAATCCACGTCGTCGAGGCAATACCATGTCAGAGAAATCTGATGCGTTTCCAAGTCCTCGGATGACAAATTCACCTATGCTTGCGGAGCCTGCAAGTCAAGCTCCCTATGTTGACCAGCAGCGTCCTCCACCCCGTCAGCGCAATAGGCTGAGGAAGATCAGTAGTGAAGGAGGAGGCATGGCTGCGCGAGCTCGAAATCAGGCCATGATGGCGGAATTCGGACGCGAACAGCTTCGCAGCCCTGCTGTTCAAGTATTTCCCAATCGAAGTGCGACCTCTTTGGGATTACACCAGGAAGGTGGCATGTTTTGAGAGAGAATGAGTGAACCGATGGAGGTTGGACACTGCATCCACAACTTTTCAACGTTCGCAATGTCTTACTCAGGGACTCGCTTCCACTATTTCTTTTCCAATCAATCACACCACGCTTTATATTGATTTCTTTTGGATCAAACATCAACATGTTGGCCATACCAATTTTGATTTTACTTACTGCACGATTACGATACATTGTCTATTCTAAGCACCCACGTCTTCATAGTCATATTGGACAACGTCTGGATTTCCGGACTGTCAAAATATAATGATCAAGGCATGTCTAATCCTACAAAATTGGTCCGGGCACTTCTCTCGGGGGAACAGGAGGGAATATCTGAAGACGTGGATTTTCGTTGTGCTTTTCTAATCCCACTGCCAACACTGGGAATGCGATGCAAAATACGGGGTTACAAGTGAAAATCTGGGCAGCGAAATTGACTTTTGGCGATTTGACGTATTAAAGAAAGGAATGTTTTGAAAAGAGTCTCGCGACTCGCTCTGGTATTGTCATACATATTACTTATGTACATGGAGGACTTTTTTGTGCGTTGATTTTTTTTTAACTTGTTCTGGAAGTTCGGAGAGATACTCGGGGCTTTTTCCAGACCTACCGACCTGCTATGCCATGCTATACTGGGGGTAGAGGGAGCACTAGTTACTGCCCGCAAGACACTCGTACTAGTTAGCCTTGTCTCGTACTCAATGATGAACATATATATTATATGTATATCTCTCTCTCGATCGACTCGGTCTTCCCCTCCGTCTCCGGTGTTTTTCTGTCCGTATGTGATGAGTGAGTAGGCACTGACTGTGGAGCCACAGAGAGAGAGAGAGAGAGAGAGAGAGAGAGAGAGAGAGAGAGAGAGAGAGAGAGAAATGGAAAAGTATTTTGCCGCTTTTTTTATCTGTCTCTTCTGAAAGTTACTAGTCCCATAATAATGTCAAGAATTGGTGGATGAATTGTTTGCTATATATGATGTGCCGGACCATGCTATGCTTTTTGCCATATGAAGAACGAGTAAATTGACCCGCCGGAGAAGCTAGCTCCACGTCGCGAACCGATCTATATATGCCTGATACAATGCACTAATCCTGTCTTGGTTGATCGTCGGTAGCTACTCACATTCGCAAGGAACAGTCTGTTTGTCGAAGCCGCTCCTAGAGAGAAATGGGGCGGGGAGCTATGGAGAACGAACGAGATAAATTCCCATTCGCACTCTTGCTCTTCCCAGTCCAGTCTGTTCCGGCCTCTAGATCATGTAGCGATAACCCTTCTGCAGTCTCCTAGCGGCGGCGACATCGATACCCTCGATCTCGGCGGTCTTTTGCAGTTTCTTGAGATCGCGCTCGCTGAGTGGTTGATCTTCATCCTCTAGACGCTCGAGACGCTTGTTCTGGCGAGTGAGCTTGATGCGCATAGCGAGACCCATTGAAGCAGCAACAACTTGAAGTCCGATACAGATACCCAAGGCCAAACGGTAGTGCGGCTTGTCCTGGGTACGGTAGGTGAATGGAGTCCAGATACTAGCGGAGTTACCAATGGAGTTGATGAAGGCGTATGCTGCAGCGCGTTTAGCCGGGGGACGCGGAATTGCACCAGCGATCCATGCGTAACAGGTTCCGTTCATGGCGAAAATGAACACCATCAGGAACAAGGAAAAGTAGCGCGGGCCGAAGCTGTCGGTCGTCATGAAGATCACCCAGCCAACGATCGTGACCGGAATGGGATACATGAAGAACCAGAAGCGGTTGCCCATGCGATCGGAGATCACAGAGTGGATGAATGAGTAGAAGAAGATAAAGACGTAAGGCGGCGCGCAGAGAAGGAGGGAGATAATACGCGAGTAGCCAAGAGTACCAGTCAGAGTGGGGAAGAAGTTCTGGAACCCAGCAGCTCCGGTGATAGCCATATATGCGATCGCGAGCATATAGGTACTCGAGTCTGTTAGCGCCAATTTAAGACCCCGGACTTGTGACATGGCGCCTGCCTCGTCAACGTCGGCCTCGGCTGCCTCGATCGCCAAACGTCGGTTGGCAACGTGCTTCATTTCGGGCGAGAGGGATTTCCAGGTGTCTGGGAAATCAGGAAGGACAAACATGATCAGAATGCCAATGGCGATGGTGATGACTCCTTCGATAATGTAGAGCCATTGCCTGTAAGTTCAAACCAGATGCGATTAGTCTGATTTACGCGGTAAATGAAGATGAGAAGGTTTACTTACCAGGCAGAGATTCCACGTTTACCGGCAAGACCCTTCAGAATACCAGCAGCAATCAGGTTACCAAAAGCTCCACTAATCAAAGAGCCTGAATAAAAGATGGACATCCGTAGGTTGAGTTCTTTCTTTGTATACCATTTGGACAGATAAAAGAGAACGCCTGGTAAGAGGTTAGTTTTGAATCTCAAGAATGTAATGTCAGTTGATTTCAGATTGACCTACCTGGAAAAAAGGGCGCTTCTACGAGACCAAGAACGAATCGGCATGCAACAATGCCTTTGAATCCTTTGACCAAGCATGTAAGGGCGGAGACCAACCCCCAAGCGCATGTGAAAAACCCAAGATAGAGTGATGGCCGCCCCAAGTGGTTGAGGAATAAGTTGGATGGAACTTGGGCGAGAATGTAACTGACGAACAAGATGGAAAGACCTGCGATCTGATCAGTGGATGGTGACATCCGTGTGATGAGGAAGGACATACCGAGTTGATACTGATCTCCCTTCAAGCCAAGATCTTCCTCAAGGCCCTGTAATCGTGCCGCAGCATAGTTGTTTCTAATCATCCAAATGTTAACCAAGCCATTGTAAATTGTGAAGAGATAATCAGGAGTTCATGCATACCGATCGATATAGTTCATCAAATAGACCAGAACGACCATTGGCATTATTCTCATATCGATCTTGCGTTGCAGCTTCTTCTCGATCTCAAGCTCCTCGGGAGTGAGAGCTCCAAAGTGCATGACATCTTCACGAGTCATGGTAGCTTTATCACCGAGGACATCATGGTCGCGGACGACGTCCACATGATCGAATTTGTCGTCGGCCATGTTGGAGTGTGCAGTACAAAAGCTGGAGAGAGAAAGCAGGATAGAGGAAGCAGAAATGACGAAGAGGGAGGGCACCCTGGTCCTTTATGAGGAATGAGATCAATGTGACTCGGCTGCCATGATCATAAGCGACATCACACATCTGAGCTCGGGCTGGCAGCAGGAATCGTGGGGATGATCATAACCATATGAGAGTGCTACCCCATGGGAGCTAAGCCAAGATGTCTGGGCTGACGGTGTGGAGCTTGAATGAACGCCACTGCTTGTGTCAAAGACTCAGGTCGGCAAAGAAAGGGCATTCCTCCGTACGCCCACCTGGGTCCCGACTCGAATCGCTCGACGTGGTTGACACCCGTGTATACGAGAGAAGCATGGAGAAGCATGCAAGAAGAATCGTTAAATAATTGCGGGGATGGCAAGCATGAGCAGGTGGCTTGGGGGCGAACCTCGTGTAATTGCATGGCATGATGCGGCGATTGGGATCACCCGATCTTTACCACGCAAAACGCTCATTTGAAGTCCTCCCAGGGTCTGAGGTCCCCGTCCAGTACGAGTTAGCCAAGGCGACTTCTTCGGAAAAAGCTGTGCTTGGTTAGCTTGTGCACAATCTTGGAAGTGAGCCTTTATGTGCCTGGGCATCAGTCCGGTGTCAATATCGGAGGTTATGGCCGTATGAAGTCCGTCCTCTCCTTAGTGAGCTCCCAACTAAATCATGTGCTCCTTGCAAGTTGCAACCGGTAGATTGTTAAAACTCCGTCACGGGGAGGACCCGTAGCTAAGGGGGGACCCCAGAACGGCCCCCACCCCCACGCGTCAAATACGGGGTAGAATGGAAAGCTCATTGTCCGTGGTCAATTGCCGCCGACTTTGAGTGCCCGCCTCGGTGGTTACGGCGCAGCGGTATTTGGTATCGTTCGAATCACGCATCGTTGAATCTATTAGACTCGTCTAATGCTGCTGCCTTCATCGTCCATCCAGTCACCTTGCGTACATCACCAAAGGTCAGTTTCTAGGCATTGCCCGGTTAAATTCCATCCTCCGGACAAAGCCAAGTCCGGTTGATAGCCTGAATACAACCACACCTAGGTAACAGAAAAAGACCGTTATCTGGAACCTTTGGGGACAGGTCGGATCAGTTGGTGCACGAATAGCACAGAAAGGCTTCAATGTATGCACAGTCATGCTCTAGGCCGTCAGCGTTGTCCTTTCGTGGTATGGAACGTCTGTCGAAGACTCGGCAAACAGCCTTGATCTAGTTCACAAGCTGAAGCAGCTCGATCTCTCGGATCCGGAATTATCTCGCTTCGAATGAACATGAACCTTAACAATATCACAGCGAAAGCGGTGTGGCATGTGCTGGCTGGAACAATATTGTAATATACTATACATTGATATCTACTGGGTCATTAGTGTGCATGGTCATCTATCCGCTCGGCTGCAGTGGCGAACAGGGTTGAAAGTATGTCGAGGAACATCCCACATGGTTTGATCTTGGGATGCCGAGCGTAGATCGTTATCGAGCAGAATTGTGTAAATCTGGTCGCATTAGTCTTCCCAGAACTCCCACAATGCGATTGGTACCGTAAAGCGCTTCCTGCTCGTGCCAGATAGAACGGGCGATAACAGCTGTAGGGGAGATTATCATGAGAGATTGTAGGTGTCGAGTTTCATCCTCGTCATGCGATTCGACCGTGCTATACTTAGTACGAGTTATTCGCAACCGACTGTCAACTACCACTCCAGCCAAAAGACTATTGACGAGGTCTAGACGCGTGGCCGTGGCTTCAACGCTCCGTTGTGGCTTCCGTACCAAGACCGGTTCGACCGATGCCCCTGAGGAAGCATCACACATTGGGACTGAGTAGATCGTATTTGACACACATCTCAACACTCTCTGCGCTTGCTTGGAAGAATCGTCGGGCCTCGAGGCCGACCCAGATCTTCAACAAGGAAAAATCTCCCTCCTTGAAGCTCTTTAGCACTGCACTGGGGTCAGATGAGCCAAGCTGGCGAAGGATGGGCAGAGCGCTCTGGAAAAGGTCTAGCTCAGGATTGAGAGATCTACCAATGCCCTCAAGGAGGAGGATCGATATGACGACGTTCACAAAGTCCCCTTCCATGCGAACATGATGGGATCTCACCATCCCCAGAACTTGTGATAAAATGTCTCCAATTTTGATGTTACCAAGGGCGAATGTCTGGCCCTTGACGGCAAGAACTAAGTGTTGCATTTTGAGGGCAAAAACGTCACCATCGATAACAGCATCGGGTTGTCGGCATCTTTCAATCATCAGATGACCCGCTTTATAGCCATCAAATTCAGCGACTGCTCGGAAGAGCTCCAAGAAATTTGCCCGGTTTGTTGCATTGAGTTCTGTCACCAAACCAGTATCGATGAAGATCAATTGTGGTCTATAGCCTTCTCGGTCAATTTCATCAAGTGCTGCTATCCATTCTTCTTTGTTGCCGGTATGTGGTCTTAATCTTGACAGGACAGCCTCAGATGAGTCGATCTCAGATGCTGATAAAGGCTCTGTAGGGTCCTGCCTAGACATGTATGGTAATCTTACATCTGGCTTCGTTGGCTTATAAAAATTTACCATGATGTTACCAGGGTGAAGGTCTGCATGGACAAAATTGTCTATGAGCAGCATATGCAAGAACGCATCTAAGCCTTCGTTTGCTATTTCTTTTTGGAAAACTCCTCCACCAGATTCCAGGAAAGTGGCTAGGGGTATACCTTGGGCAAATTCTTCGACCAATAAATTGCGGGTCGTGAAATCAGTATATGGGTATGGGAACCATGCCGTAGTTCTGTTCTGAAAATGTTTGCGGAGAATGGTCAGGTTCGCACCCTCGATCCGGAGATCTAGTTGGAGTCGCATCATCTCACCAAAATTTGATACTTCGTTGGGTAGATCGAGCCACTCTAGCGTAGGGATAGCATTGATGATTGCGGCGAAAATGCCCATAATCTTAAGATCTCGGCGGACGGTTCGTTCGACATTTGGGTGGAGCACCTTAATAGCCACGTATGCCGATGGAACTCTTTGAGGACTTGATTTGACCAGGGCATCAACGTTCCTTCTGATCCGATGACTCAATCTAGCCTTTTCAGTCGTTTCCAGGTCATTTCCCTCGAGCTTAGACAAGTCTGGTTTCAGTCTGGCTTTGTAGACTTGGGCGATGGCACCCACTCCGAGAGGCTTCTCATCAAATTCGGTAAAGATGTCATCGAACGATCTCCCACCGAAAGCTTCTGAGATGGTTCGTTTGGTATGGCGTAACGAGTGTGCCGGAGCATTGGAATGCAATTCAGACATGACCCGACACATTTCTGCAGGGAATATGTCTGACCTCGAAGCTGCCCACTGCCCAAGCTTTATGAAAGCAGGTCCAGCTCTTTCCATTGAGTTGACCAAGAATGAGTACCACCAAAGAGTGGTAGCACGCTCATTGTCCCTATCTTTCCTGCGGGGGCCGACCATTGCCAGTGGAATGGTTACAATGACAGGAATGAATATAATAACCAAGTGGAGGAAACGAAAAGTGGTTGCCAGAGGCTCATATATGTACTGATCGACAACATATATGACCGTTCTGTAGACACGGCGAAGTCCATGGACATCTTCGGGCACCTTCTTGCTGATTTCTTGACGAGATGCCTCAAGCATCTGCATTTCACTTGTCTTGCCATCTTGGGGTCCATTTTCGGATATCTCAACGAATGCAACAGGAGACAGAGCGGCGGCAGCTAGGATGACAGAAGGGTAAATCCGTCGACGAGGATCTTTGGGGGCATATCTCCTAGACCATACTGTGGAAGACGGTTGGCGACGGGGAACGCGCAGGGCAAATTCAACAAATGGCCTTTGGCCAACGAAGCGGCCGAGGATGCGAAAAGACCGCATCAAGAAGTAGAATGATGGAGCTCGTCGAAAGGTAAGAGTCCCATGGCGTGATGGTGGCGGCACAGTGAGAGGGTCGAGAACACCTTGAGCCTGCGATTTGCACGTGGAACTTCAGGCTTCTAGAGTTGCGATGGCAGGTGCATATTAATTCCTCGGAGAGGGATGACGTCGTGTTCCTTTCGCGGCTTCCGCATTCCGACGTGTCAACCGTTGAAGCATCACGTGGTATCACGTGGCTAATTCACGTGTTCATTTTAGAGATGCACTGACTGATCAGAGACCTTCATTATTGTCGTTTTCAAAATATGCTTTTTACAAACCAGTGTTCCATCAATCGCCTCGACAGGTTGGTGGTTGTGAGTCAAAGGGCCAGTTAGGCGATATAAATTCTATGGATTCAACCAAATCCTCATGAATGACGATGTTCTGCCAACATCAAAAGGCACTCATAGTCCGACTATGAGGATTTCTAGGTCGTTATCGATATTCAGGACCAATTCCATATGGACAAGACATCATAATCTCGATGATACATGGATATATGATGAGGCAAGGCATTGACGTGAGCCACAAACGGTTGACGTACCCGCACTTAATTTGGCCCCCTGGAAATCTGAAACCGCCCAGCAACACAAGCCTGTTCACGAGCACCAGCAATTTGTGCACATTCTGAAGGTCAGTACTCATCGCTCCTATCAGTTGCTCTAGAAGATCAAAACTCTTCGATTCATTTTTGAAAGATCTCGTATCCGCTATCTGCCAAGTGAAAAAGTGTTACAAGATCGCCTTGGCTCTCGCCAGGATCGCCCAACTCAGCCTTGTTTCCACGACATCAACATGGGCAATGCTTGTGTCCCCTCCTAAACTCCCCGTTTCAGCTGCAAGTTCCCGCATCTGTGTACGGAGTAGTTCTGGACTTTCCTAGCCAACGCTTTCTTTCGATGAATCTTTCTTGTCTGAGATCATGGTATCTCATATCTAATTTCATAACGGGATCTGAAGAAATCCAGCTTAGTCTGGCTCGAAGCCTTGCCCTCAGAAGTCTATATCTGGAGGTCTGGCCCCTACGAGTCAGCACTACCTTCTAATCCAGCATACACGCCCATTCACATCTTGGTCAGCTCTTTCTACAAACAGAATAAGATTTAACGACAGCGAAGCCCTTCCACGCATTAGCCTACACGCTATTCCAAAATGTTGTCCACCATCACCGCTCTCCTTCCTCTATTCCTCAGCACCTCACTATTCTCCAACATTGTTCAAGCTCAGACAGAGAATGGAGCATGTGTAACCGCCTGCTTCAGCAGCAATCCAAAATCATCTTTCTGTGACGGCGATGAGCAAGGAACTGCCCTCGATCAATGCCGATGCGCTAGCTACTCACTCACTGGCGATCCACAAATCGAGTGCATCAAGTTGTGTCCTGAGGATCAACAATTGATTTTCGCCAATCAACTACCAGACTTGTGCAACGCATTACTATTTCCCAACTTGGACTTATCCGCACCTTCTTCTGCTACTGCAGAAAATACTGCCTCAGCCGCTTCATCGCCCACGGCTGCGCCCACAGGCAGCACAACATCAGGTTCGGGTGCTGCTTCAGCGACATCCTCTGCCGCAAGTGGCACTGCGAGCGCCACTGGCTCTGCAGGTAGCGATGCGACACGCGATCTTCCTCATGGTTTGTTTTGGTCGCTAGCGGGTGCCCTAGGTGTCCTAGCATGGCTCTAGGTCGGAAAATGGGAGTCATCAGGTTGATCGATCAGCGGTACGAAGAATCCGCCACGCTGAGATTCATCCTGGATAATGTGCTTTTGGAATTTCCGCTCCTGCAGGGCGGTTTTCCTTGCTTCAACATTGTCATGCGATATTTCCGGCAATTGAAGGATTTGTGTTCGTACCTACATACATATGCTAGGAAGAATTATTCTACAAGCAAATATACCCAAGGAGTCAGGCTCAGCGTTGTTACATTCAAATCACATGTGCGCGTTAATTCTCCGCGGCCATCGCTGCTTTCCTCAACCCTTCACTCCCACTGACAGTGACGCCATTGATGATGACCACATTGTCCTCCATCACGGAGTTCGTACCCTTGATGTAACGGTGTCTGGCTCTCCAAACCCAGTAAATCCCAGGGAACAGTACCGTGGCGCCCACGATCAAACAGCTCCAGTTCATATAGTCGATGGTCGCCAAAGTCACGGGCACATAGAGCGGGCAGAGGTACATGGTGATGATAATCAGTGACCAGCACACCGAAATGATGTTGACAGGGTAACCCCATCGACCAAGATCGAAATGCGGCCGAGCTGGGAGGATTTTCCGACCTCGAATCAGCACTACGAGGACAGGTACCGAATATCCAATTTGCAACGTCACGCCTCCGGCCGAGATAATGGATTCGAATGCAAGGTCGTTGCCGAGCACAATCAAGCCTATGGTTCAACGTCCTTTGGTTAGAAAGCTGAAGGACAACTGCTAGACCTGCGAAGCGCGACTTACCAATGACCAAGTCGACAATCAATATTGCAATCATGCATCTCAGGGGGATATGAAATTTCGTGCTGACGTGTGCGAAATAGTCGGAGTATGGCAGAGCTTTGTCTCTTGCCATGCTCCATAAGAGTCGGCTACCGGCCAAATTGGTGCCTACCACGAGTTATATTTTCCGTCGAACCAACAATGCGGAGGGTTAAATACGTACCTACAATGATGCAAAAGTTGAGCCCCATCATGATCAGAGCACAGAAGATACCGCCACCGATCACCGAACCAGTTATGTCCATCCACCAGTTCATATACGGCTGTGAGGCTATTATCAAGAATCAGTATTAGAACGACAGAAGGCTATAGGACGGTCGACTGACCAGTCATATAATCCTCCCAGTTTCCGGCCGTCCAGAGTAACAAGAGAGCAGCGAGCCAGCTTGTAACGCTGCAGAAGATCATCGACCATACCATGACGCGAGGAGCTTCCTTAGAAGCATCCTTCATCTCCTCAACAAGATGCATCATACCGTCTGTTCCGTACAAACCGTACATGGGCGAATAAAAAGACATTATGAATACCCAGCCTCTACTCGCGTAACCAGAGTTGTTGATGAATTGTGTGAAAATGAAACTGGCATCATGCTTTGGTGCCATGACACCAAACACAATCGCCCATGCTAGACCGCCCGCAATGGTCCAGAAGGCACCGAGGTCGTTCATCGTAGGAAGCCAACTGTTTGGAAGCGTTGAGAAAAAATTCCTGCGTGTGGGAGGCTTTGAACTTACGACTGTTTAAGATTGATGAGAATCGGGCAAATCAGAAACGCGCTATAGATGAGCCATGTCATCCAGGACTAAATCGTTGTGTATTAGCAAGGCTGCCATTGCTCCATCATACAACAACCAGGGGAACTTACCTTCCACTCAACATCAGGATGGGTGACTTCCACAAATGACGCGACAATCGCCGCGCTGTTGACTGCACAGCTGGAGCCAGTGGAAATCTCTCCAATGATGACGGCCCAACCAACGAGATAAGACAAAATTGGCCGGAACTTCCCTGTTGCTACTGCCTGGGTGTAATATTGCTGCCCTCCAGCTGTAGGCCAGATCGAGCAATATTCAGCCAGCGACATCATCAACAGTGTTTGACCTACGGCGACGAAAAGGCTAGAAAGGCACGGAACATCAATACTTCATGCTGGAAACGAGCTCGGATGGTGGGTGGACGTACGTGCCCCAGACCAGGCAAAATGGACCGCCGACGTCGAAAATGGTCGAGTACAGCACGACCAGACATGACCAGCTGCACGAGATCATAATCTGATATGCACATACTGTTATAGCATAAGGATAAGCACATAGGAGAAAAAAGGCCATCGTCGCATTGGGAGGATTTTGACATACACGTCCAGAAATTGTAGACTCGTTTCAACTCAGGCTTCTTGCCCATGGACATGAGAAGCGCATCATCGCTGTTCACCGAGATAGCCTCTTCCAGAGACGAGGTCTTGTCAAGTGTGCCGGCGAGAACTTGGACATCCTCGTTCCCCATCCTGTTTCAATGTCAACTCCTGTGGGCAGAAAAAGAGTCTTCGACTTGAATATATGGAGGATCTCCGTGCAGACAAATATCGCACGCGTCTGAGGAGTCGAGAAGTCAAGAGCGAATTTGCGGATTTTGGGTGGCACGAGCTTGAGTTTAAACTACCCCGTGTCCTCGGCTTGCCGAGGACAGTCGACTATGCTCAGTCGCGGCGTGTCCTCTCCGCGCGAGGCTGAACTTCAAACTGTCCTATCAGCAGCACAGAGATTATCATGGTCAAGAAGATTGGTTATCTTGGTTCGTCAATCACCCTAAAAGTCGCTTATCTTCCCTTCATTGTTCAAGCTAGGGCAGATGTCAGCGAGGCAGCTCGCATGGTACTCGCTGAGGAGACACGTGGTTCGTTGGGCTCCTTCGTTATCAGCCAGAGCCTGCGAGAAGATGTCTTGAAAATCGTCGCGGCTGGACAGAGTTGCCACCCCCAGAGTCCAGACTATCAACCATCAATACCTAAGTGGGTAGTGTTTAAGGCCAAAGACACTTCTTAAACCTCGTGCCCCTGGGCGCTGCCGTCAACTTAGCAACCACCACCCGAGGTAGCCTAATCTTAGGCGTATACCATTCCAAAAAAGGATGGTGGATGGAGAAAAGTTGCTTCTCTAAAGCACCTCTCCGCCTGGAGTGATTGGCTTTATCTAAACGACCATCTCCGCTCCATCACTGGAGCACCCCTCGCCACGTCCTTGTTGTACCATTCGGAGGTCTCCTCCACCCGACGATCACCATCTCATTGCTAGCCTTGAACTTGACAACTCGAAACAACCTCAAGGATTCCAGGATTCCATCGCATTTCACAGCATAAGATATATGCACCCATCAAGTAACTGACAAGCCCAGTCTCCAACACCCCTCCCAACCGCTTGTGGTATTTTCTTCCCTCCCGCCATTGATTGGCGAATAGTCCAGAACTGTCCGAAACGACGTCTCCAGCAGCCTGAGAACACGCGGGATCGACGATACGAGGAGTCCCCTACCAAGTATTCAGTCTTCTCATTCCACCTGCTTGCTTCGGACATTATTGGCACTCATATCCAACCCATAAAATCATCCAATCTTGTGGCAAAAGGAGAAAGGGATTAAATCGTGACTCTTACACTTAATTGCGGATCATCTAGTCGCCTCTCCGAGCCTCGGCGCGGACATTGGCAGCCAGGGCTTTCCTTGCTAGACATCAAGAAAGCAAAGTATATAAACAGGCGAGCAGGCCCCTGTTAGCGAAGTTTATCGATCCAATATACATGCACCGCTTGTTCTGCAGCTCAGGCATACGACAAGTCGCGAAGCCCAACTTACCCAGAACGAGCATTGTGTCTCACCACCACTATTACTACGTGTATCACTCCAGAACATTCAGATCTTTCAGACTTTTGCAAAAATCCAACATGGCACCAATTGCCGTCGATGACCATGTGGCCGATACTCCAATTACGCTGAACAAAGCAGCTGCCGGTGCTCAGGCAGCAGCAGCTCCAGTCAGTAACGGGGCGGTCAGCAAGCCAACAATCGCCAGATACGACGCAAACGACCCGGCCACGACCACAGAGCTTCTGGTGTCGATTATCGAGCGCGACGGCGGCGTAATCGTCGAGAACATCATCAGCAAAGAGCTCGCCGGCCGCATAAGAACAGAACTCAAGCCGTACTTCGACACGGACAAGGTCGACCCCTCGGGATTCTTCCCCCACACGACCCAGAGAGCCACGGGTCTATTTGCCCGCTCGGATGCGTGTGTCGAGCTCGCCATGAACAAGACGTACATCGACGTGGCGAACGCCATGTTGTCCTCTACGTACACGTACTGGAACGGACAGGTACAGGAGACGGTGACGAGCAAGCCGATCATCTCGTCGACAGTCGGCTTCCGGGTAAACCCCGGAGGAAGACAGCAGGCGTTGCATCGCGACGATGGGTGCGTATTCCCCTACCCAGGTTGAACAAGAAATTTCATTTCTACTCGCTAATAAATCAATAGTGACTATCACACACGGAACTGTGACATGCCCATGATGCTGGGCTGTGTGACAGCCATCACAAAGACGACCAAAGAGAACGGTGCCACCATCTGCATTCCCGGCTCTCATCTGTGGGGCCCAGATCGCTGTCCTTATGACCATGAAGCCGTCCCGGCTGAACTGGAGCCTGGCTCCGCTCTTATATTTGCTGGTAACCTCTACCACGCTGGCGGTGGTAATATTACAACGTGAGGAGTTTTAAGTCCGTGACTTGAGTGCCTTTTGCTGACAGACCTGTAGCGACCAAGCCCGTGAGACGGTCGGTATATTCCTATGCAAGCCCTACTATCGGCCTGCAGAAAACCAATTCATCATGTGCCCACCTGAGGTGGCCAAGAGACTACCTCCGCAGGCACAGAGACTGTTGGGATACGGCATCAGCCTTCCCGCCCTGGGGTTCGTCGAATACCAAGATCCTATGAGATACTTGTTTGGTGTGGAAGACGAAGAAACGGTCAATATGTAATGGATGCCGTCCGTTACCACTGGACGTGATCGTGGCAATGGCTGTGGGTGCCTGCTCAACTGTTGAGTATTATATGGTAGCGTTTTACAGAGATCTGGTTCATTCTCATATGACCAGAAAGGTTAACCCCCGAGCGGCTTCCCGCCGGGCGAATTGCAACCAATCGACGGTAGTCGAGGGTTGAGTGCTCCAGAATCGTTGTAAAAATTGCAACGCTGGGTAGCAGTTGGAAAAACCTGTAGAAGTCATGGCTTCCAAGAGCCTTGATTCTACAAAGTCCTGCAATTCAATGCTGGCTCTGCTCTCGGTTCCGATAATGAATAGCGGCCAGACAAAGTCATGCTGAAAGGCGGAACGCACTTCGATCAGATTAATGCACTGGATAGTGTTTTGGACCAGTTGTTGTAAAGAGCCACTCACGTTGGCAGGATCCAGTAGTGCTCGGATGCTGTAAATTAGTCCCGCGAAGTGGAAGATGTCGATTAAAATCTTAAAATCATGGTGTAACTCCGGCGACCCAAAGTTTATGGCTGTCTCAAGCTCATGCGAGCGCCGTCTTGCATACTCAAATTTGCTTTGAAGAGTAGCCATTTCAATGGGTGGTTGAGCAGGGCCATTCCCGGTCCGGTTCATATCAAGGTATCTCTCGGCGATTGTGACGTCTTGAATAGCTCGCATCCACTCGGTAAAAGCGCATTCATCGTGGTCATTCAGCACGGACGGAGGGATCAGATCCTCGCCATCAAACGTGGTTGTCGAAGCGAAAACGTCGTAGGTAAATGCTTCCCGGATCAGCAGGTGGCAGGTGGGGTCAAGTAGTGAGGGAGAGTGATGTGGAGCTGTCCATCGTCGAGTAATGGTCCTCGCCGCTTTCCAATGCACACTCCATACGGAAGAATCCGAGCGTATCATTTCAAGGTTGCAGAGTATCAAGATGGTGGCCAGCATGGCACTAGGAGGTCCTTGGTGTGGAGTAGATGCGCCTTCGGTCATCTCACATCTCAAGTTTTGAGCGAGAAGACGGAGACTCCTATCTCGATAATGACTGGAACTAATCCCATGCTGTTTAGCCCATGTCGACCCCATCTTTGAGGTATAATGTTCGGCGGCCAATGCGAGAATGGCCAGTAATAATGAAGGTGACTCCATTCCCAACGGAATCAGAACTGTCCGCCACAAATTTTGGGGGCCATCAACCCAAGGCATAACTGCTGCGACCTCTTTATCGTAGTGATGAAGCAGTTGCTGGATAATGGGGTCTTGCACATAAGGCGGGATTTGCTCTGGAGTCAGGTCGCCTTCATAGTTGGAACTCACTGTTGATGATGGCGACTGACCATTGGTGGCTGCTTCGAATGCATTTCGTAACCCAGGAGGGACCGGTACTGGCTCCGCAGAGGATTCGTGAGTATCATCACGCGAGCCTAGTGATTCCGGAGGAGTAGAGCTTCTAGGACTATCGTTGTAGTCTCCAGAACCACCCGAGTGATATTCGAGTACGGGTAATGTCTTGCCAGTCAACTTTCCCCGACTAGCCACCCCTTGACCCCATTGTATTCTAAGGCCGTAGCCCGGGCATTGTAAACCTTTCAGAGCACATTTTCTGCAGGTTGGGAGACTTCTATCACATTTTATCCTGCGTCGGTTGCAAGTGCGACAATCTATTTAGGATCCTATTAGCACATGTTACAACCATCGCCTTGTAGCGCAGCATTTACCCTTTCCAGCCCGCGGCTCATTCGGGTCAAGCGACGACATTCGAAGGCTCATCCTGGCGTCAGGTTACAGGTTCGTGATGAAGTTGTTTGTTTTTGGTCAGTGGTTTCACACCAAACATTCAGGTTCAAAATGAGAGCGAGTGTTGGTCATGAGGGGTGAGGTAGAGTTCAAGGGAGTTTGATCTTGGCGGTCGAAAGCGTAAGTGACCCGTGCTTGATTGAAGTTTCTTTTCTTGACAGCTTCGCCTCAGGTGTTCTAGATCCCAAGCTTGAATCATAGAACTCTCACCGTCTTTATAAAGTCTGACTGAACTGTGTTGATCAGTGTTGGCTTGAGTAAGACTCATGTCATCGCCCATAACGTAGCCTTGCACTCGAAAGGGTGACGTCGAACTGAAAGAGAACAAGTCTTAGTATGCCACCCCCTGGTCCGTTCGGCTGAAATTGAAGGATGTGGATAAGGGTTCCTATTTCGGAAGTCCTAGGCGTCGAAGGACCAACCCGAGTCTCCTCGTATCGCTTATGCAGGATATATATCAGGATGATAGGCTGTTGACAAGATATCCTATAAGACTTGTCACGTCAACCTTGGAGAGCTGATAAAGCTGAACACCTATACATTAAGACATTGGTATCTTGGCAGACCCGGAATTTCAAACAACCATGTCTGTCACAGTGGTCAATGCAACATCGCTCTCCAATGGAGTTCATGCAAAACACCTAGAAGGCCTGTCTCATAAGTTATTATCAACTGACTTGCATTCATCCCTACCTGATGAATTCTACTGCTCCTCGCAGATTTATCAGCTCGAAAGACGAGCCATATTCTCGAAGCGCTGGTTCCTAGTCTCGCACAAGGCTCGCTATCGAAATGCAGGAGATTATGTTCAGTATGAAATGGGAGGCTTTAATTTCGTGGTGGTCAAAAATAAAGCTGAAAAGATAGTCAGCTTCCATAATATCTGCAGGTAGGCGCCTTCTCCTTCACAACTACTGGCTGTGACTGCCCTTTCTTTCCCAAAGGAGAGAATAAAAAGAGTCGCTTCTGAGAAAAGAACAGGCATCGTGCCTTCCCAATCGTTCAAGAGACCAGCGGGACGGCGAGAATATTCTCGTGCAAGTATCACGGCTGGTCTTACGATCTCAATGGAATGCTCACCAAGGCTCCACGCTTCACCCCTGAATCCGTTCCATCGTTCAGTCCCTCAAGCATCCGACTATTTCCAATCCATGTCCACGTCGACCGCAATGGGTTTGTTTACGTCAATTTGGATGCAGGTGTTGTTCCAGAAATATCTTGGGAACAACAGTATGGTTCGCTGGACCAACAAGATGTGCTGAAGGATTCAGGAGTCGACTGGGATGCTGTTGAATACGACTTCACCTGGACGAAAGAAGGCGCCTTCAATTGGAAACTTATGCAGGACAACTACAATGAAGTAGGATAACAGTTTACCCCCCTTTTCCAAGCGAAGAGAGCAAACTGACCGATGTCGGCTAGTGCTACCACTGTCTGACTGCCCATCCCGACGTTGCACGAACAACAGCTCTCGACACCTACTATGTCAATCCAGCTCCTTCGCACAACTACATTAGCCACTTCAGCGAGCCCAAGGCATCGGTTCTTGAGTCTTCAGCCTTCGACAGCACACGCTTCGCCGGAAGATCAGCCACACATGTATTCCCCGTAAGTCATTTCTCTCCTAACCCAGGCACCGGCTTCATGCACATGATGCGAAGCATCCCGACATCCCCGACCACCACGAGACAAGAGTACGACGTCTACAAACTCAACACGCCCAACGCAACCCCAGAAGCCCACGAGCGGATGACCAAGTTCTACCGAAAAGTCGTTGACGAGGATTTCGCTCTTTGCGAGAACGTGCAGAAGAACCTGAATCGAGGCATCTTCGGACGTGGACCTCTACATCCGTTTCACGAAGAGGGTGTCTTTGCATTCCAGAAAATGCTACTCCCGGTACTGGCGGATCATGTGCAGAAAGAGAAACTGGCTGGACATGAGATCTGGCCTGCGAGGCCGTCTAACCAGACGTATGCCGAGAACGGCGCGGCTGGCACTATCAATGGCGAAAATGGCACGTCTAGTATTTGTGAAGTGCTAATCGCGTGCAATGGAGACAAGAACAAGGATCTACAATGGTAAATGGTAAGGCTAGGGAAATTAGTTGGCTACGCGGAAATGACACAATTGCAGAGCGATAGTTTGTCTGGGGAAGTCCAATGAAGAGTTATCGTTGAGATATATCAGCTGGTTGGTTATTATTCTTGTCTTTCATTGCAATCACGCAAAAAGACACTTCAATTTCGACTATCCATAGCACTATTTCTTGACATAATCATTCATTACTACATTACCACCTCACTAAGACGCACTATGCTCGTCTAGTAGGAATCACGGGCCATGAACCTTAAGGGAGCATGGCTAGAGCCCGTGCTCGTACTAGCGGCCGAAGCACTTGAACTGGTGGCAGGCAGCGGCACGAACGATTCGGTGTGAGTCGTTTCAGCGTCGCCGGTAGTGCCATAAGTAGCATTGATGGGGCTCTTGCCCGTGGCGATGTCCAAGCCGGTGATGGAGCGGCGGAAAAATTCCAGCGAGGCGATAGGCTGGTAGTAGGGGACCTCATGGCCGGCTTCGTAGATGCGCGTGAAGGAGAAATTGCCGTACTCGCGGGTCTCGCCGTATTGGACGCCGTCGACGGTGAATGGCGTGTAGCCTGCGGCGTTGAACTCAGCGCTGTGGGTCCATTGAGCGCCGAGTGAGACTGCCTCGCCGCCGAACCAGTTGCAGATGTAGTCGGCGTCGCCGTAGACGAGGGTGACTCGCACGGAGGAGGAGTTGAGGAGTTGCTCGAGGTCTTCGATGAAGTTGAAGTAGACGAAGTCGCCGGTTTGTTGGAATGCGTAGTAAATGTCGTTGTTGGACAATGTGTAGTTCGTGTCGACGCCGAGTGCCTCTCGTGTGGCATCCAAGTTGAGGTAGTCAACGAAATACGATGGAGGGGTTGGATCGTCGAAAGGATGGCGGATATCATAGACACCACGTTCACCAGCGGCGTAGTAGTAAGGGCTTTCCACGTTGTCTCGGCACATGTTTGCAGCCTCTGTGCAGACTGATTGTCCACCCAGTGTACTTTGGTCGGCATAGTAGCAGTAGCTGACCTGATCGAGACAACCGTTGGGCATATGGGCGGCAAAGTTCATGTAGTTGAAAACTGTGTCGTTAACTCCCTTAATGCCATAGGTGTTGTTGTTGGCGAATAGTGGATAGTATGGAGCTTGGATGTATTCATCAATGATACCGTTTATGATACCCAAGTTAACAAAGTCGAGCGCCTTGCCAGTTGTTGTACCGTTCTTGATGAGCTCATTTTGCTGATAAAAGTAGTTGAAGAAAGCTGGGCCATAATGGCCACCGTAACTGTACTGGAGCTTAGTATATGTTTTCTGATAATCTTACAAGTGACGAGTCTACCTTTCTGTCCACAAGTTGAATTGTGTAGATTGAACCTTGGAATCGAGCTGTGGAAGTGCAGAGTAGAATCCTTGAATAACCTCCCATGCAGCAATAGCAGCGAGGTCGGTGGTATCTACGCAGGTTAGACAACATAATTTTTCCAATTTGCATCTCGCGTAAGTATTTCACTCACCTATAGCGGTCGCGTTGATAATGGGATAGCGACCAGTCACATTGGCGGATGAGGCATTCACATACCAACCGAAAAACTCGTCCAGGGATCCTGGTGCCTTCTCGAGGTTAGTACATGTAGTCAAGGTGGAAACAAGTTCTCTTGCCTTTGAGCCATAGCTGAAACCAACGCCGATAGGCTGACTTAGGAAAATCATGTTGGAGGCATTCGTCCATGAGTAGGGATTCAGTTCAGAGATGAGGTCTTCCGTAACGTTGCAAGGACCGAGTTCTACATGCAATACCCGTTAACCAAGGTCAACTGCAGGATGGGATTCGTGAAAACTCACCCTCAAAGAGACCGATCAAGGAATCACTTCCGGGACCTCCATTGAGCCATAAAGTGATCGGGTCATTCGCTGGGTCACTCCTTGACTCAAAGAACCAGAAGAAGCTGTGAACATCTTCGCCAAGGTTGATGAAACCAGCGTACGAGTTGACACCTGGAGTCGTTTCGCACACACCCTCTTTGCCAGGCTCCTTGTAGGTAATGTTGGCGCCGATCGGACTGATGATAGTCTGTACACCAGTAGCCTCTGCTGGTAGCTGGCGAGGCAGGACTTGCACCTTTGGACCGCCTCGCTTACTTTGAGCATGAGGTCCTTTAACGGCGGCGCTTCCAGCGGCGAATGCGCCCACCACGGTGAGGAGGCTCAAAAGCTGCATTTCGAATTGTAGTGCGTCGCAATAAAGCGCTGGTCAGAGATAGCTACCTGAAGACTTTATGAAGTCCTGGGTAGAGATTGAGACTCTTGTGTAACCTGCTTCTGAGTAATGAAACTGAGATTTCAAGACAGGCGGATACTCGCGAAAAGAAAGGTCGACACATCGTTCAAACCGAGGACGCGAGGGATTTTGTATCACCTTACCTCCCACAGCTGCCTTCTCGCCTAGCAGAATACAGGCATGATCGCACCTTCCATTCTGCGCATGTCAAAGGATAATTAGTAGAGCTCGCCGCCACGCGCTAGGCACAAGCTAAAAGCAATCATGATAAAGCTTCTGAGTATCGAGGTAGGGGTTACAGACAGGGCAATCGTTGACTTGGACACGTCTGGGTAGCTTAGCAAGGCTTATCATTTGTCGATGAAGCTGTTTGTGCAGCAATCCATGTTAATCGATGACGTTGTACCATGGGAGAGGTAGCATCCGGGCAATGATGCCAGGCACAAAAGACACTCAGTGGAGAACCGTTGGAGTTCTTGGAGAAGCTTCACACAACAACTTTCCGGTCGTAGCTTAGCAGCAGTCATCGATAGAGTGCGAGCCAGTCCATATATGGCAGGTAGGGCCTACCAAGAGCCTGCTGACGACGGTTAAGTGCGGTTCCAGAGGCAGCACGCGATCTTGATAAGATGGTTGCCTTTGGATAGCTCACTTCGATGCAGGATTGCACCCATGTCAGTGAGGAGTAACGAGCCAATCCACCCAGGCACAACTGCATCCAAACTGGCCAGGGAGCTGGTTAATTAAATAACATCGAGAACGCCTGGAAGGAAGCAAGCACGCGAACAATTCCAGGGGAGTTTCTCCGAGTTGTACCTACCATATGATGGCACTATCAATAGCTCGGATGCAGCAAACCATCGACCGTGGCCCTGTACAGCCTGAAAAACCTTTGCAGCACGTAGCAAACAGAGAGATCAATGTGGTCGGCCCTCGCCTCGTCGCACATAAGCACTGGATGGCATTGCTTCTGGAAAACTAAGCTCCAACAAGCTCGGAGGGATCCGTACTACGATACGGGTGGCTGCATGCTAGTTGGTGGCACGACTGCGACGCTGAGAAGTTTCCAGGTGGATTGACCAATATCCTTGATCGAATGACTCGGATGCAGGAAGCATTACGTGACAGAGAGCCAGACCCAGGACTGTAATCGTTATCGCGCTTTGCCACCAAGCATGAGTAGGAACTCCGGATGTCATAGGGTAACATTGAAGCTTGTGAATAAGTTACTAGACCTCTGAAGGCTCGACTTTAATCATAACTAACTTTAGTTAGAGGACGCCGATCAGGTTCGATAGGCGGGGAAGTGGCATTAGTTGGGGGCCGAAGGATGTCGTCGTACACATGCCTCGGCCTTAGATCGATAAGTGATTCGGATAAGAATCAGTCCATACCATGGGAGGCACTGCGATCGAGCTGCCGAACACAACGCAAGTTCAAGAGAGAAATATCAAGAAAGAAAGAAAATGCTTGACGATGAACTTAAGTATTTGTCGTTGCGGCTGACCTGCAAGCCACGATTATCTTCTCGAATTAGCCCGCGGGTTTCAGCCGCGCCACCACAGGAACGGACGGCGTGACAGCAAGATCGGCGGGCCAAATACGAAGCGGCATTAACACTCTTATATGATCTAGATGATTGAAATCTGTTGATTCTTGATCGTTATAAAGATTACTCTTATTCCAATGCTTATCTTCTATTAACAAAGCGGGCCAGGCGAAAAATACCCCCTGAGTGTTCACATTCCTCCATGAACCTCGAGATCAAGACCATGGTCTCCTGTGATGTTGAGCGCTTGGTCGACATAGCCTGGGCCCATCGATGACAAATCCTCTTCGTTGCCAGTCCCGTCGAGCGAGAACTCCTTGTTGTCCATACCAAATCCATCGGCATTGAAGTCTTCCAACCATTGAATATGCATATCAAATCCATCATCGTTGGTCGGGAATAATTCCGGACCACCCTCGACGTTGATAAGATCTTCGAAGTTGGTTTGGCACAGATCATCAAACTGATTCGAATCGCCATCTTCTAATGCGTCTCCTACATCAAGGAGTGCGACTGCAGCACCTGCCGTGGTGTACGAGTTCATGCTCGCATTGGACCCTGGTGGCGTGTATTCCGCGAGGAGATTCTTCTCTCCGGGTGCCAGAGTCGAGTTCAGGAGCAACAAATTGGCTGTCTGCATTGCCTCCGGTGGAGGAGTCAACAGAAGTGGTTTCCGTGAGATCTTCTTCTTCGCCATCTTCGGCGGTTCGGTCGTCAATTGAGGTCTCACAATGGCAGCACCGGTCATAGACATATCTGTCGATGCTTCTGCGTTGGTCTTGCGGACAGCAGCATCCAAGAACGAGAACGCAAAATCTGCGGAGGCGTACATCTCCCGAAGTCGTTGCAATGCCTGCATACAAAATTGAAACTTTCGAATGCTTGACTGGCGGGTTTCGGAATCTGTGGACTTGATGTCCAAAAGATGAATGATGATGGCAGGCAGTAAGCATGTCACGCCAGTATTCGGTAGGTATCTTATCAAATCATGCGCATGCAATTCCTTGTACATTTCGGTAATGTTGTTTGCCGCTTCGCGAACCTTTCGCCTAGACATTTCTCGGAGCTCGGGGGCGATCACCACGTTGGGAGTCGATGGGAGAATCTGGGGCCGGTGCAGGGCGCTGATCGCGGTAAGATAGACTCCAGAGAGTAAGGCTCGATGTAGATTGATCACCTCGCCATCATTGCTAGGTTTTTGTACTCGGAAATCGGGACCAAAGTAATGAAGATTAGCAGGGAGATCTTCATGCCACTGACCAAGCTGCGCATCACAGCGGATCACCTCACTGGGTTCTGCAGCACATTTCTTTGGCACGAGTCTCATGGTTGTTTCCTGGGTAGCCCCGATTTTGTGCCCAAGCGTGGAATACTGAACAGCTAGAACCTGGGTAATGCAGATGCAGAGTTTAGTAAGGCTTATGCACATCTTTGCCAGGGTGACTCGTTTGGATGTATCCCTTACTGAGGGACATCCGCCCAGCATTCGAATGACTTCCTGTGGGAGTGCGTCGGTCTCAAAGTCAGAGATTTCGAGCGTTGAGACATCAAAGTCTCCATCATTGATCCGCATAGGTCTGCGCATGCCGATTGCAATCAAACGATCTCGCATGAAGCATGACCACCAAATTCGCTTCCAAAGGCATCGTTGTTTGTGGTTCATCAACGGTGCATCAGACGTGTCACAGTTGAGACCAATGGTACGTGCAACCGAGATTGCAACACCGAGCCAATGCCAGACATCCTTCGGGTCATCTGGATTTTCGTACCAGTAGGTCATAAGCAAAACGCCCTGAACGACTGTGACGCGATCGATCTCATAATCGAAGTCATATAACAGTTTGACTTTCTGAAAGAATGCTTTCCGGGCTGCCTTCCTGGTTACGTATCCCTGAGCCACCAGATATCGCATATCGATATACGCTGTTCCCGCAAACATGACGGCTTGGAAGAGCAAGAGGCTGATGCTGTCGCTGGGCTCATCCTTCTCGATGGCGGACAAAAAGTCTCCAAGATCGATGATAGGTAGATAAGGGTGGACATATTGAACATAACATCGTAGTAGCTCGTTTCGAAATGCGGCTTCAGGTATCAAAAAGGCGCCCTTGGTTTTCAAATAGTCCAAGTCTTCCCTCATTATTCTTAGTGGTATGGGTTGGATATATTGAGGAAGGACGATTTCTGGTTTGCTCGGAGGCATTGGGAAATACTGCTTTCCCAAAGTCGTTTGAACCGGAGATGGAAGGGGTTGAGCGGAGATCACAGACATCCGGCGAGTACATTCTTCTTGGCTGAGGCGATGGCCCTGAGTTTGATCTGTGGACTAGACGTTAATATGGATCATAATAATGGAGTGGAAGGTGGCTTTACAAAGCATATGAGGTTTATGATGCGTTAATTCGTATTCCAGTGCATGCCCATTTTGGTTGGACTGGACAGGTTGTAAGCCCGATGCCAAATCACTTAGGCCATCGATATCGTCAAATATTGGAAAATGCACCATCTCTTTATCCTCTTCAATCGAGGCACAAGGCGAGAGATGTAACGTCTCGCCATCTGCATAGGATTTTCGTCGACGCTTCCCCTCCGTAACTACGCATTCCACCTCATCAAGTCTGCAATTTGTGCAGGGCATTCCGCTTTCAACAACATCGCAGCGGACTTTCCTTGACCGGCAGCAGGAACATGCCTTGGAAGCTCGTCGCTTGACAGTTCTGCCACTGGTCGGTAGACCAGCAACAGAAGCCTTTCTTTTGGCCTGTGCGGGCATCTTGGGTTCTACTGCTGCTGCCATAGGGTACACGAAAGTCGCCCAGTATATCTCAACGTATGGAATTTAGGACAGTCGTTAGAAAAAATGAATGGACTAACCGAACGACTGTGAAGAAAGTTGGGGAGTAAGAAAGCGAGGGGCAAGGGGGGTTCTAATTTAGAGTGAAGGGTCCAGGGTGACTGATATGAAGTGAGAGCTCTAGGTCCAGGTGTTCCTAGTGTGGTTGATGCGCGACATGAGGGTGCCGCAAGGCCCTCTTGGTGAAGTGGGAAATATTCTCTCCATACCCCAGAGTACCCCGGTCCACCATGACTGGATTGGTACGATGATCAACGATTGGATACGGTGCCGATCTCGAGCGGATGGTTTTCCAAGGTGTGGGGATCGGGAAATACGCCACTGTTGAGGTCACCCAGGTTAACATTGTAGAGCACGGAATGGTTTGATCCAGTGGATGGGATAAATCTACTATCCCTCGCACCACTGGCCGTTCTGGATGGCATATTCCGAAATTTCAGGTCTCGCCTACCACGAGACCTATGCCACACGTGGGTAATAATGGCCACTAATGAACTTTCAGGTCAAGGCTGTGCACAAAAGGTAGGTGAGAAACAATAGCTCTCTTCGTCCGTGCCGAACATCCTGCTTTTCCTGGGCTCGCTACTCGACGCAGGCCATGTGGGTCGGTGAGGAATAGGTGGGACAAGACTGACTACGATGAATTAGGAGCTCTCAGCGTCAGGCCCAGGGAATGTCTCGTGCAGGTCGACTCGACCATTTCTGCGAACCGTCGATGAACGGAGAGTTTTCAAGCTCAAATTTTCTGGTCCTTGCACCTGGTCATTGGTGATGAGCCAGTAAGAAACAAGTCGAGGCAAGGACCACGAATGTCGGCAGCATCCCGGTGATGGATTCAGCATCATTTGGCTTGTTCCCCGCGTTCTTTGACAGGGAGAGAGTTTTCTCGAGACTGAGTTAGCGTGCCTTGAAATTTTCGATGCTGGTTTTCGAGACCGAGAGGCGTTTTCTTCCAGCCGATCGAGGCCCGAAGCCGTACATCAACCAGTCAAACGGCTTGCAGAGATGAGCACACCAGGAGCATGGTTCCGATCCATCCTTTAGGCCGTGGAGCTAGCATTCGTAACCCCTGTCTAACCGTCAGCTTTTCACGATTCTTTGGGTCACTGACATTTCTGGAATTGGGCCCTACATGGAACCACTGCAAGACATTGGGGTCAATGTGGGAGGCCGGGGTCCTTGGCGGAATGCCGGCTCCAAGTTGGGGGAAGAAAGTGGGTGAGGAAGCGGGGTTTCACCGCAGCGGATGCGCAGAGGGTCTCCTGCCTCTGCGAGTATGTACTATCACCGGGCGAGTCAGGAACTTTGACTCGTCCTCCTTGTCGATGGTTGCGACTCAGTAGTCTGTCTCTTCCCGTCGTTCAACAAGACCACCTGCCGTCTTTCTGACTCTGCATTTCGAAGTCAGGAACGCTCGGCGTATTTGTGGCTGCTGAAGCCCGAAGACACAGGCAGAGCACTGTTTTACGGGCTGTACTCGCACCACAGAAAACGGAGGTTATGTTGTTCTATTTTCTTTTCATCTCCCGAAGATTTATCTCAATTCTGCCACTTGCTTCTGCTTGCTGACTGTCACGTTAAAAGCTTTTAACCCTGACAGCTGGCACGTCTTCATGTTCTGTTCACCTGGATAACCAACGCCCAAGCATTAGGTTTTGTCCTTGTCCATGAGCAGTAAACCACGAGTTCGTGTTCCTGCCCCTGCCACTTTAGACTCTAGTCTAAACGTCACAGCGAACAAACGCGGGCGTCAAGCTATTCTACGATTGGCCATTTATAGACGGCAGGCATTTGCTTGGACTCTGTGCTCTGCAGCCCCATGACTGGCTCGAGGTAGATTTCGCCCTCAGGTCGCTCTCCATTTGCACTGCCTGTGCAACCAAATCCACGACAGATTGCTGAAAAGAGTGATAACTCAACCCGAGTTCGTCTGCCGCTTCTTCGCCGTCAAGTCCATAAGACTCGTCGATATCTTGATGCAATGTTTGCGTGAGAACTCGGTTCTTTGCCCAATCAAAGCTATCGAGTATAATGCTCGACGCTTTTTGATAGGAAAAGCGGTCTGGTGAGGCAATCGTATACCGCTTACTTCGCAGTTGAGATCTCAGCAGTGCTTCTACATGTGCATGAGCTAGGTCCCTCACATCGACCCAGAAAGGAACCCGAGCGACAGGGAGCTCACCCCCGTCCACGATCTCCCATAGCTTCGATATCGAATCACTCAGGTCCTCAAGCCTCTCTACTGGATGGACAAATGGTCCGAAAACCATGGGAGGACATAAGGTAACAAGATCAAATCGTGGCTTTTCTTGCTCCATGAATTCCCACGCTGCCAATTCCGCAAACTTCTTACTCCCTCGGTATGCTACGACCGCGCTGCTGTTGTTATCGGCCGCTTGATCGTAAGTCAGTGGATTCCAATCTGTGGATGTATATGTAAAGTATGGCGGGCCTTTCCTGTCGATGTCGATTACAGCTGCAAACGAGGATGTGATGACCACTCTCTGAATGAGCGGGCTCCTCAATGCTGCTTGGAGAATGGATTTGGTGCCGTTGATGGCGGGTAGAATCATATCTTCCTCGTTATCCTTGATGTCGTAGCTCAAGGGCTATGCACGGATACTCCGAATCAGCCTTTCCATGCCCATGCCATGCACAGTCAAACTTCTGCAGATATTGGCCATCTACTTACGCTAGCTACATGGACAATACCTTCCACGTCCTTGACTGCTTCTGTGAACGAGGTAGCAGTAGAGTAGTCGTCAACCTGGATCACATCAAGCATATGCGCATGCTCGGGCCTGGCACTCTTTAATGCCCTGGCTTTGTGAAGACTGCGTACTGCTATCCTGACCTTCAGGCCTCTGTGTAGGAGACCATCGAGGACGTGAGCGCCAATGAATCCCGTTGCCCCAGTCAAGAGGACATAGCTTATAGGACTCCCCGACATTGCAATCGAATTTTGTTTTCCCCGTGGGGATAAGTAAATAGCGTTGTAAGAACTAAATCGTCAGATCATGCGAATCGAACGATGTTGCCGATAGAATCATAGGCCTTGATTCTGGCGCTCCCTAATTTCAAGATCTTTGTAGTACATGTTGCCTCTGTTTGTCCTGGAGGTGTATGATGAGGGAAGGCACTGTGCTAATCTCAGGCTGCGAAGCATTAAAGTACCCCCACAAACGGCGCCTTGGGCCGGTCGGCCCCCACGGCTCTCAATGCCTAGGAAGGCATTTGACAATTGTAACTTAAACAAATTGGAGGGAGGCCGTGGGGATGCTCGACTTAAGCTACAGTGATGAGTATTTCACTCGCCATAAACCTCCCAGTACACCTAAATAGGCCTATCGACACCTCCCCATACCTAAACTGAGTAGCCATCCAACACAGCGACAGATGATTGTTCGTCCTCATCCTCAAGATCCAGATAATGTACGTTATGAAATGTCCTGCTACGTAGCGAAGTAGCCAACGTCCTTTGCTGACACATCATCAGAATTCACCTCAAAATCATTCACCTATGACGGTTCCGATCTTGATTGGCCCATTGAGAAGCGACTCGTGATCTGGTGCTCGAAGATAGAATTTTCGTCCTCCGTCGAGCCTGACATGTAGAAGCGAGCAATGGGAAGAACATAGTCGCGTTCTGCTGACTGGTGAACGAGCTACCAGTCCCAACCACAGACATATCTCCTCCATCGGCAGTGCAGGAGACAACGTTGCAACTGAATGCCCCTGACATGGATAACCAGAACGCTGATGGCAATTCTGGCTCCACAGCCGACGCTCAAGATCAGGATATGGCAGACGAAACGACCTGAGGAGGTATGCTCCACCTGAGACTGTGAAAGACGCCTATATTCATCATATCCAATTTCCATGCCGTGATCAAACATCACAAAAGCCGCTGAGCCGGTGACAACTCGACATCGCCGCCGAGCCTCAGTCGGCATGGCTGCCTGTGATGGCCAGGGTCCGCCTAATGGGCTGATTGCAAAGAGCTCTCGAGGCGTGTCGTTACGTCAAATGCAGGAACGATTGCCCATTTACTGGAGGTTTGCGGAACCTACAACTGAGACTGCCTTGGGTCCACGAATCAAAAGCTCATTGTGCAATGGTTGTGGCATTTACGTAGCAGCCTCTTCTTCGGATATGGACAGAGATATCTAAGATTATGTCAAGCCCACTGTGTTGTCCTTCGTAGCACTTCCTTATGAGAAATTGTATCAAATCTCAAACGAGTATTCGCCCTCAGTGTAAACTGAGTCCGCAGATATCTCAGAGATAAAACTCTGTTCGATTCCGTTCCACAATGCTTTCAGATCCAGATACTGCTGGAAGGGTATGACTCTCCGTAGCCTTTCCAGAAGTACCATCTCCGATAGTACTTCGTTCTGCCAACACAGGCGAGCGACACGGCTTGAAAACCATTCCCGATTCGATCTGTTCTGCGCCGAACTTTTCCAACCAAGATATAAAACCCAAAGAACGATGGATAGCTCGTCCTCGCCAAGAGCATGGGGTCTAGTGGTCTTTGACCTTTTCTCGGATTTCGCAGTTTCGAAATCTTCCAGTGAGTTGATGTGTGACAATTGTGACTTTAATCGGCTGCCCAATTTGTTGAACAGAACGGGAGCCACTAGGTCTCTCAAGGATGAGTAGGAGAGTATCAACGCAGCAGTACCGACACAGTCAGTTAAAGAAGCGCCGGGAAATTGATCGGCATCTTGTAAGGAGTCAACCCCAACCCCTGAGGATTGTGGCGACAAAATACTATACTCAAGCCTCCAGAGAGAATTGCTGAAGCTTTGGCAGACTTCCCTGTTACGATCCTTCAGCAATGAGAGCTTCGTTCCTGTCAACTCCCTTAGAACTTGAATTGTTTGTGCCATTGCAAAAGGCATATGCTGTACTCTTACAGCATCCGAGGGGTGGAAAGGAATCTTTGCGCCTTGGTCGGTAACTTTGATCGTCCCCTCAGCAGATCGTTCAGTCATGGCGCTCACGAAAGGCAGCTCGAGACGTGGCTTAGTGTTGTGCAAAGCGGCATGTAGCAAATCAGCCCAACCCGCCACACGCAGGATCTGCCGATTGGTGCTCAAGGACTTCATCCCTCCACGCAAGGCAATACATCTGGCGAGTCCTAATGAATGTTGTAACTGAACTTCAGGAGACCAATCGAAATGGTTGTCAGAACTTGAGAGCAACGCTACAGCTCCAATAGTAGCTTCGCTAACCGCTTGGTCGGCAACACTGAGGCGTCGCACAATGATATTCATAGCCTCCCCACGGTGTTTAAGATACAGCTTCGATGTATCTGTGGAGGCTGTGTCTCGCCAATGAATGGCAACCAATGCCAGTGTTGCATGTAGTATAGCGGTGTCCATCAGCGCAGTACTAAACCACAGTCCTTCTGGATTGCAAGCATATGAATTCGCAGTAAATGAAACATGATAATACTGCAACAGACTCAAAGTTTCTGATTCAGAGAGATCGATGGAGAGAGTCTGAAACGGATCTACCGTGTCAAGATCGTGCGCGGAGAGAGCAGAAGTAGCTGAAGCGATGTGGCGAAGTCTGACCGGATTGTTTCTAGTACTATCCGCTTTCTTTCGTCGTTTTGACCGCTTGAGAGGTTTGGACCTTTTAGCTGTCTTGAATCTAGTGACGTGAGTCTTGATATCTGTGGAAATACTCGCAGGGGAGAATTTCCAGTTGGGGTCGTTTTTGTGTCTGGCATACGATTGCATGACCAGAGAACGCAACGATTGATGGCCATCACTGTCTGCCCGTGGCATTGAGCCGGGTCCGGTGATCGTGACAAAGTGTAGGTGCGATTGAGATGCCGATTGAGACATGGTTCATTGGAATAAGAGCACGAGTCTGCGGTGTCTAACGGAGTCAAGGTCACGAACCCCAAGGCAAGGCTTAGAGCAATGATTCAGGGGTTCAATGCTCCCTTCGATGTAGGGTTGAATACTGTGAAGGCAGGAGGCTGTTCTGCACAGACAGGATAATCACTGAAGAAGTAACCATACGTTACGCTATTGAGAAGCCTGGCAACATTTGAGGCTTTTGTGAACAGGTAACAATTGGAAATCGAGACCAGGTCGCATTCTCGCGCAATCTTGACATTGTTTCGTAGAATCGTAGGATTAGTGAGCGGCCACCTTATATAATCAGCAGCCACTTTTGCAGCTGGCGCAACTTCTTCGGAGACCAAGCAGCTCATATTATCGACCAAAGCTACGGGTAGCGCAAGACAACATACTTAGTATCAAGAATGCCCGATATACGAGAGTTTCTCTCCGATGTGACGATTGCACACTATTGGAGGGGCTCATGCAGTGGTACTGGTGGCGTTCGCTGTAAGAGCTTATAAATCAAGCATTTGGGAACCCATCAATCACGTACCATTGCCAGGGGTATTAGCTGAACGATCTTGACTTCGGAAGGATGCATCAGGCCTGTTCTAACGGCGTCTATCAACACATCCCGAGTGCGCGAACTTTCATCACATTCTTACGCGGTTAAGTGTGCCGGTGACTCTGATGGCTCTCCAGATTGCTGACATAAGCCAGGAGGAATTTGCAGCAGGTGAGGACGTACTTGCAAGCCCGGGTAAACGACTCTGCGTCACCAAAGCCCATACCAAGTTTGATGGAATAGTACTCGCCATTCTTGTCCTCGCCAATCTTGTTGCCACCAATCTTGTCGTTCTGGATTTTGTACGGGAGAACTGGTTTGGAAGGAGTGCTCCGCATGGCTAGTGTTTTGTTGAGGGAAGGCTTTGTAGCGATATCTGTCGTGGAAGAGCGTTCAACATATCCGCCCAACTGGGAAAGACAATCGAGGAATGCTACCATGCCATTATCGAACCGCCGGTGATTGAGAACACGCCCAATGGCCATTTCGCCACTGCTGAACAAGTCTAACGGGGTGACTTTAGGCTCAGGATTTGGAGCTCCTGATTGCGATGATCGATCACGGCTGTTCACGACTCGTGTGACTTCTGGAGATTGTTGTGGATACTCCAGCTTTTCTATGCGTGAAGTGCTGCCTTGCGGCTTAAGGCGATAACCGTGGAAATTATACTTGAGTCTCTCTGCGACTGTAGTGATTAGTAAGAGTGTTTGTCCCCATGCCGCGTTGATCTCAGCCCATTCGACGCTCTGGTTTGGCAGACGACCCAAACGTAAGCCATTGATAGTTCCAAAGGAGCCGTCGTGGCCAATACAAAATGTATCATTATAAACGTTTGTCCGCTGGAGGCGCTCCAACTGATGTTGATCATGAGTTAACGACTGAGACGCGCTTGATAGATTAACAGAGACCTGATTGAGTTGATCATCCACCCCATTTCGAGAAGTCCAGAAGAACTGCTCCTGGACATCTGCTTGGTGTGTATCATCTTCCAAGGTGTTGATGTCAGCTTTCAACGACTCTATCTCGTCTTCGGTTCGCTCCAGCTGTTCGTAAAGACTATTCAGAATTCTTTGCGAGCCAGCCGGAGATTGCAGCCCACTCGTATGGGAATTGGATGCATTTTGTTGAGCAGTGCGTAAAAAGGATGAATATGCTTCTCTCTCGCGCGTTGCTCCACTCAAACGCGACTTCATCCCCGCGATGAGAATGGAGGTGCACTCGTTACATATAGGATGATCAATATCCGACCGTGAAGACAGGATAGAGAATAAGGCCTCTGTCTTAAGAAGACTTTTGCGTAGAGAATCAGTATTGCTATCCTTTTGATCACTGTCATCTGTTTCACCGTAAGGGCTCTTGTTCGTCTGATCGGCATGCTCCGCCTCTGGAAAAGCTATCTGAGACTGAGTTATTTCGATGAACGACATATCAGGCTTGGAGCTTCCTCCGCCATTGCGAAAAGACGAGACGGGGTCATGTTGAGGAGGAGGGATTGTCCTCTTATGGACAGCAGACGCGCCATTTTGGACGGCTCGATCGTATAGACTCTTCCGTTCCTGAGGGTATTTCAAGGAGGATTGAGAGATACCATTTTGTATAGATTTGCCTGCGGAGCCCGGAAGGCATCATTGTCAGTGATTTGTGATGCAGGGTAGCATGAAGTGGGATGGCAATGGATAGAGGCCGCCGTCAGTCTTACCGACAAGAACATCCAAAGTCGCCGGGTTGAGGCCTCCGATAGTGGCATCAGCACGAATTGGTTGTCTACATGTCTGACAGTACATCTCGAGCTCGTCACATACTGCCTGGCAGCAGATGAGAGTGAGGAGGGCGGGCTACTTAGTTCAATGTGCTGAGGGTTGAAGCAGTGCGATGCAGGCTGGTCATAAGTGAATGAAATGACGCAGGCTACATAGGGAGGTACCTACGTAAGTACAGATCGCACCTTCCGCCTTTTGAGGGGCAATTCCGCGGCTTGACGCGCTGCCTCAAGACGCGTCTGTCCGGATTAATTAAATTTCCCACGTACCAATGGGCTCCGAATCTACATTCCCATCTCACTCACCTGCCTGCGCCATCCCATTTTTCGAGGCATCAGTCCCAGGGACATGCTCAAATCGGAGACACAATAATCTCTCTTCCTCCAGTACCAGATCTATCCCACTCCGGAAATGGACGAGCCATTCCGCAAAAGACCCCGCCTTTCGATGTTCGCCGACGATTCTTCGAATACGGCTCTTGATCAAGACCTGGACTCTATGCGCTATAGGAATGACTTCCTGCTTAAGTCGAGGTTCGAGTCTATATTCGAGAAGTATTCCAAAGATTTCACTGGCATCGGCGATGAAATCGACCTCGAGACCGGGGAGATCATTGTAGATAATGGCCATCTACATTCGATCACGACCGAAACAGACACTGGCATGGGGAACAATGTTGACACGGGAAAAGCATTCCTCAAAGCTATGACTGTAGATCAAGATCCCGAAGACCCTTACTACAACGAAGGCGCCGACAACGTTCTCATGAGCATAGAGGAAATTGCAGAGAATGCCTTTAACGGCCAGTCCGATACCCAGGAGGATAGTGAAGATGACCTATTTCCGGCTCAGTCATTGGCCACTCCACCAGACTCGCGCGGCCATGATACGATAGAAAAGTCTGATTTCAAGTCCGAGTCCGACACCGAATCATTATTCGACGTTAAAATCCCCCTTCGCGACTCGAGTCCAGACTCTTTATTTGAGGCCTATTCTACTGCAGACAATGTCAAGGACTTCGACTCTCAGCCCGAAACTGCCGAGTTGATGGATTCAGCTCTTAGTAGTGAGAACGACCAAGACAGTGTTATACTAGCCAGGTATGGGGAGCACGTCGGTACTGAAGTAATTGATATGCTTCGAAGAGAAAGAGCAAAGGCCGAAGCACATATTGAGCCAGCCTGGCGGATCCCCTCGAACATCATTCCCCCCAAGGCATTAAATTCTCTTGGAACTTCCTCGCCATTGCCATCAATGAGGTCTCAGAGCCAGGACGATCGAATGCTTTTTGCTACGACCTCACAGCCGAAACGATCCGAGAGCCTGGAAATCCAGAAGTCCTTTTCCCGACCTCCGTCTGAACCATTGGAATCGCTGTGGAAAGCTCCCGGTCCAACCAGGATCAGAAAAGTTCGCAGACCCGCTCAGCGCTGCCGTACGAAACGAATACTTCGTGCCGATTCCGCAGATCCGCTCCAAGATGGTTTTGTGAGTGACCATCCGGAGCACGATGATGTTGAAGCTTCAGGATCCGAGTATGAGGCGGTAAAAAAGAAATGGAGAAGGAGAAATTCCTCCCAAGAATCACTCGACAACGAAGACGAACAGATAAAGAGCTTACAGCAAGGGGTTTGCGCCTATTGTGGTCGACAGTATAAAACGCGTGCTGGAGTTATCTCTCATTGGGCGAACCTTGCCGAAAAGTTCGAGACTCGAGGCGAGATAGATAACGTGCACGACATAACTTACCTTCGTGCATATCGCCAAAAGGTTGCACTCACTACCACCCGGACGACTAGGTTAGTCCTGTCAGATTTCAGGACGATGGTAGAGTTACATGAAGGAGCCGGTCTGACCTTTGCTGAAATTGCCGATTGTGGAGCATTGCGGACCAAGAAAACCGGTCCTGGTTTGGCGGATGTCTATGATCGGTATCGAACTGCACCAGTAAATAAGCCTGAACCCAAAGAGTGGTCATCTGAAGAATTGGCGGCCCTGGCAAAACTTTGCGAAAACCCGATCAGAGACATGAGCACTTTCGCCAAAACGCGGCAACTCAACGGGCGAAGCCATTTCGAGATAGCGGGGAAGCTGGCTGAGATCTGGCTGAATGAGCTGCAAAAGTCGATTCGGCGACCAAAAAGTGGCGACACTGTATCAACATCCCACAAGGCCATCGGAGGTGTTTGGCCCGCACATGTACATCGACGAGGCTCAACCGAAGACCCCTTGTTCATCAAGGAAGAATGCGATGACTGAGTTGTTTAATGATGGCCCAATGATCTGGATTTCACATCACGCCAAGTTGTGACCTTCAATTATGTCTTCCAGTGTCGTCTTTGCATCACCACCAACATCCCCAACTTGAGCCCAAAATTTCGACAGATGTCGCATTCCAGAGTCGCACAGTATCGTGACAACTTTGTGACCGGGACCAAGCTTGAGAGCCGTCTGAAGTGCAGCAACGCCTGTGTGCCGAGATTAGTTAGCATAGTGTAATGATAATGACATAGAACATGACATTCTCGCAGCTCGCCTCCATGAGCGGAGCCCCCAAAAACTTCTGCTCCTCGAGATACATGTAAACAACAAAAGATGAGAGAAAACTCACAGTTGACAGCGCTACTACTGCCCACAAAGATCCCATCATTCTCAACAAGCCACTTGGCCATATTCTTAGCCTGTGCATCCGAGACTTTGACAGCGTCGTCGATCTCCTCCCTGCCGACCTCGAAGTTTCTCGTCGACCGCGTCAACCCTATCCCCTCGACCACCGTATCAACCTGATCTCGCCGCCTGGTCCCCTCCCTCTCCAAACTATGGAACATAACACCATGCTTAACTTTATTATACAAGCCACTACCTTGAGGATCAGCTAGAACGATACGACACGCCGGCACCTTCTCCCTCAAGAACAACGCCACGCCAGACAACGTGCCGCCGGTCCCCGCACCGGCGACAAACGCATCGACCTCACCGCCCGCCTGCGCGAAGATCTCCGGGCCGGTCCCCTCAAAGTGCGCCTGATAGTTGGCCTCGGTCTCGAACTGGTCGGCGAAAAGGCCGCGTCCCTCGGTATTTTCATCCTGCGTATGCCTCGCCGCAGCACTCCGCGCGCGATTCACGAAATGCAACGGATCGACAATCGGCGCGGGGCTCACCCGCTCCACCACCGCGCCGAGCTTCACCAGCAGATCAGACTTCTCGAACGCCTGGTCCGACGGCATGAAGATATGCGCGCGGTACCCACGTGCGCGCGCCAGCGTTGCCAGCGAAATCCCCGTGCTGCCCACCGTGCCCTCGTAGATCGTGTCGCCAGAGTGAGGCGTCAGTTGGCCCTGCGCCTCGGCACGTGTGATGATGCTCAAGGCGACGCGGTCTTTCGGGGACTGGCCGGCCCCGTTGAGGAATTCGCATTTCGCAAGGATCGTGCACCCCGTTAGTTGCGAGAGCGATTTGAGCACAATCAGAGGCGTGTTACCGATTGTTGATTCGATGCCAGCGCCGAGGGGCCGGAGGGCGGTCAGTGAATTTGCTGGCGTGTTGTTGTGTTCGATGTGTCCGTGTCTTGTCGCTCGGCTGGATGTCGATCGCGCGAGATATGAGCGGAATGAGAATTTCGAGCGTAGGGTGTCGTCACTGTATCTCTGCCATAGTTGCTCAATGGCCAAAGCCACCGCAATGCCCACGCTGAAACTGAGCACAACTTCTCGCGAAACTTGCCATTGCATGCTCGGTCTGGCTCGTGCCAATTCTGAGCTTGACTTTTGAAAGTTGGAATCCGCCACACACTTGTAGGGGGCGTACTAGTCTCAGGCTTCTTGCGCGAAAACCGGTACCCCGTTCCGGCGCTGGAATCCTATCTGGACGTTCTGCAAATTCCACGTTGAGCTTCCGCTACAGTCCGCGAGAATTTAGCGGGATCTGGGTAGACCACAAGTTTCCTAGCCAGGATCTATTTATTTTAGTAGTTGATAAAAATAGGTCGAAGATTTTGAAATTATTGCACCATATGGCACGGGCAAACTCCGGGGAAACTTTTCACCCCTACCTACAATTGATAGCGAATTTATCTTGCTTTTGTGGTTATGTCTAGTTCATATTAATCATCATTCTACCTTTGATAAACTGGCATCCATAGTGCAAGATTCATGCTAAAATGCTACAGTCACTGTCATATCGTGTGCCTATGTTCTTGGCAAGAGTTGCAACGGGGCAACTAGCAGCTTTATAGACAGGTTGCATATCAAGATGATATTTTCTTTGGAATAGCTATAAGGTGTCTCCAACTCTAAGGCCACTGTGATAAGCCTCCGTCAAATGGTCGTCGCTAGAAACAGAAAAACATCACTTCATCAATCATATCGAGTCTCGTGGATAGTGAGTTGGTCGGTAAGCAGGGGCGAAAAATGGATCTTCCTCCTGCGACACCTTTGAGTAATTTGTCGGGGTATACGGTGACGCAGACTGCTGTCGAAGATAAGGGGAGACAAGAGGTGTAGATGATAAGCTGCGTAAGTGAAACGGTGCATTTGCACCTGGTGTTGACGCCCTGACCGGTTGTCCAAATTTCTCCCCTTTCTGAGTTACGGGAACCAAGCTTTGCAGTGAGGTCCATCGACCAAGACCCATATTTTCATAGGCTAGTCTCTGTACCTGGAAAGCATTGTCGAGTTCGTATTGCTGGTTCCGATAGCCTGGAGTTCCGCTCCATCCTTGGATCTTGGAGACAATTGTCGAGAGGGAGCAGTTCAAGACTATGATTAGCAGACCCATACCGATCGTGAAGTAGAGCCCAAAAATATTGATTGAATAGTGACTTGGGTCTCGAACGATCTGAGAACTGCAAGGGTCGAAGTCTCGAAGGAGATCCTCATCCGGCTTCTTTAGGTACGGTGAATCTGCAGGGGCTGGCCCTTTAACATAGGATTGAAGAGCTCTCTGTAAGCTTGTGACCGACTGTTGACCCCAGTAGAGAACCTCTCGTTTCCACTGATCGTTCGGAACTCCAATATGATCGATGCGTGATTCCCCAGACGACCCAGATGATGCTTGTAGAAGATTGGTGCCAACAGCTGCCAATTGATAGACAAGTCTGCTATATTTAATTGCGTGGAACATATGCCGAGCGACAGAAAGTTTTGCTTTGTTGCGGTCGGTGTCGATTTCCCAGTCACCTAGCTCTTCGAGGCCGACCAGGCCAGAACGGCTGCCATTGGATGCGCGAAACTCATGTTGTTCGACACAACCCATCTAAACAGAAACAGACAATATCAGTGTCAGGGATTGACATGTGAGATGGGAAACTGGGTTGCTATAGTAAACAGCAAATCACTGTAATCATCATCATCATGGAATCATTTGAACCCAGATGAGACTTGTGACAGACTGAAGTCCAATCCATATAGAAGAAGAATATGTTCAGAGACTTACAACTGAGATTACTCTTGACGATTTATATCGAATAGCACCTGAGGTATACTCGACGTCATCATCCGTGTTGTACCAGAGATCTTTGACGGGTTCCGCGTATCTGGCAAAATTGAAGAGCAAGACAAGTGTAACATCACCGTCCGTTCGATTGAGCCCGTCAATAGGCAAAAAAGTAGAATCTGCCTCATTTGAGGCCCTTGCTTGTGCCCACCTTTGCAACATTGTCAGCTTCATAGGCCGCCGGATTAACACCAGAATTCCCCAATACTCACAGTAGTCTATATGCTCGACTTGGATTTAGTAAATCACTGCGATAGAAAGAGAAGGTTGAATAGTTGTTCCTTTCATAATGGTAACCATAATCCAAGTAGTATTGTGTATCCGAGTCATTGCTGGCCATATTCCCAGTTGAATTGAAGAAATAATAGCCCTCATCGTGGATTGGAGCACATGTTTTGACACTGGAACGCTGTCAGCTCTTCTCAAGGAAAGCGCACGGATTAAGAAACCTACGTTCTATAATCGAGTGAATCATTCGGCTCTGAATTGATGCCTAGATGCTCGGCTGAATTGAGAAATCCACTATCGACCTGTATTGCCCTGTCCCGACACAGTGTTGCATTTGGAAACGGGCACTCTACTGTAACCGTACTGATGTTGAAAGTGCGATGAGCAAGCGTGTTACACATAGTACTGCTTGTACTTGCATTTGCACCATAACACTGATCAACATAACTGAGTGCCCATTGAGCATTAGCTTTATTCGCAATGAACCATTCGGTTGCTTGTTTCGTCTTTTCGATTGTGTCGAGGGGCTCGGGCGGATACATCAAATATCCACAAGCTGGATCTCTTTTCAACAGGACAAGGTTGGACGTTGAGGCCACTTGCGATGAGAAGAATGCCGCAGCAGTGAACAGGATAGCATGGGAGATCGCCAAAGCCAACAGCGGAAATGAGCGGGCGAAGCTTCGGGTCGCAGATCTCCAGTACCAAATAACCTTGGTGAGGTCCCATAGAGTGCCTATATTAGATTGGGAATTTCGAAGTAGAAACTGATGTTGGTGATGTAGAGCATCTTGGGCCTGTGGACTCGCTCTGAACTGGTGAACAATAAAGCAGATGATGGTCCAAAAATGGCTACCCACCAGTCGGACCCAGAGTGCAAGAAAGGCAATGACATATAAGCCTGACTGGTTGCTAACCGTCAAGGCTGAACCTGCCACAGAGTTCCTGGTATGATCGCTCCAGAGGCCTAGATAGACTCGAGTGTCGGACATGGCTTAAAAGATGTTCAAGATGCTTTTTGTGGTGAAACATCCGTTCTCAGGCTGGATAAGTAGTCCATCACAGATCGCCAGGCACCTGCAAGTCTGAACGCGCAAATGTTGCTTTAGATAGCCACATGGCAGACACCAAAGCGTACCCTGGGTAGGCCCGCCTTGTTCGCAGTCTGGTGCCATTCGAGGTCCTTGGCAATGACAGACGAAGGTGTGAGATTGGCGAGACGAGTTACAGCACCCAACTTATTGCGCGGCAGCGAGTACGAGCAGCTCCCCAATTTGTGCGATCTTCGATAAGAGTTTAGACGAGATTGGTCAGTTTTGGAGAGCCTCCTTCTCGCCCCCAAGAGCATGAACATCATGTAGGGGGGCCGTAATTGCAGGTGAGAACACTGCCACGCTTCAAAGTCATCAGGCCTGCCCGCCACTCGGCAACTGGGAACGTTCCTTAGCTTTAGACATGGCTATAGTAACACTGGTGCACGCGACTAAGTAGCAATGCAGACCAGTTCCTGACGTACAGCTCCTTCCTCACTTCATAGGCAAATCTGCGATGCTGACCTAAATGAGGCCAGCTGCAAAACATTGGAGCCGAGGGAGTTGAAACATGAGTAGTAGCTGCCGTTACAGGTCTTTGGCACATTAGCTACTCAGCTCAAGTCTGTAATGGCAAGGCGCATATCCGATATTGAATTGGAACACGAGTCACCAGTGTCTGAAAGTCTCTCATGGACGCCCAAATCGCATTACTGCGTCGGAGCTGAAAGGTTTGAGGCTGCCCTGGGTGAACGTTAGTCGCCAGGTTGGTTTACCAAGAGTCGAACACGAGAAGGGTTACAGACAACCTCCCAGCTGTGCGTTGAGGATGCGTCGGGTCATTATTATTAATTATTTAAGTAAGGAATCTTGAAGCCTAAGAGCCACCGTCCTCGGGCGCCTCCAGCGCCTCCAACGGGAGACTGATAGGCCGAGGGGACATTTCGAGTGCCAAGACTGCAGCTTTTCGGGACGGAATGACATTTTGCCGGGGACCAAAATCACAAATCCGGGGAAGACAGACAGCCTTCTCGAGACACCCATTCTTGAACTCTGTTCTCGCTCCTCCTCGGTTGTAGCTTTTCATCCCTCCCATAGGTGCCTCGATCTCGGACATCCCGCTCCTGTACAGGTGGATGGACTCCCCGGCTATTGCACGCATCTTCCAACAGCTTGCGCGACCCTCACGAAAATGCCTACACAGCTTCGACCAATGGCCTCGAAAAGTAGCTTTGTCCCCCCTCGACCTTGGACGGTCATATGCCATCGGGCGCAAAGTCCAAGCTAGAACAGAGAATGGAAGTTTCTGGCAACAGAGATCAGATCTCTTGACAAGAGACTTGAGTCGTGAAATCCAAGAATACCCTCGCATCACCGCACGCGAGCTCCGACGACGAACCCAACGTCCGCGGAGGGTCAAGATGTTCACGCGAGATTTTATCGAAGGTCAGGACGAAAGGAAAACATGGGAATTAACACAAGGCTGAATGATTGCAGACAGTTTATACAATCCAAATTATGGCTACTTCACAAAGCATGCCACCATCTTCAATCCCGGGGAACCCTTTGACTTTCCCAGAATCAAAGACGGTGCGGAATTCAACAAAATGGTGGATCTGAGCTATATCGATTTTGAGAATGCATTGGACGAGGTCAAGTTCGACGAGTTGCGTCAGCTCTGGCATACCCCGACCGAACTCTTTCGACCATATTACGGTGAAGCCATTGCTCGATACCTGGTCACCAACTATAAAATGACTCTGTACCCGTACCATGATCTGATTATATACGAAATGGGTGCCGGAAACGGAACTATGATGCGGAACATCCTGGACTATATCCGAGAAAACGAGCCCGAGGTATACTCACGCACCAAGTACAAGATCATCGAGATTTCAGCCGCTCTCGCCGACCTACAGATGACGAGCATCCGTCAATCTCCATACGGTCGCGAGCACATGCAGCACATCCAGGTCATCAACCGCTCTATATTCGACTGGAGCGAGTACGTGCATTCCCCATGTTTCTTCCTCGCACTAGAAGTCATCGACAACTTCCCCCACGACAGCCTCCGGTACGACCCAGAAACAGAAGAGCCCCTGCAGGGCAGCATCCTGATCGACGAGCACGGCGAATTTCACGAGATCTACGACCGCCACCTCGACCCAATAGCCCTACGCTACCTGCGGGTCCGAGAAGTTGCAGCACGCTCCCCCTTCATGACGCCGGTGTCGCAACCCAAACTCCTGCGCAAGCTGCGCTACTCGCTCCCCTTCGCGCCGAACCTCACCATCCCAGAATACATCCCCACGTCACTCATGCAATTCTTCGACGTGCTGCACCAATACTTCCCCGCCCACAGACTCGTCCTCTCCGACTTCGACTACCTGCCCGACACGGTGCCGGGCCTGAACGCGCCGGTCGTGCAGACTCGCTACCAGCGCCGCAATGTCCGGGTCACCACGCCGTTCGTGCACCAGGGGTATTTCGACATTTTCTTTCCCACGGACTTCGCCATGATGGAGGACATCTATCGCGCAATCACTGGCAAACTGACCAGAGTCGCCAAGCATCAGGATTTCCTCGAGAGTTGGGCCATCCTCGAGGAGACTCGCGTCAGGAATGGTGATAACCCGCTACTCACTTGGTACGCCAATGCGAGTATGATGACTACAATTTAGGGGAAACTAGGGGTCTGTAGGATGAGGAGTGCGAAACATGTATATATACCTAGGTCTGAGGTTCCACACAGTCGGGGTGAAGGCTGTGTGCGAATAATAGCTGATTGTATTTTTGCCGGGGGCCAAGAGAAAAGAACAAGTTGAAGTCTCTAGCGTACTTCAGTCTAGCCCAGGAGAATATCTCTCAAATCGCCCTTTCTCGATCTTTGGATTGTCATCATCATTTCAAAATGCTTCGTCATGACGCTGAAGGCGCCGCATGGCCAACATAACCGTGAACAATTTTAACAGCATTTAGCCCTGGACGCGGAATGTCCTTCCACTGGCCGTCTTCCTTTCCCGTTCTTCCGTCTCTGGTCGTGCGCGGTTGAGAACTGGAGGATGTATGTTAGTATAAAAAGAAGTCCTGAATCATAAATCCTCCAGTTGCACATACCTTGCAAGAAATCGGCTGTTCTCCGTCGCATTCTCGAGTGGATGTAAGCCTTGGAGGCTTTGATGTGATAGTGGAAATAATCCCGGAAAATCTGAATGTGAGAGATCACATCCTCACGGCGTTGGCGGGCTAAATGGCGAGGGAAGAGAACTAGGAATTCACATAGTGGTTAGACAGATATCGATGAGATGATTCTCTGATATTCCCAGTGCTCCAAGAAGAACATACCAAAAGTGATAAAGCCAACCTCGCCCTTCTCGCCCGTCTTGCCCACACCTTTGAGACCCTGCAACTCGAGCGGCGGATCGCTGCGGAAGAGCACCTGGGGAGCGTTCTGGATGGCTCTCCGTCTGGCATCGACGAATTCCTGTAAGAACACTTTTGCGAAGATCTTGTCCACAGCATCGGTGAATAATGTGGAGAAAATAACGGTAACACGATCGTGGGATGCCTTGATATAGATGGCCTCTTCCTCGCGGTAATGCACCGACATGACCTCGCCGCCCTCTTGCACGCCTTGCGGCGCCGACTCCGAGGTATACTTTGCGGCTTCTTCTGCGAGGGCGGAGAATTCGTCGAAGGCCTTCTCGAATGGTGCGGCCATCACATTGCGTTTGAGAAGGGAGATCCGGCGCACTAGCTCTTCCCGTTCCTCCGGCGTGGGAGGGAGGTTGTCCAGGTCAATCAGAATACTGAAGTCGTAGCCTGCTTCAGTGCCTGTAATGTAGCTACCGTATTCCCGTGACAACACTGCTTCGGCGCCATATTGTACGAGTTCTCGGAAGCATTTGATCTGTAGGGAAATGAGGATCTGTGATTTGGTGGTCGGGGTTGAAATGTGGAAGGTTACGCCGTCGAAGTCAGACACTACTTGGTCAATGGATTGTGGAGGGGCGCCAGAGAATCGTTCGGTCAGGATGGATTGAATGAGGACATTTTGGTAGTCGAGGAGGAGCATGTTGGATGGAGTGTGAGGTGCCTTGAGGCCCTCGAGTGTGAGTTTTCGAGTAGACTTAGTTGCTAGTAATGACTGAAGTCGGTTCTCACTCCCTCAAGACCAGCGAAATGTGTCTTGCCTGGTGGTGGATAACGAGTGTTACAGTAGTCGTAGGTGGTTCAATGGCGGAACCAACGTCAGATGTGCCCGCAGTCAACAGCCAAAAGCCACAGGGCAGTTTGGAGGCATGGTGGGCTGAAATTCGAATCACGTGCCGACCATGGAGAATATCATGTGACCGATCTTTGCTCCCCCATCTTTGAGCCCCGTTTCTCCCCTCAACGCCAACTTCGAAAGTTAGTCCCGGCCTGGAACCCACCAGGTTCATCAATTGGGAACCTATGAATCGCACTGCAAGTGTCCAACTGAGCATAGTTCCATGTCGACAATAATGTGTCCATGCCCGATCGAGATGTTGATCACTTGAATGCTGTGATTAATGCTACCGAGCTGCTAGATGTATAATTCTTCGACTTCGTGAGAAGCTATAAAGGTTCCTTTCCCCCCTGCTAGAGCTCTTCCTATGCAAGTCTACCTCGTTATTTTCTCCTGCGTTGTTAAGCTCGAACATGACCTCTCCTGAAGTCGATCTCCACGCGTCACCGGACGCTCCAGTTACCGAAGGCTCGACTGTGGCAGGTCGACCACAGGAACAATTGGAGGTCCAAGACAACGGCGATGGCGCTAATTCAGCAGCAATTTCGTCCGAAGAGCGTGCGTATCCCAATGGCTTTGCATTATGGATGTCCATCACCTCTCTTCTTTTGACCGCAACGTTTTATGGCCTAGACATGACCATCGTGGCCGTGGCTATTCCCAGTCTCACTGATCAGTTCAAGACTGTGAATGACATTGGCTGGTATTCCTCGGTTTTCATGTTGCTCAGCAGCAGTTTCACCTTTTTTTGGTCCAAACTATATACTCTGTTCCAGGTGAAGCGAGTCTTCCTAGCCGCCATCTTCTTCTTTCAATTGGGCTCGCTTCTCTGTACCGTTGCTCCTACCAGTGCAGTCTTCATCCTTGGTCGTGCAATTGCAGGGTTTGGCGGATCTGGAATCAGCATGGGTGCTGGAACCATCATGATCTACAGCTTTCCTCTACAGAAACGACCATTCTGGGGTGGCCTCATTGCATTTGTGCAGACTCTTGCCATGGTCACAGCGCCATTGCTGGGAGGAGTTTTGATAGATCGATTCACGTGGAGAGCATGTTTTGGCATCAATATTCCTATCGGGGTACTGACGTTCGGCCTGACTGCATATTACTTCGACAACACCCCAACCACTACTACTGACAACGCTTTATCACTCAAACAAAAGGTCAAGAAGATGGATCTGGTAGGCACATTCTTCTTTGTGCCAGGCATTGTTTGTCTCTTGATTGCCCTACAGTGGGGAGGTATCAGATATGGCTGGCAAAATGCTAGAATCATCAGCCTCTTCACGGTCTTCGCAAGTCTGATCAGCATTTTCTGCTATATACAATACAGGGAGAAAGAAGACGCGGCGCTTCCACCGAGAGTCTTGAAACAGCGAAGTGTCTTGGCTGGAGCATGGTTCTCAGTTTGCTGCAGCGGTGTGCTGGCCATCACCGAATACTACATCGCCATATATTTTCAAAGTGTAAAAGGTTTCTCTGCCACGAAATCTGGTGCTTTAGGTCTGCCAACTATCATTGGTTTGAGTGTGTCTGCACTGACCGCTGGTGCATTGATGACTGCTGTCGGATACTATTACCGTAAGTCTACGCTACCCTTGACGTGAATAAACGTATTGAGAATTGTCTTTAGCCTTCATGATTGTGACCTCGGTAACCGCTCCAGTTGCAGCGGGTCTTCTAACGACACTCAATCTCGACGAAAGTCTGGTGAAGGTACTCGGGCTTCTGGGATTTCTAGGAGTCTCAATGGGCCTGGGGATCCAAGCACCATTTGTTGCAATATACACTGTCCTTGATCCAAAAGACGTGCCTATCGGCATGGCCCTTAATGGATTTGCAGGAGGAATTGGGTCTGGGCTTTTCCTCTCCGCGTCCGCGGCCCTCTTTCAGAATCGCTTGGTTAAGGAAATCTCTTCGCATGCACCTTCTACTAACATGACGATATTTGACCAAGGGGGTCTGGCTCATCTCAGGCAACAGATTGGCAGTGATAGACTTAGGGATGTCTTGCTGGGCTACGACAAGGCAGTCATGCAGACATTGTACATGCCGGTAGCACTTGCTATACTCACCCTGTTGGGCAGCCTTATGATGGAACGTAGGAGTGTGAAGAAGAAGCAATCGTGAGAGGGATTGGGGAACGATCTTCATGCTGAGTCTCGACGAACATATAACCAGCCAGTCTACGCTATTGCTAAAAAATGATTGGAGGTTGCTATCATCTAGGAAGCACAGCTCTGCAGGATCTACCTAGTGATTTCCAATGGCTGAGATACTGTTTACACGCTCAGCCTTCTGAGTGCCTGACCACCAGATACATTTGCAGGCGGACCCTTGCTTAAAGCAGCAACTTCAACCCCTCACTACGAGTAAGTTGGAGTCCTCGGCAAACCTTCCTTGCTCCCCCGTGATCTCTTCATTGCAAGAAAAAAAGTTTAGAGACAGTCGCAAACTTGAAGTCGCTGCGTCGCCAATGGTGCACCAACATTGTTCTCCCACTGCGCCATGGTCAAGTCATATCTGTTCGTCAAACCACTCATGAAAACGTTCCTCAAGATTTCCTCTGCTAACAGTGTCTCAGAAAATTCGAACACTCCAAGACCTTCGGCCAAATATGCACCAACTCTGCGAACATCATCTGGGACGCATCCCCATCCTCTGCAGCGAGCGGTGACAATAGCGCGAAAAAGAGTGGTGCAGGCCATGCCTATGCTCCGGCCAACGAGTCCATCCTAGTGTGGGACCTCAAAACATCGACAATCCTATCGACCTGGACGGTCCCTGACAACACTTCTTTAGTGACGGTGATCGCGCGGAGTAAGACCGATCCCGATGTATTTGCAGTCGGATATGAGGACGGCAAAATCAGAATATGGGATTCCCGGACTGCAACAGTAATCATCACATTCAATGGACATAAGACGGCGGTCACGCAGTTGAAATTCGACGGTTCTGGTGCGCGACTGGCGAGCGGGTCTAAAGATACGGATGTCATCATTTGGGATTTGGTTGCGGAAGTTGGGCTGGTGCGGCTGCGAGGACACAAGGATCAAATCACAAGCTTGAATTTTCTGAGTACGGAGGACAACGACAGAGATGGAGATGCACCGCTGGAGAGCTTGAACGATCCTGCCAATTCGGACACATACCTCCTTTCGACGAGCAAAGACGCTCTGATCAAGGTTTGGGATTTGACTACACAGCACTGCATCGAGACGCACGTCACTCAGACGAATGGTGAATGCTGGGCGCTCGGTATCACAAGGGATGGGAGCGGCTGCATTACCGCGGGCAATGACGGCGAGGTCAAGGTGTGGTCAATTGACCGGGGAGTCCTTAAAACAAAGCTCACAACCACTCAAGACGAAGGATTAAATGTCCTCCATGAGCGAGGTGCATTATACAGACAGGGACGAGACAGACCCTTAGCGGTCGTAAGCCATCTCAAACGCGACATAATCGCCATCCACGGCTCAGAGAAGACGGTCGAGATTCTGAGGATACGTTCCGAAACCGAAGTCAGGAAAACACTGTCACGGAAACGCAAACGGAGAAAGGAGAAGACCGAGGCTGCGGCGGACGGTGATTCGGGGGTTGACGTCGCGGCAGATGACAACGAGGAAACGGGCGACATTTCGAGCGCTGCTGTTTCAGATATCATCGTTCCATATGTCACTGTACGGACTGGAGGGAAGGTGAGGTCCATTGACTGGGCAAATACCAAGTCTGGAAAGTCATTCTCAATATTAGTCGCCACGTCCAACAACCAACTCGAAGTGTTCGAAGTGCTGGCCAGCGAGAAAAAGAAAGGCACAGAAATCCCCGATTACAACCGAACGTTGTCTGTGGATATGCCAGGCCATCGCTCCGATATCCGTTGCGCGGCTTTGAGCTCAGATGACAGGATGCTCGCCACGGCATCGAATGGCAGTCTCAAGATATGGAACGCAAAGACCCAAAGCTGCCTACGAACACTAGATTGTGGGTATGCGTTATGCCTGGCATTCTTACCTGGTGACAAGATCGTGGTGGTGGGAACACGAGAAGGAACACTAGAAGTATTCGACATTGCGGCCTCAACGCTGCTCGACACGATCAAAGCACACGAGCGAGACATCTGGTCCCTACAAGTGAGTCCCAACGGCAAAGGACTAGTCACAGGCTCGGCCGACAAAAGCGCAAAGTTCTGGGATTTCAAGGTCGTGCAAGAAGAGGTGCTGGGAACGACACGCAAGAACGCAAAGCTGACTCTCGTGCACTCGCGGACGCTGAAAGTCGCCGATGACATCTTGTCCGTCTGTTTCTCGCCGGACGAGCGCCTCCTCGCGGTCAGCACGCTCGATAGCACCGTCAAGGTGTTTTTCGTCGACTCACTGAAACTCTTCCTCACCCTCTACGGCCACAAGCTGCCCGTGCTGAGTATGGATATCAGTTACGATAGCAAGTTAATCGTCACGTCGAGCGCGGACAAGAACGTCCGTGTCTGGGGTTTGGACTTTGGAGACTGTCATAAAGCCTTCTTCGCACACCAGGACAGTATTCTCTCTGTGATGTTTGTGCCGAACAACAACGAAGGCAACGGACATCATTTCTTCTCGGCCTCCAAGGACAAGGTCATCAAGTACTACGACGGCGACAAGTTCGAGCAGATACAAAAGCTGGAGGGTCATCACGGCGAGATCTGGGCAATGGCGATCGCACACTCGGGCGAGTTTCTCGTAACGGCTAGCCACGACAAGAGCATCAGGATCTGGGAACAAAGCGACGAGCAGATTTTCCTGGAGGAGGAGCGGGAGAAGGAACTCGAGCAGCTGTATGAGAACACGCTTTTGACATCACTTGAGAACGACGACGCGAACGGTCTGGACGACGAGGACGGACCCGAGGCCACTGCGGCTGGCAAGCAGACATCACAAACCCTCATGGCCGGCGAGAAGATCACGGAGGCACTGGAGCTCGGTCTGGAAGACCTGAGGATCATGCAGGAGTACGCAACGACGAAGAGATCGAACCCCAAGGCTGCGCCCCCTCAACGAGACCCAGTGTTCCTGGCCAACAACAACGTAACAGCGTCAGTATACGTACTCAACACGGTGCAAAAGATCCCGTCGGCGTCGCTGCAGGACGCGCTGCTGGTGCTGTCGTTCGCGCAGCTGCCGGCGCTGTTCACGTTCCTGGCGCTCTGGGCCGTCGAGGGCAGGAACATCCCGCTGACGTGCCGCATCCTGTTCTTCATGCTCAAGATCCACCAGAAGCAGCTCGTCACCAGCCGCGCCATGAAGGTCCTGCTGGAGGACGTGCGCGACAAGCTGCGCACCGCCCTCGACACCCAGAAACACGCCCTGGGCTTCAACCTCGCCGGCCTGAGGGTCTTGCGCAGGAGGCTCCACGACCTGGGCCACGCCGACTATGTGGACGACGAGACTTGGGATGATGACGCCCGTCGCCTGCCGGCCGCCGCGGCCATGTCTCGGGGGAAGAAGAGAGGTTTTCGGAACGTGGCGTGAGATTTTGGGTTTTGGGGGAAATCAAATAAAGCGGCTTTCGTTGTGAGCCCCTCCCCTCGGACAGAATTCCCCTGTGATGGAAGAAACTTTTCCTTTCTTTGTCTCAGCTCTACGACTACTGGCTGTGTAGGTATGTACCAGTTACGAGGACGGCGCACGGCCAAACGACGGCGCAGATTGTAATGATTCACAAGAACTTTTGTTCCCGATGGGCTTTTTGACATAAACTTATCCTGGCTGGTGGCGGTCAATTACCGCATCCCGAGTCCCGACAGAGTCTATTCGTGCCCCGTCCGTTCGCACTCAGCCTCCCCCCTTTTTGTGGCGACGGTTTGAGGCGTGAGCGGAAGCGCAGCCATCGGAGAATAAGAACGCAACAAATTGGTGGTGGTGCTGGTGGTGTGATGACTTTCTGTGAGGGGGCGGGCGGGAAAGGGAAAAAAAAAGTACCCTTAAAGAATGGAGGGATCATTATTACCTACTCTTAGTATTCAAATCTTGCGTCTGTGTAACTAGTATCTCAACTCGGTATGCATGTACCACTACTACCGAGTATCCGAACACCATGTCTCCCCCGGGGGAGCTTGATTTCGTTTAGAGTTGTGAACCTCACCGTCGGAAGCTCATGGCAGCGTGTCTGCAACTGCCAAATCGGGATCCGAAGATCTTGCTGGGTGTAGAAGGGGGAAAAAGCGGATATATGCACAGACGATTTGCAGATGCACACCTCGTACCTCCAAGACCAATGAACAAGGATGGAGATGCATCATATCGAATGATGTGGTCCAGATCTCACTTTTCGGCTCGGTTCTGGATGCTGCGATCGATTGTGCGATCGATTGTGCGATCGAGTTCTTCCGTGGCTATTATGATTGTGGTGCTGGGTATAGTAGATAGCCATTTCTTCAATTTTGATGGTGCATGACTCGTGCGGTCGTGGACAGAACGCCCTGTTGCAGTAGGGTACCGAGTACTTAGGTACGTACGTACGTACCTTGGTTTTTGTCACTCGCGCAAGGACAGCTGTAATCATGACGTTCAATTGTGATCCAAGCGTAATGCATGGGACGAGTTTCTGTCCTACTGTACACAGAGAAATCAGAAGCCTAAGGTTTGGGCTTGAGCGTGATACGCTTGTTCAATCCAGGCCAGCATGCTCCAAGGATTCGAGTTTGCGTTCATCTCCATCTTCTTCTTCTTTACCTTCTCCTCCTTACGATGGTCCGTCTAGTATATAGTTAAGCTGTAGCCCATGAACTCAGACTCAGGAGAGTGCTATCGGTGGCCGTGATAATGTGACTATCATCCCGTGAAGTGCAAGTTATATGGTAGACCACGTCAGATGGGGAGCTTATCCAAGTTCTTAGCCAGGTGCACCTGTCTCGCTTGTCGGATCCTGCACCCTTGTCTACCGATTACAGGGATCAATTTGTCGGGACCAATTTGCTGATCTGGTTGGATGGTAACTCTTGGGGTCGAGGGGGAGGGGCGCGAGGGCCACCAATTCTCTGTAAAGTTGTGTCTTGGGGACACAGACCACCCCTGGTGAGGTTTGCTCCTTTCGATGACTAGTGTCCGTATCCGTAGCCAGGACTAGAGTTCAGCATTTACGAGGACTTGGTAGGAGTGCCCGTTGGATCCAAGCCACCTGACTGTTCGAAGTTTACTGAAAAGATGAATGACAGGTCGGTCGATGAAATAGTCCTCATGCCTCTTTGACGGGTTTAGTCACACCCAAGGCTTTTCCTGTGTCAAAAGCCAGTAGCACAGGCCATGTCGGGTACGTGGATATTCTTTCTGTTGAGACAACATGACTGCAAGAAGCGTTTTTCATGCAGTGGGCGTTTGTCAATTTGACAGACAGGACCCGACACCTTGGATGAACGAGACGGGAGGCTGCCGTTGTCCGCTTGGACCAGCCATGGCCCACGGGGGGTTGAATTCAGAAACTCACAAAGTCAAACGATCGTGTCCTTGCCGCTGGCATGTGTCAGAAGAACAGCTAACACTGGGAGTAGTGGCGGTGGTAGCAACAGAAAGTATCAAGGTTCAAACTCAGCTATCAAAAACGTCAGTGACAGCTTCCAAGTCATCGTGACCAGATTGGGCAGGAAGCCAGTCTCGTTAGGGCTGAGGGGCGCCTCGGGCTGGCGGGGAAGACATCTTAGGCATTGTGGTTGCCCGAGAGGCCCAAAGGCTCCCTTGCGGAGTACTCTTAGGCATGATTCACTCAGCCTGAGGCTCCTACAGTTACCTGGTATTAGTATTGACAGCTTTCATGCTAACATGGAGAGCCTGTAGAGGTTCGACTTGCCAATAATGGTCTAGCGGAGGGCCAATGCAGCACTCATAGTCTTGTACGGACACCGTGCTCGTAGAGACACTCATGAGAACTAATGGTAAGCCTGTTACGAAGTCCTACCAGTAACCACCTAGATGCCTGGGGGGAAGGGACCCAGGTGTCTACTTACAGGCTACGATTGTGGGGGCTGGTAACCCTCTGCACCGGGCTCAGGTACCGAACGATCCCTGGAAGCTCTTGGGTCTGGTGTCCTCGCCTTCCGAACTCTCTCTCTCTCACCCTCGAACACTAGGGGACTCGAGCCTACAGGTTAATTACGGGTTCGAAGGGTCAGAGGGGTCATCTCGGTGCCTCCTGGACAGCCACTGTGTACCTAATGAGGACAAAGCAAAGGATACATAAATACCTTGCACTCGTACAGTGTTCAGACTGAGAGTGTTCGTAGAGTCTTGTCACTCTTCCACACAACCGTTTCTTGGGCTTCACCCACGGTGGAGCGGCTTAGGCATGACCCCAGCACGCCCCAGTTCTTGTCGCTTACCAACTCGTATTCGCCTTGCTAGCTCCCGCCTGGAAGACAAAGACAGTTAATCAGTCGCTAATCTGAGGGCCAAGTAGGCCCTAGCTCCACCACGAAACATCTTCCCCTACTGCGCAGGCCAGGCAGGCTGTCCTTAAACCATGCCTGGGCACTCTCCTGCCGCATGTTTACGAAGTACCTAGGATTCCAGGCCAAGTCATGCCAACTTACTGGAAGGTGCTCTGATGCTCTCTAGACTCCCTGTCTTTCAACACATGCATTGGCTATCGTGCCGCATTCTGCGGCGCTCACTCGGCTTCTGCACCCTCTCTGTTGCGAATTCAGCAACGCTATCGTGCCGCAGACAGGGTTGTTTCAACCATCATGGTGCTTGAGAGTCATCCTCCACGAATATCCATTTCCGGATGTCCTCAATTTACGGGAAATCCCGGACATCTGGATCATGGTGATCGTCTTGTCTCTTCATCCTGAATTTGTCCGAAAAAATCACGCTGCCCGCATGAGTGTCAAACCAATGGAACACAATACCATGCAAGGTAACAATCTGGCAGTATGCCAAACCTATAATATGTACTCTCAGCCGGTTCATTCTTCAGTAACAGTGATCAAGTTATCAACTCGCACCGCGTCGGGGGAATCATAGACGAATCAATGAGGTGGCCACACCCGACAAGTCCGAAGGCTTTGACGGAGTCTGCAGCCTCAACGAGATCTGACGTGCCCTAACCTCGGTGGATCGACGATCTGCCCGAACCAAAGTCTGATTCAAACTCTCCACGAGCCAAGGACAAGGGAGCCTGGTTGGGTCACCGACAAGGAATGCCCATCCTGGCCAGGTCGATGCCTGTTTGAGTCTTGACTGGCCATGGCGTTCTTTCTGCCTGCCTAAATTGTCGTCTCGAGTCACGTACCGCAACGACGCTAACGCGTCTCAGCCTATTTCCTTCTTCCATTCGTCTCTTTGGTGAGATCGTGACGAGATCCACCCCAATGGCTTTCGTCTGGCCATTGGACAGAGTGCACACCTGACATCTCGCACTAGCTCTTCGCCCAACCAAACCGTCTCGCCAGGGGCTTCAACGGTCAAAACGCTCCTGCCGGCCGCACAGCCGTAGCACTTCGCAATTTTAGGACATGGAGGTTTGACGTGAAAACCCAAGAAGTCACCAGTCAGAGTTGGCGCTATCCACTGCAAATAATCATGCCCATTTTTCGCTCGACTGGCATTTCCTTCATGGCAGACCAGTATTGGTCCCACATGTGTCATACCCTCCCGAGGACACTTCCCTACTGAGCTGGGCTCGTCTCCATCATGATTATTGTTTTCCAGTTCCACAGAGCTGCTTCTAAACATCCGTACAAGTGGTTCAGGGGCTCGACTCAAATGTATTCTACGAGGCAACGAGTTCCGCCTGGTCAACACACGTATTCCTACCTCAGCTCCAGCACCTCCCTGGTTTGAAAAAAAATTCCCCGACCTGATCAGCAAATGTGGAACATTGCTCGTGGAATCCACGTAGATTGCGAACTTGGTTGCCCTACGTAAACCTTTCACCATTAGAGTGTATATGATTGACTAACATCGTAGATCGTTTGGTGTACTGAAGTTGGCCATTGTGGAGTTTTCCATGGCCAGATGGAGTACTAACGAAGTTCTTCGCTTCCTAGCTGACGCTTGCAGACCACACATGGGCTCCCTTGACTTTGAACAGGCCAGGGTGAATTTGTCAAGCACATATTTTTATGCTTATCTAGGCATAACCTGTTGAGCCTGACTGGGATCAACCCATGCCCACCGATCGATTCCCTGTGGAGACTGGCGTCTCTTTGGGACCAGTTACACGGGCCTTGCAGCTACTCTCCTGCGCGTCAGAATGCCCACAGAAACCTGGGAATGTTGCAGACCACAACCTGAGAACCTCAACAGATCCGGCCAAGCCCTTTCGCTAGGACTGTCTTAACTCAAGAATTAACTTCGCACTGGTCCGAGCCTGGCATCATTCGTTGCTTCCTGGCCAGCAACCATGGCGGCGTCTGCCTTTCCACTCTGCCTCAGAGTAGTTTAGAGCAACTGGCATGACAAGATCCCCAGTGCCGGGTAGCAGACCATCATCGATCCCACTTGGGATTTGCGGACTTCAATCATCCTCGCAAATCCAGCAGACTCCTCCCAAAAAGGACGTGAGTTGCACTCCAAACTCTTCCCTGCCGCGATGCTAGCTCGTGCATCAACGCCTCTTTCCTGATCCCACTCCCTCCCTCCACTTGGCGATCCCAAGGAGTTCATCAAGAGTATCTGTACCATAGTTTTCATCGTTCTTGTTGACAGCCAATCGATATAGTATCTCGTGTACTGCAGCAGATCGTCCCTGTTCTTTCCAAACCCTGATATCCCGAACTTTACCTCCATTACAACAGAAGCAAAGTTCGCTAATTCAGGTTGCCTTGTCGTTGACCGACTACCCAACGGGCATACGCTCTCTGCCTAACATCCATCATTCGCTTTTTTTGGAGACTCGATCTGCATCTTCCACATTGTGCGATTGAATGCCGCGGCCATCTGTTTTCGAGACTCCAGAGCATATCAACCTTCAACCTTCACTTTCCGCCTATTCAATAACCAATTGGACCCCACTGTGCCTGGTTTACTTGTGGGCACACTTTTCTCAGGGTGTGGTTACCCTCTGAGCCCCATCACTTTGCAGGCGAAAGCCGGAATTCAACCCCTCCTTCTCACCATATCAGCACATAAGCAGTGTCCATATACACCCTCTTTTCTTATCCCCATTCAAGGTCGGTTCTTGAGGAGTCGTCGTGCTTAAGACTTTGGTGCCTCCCATCATGTCACGCACCAGTCGACGAGGACCTTGGCTCCCTGAAGAAGATGGTACTCTTCTACACCTGGTCCGTACACAAGGGCCAAACAATTGGGTCCGAATTTCCCAACATATGCAACATCGATCGCCAAAGCAGTGTCGGGAGCGATATCACCAGAATCTGAAGCCAACTCTGAATCACGAACCCATCTCGAACGAAGAAGGGGACGTAATTGAACAGCTAGTTCAGGAGATGGGCAAGAGATGGGCCGAAATTGCAAGACGGCTGGGAAACCGAAGCGATAATGCGGTTAAGAACTGGTGGAATGGTAGCATGAACCGACGGAAGAGAAGTGTTCAACAGGGAGGAAATTCCAAGGGCGTCGGCTTCAGAAGCCAACCTATTCCGGCCTCAGCATCTCCTCGCCCCTACCACTCCGATCATTCCTCTCAGTCGAGAGAGAGATATGGACTCAACTACTCGTTCCCGCCGCCATTCCAAAGGCATGAGAGTACCAACAGTCTTCCCAGTCTCACTGACTCACCCATGCGGCCCGACTTCTCTGATAATCAGTATGCCACCAGGTCTTATGGTGAATATGGATATCTAAAATCATCATCATTTCCTCCACTCGACCGGTTGCCACCTACCCCAAGAGAACTCAGGCCTCCTTACAGTGGCGACCCTTTCCCATCACCGCTTTTGCGTGATCCTCTTGCGTCGTTGCAACGACCAGAGGCCTCCAAGATCCAACTGCCTCCTATTCAGTACCTGGAGCGACCAATACCGTCGCCGGCGGCGACAGACGTCTCACATGCATCGCCAACCCAGCAAGCTCCATCTCTGGTATCAGATAACCAGTCAAACTGCTCAATCTCTCCCAAAACTGTTCCGTCACCCCGTCCAGCAATCAATGCCGTAAAGGGACTTCCGGCACAAATATGGGATAACTCGCCCCGGGAAGAAACCCTTGACGCTTGTTCCCCGAAGGAGCGGCCAAGGACTCTGTCCCCGGTTGAATCATCACTACTACGTGCTCAAAATAGCACGCTGAAAGGGGAAGATCATGGCGTGGCTAATGCTCAGAAGGGAGATCATAGAATGACCTTGTCGAGACTACTTGGTTGATGAGTGCGGAAGTGGTTTTGCAACGAGATTTTGTCATTCGGCGTGCTTGCAAGGGTTTCCAATTACGAGCAATTGTCCCAACATGGAGGGAATCATTATCAGATTTATGTGTTTTTATGGTTTAGGTCAAACTGACCGCAAAAGGTTGTTTTCATCGGCATTTTTACGATACCCCAGGATCGCTATCTTCCCGGAGGAATTCGTCTGGAGCAAGAGCTTCAATATTCAACAGAACAGTTGTCTTTTACAGGGAATTAGGTATTCAGAACCATCCTTGATGAATGGTGGAAAAACCGGAGGATATGGTGGTAACCGATCCAAGGCCCGACTTGGGCTAGATGATCGAGCTGGCAGTGCGTGGAATGATGATTAGAAACTAATAACTGTCGTGAACAGTGATGCTTTGCTACCTGCCATTTGTAGCAGGAGTGACCAATGTGTATGATAGATTGAGCATGGGGGATTGCCTTTTTCATATCCAGGTTTAATGATACTTTGAATGCCAACTACCAAAAAGCCATGACCTGGCAGACGTGCACCCCAGCTGTCAACAAGAGGGATTTACGCAGGCAACTACAAATTCTGTTCGACCTATATCAATCTTTGACAGAGTCTTCTTCCATAGTTCTATATGACTGTTATACCTAACAACTACGCAAGGTGTGAGTATATGTGTCAATATCAAGATTGCTATCACAAGACACACTTTACTACATGGACTGTCTGCACGATCTCGTGATCTTTAAGCCGTTCACTTTTAGGCTTGATTGTAACACTGCCTGTCTCCTCTGCCAACTTCGAGATTTGACAGACAACTTTTCGCAGATTTGATACAGCCGCCAACAGCTCCACCACTCTATCAATCTTCAAAGGCCGACGGTCTACGGTCTTACGGAAACTCGCCCTCTCTGGGACATCCACCTTGTCGCAAATCCAACTTCTCAAAGGCAGGAAATCTGGAGCAATTGGCCAGCGAGAATAGTGGATCAGATCGCACCACGCTAATTGAGCATCATTACCCAGGGGTGTGGATTTCGCCAGATCGCCGAGCCACACTACTGCACACAAATCTCGGGCTCGGCGTCACGAAGCGAATCGACAAGGATGCTCAACGGCGGTCAGCATTTTAACGGGCCTTTGAGCGCACCAACCATTCACGCATGACTAGTGACCACTGACAATGACCTCTAACTTCTCCGAGTCAGTGGTCCAGGCTTAAACTTTGGGCGGCCACCCTTGGAGCAGAGAACAGGATTTCAACCCTGACATTTTGCTTCTGTGCACTGTCGAAGAGGGGAATAGTTACTAAGTCCCGGCCCTTGGCAACAGCTTTCCCCCTGAAGTCCTCCAGTCTGTGCTTTCGAAACGTGCCCACCGACGGAGTAGCACCATCTTACCCATGCACAGGCTACTCACGCTGTCGCAGCTGGGGACACTGCACGAGCTGCGATCCATCCCCGTTGCAACACCGCTTTCGCCAGGCTCGCTGATCCCACTCGCCTATTGCCGAATAAACATCAAGACCGTTGAGAGTGATGGGCGGCTAGCGCTCAGAGCCATGCAAGTACGGCAAACGAACACGTCCAATTCGAATGGTTGATTCCCTTCCTCGTCTCACAACTTTGCTATGTGAACCAAATGCCAATGTCTACAATATGAGGTGGGCATTAGCCACCCGACGTCCGACGACGTGTTCTATGAAGAACGACCAAGCATCTTTACACTTTTGATTCATCCGTACGCTCGGACGGACTGCTATTATTGTGGCAGTGTTGCGCTTCAGAGTGGGGTATTTACTCTTGGGAGGCGTTCGACTGTGGCCACCTACAGTCGTGCCCTTCAACATAGCGTCTGGGTTTTAGTTCCGCAATCCGCGCTGGCGGTCCCCTCTGGTCCAGAGACTAAATTTCAAATCTTTCCACCTTGGATAATTGCCAGTCAAGAGAGGTAGATGATGCGCTCGACTGCTGATTGGCCCGTCAAACAGGGCAACCAGAAACGTGCACTGACAATACCGCTCGTAAATAATGGTAACAGCGGTGTACGTTGCAACCTATCTACGAAGATCGAGCAAGCATGCGGGATAGCTGATCATCTGCTCCTGTGATGGTTTTAGTCTCGGATTCTCAGTGTAAGTTTAACGGGAACGTAAATTTCCGCACAAGCACAAACGATGCACAACTACAGAAAGTGTATCTTCATATATCAAGTTACCACCTCCAAGAGGATCAGAGGATGATGTGTACAAACTGTATTAGTCGAATCTCGCGTCGATCATGGCCTGACAAGGCATTGGGAAAATTACTCCCGTCTGGTGGGAGGAATGATCTGCAGGGTCGAATGAATGACTCGCGCAATCAATCCAAGTTGGACTAAAGGTCGATCACTTTGGCCGCTGGTCTGCAGCACCATTTCTCGCTCTTCCAAGCTTCCAGAGAGAGAAGAGTTCTCTTGCCAAGGCATCGTGTCGTATTCAGTCTTTCCCATCTCAAATTCTAGAAGCTGTTGCCTGAAGATTTGTCCTCTGTGGAGCAAGCAAGTGCACCCTGAGAGAGTTACAATAACACACATTCTACCCATCGCACAGACCTGACGGGTGGACTAAGATGTGCTTCACACTCGTTCAGTGCCAGTAGTGGGTGCATCAGGGAAGATCTACCTTGTAGTTTGTGAGGGTTCGAAAGATCCGCACTTCTGTGGGGATAAGGGAAATTCTGCTCCTCAGAGAAATGTTACTAAATCAGCACCCAACCCGTACCCCGTCAGCCATTCATGGTGGCTGATCCTACTGCCCGAGACGGTTAACACACGCGACCTTTGGTTTGTTTTTGTGAAACATACGGATGTTGAAACAAATAAAAATACAGCCTGATCCTTGCTCGGCATCTTCCTCACATGAGGCAGTCGAGGTCGATCATTGTTCTGAAAGGGAAAGAAACACGATGTTAGAGGTATATTTATCTCTCAGCACCCTGGAGCTACGTAGCAATCAGACGGGTTGACAACAATCCTTTACATTCATTGTTGGACTTGTTCAGTAGCAGTCGTGTTCAGCGTGAGGCTCTAGGACCAGCCGCGGGATAGCCCCTTAACCTGCCCTCCACAAATGATTCGGAATCACCGCTATTCCAACCCTTGCACGATTGGGCTTACTATGATCGAACAACACGGAGGAAAGACTGGTGTGAATAATACTTACAGGCATACACCCAGTTGGTCTTGAGCACCACCTCCATACGAGCCGTTCTGTAGTACGGATATTTCGTAATTCAGCCCCCCCCCTCCCATGAATCAATAGACATTCGGAAGCAGGGTTTCAAGATTCATGTGTCCAGTTCCGCTTCACGAGTACGAGCTGCGGGTGCCATCTGTCCGTACTTGCCTCGCCCTTGCTCGCCAGAACCCTTGTCGGCCGTTACTGCTTAGCCATGACCCCGTCATGTTCGAAGCCACGCTTTCCTTGTCTTGTGAACAGAGGAAAATTGTCCCTCGATCATCATTTCCAAGTACGTACGAAGTAGACATCTACCAGGGTCGATCTGTAGGTACTTACTCGTCTAACCTAAACATACGATCATTGAAACCTTTGTGTTCCCCCACACTACCCGCACCAAACTCCTACAGTACTCGTACTCGTAGTTCCTTGTACCCTTTGAAAGTCAGGACCCATCATCATTTCGCTAACACCCTGGACAATTGGACCGGCGCCTCTGACTAGTGCCGCTAGCACTGTTGACTAATGAGATATCTAGCGAGTCGTGCTCCACTCGATTGGCGAATCGTTCATCTACAGGCTGTCGAGAGGCGAATTAGCATGAGTCAAACATCCTTGTTAAGGCCTCACCTTACTCGTACCACCTTGGCATATGTACCTTGCGATTGGTCCGTCGTGTTCCCAAGTTGAGGTTCATCAACAACTCGCACGCTCTACGAATAAAATACTAACGCTAGAAATAAACGGTCGGTATCCCTCGTCATAGGCATGCTACGAGTAGGTCACAGGTGGCATCCGTGTATCTACCTTGACTGCCCATACCTGTTCACCACAGCTGGATTCAGCCAACAAAGGGCTTGGAACACGTACGGATTGCATTTGGTAACCGTCGCGCCTCGGCTTCAACAACTCCTGCAATGAAACCCCAAATGTATCGGGACAGCGAAAACATAGTCAAGGGAAGTTCAGTTCGGTGTGTCTGCACACGACGCGCATAATATTATTGTGCCCTGATCATTATGCTGACTTCTATTCCTCAATCCAGCCAAGTGCGATCATCAATCACAAACAGTGCTTACCCCCCGCCCACCTATTCTGATGACCTGAATGCCTCGTACGGGGCACAACTTACTTTGTTTCCGTATTAGCCACCATTCCTGGGGAAATCATTCCAATGCCTGCTGCGACAAATACCCGTAAGGTATGGGATCATTCCAGATCTTGCAATCGAATAATGTCTACACTTCCAGCTGCGTAATTCGACCACGGATCATGAATGATTCTACTATGCTCCACATGAGTAAATCTACTCGGGCCATTCGACCGCCTCCAACCCCTTACTCGGGTGGGAGTTTTCCCTCTGAACGCATGCAGAAGGCTACAGTCTAAGCAGGCTATCCCAGTCTATACAAGGGACAAGCACTGTATACCGAGTATCTTGAAACGGCCCCAGTGAACTCCGCTTGCAAAATCTGTGGAAAGTATCGATCATTGATATGTCTTACGACAGTACATCCATGGGCCACTTGTCTTCAATTGACACACGGAGACCGACAAGGGTATTGGGCGTTCTATGGAGGCAACATTCGACATTCAAGATGTTGAATCTAAGAATCTCACTACGGAGTCGTCGGCGGATGTTGATCGTCCCGTCCTAACCACAAGCAGAAGCCTTCGATCAGCATGCCAACATTCAGCACCACAGCTTAAACATGACAACCCGGAAGGTCAGCCACCATCAGCCTCTGAGAACTGAGGACAGGCCGCCGAGTCGCCGGTCCAGTGAGACACGGGTCACGGGCCACGGCTCTTTCAACCCGGTCTCGAAGCTGTGACCTCCTCGACCTCAATTACAAACACAAGAGGTGTTTCTTTACGATAATATTACGTTACCGGGGCAAATAGCAAAAGTATCCGGGACCTGAATGTGCAAAGCTAGCCAGGAAAGACGGTTCAGCTACAAGCTACCACTGTCAGTATTTTTCGCGGTCGTCACTATATAGTTGGACTCCTATGTAAACTGTCCCGCACACTAAATACCATAAGCCGGGGGTATCCGACCTCAATACGGATACTGAGCTGCTACCAGTGAGCCCGTTTTCTTCATTTTGCTTGAGGCCCGAAGAGGCGTATACACGAAAGAAGTAAAAGTGCGATTTCCATGCCCCTGAATGCCGGTCGTTGTCGTCAACGAAAATCTCCTTAGCATCTTCGTCACCGTTCCCACAGGCAGTTCGACCCATGAACCTTGCTGCCATGGATGGAAGGATCTTGACAAAAGGTTTTTTTGCTTAAAATTTCCCGAACCCAATTACGCCACCAATCTTCGACGAACGACGACACTAACTTTCCTTAGTGTCGAAGTCTACAGCAACCACCAAGAATTCATGAAGGTGTCTCGTAGTAGTAGTCATCATATCACAACCAGAAGACCGCGGCCGGCCCCCTTGTGGACCACGATCGGTCAAAATCTCTCTGCCTGCAAGCCCTGTTCCGGGTTCGTCACATTGAAATGCGACGGGATGGGGTGAAATCTTAACAGGACGTTCTTCAGGGTTCATGAGTTTTGGACTGCTCCCGCGCGGACGGAGATTAAATGATCAACGCCTTTTTTCTTATTTGTCCCGCAGAAAGTTTCTTTGTACGCGAATAAGTGACTCCATATCCGTACTCGACTGTGTTTGGTCTTCGAACGGGGATAAAAATAGAAATTTACTTCTATGTGTCACGGCTGAACGCTCGATGTCTACTTACGAGTAGTTGGCTAGTCACGACTCAAAAACTGACTTTGTTTCCGTGTGATCGCAGTGCCCACGATGGGTGACGGGGGAAACGTGCTCGTGCTCGTGCTTGTTGTCTGTCCACGTTCATGAAAGGGTAGATCAGAGCGAGGAGGCTGAGTCAAATGGGGTTGCGGCACGTTTTTCCACATGCAGGTGTGGTGGTGGTGGTGGTGGTGGTGTCTTGTCTTGCCCCTTCCCCGAGCACACGCCGTACAGTTCGAGGCTCGATGAACCGAGCATACTTCCCAATGAGAGAGTCCTGTATCGTATCATGTGGAGAGCCGAAATGGAGCAATGAATGTATTGCCACCGAAACCTGCGGCTTTCTCAACAGTTGGTTAGGACAGTTCGAATATGGTCCCTGGGAGCATTGATTTCTCCCAAGCACATGCTCTTTGAGGTTCCTTTTTTCAGAGAGGCAGGAAAGGAGATGCTGCGGCAGAACTGCCGATCTTTCTTGCAATGATGGGTTGTTGTGCACCATGACCGCGGAAGTTAGCTGGCTCTCTGACTGTCACTTGAGTCCTCGGTTAGGGAGGGAAGTAGTCAATTATGGTAAGAGATGTTCTTGAGACATTGTACCGTCTCATAACACAAGTTTAGCACGCTCCGAGCAGTCTCGCTTACACTCGACATGGTTGGATAGGGCTACCTACATAGCATCATGGCCTATGGTTGCTCTACCCACAACTGATAAGTCACAAGTTAGAGATCTACCTTGGTGTGCACCTCGAAATGTCTGGAACGCTGTCCTCTCGTAACACAGAAGTCTCAATTTCCTCACAAAGATGGCCTAACAGCTACCGAGCTTTCAGCCTCAAGAGCCATACGGACAACTTCTCGTGCAACTCCCCAGGAAAGCCCATAGCCATGTCCTTCAGCTCCATAAGCATGAATAATCCTCTTGCCCCTGAAGTGCCCTTTCAGAAATTCTGTCTCGAGCCTCAGTCCAGAAACCCTCGCAGGTCGCCTGCCGACGATATCTCGGATGACGTTGAATTTGCCCCCTGGGCCGAGAATAGGAGGATACATCTTAGCAGCCATTTCGAGCACCTTCGCGCGTGTCTCTGGTCGTGCCGTTTCTGTCCAGTCATGGGGCTCCCGTGTTCCACCGATGACGGTGCCACCGTCTAGGGGACGTGGAATTATGAACGTCCATGTTCCATCGGGATTCTGCTGTGTGATTGTGCGATCGCACGGGTTGGAGACTAGACATGTTTGGCCTTGACGAGGGCAAGCTTCCGTTAGAAATCACGATGGCCACTGCCGTGTATAAGATCACTCACCTCTGACAGGAAAAGCCTCGGGATCTCCGAATCCAAATCCTGAACAGTTGACAACAGTATCAACATAGTCTCCCCGCGAGAATGCCTCCTCTGCAGTCGTCAAGGTGGCCTTCAACGTCTTTCCGCCTCTGAGTCGGAACTTTCGAAGGAGAAACGTACAGTACACAGGCGAGTTTAAAGACCAAGTTCGATACTTCGAACCAAAGGTGATGCCCATATCATTGGGGAATTCATTCTTGTCTAACACAATTAGACCTTCCGCATCTCCATAGCCACCTGTAAGGTTGACATAGTTGTCAGAGGGACAGGCGATGAAGTCGTAGCCGTCCATAAATTCGACACCGCAAGCTGGCTCTTGCTGCGAAAGGGCTTTCATCATTGCATGGGTCTCATTTGCAAACGCTTGGTGTTGCCTTGCAATAGGAGTTGTCGCTGGTATGGGTCGTCCATGAGCACCCGCCCACGGAGAAGTGTATCGAATGGATTCATCAGACGGCCAGTCTCTTGCAATGAGCAAGATGTCCCTCGTGTCTGCATATTCCTTCTGGAGGCTGATCGCTGCAGTCAACCCAAGCACACCCGCACTGTGATACTATGATGTCAGCAAACTTTGTATTCGATGGCCAACTGGAAAAATGTCCAAGGTCTAAAATCTACGGATCTTGACTCACCCTATCACAATTATTGTTTTCCTGTCGCTTGACATATTGTGCGTGAATGGAAGACTGCGAGTACAGCTCCTGCAATTAGTGACTAAAGCTGATGCCAGCAGTCTGATATAAGTATTCTTCGATCCATAGACAGCACTGCACTTGCCGCATAGCCGGCCGCTGCAGGAGCCGCATGTCAATAGTCACAGCACTTCAATGAAATATCTTGAATATCGCATCTAAACATCACCACAGAGTACCCGATGGCCAGAGAGCGACGAACCTGTCGCCAACAGCGGTCCGCACTTGCCGGCTTGGCAGAGATACCGTCGGAGGGAGGAGAGGTACAGTAGCTTCCACAACTTATCACAGCATATCTTCTCGCTCTCGAATTTCATCTCCCATAGCCTTCCATCTCGGCATGGACGGTGCGGATGAAGATCTCGGAAGCAGAAGCACTCGGAGCAGCCCAACTTCCGTAAGGGCAGCAAAACGGCCGAGGACCACGCTTGCTTGTCAACGTTGTAAATCACGCAAACAGAAGGTAAGTAGTACCCGAGGCCTATGATGGATTACGATTCATTGACCGCCTGACTTGACAGTGTGATGGCCGTGACCCATCATGCTCACAGTGTAGTCGAGTTTCAGAGAAATGCCGATATGTGGCTTCGACCGTACCAAAACCAACAGAGCAGCGGGCTTATGTGAAAGCGCTTGAAAGCAAGGTTGCAGAGCTCGAGAATAAGCTCAGGCGAGCCGAGCGAGCAGCCGATCCACGAGTGTCACAAGAGACCTATCGCTTGAATGACCTGCCACCAGAGAGTTCCTTGTCAAGCACAATCCGCGATCTCAGCTTGAATGCTAGTGGGTACAACTATCTTGGTGGGACATCGAACATAACCATTGCCCGTGTGCTCGAACCAGTATTACATATCGATCGGTCCCTGATATCAAATCACCAAGAGCGAACAGTCCTTGGCTCCGATAGGGATGCTTCAACCGCTAGGCTTGTCCAGTCAAGCGAGGATGAGGACACCCAAGATGTCGCCTCATTCTCAGAACCTGTGATTGAGAAGCTTTTCAGAGCTTACATCGAATATGTGTCTCTGATTTTTCCAATCATGCACTCACGAACACTTCAGGACATGCATGAGAGGCGCAGCAGACCCAAGGGTCTCTTTGAAGTTGCAACACTACACCTGATGTACGCCCTTGGTGGAATTACCCTCACATTAGTAAGTTATAGTTGATTGGGAATGCGCCTGGCTAACACTTTCAGTCTGGGGACAAAGGGGACTTCAAGTCAGAATACCACTACGAAACCGCCATGTCTCATCGAGTAAGAATAATACAATGTATTGATAGAAGAGCTATTATCTATCTTACATTGGCCTCCCTCTACTGCTTACGTGCACCGAGAAGCCCTGGGCCATGGTAGGAGCAGGATACTCAACTCATCGCCATAAGCACGAAAATCACTGACCCTAACACAGGACTATGATTGGCCTCGCTGTAAAACTGTGTATATCACTTGGTCTACATCGGAAATCGGGCACATCAAGATTGAGCTTGGGATCTGAGCTTGATAAGCGTCTCTTCTGGACATGCTACTGCCTTGACAGAGATATCAATCTTACCATAGGCCGGCCTCCGTCCATTTGTGATCACGACATCGATTGTCAGGCAAGTAGTGCCCTTCAAATGAACTTAAAGAATTTCGAATTGATAGCCATCTACTCTAGCTGCCTCTAGACGTCAACGAACATAGTGTCGCTCCAGAGGATTTTCAGGCAGCTACGAAAATAGGGGCCGGAACAATCTCAAAGCCGCCGACAACCTTATCATATTTCATACACATGGTAAGTTTGAGGAGGATAGCCTCGGACATCCAACATGTTGTCTACAGGGTAGATAAGCCAGTCGACTTCTCCGATTTGACTACGGAAATCTTTCTTTCTAGGCTCAATAAGTGGAGAGAAGAAATACCACCGGAAAGCTCCCTTGGTCAGAATCTTGAAACTTCAGATGGTCATTTCGATACTCCAGCACGGCTCCATTTGCGAGGCTCGTATGTAAGTGTGCTGTCTATCATTGACCTACCAAGAATTCTCTTCACTAATACTACAATCAATAAAGATGATACAATATTACTCGTCTATCCGGCTCTTGATGTTCCCACGCCTGATGGACGATACTGCAATGGATTCGCGCTGCCTGAAGGTTGTGCTTGAAGCTTGTTCAGGTGTTTGCAGGTCTTTCAAACAGTTGCATCAACGATCTACTACCATGTACTATTCTCCTTTGTTTACAATGTCATTGTTTCTGGCTGGTGAGTAAAACCCAAATGGGACCTACCGAGACATGCTGAACCATATCCTCATCATGCTCAGGGTTGACATTGCTTTCTTGCATCTGGCGCTCTCCTGGAGAGGCTTTGAACATTCTAACTACAAACGCTCTTTCCGACTGCACAATAATGCTGTATGTGATGGCTGAAAGATGGCCCAAAGCAGGGAGGTATCGAGATGTCTTTGAGCGCCTGAAACAAATAGTTCTGGGCCGAGATGCTACTGATGAGAATGATAAAAATATCGTGCTCGATCCACCAGATCCAAGTACAACTGGACTTGACACAGGGGTGGAGCCGTCAGTGACAACCGTGCCTTCCGAGACTACAGCTTCAAGACTCACAAGAAATGCTCTGCCCATTCCAGACTCAGATGCGATAAGAAATGCGACCCGGTCTGCAATACCAAATGTCATACGTAACCTTGTGCGTGAGCCGTTCCCTCTATGGGAAGCCGAAAATTTCAACCTCAATTTCGAAGCGCTCATGCCGCAGCCAGCAGGCCACAATGAAAATCCGTGGATGGAAAATGATGTAACATTTGATCAGGAGAACACAACGACCTTCGATTTCACATTCTCTCCCTCGGGATTCGGACAACCTAGCGATTACGATTTTGATCCTGTGGCCTTCAATTACTCTCCCAGCCAAATCCAGGGGAACGAATATGGGGGTATTCTAGAGGGGCTGGCGGATAGATGGCCGGGCGCACACCCTTGATTTTGTTGGTAAGAGATCCACGAAACATCAGTACGGATTTCAGGAGTATAGCAAACTTCTCCCAGTAGACCGGACTGTATGTCATGAACATCCAAGCGATCGTCATTCAGTGCCCAGAGTGTACATACATACTTCTTCACATTAGTAATGTGGAAACTTTTATCGAACAGACACAGCTTTCATGCGACCCCTATGACCCCTACAGATATCATCAACTACCTACCAGCTAGTCCTCACCATTACACTATCCCAGTCTCATTTCACACCACCGCCGTAGAGCCTCAAAATCTCTCTAAGCCCCGAGTAGCTCAGGGACAAAATCGGAATCTTGGATCCGTAGTCCCTGTGACACCTCGGGTAATGTACTCTTGGCCAGAGACGCCTTGTACGCGATCTCTTCGGCGATTCTCCCACCTCATCCAGCCCGAATAGCCGGCACAGGTAATGAGGCAGAGGATTGCGGCGCCTAGATTAACCCAGCAGGATGTCACGTAACGAGGTGCTTCGGATGCGATGAGAATGTTGCTGGAGATCAGACCGGCAGTGTTGGCGATGGAAATGAGCATGGCGCTTGTGAAAGCACGGGCGTTGAGGTTGGGAATATTGGACACGATCCATGCGTTGTTGATGGGTGACATTGGGTAGGCCTGGGGATGGGACTCGTGGGTTAGTGTCGTTTTGAGTACGGAATGATTGGAAATATATTGGAATCGGCAAATAACAGAGGTACACTTACACCAACAGTGGTCATGAATATGGCAAAGTAAGTGAGCCCGATATTGTCCAGATTCACAGTGATGAGTAGGATGTAGCCGACAACGCTGATAGCGAGCGATACTACCATGTGAATCCCACGCTCGCGGAAATGGTCTGATGAAAAGGTAGCGGCGACCAGGAAGACTGCTGCAACCAAAGATGGGGCTACCGTATACTATTGAGCACGAACGTCAGGACATCCTTAATCAAGTTGTTTCGGGAAAATTGTTCCTACCAGATTTGTCTTCACAGTGTCGTATCCGAGTCTCCCAACGATAATCGCCAGAAAATTGTTGTTCGATGTCAACAAGGTAGAATAAGTGATTGCGACGACGATCCGGACATAGGGATGAGGCGTCTTCCATTCGCTCAAAGCCTGTCTCCAGCTGAACTTGCTCTCCAGGGTCTCTGCCGATTCGGCGAGAATACGAGTTTCGGCGGCATCCTTTTCTGCCTCTGTCAGGAATCGACAGCTGCGAATGCTCTTGGGGATGATGAAGAACGTGGCCAATGCCACACAGATGGTCAGGGACCCTTCAATGATGAACAAGTAGAACCATTGGTAGTGGTGGGTTTTCATCTGGAAGGTGCCATATGAGATGAGTCCACCAAATGCGGATGATGCCACCAATGCTGCGTAAAAGACTCCAATTCGCGATGCGATTTCGGTACGAGTATACCAGATGGACAGGTAGTAGACGACCCTATATCCACACATAAGCATCTACTATACTCCGCCTAATACAGATTGGAACACGTACGCCGTGAGGAACCCAGCTTCGAAAACGCCGACCAGACATCGACAAGCCACCAATTGCCCAAAATTGGTCACAAATGAGGTAGCCAGAGAAGCAGCACCAAAACCCAACATCATCACTGGAATGGAGTATTTGGCAGAGAACTGTTTGCTGAGCATTCCCGCTGGTGGTCCGCAAATGCAGAAAGGAATGAAGTAGTACGTCAGTGCGAGACTGAATTGATTGCCTGACATGTTCAGGTCTTGGACCAAACCGGCAGTATGGGCATTGGAAAGATTGCTCCGGTCCAACGAATTGAATCTGCATGAGGTTAGAACTGAAGAAGCAGTCAACAACAAGTAGTGAAAACATACAAATAAGTAGTTGCGAGTGTGGGAATAATGATTAGGTCAGCCTTTCTCTTCAGGCTCCGTACGATGGCAGGATCTATAGTATCAGTTGCCTCCCTGACCTCGATTCTTCCAACTTCTTCCTCGATTGAGGTGTCATGAGTGGTATGGTCCAGGCCTTCCTTTTCCATTGCTACCGAGATTTCGATTTCAGGGCAATTAAAACCAGGTGGAGAGAGTTTATCTCTAGGCAATGATGGAATACATCATCATATATATAGGTACGTCAATTATCATATTCTCGGATAGAACAGGTCAGATTTACCATACCCAGTCTTGAATATCATGCTGGAGTTTAGAGTTGATTTACTGATAAGACTTTGAACATCAACTTGAAATCGTCGGCTTGGGCTAGCCGTGGCCGGCTTGTCCGCACCGCTTTTTCCGAGCTAACGAGGACGTCGTTGTCCATTTGTGGTAGAAGCCGAAGATTTGTGATGTGAGATCACAAATGGTCTCTTGAACAGCGGGATAATGGTGGACTTCACTTCGCAGATTGAGCGAATGCAAGTAGTGCTGTGGAATCAACCGTGTTAATACCCCTCAGTAGCAGAAAAAGGGGTGTACGTGTGCAGCCTTGCGAACAATCGCGAGGCTGAAGGGTTGTAAAGCAGCAATCGCTTTGCACTCAGGTGGGGCAGTGGCCCTGGCTGCTTTTGCACCTTCGACCTTGGCGTTTTTCAGTCTCAGAAAGTTTCTCCAAGTCTGCCTGCGATTGTTTTGCCTGACACTACTATCCTTCTCGATTGCCGCGACTTTTGAATGATGGAACCGCAATCATAATAGACTAATTAGGTTGCGACTGTTCCCCTATCCGTCTCTGAACATCATAATTTGGCTGTAGCCATGGCTGACACCATGCTACTCTCATCGGCTGTCCGTTTACCAACGCCTCCACCAGGCGGAGAATACTCACCTGGACCATCTAACACGAGGAAGCGCTCACCACCATCAAGATCGCCTTCGCCCAGAAGAAGAAGGCCTCCTCCGAAAGACGATGAGAACCGTCGAAAACCCGATGGACCGTCTCTAGAACGAGAAATGGATGAGCGAGAAAAGCAGCTCCGAGAAAGATTTCGACCCAAAGAACCTGAAAGCAACTCGAGAAAGCCTATGACAGCTGAGGAGAAACAAGCCGCAGCGAAAGCAGAGTACGAAAAGCTACTTACTATGCGCTCTGGAGGAACATACATCCCGCCTGCCCGCCTACGCGAACTACAATCCCAGATCACCGATAAATCCAGCAAAGAGTACCAGCGCATGGCTTGGGAGGCTCTCAAGAAATCTATCAACGGTCTAATCAACAAGATCAATGTGTCGAACATCAAACATATTGTGCCAGAGCTCTTCAATGAGAACCTGGTGCGTGGTCGAGGCCTATTTTGCAGGAGCATCATGAAAGCTCAGGCCGCTTCACTCCCTTTCACACCGATTTATGCAGCAATGGCGGCCATTGTGAACACCAAGCTACCACAAGTTGGTGAACTTCTGCTGAATCGGCTGATTGTCCAATTCCGAAAAGCTTTCAAACGTAACGACAAGGCTGTCTGCCTTTCTTCGACGACATTCATTGCGCATCTTTGCAATCAGCAGGTCGCCCACGAGAATGTGGCAGCACAAATCCTCTTACTTCTCCTGCATAAACCCACGGACGATTCTGTTGAGATTGCGGTTGGGCTGACGAGAGAGGTGGGACAACATTTGGAAGAAATGAGTCAACCCATAGCTCTGGTGGTCTTCGACCAGTTTCGAAGCATCCTTCACGAGGCAGACATCGACAAGCGAGTCCAGTATATGATTGAAGTTCTCTTTCAAGTCAGGAAAGACCGGTATAAAGATAATCCAGCCATTCGCGAAGAACTTGACCTCGTCGAAGAGGAGGATCAGATTACCCACCAAATTGATGTTGATGACCAGGAGATCCAGGTTCAGGACACGTTGAACATTTTCAAATTCGATGCCGAATGGGAGGAGAATGAAGAAGCATACAGAAAATTGAAAGCAGAGATCTTGGGTGAAGCCAGCGACGAAGAAGATGATGACGAGAGTGGGTCGGATGACAGTTCAGATGAAGAGGAAGCCGAACAAGAGCGTGCTATGGAGATCAAGGATCAGACCAATACCGATCTCGTCAACCTTCGACGTACAATTTATCTGACAATTATGTCGAGTTTGGATTTCGAAGAAGCATGCCACAAGTTGATGAAAGTCCAGCTACCCGCTGGTCAAGAGTCAGAACTCCCTTCGATGATCATTGAATGCTGTTCTCAGGAAAAAACATATTCCAAGTTTTTCGGACTTGTTGGGGAACGGTTTGCAAAGCTCAATCGACTCTGGACCAACTTGTTTGAAGAAGCCTTCGCTACATACTACGATACTATTCATCGCTACGAAACCAATCGACTACGCAATATTGCTCGCTTCTTTGGTCATCTTCTGAGCATGGACGCTATTGGATGGCACGTCTTCTCTGTTATCCATCTGAATGAAGATGAGACGACTTCGAGCAGCCGTATCTTTATCAAGATCTTGCTTCAAGAGTTGGCGGAAGCGCTTGGTCTCCCCAAACTGAAGGAAAGAATGAAGGATGACATTTTACGACCCAGCTTCACGGGCATCTTCCCTACCGACAACCCGAGAAATACTCGATTCTCCATCAATTATTTCACCAGTGTCGGCATGGGTATTCTCACTGAAGAAATGCGCGAATATCTCAAAAACATCCCCAAGCCCGAACCAGCAGCACTACCCCCACCTCGGGATGATACGTCCGACTCGGAGAGTGTCAGCTCCTACTCGAGCTATTCCAGCTACAGCACCAGTCGGTCGCGCAGTCGTTCTCGCAGCGTCAATGTACAAAATGCACGCAGGAGTCGGCCCAGGACTATATCAAGGTCACCATCACGATCGCCTCTGGTACGTGGCAACAGAGGACGCGCACGAAGCAAAAGCTACTCCGCATCCCCGTCACGCTCACGAACACCACCAAGACGGAATCTTAAAGCTCGATCGCCATCCTACTCCGCTTCACCCAGTCCAAGACCTCGCCGCACAACCAATACTCGCGGCCGCCCACGCACGCGCTCCAGATCCTACAGCTATAGTGCCGCGTCTAAGTCACGCTCCCGATCTCCAGCCCCGCCTGCACGGCACAATGCTCCAATCCAACGCCGGAGAAGCTATTCCCGTTCTCCATCCCGCTCACCACCGCGCTTCAGCAAGACATCTCGTGCCAATGAATCAGGCAAGCAAAACGTCCCGAACCGGGGCCGCAATCGGTCATTTTCCTTGTCACGATCCCCCTCGCGCTCGCGCTCGCGCTCCCTTCCAAACCGCAGCCGAACCCGCTACTCAAAAAGCTACAGCCCTGCACCTCGCCGCAGCAACAACAACAACAACAACGCCAACAACGCCAAAAACGCCGGCAAAGCACCTGTACGCCGCCGCCGCAACTCCTCCAGCGCAAGCGACGGCGACAGTCGACGCTCTGCATCGCGCAGCGCCTCACCGCCAGGCCGTCGCTATGCAGGAGCCGGCAAACGCGACAGTTGGCGGCGCTCACCTAGCTCGGATCGTGCGCGCGGTGGCAGGCGTGGCTTTCGAGATGACAGTCGAGATCGAGATGGAGAGCGGGGCAAGGGGAAGGATGGTGCTGGTGCTGGACCGAGTCGTGTGCGCGCCGCGGATTTTGCGTAACGCGATGAGGCATTCAATGCCCATCATTGGAAACTACGGCGCTGCGTGTTGGATCACCCCTTCTGGGGGAATAGTTGCGACATGCATGCTATCTAGTCAGTAGCCAGTCGGTCAAGACGGGAACAAGGAGTTCCCACTTGAAAATAAGATTAATTTGCTCGTGTCTGTATCTATTTACCCTTCTTCCAACCCCACCCTGTCTATCACAGGAGAAAACGATCGTCCTGGCAATTGAGTCCATGAGTTCCAACGCGGAGAGAATGTCAAGCGTTGCTTGCTGGAAGAGTCTGCCATTGCATTGAGTCGGAGATGGATAGGTCTATCCCCCGTCGTTTCCGTTGCATAATCCTCCTCCGCACTATGCATGATCTTACACCCAAGTGCTTGATTTGTGCATTCAGCCGTCAACACCCGAACCAACGAGAAAGTCGACAGGATCCCCAGCGGTATTCGTAGGGATGGCCGTGTAAAACAGCATGAACAGAATTGCAGAATTGCCGGGTGAACCAACGCCCCCTTCCCAATGGTCACAATTGGTGCATAACGTGCGAAGTGGTGGATTATTCAAACTCCCAACTCCATCGCATCATGCACACAGCTCACCCAAATCTCCATGCGCTATGCATTCTCATTAAAGCCAACTCTGAAAGCGAGCAAAAGTTCTTAGACAGTATCATCGTCATAGGCAAATCTGACGTCTTTCAGTCCTCGACCACCATTTCTCCAGTTGCTCCAGCCATTCGGACCACGGACTCCCATACTCTGGCAAAATTGTTCATCGCCTTGTGGTCGCTCGTTCTTGGAATTGCCGGTTAGCATACTCTGAATACTCATGCAGACACTCTCGACACTTTGAACAGGAGACCAGCCTGCGCTGCCAAGGAGATCGAGACAGATGATGCCATTGGTATAGATATGTGGATGGATGGGTATAGGGCGACCGGCAAAAGGTTGGGATGCAGATTGAGGTTGGAATGGAGATTTTACAGGGTCGCTGGGTGCAGGAGATAGATGGATGAAGCAGACTTCGGGTGGTTCTAGAAATAAATCTCGTCAGATTCATTTACTTTAGAGTGATGCCCAATGACATGTACCTATGGGATAGCTTTCGGAGAACAAGAAGCACAAGCGGTAGACTTGGTTTCGGTAGATAGGATTGTTATCGAGCACTTGAATGTCGACCTGCCATTCACGGAAGTCCTCTGCTTGGACTAATTGAATCCCAGGGGGGAAATTCTTAGCTTTGGCCTGGTGAAGTAAGCGTGTCAGAATCGTACAGAGGACGTGGATAGTTTAAAAGTAAGGACGTTAGGGAGGCGGTCTGTCTGAATGCGAAGTGAGTGAAAAGATACCTTTTGAAGTTCCTGCGGCCGACTGTCAGCGTGGTTCAAACATAGGGCGAAAGTGACAGACTTTTCCTAGCCTCTTTGCAGCAAACATCTTGGGCAGACGGGAGCCTGGGCAGTGGCTGGCCCTCTATAAACCCAGGTTGAAAATGAGCAAGACTGCAGACGGGTAGCGAAGAGTTCGAGCCACAAAGAAGATGACGGAAGTTGACCCCGCGAGCAAGTACTGTATGGAAGGGGATTGAGAGTAGAGACAATGAAACCTGATTGGGATATGGATGGCACAGAGTGTGATGAGAGTTGAAGGCAGATTGCGCAGAGATTCTGAGACGTAGGATAGTGCTTGTCTCTGTTGAACGTGAATTGAATCAAACGGACGTGAAATGGTGACACTATCGGATCTCGATAAACCCCGCAAGAAAGGCACGCGGTAGGCAGGACCAGGCAGCAGGCTACGCTAGGCAGAATGAGGGGCGCCCGCGAGGCTGACCTCTTGGCCCATCTTTCTCCGTCACTGCACGGTGATATCAAACATTTCCAAGTTCTACTGCTCCTCGTCAAGTAACAACAATTCCCAACTTCCTGTCTAGATGGGTGCTTGAACATTTAATGATCAGATATAATGCAAATACAAGGCCTGATGCTTGACCAAGCTGAAGATAATCTCGGAACAGCCAGAGAGTGTGTCGACCACTGTTATCTCCCTTGCCAACTCCCGTCACCATTCAACTAAATACTCATGTGAGTGCCTTCCTCTTCCTCAAGCTTCCTTGGGCTCAACCTTTTGCTCTGTGGCATTTTCCGAGGTACCCTCTGATGGTGTTGATGTTTCTCCGGGAGGAGCAATACCATGGGTGATTGACGCTTGGCGACCAGTCGTTTCATCAGTGAACAAAGACCATTCACCAATCACCTCGTCCGAAAACTGATCAAGATCGTATCCAATCATTTCAGCTTCGTCTGTTACACGAAGGTGCAAACCTGGGATGTACTTCATGATCATCAACATGATCAAGGAGCATGTGAATGACCACCCAGCGATGGCAGCGATCTCGGCTAGTTGTTTGGCGATCTGAACGCCATTGCCGTCGATCCCACCGGACGCAAGTGTCACTCCGTCAAGTGATGAGACCGATGCGGTTGCAAAGATTCCGGTGAGGAAGGCTCCACACATGCCACCAATACCGTGGAGCTTAAACACCTCAAGCCCATCGTCGATGTTCAGCCATTCGTTGACATGTTCAAACAGGTTAACCACCACTGCAGTGATGAAGCCGATTGCAGCTCCGCACCAGACTGACACATAACCTGCGGCAGGTGTAATGCCGACCAATCCACAAATGATTCCCTCGCAGCCACCGATGACAGAGAACTTTCGCTTCTTGATATAGTCCATCATGATCCACCCGGCAGCACCGGTACATGCTGCCATGTTTGTGTTCCAGAGTGCAAGCATGGCACGGATACTTGCATTCAATGCTGAGCCACCATTGAAGCCAAACCAACCAAAATATATAAGGACCGTTCCAATAAAGGTAATTGTTACGTTGTGAGCCTTATATATATGCTTCTCGCCATAACGACTTCTCTTCCCTAGCACCAGAGCATATGCTAGACCAGCAGTGCCGCTCGAGATGTGAACGGGACCACCACCTGCAAAATCAAGTGCTCCAAATGTGAAAAGCCAACCGTTGGCGTTCCATGTCCAGTAGCTGATGGGACAATAGCAAATGGTTGCCCAACAAAAGCCGAAAATAATGGAGGGGATAATTCGACCACGCTCAAAGGAGCCGCCCACAACGATCATCGTTGCACATGCACAGAACATGAGTTCGTAAAAGCAGAAGACAATGTCTGGGATGACGGCAGATCCCCATGACGGCGCAGCCATAACCTGTGAGTCGGTGAGCACTGAACAGTGGTAGCATGAGCAAAGAGCAACTTACGTCCTTCAATCCAAAATTGGTCAAATCCCCAATGAAGGGTCCTCCATTCCTTGAGAAGGCAAGTGAGAATCCCCAAAACGCCCATTGAAAAGTGCACACAGCCATCACAGTGATCGACTGGAATATCATGGCGAGGGCTGATTTCCTCCGTGCCATCCCGCCGTACAGCAGACCGATACCAGGGACAATCAGGAAGACAAGGCAGCCCATGATTACCTGGTAGACGTATTCCCACTCGAGCCCGATATAGGGCGCATTGACGTCCATTTCTTGAGGATTTCCGCCATTGGGAATGCTTTCATTAAAGCTTGGCTATTATTTGTCAGCTATGATCCGGAATATATTTGGCCTCGACATACAATTTCTGGTGCGGTCGCCATGATGAGACAATCGGAGAGCAAGACAGAGATGCGAACAGGGATTCAAAACGTCAGCCCTCCGCAGGAAAAGTGGGATGGGATATATACCTCGAGATTTGTTCGGTGTTGTTTGACTAACAGAACGGAAGAGCCAAGATCATTATCTTCAACCCACCCACGCATCCACACCATCCCTTTCAAGTCGCGTTATGATTTTATCAAATGGAATCATTCAAGCGACGCCGACCGTTCTCGATCAGATCAAGGTGGTGGGTGCCGGTGCACCGAATACCCAAATCGACCAGGGTTTGATGGACGCGGACGAGATCAAGAACTTTAAGATCTCGTTGACCGAGATGCTATTGGTCACAGCATGAAGGTGCGTTATCTATGCCACGTTCATCTCGTTGCTCCTTTGCAGGAACCCGTCCGGTTTTCGTCTACGGTCACCTTTCTCGCACATGTTAGCGAGCCTCGTTATCAGTGGATCCAAAGGCCAAGCCTACCGGGCTGGAGCTTGACAGGGGTTAAGCGTGCCAAGTCAACGCCTATCTCTGTCTCAATGGCCAATCACACCCAGAAGTTTCACAATCTCACCAGAAATAAGCTCTGCAACGCTGCTTCTCTTCTTGCTTGGTTTGCTTCTTTCCCCAATGTGGATCACTCAGTGCGAGATTGTATGTAGAAATCAGGTAATCGGGATTTGAGATTGTGTTTTCCCAACACGAGGACGAAAAACTTTTACCTTGAAGCGCTCTCCCAATCGATTCATGGACAAAGATAGAAACAATTCACGGCACCCTTTCATTGCCGGCCGACGCCTTGCGTATACTCAAGGTTGCCCGTACGGGCGCAGCGATCTCCCGTGCGCACCTCTCGAAGAAGTGGCTGAAATCGAACGACCTCACACAAAATTTCTAGAGCATAGAGGGCAAGTACCACGCTTCGTCCAAAATGCGCAGAACCATTGCCTTTCTCTACTTCTCTGCGGCTTGATTCATGACCGCTAAAAGATCACTGCAGGATCCTCTTCAATCGCTTTGCGCATAGCATGAGGAATTCACCTTATGCAGATTCTGTGTTTCGGCTATCTGACTAACACTGCAGCAAAGATCTATACCTGGAATCAGCCTCAGTCCGTGCAAAGGCAAGTTCAACAAATGCCACCTGCACTTGGTCTATTTGGCCATCGATAAGAAGACTAGCTACAATATCTCCAGAATGTTCTCTGCAACTTGGCTGACGTTCGTCCACCAGTTCTCTGGCACGGTCTAGAATGTGGTTAGTGATGCATTCCTTCATAGGTTGTCATAATCAGTTCTGTCGACTTACCTGAATCACAAGAACTCCATCCTCAATAAATGTCTCATGGTATCTTCCCTTCGACAATTTTTCGACTACACGCAACTGGATCTCATTCTTGGGAACACCTTCCTGAAACCCTTCTTGTAGCATGTCATCATCCTTGAATCCCTTGTATTCCAATTGCGATTTGAGGCTTTCGAAGTACGCAAACGTCGCACCTCCGAAAGAGGAATCCCAATCAGAACGGCCCTTGTCACCCGCTTTCGCGAGAACTGCCGCGTTGTTCTCAAAGTTGCCATTCAGCTTGATATCGGGAACAGCCAACAACTTGCCGATAGCTTCCTGGACATCCTCGATCTTACTTTCATAATCGTCACGTACAGAGTTTCGTGCCACGATGTTGAAAGCACTTCCACTACCAGCTGCATCTGCTGACTTGAGCGCGTCTGCAAATTCCCGACTGACGTTTGAAACATTAACAGCGAAGTTGTCGAGCTCGAAGACTAAGCGAAGAACACCGTCTTTGATTTGAAGACCTCCATACCGGAAGTTTGTCTCTTCTTGAGGCACCAGCTCTACGCGGTGCTCTGAGGCGAGCTTGTTCAATTCAGCTTTGCCGTCATCGCCGAAAGATTTCACAAAGCTTTCCACATTGTCGGTCAAAGGCTCAAAATACCTACCACTTGTCAGACCTGACCGATGATGGTGGATGATGGACTTACCAGACGATTGCACTACCGATACGGGCTTTGTGATCCTCGTCATTGGCATTGGCATAAATCAGGTTGGGGTTGACGGCAATGGTCCATGTCTCCCCAAGAGCCTTTGAGATGCGTTCCTCGAGTTCAGGTCTCTTACTCTCCCATTCATCTCGGACTATATTTGTTAGTGCTGAGCATATCTATCGAACATTGGAATAATGAGGTACCGTTTTTGCGAACTGCCAAGGGCAGCTTGTCTGCTGGTGGTGCGGGAACAGGTTTCTTTGGAGCCATTTTTGTTTTTGATGCTGAAGTTCTGTTTCAAGCAGGATGAGCGACATCTTTATAAAATGTTCAATTATGTGGCACTGAGTATGGCTCTCGAAATTCGTGCTCATCAACACGTGTGCGGGACAATTGAAAGGCTAACCCCCCTGTGGCGTCGTCACGAGGCTTTCCGAACTACGGCAGGCTTGCCTAGCCGGTCTTGGTTCTTGGGAACTTTTCACAGCTTACCACCACTTCACCGGTTGCCGGCTTCTCCATCTCACAAGAATAGCGTCAGGTTCGCGGCGAAGCTAAGCCTTGAATACGAGAATCCAGGGGCTGAAACTGAAATTGATCGTCGTTGCTGGGCAAGCTTTTGAAGAAAAGAGATGATCCCGGATTTATTACAGAAATTTGGCAGATCGTTGGTTCAGGGGGTGCTTATGGGGTAATAGGAAAAGCTGAAGGATCTGGCGATGCATCGATCCCTCCTTCGCAAAACAGTAAGGAAAGATGCCTGGCTTGTGAGTAATCCCAAATATCCAGAGGAGGCAGCGAAGTAATTCTATCAGACCACTTCAACTACGGAAAGATGTACGCGATGGGTATGAGGGGTCCGATACCCCTGTTCAGAAATCTTTCAAGAAATTGTCAGAGGTCGTTGGTTATCCAGTATCATGCGAACCAGAATGGCAGATGCTCTGGCAAGAGCTCGAAAGCATTTATACCGACAAGACGACCTTTGTCCCAACGATTGCTCGTGTGATTGAGACGTGGTGTCACGCCTTGGTTCTCAGGCTTGAAGATGACAAGCACGAGGATTGGACAGAGGCCTTCCTCGAGAAACTCGAGGCAGTTCGCATGTTGAAAATATTGATACATGTAAATTTTCAGTTTACGCTTGATTGATGGGCGTTTGCTAACCAACCAGGTCGCCAATGAGCCTAGACCAAAGACAACTTGGTCCTTGACAAAACCAGCATTCATGATCATCCTGCCGAATAAATCAGCATTTCATGCAGCCAGCTCAGGATCAGGCTTTCAGACGGATTTTGAGAATCTCTTTGATGACTCCAAACCGTCCGTCTCCAGCACCAAAGTCGAAGAGTCATTCAGCAGAGACGATGAGTGGTCCAATATTGAATCGGTAGCAGATTCACGCAGTGTTCAAATTCGCACAGTCGAGGAGCCTGATGTTCCAGATATTCTGCCCTCCCTACACACCCTGCCGCGACCCGATCTTCTATTCACCGCGACCACGCCATACTTGATGCAAATCTCGTATAATGGAGCCAACGGCGTGACGATCTTTGGGTCCCACGAACCAAGCCTACGACTTCTGTCGGAATATTTGCAGCGTTGGATCAAAATTGATCCTCAAGATGTTCGAAAGGTATGTTATCCCTGGTAAAGCATGATGCGTGAGCGCGATGCTAATGTCCAGCCTGACTAGATCCCTTATCTCAGGATCAAGCTTCACGAATCAATTTTTGGAATGGGTTTGTATCATGATAGGCTCACTCTTGAGCCGTTTGACCACCATCAGCGGAATTCAGTAATCAACGTTGCGTTAATTCAGTCGTTTATTGAAGGAGTTCTCGGATATCAGCCGGTCAGTGAGCACGGTGGAAGTGGTACTCGAGAGTTCAAGCGCACGAAACCATTCAGACCTTGAAACCAGCCTCTGCATTGTCGATATTCTGGAGACGGAACCCATATCAATTTTGCAGGCCATGGTAGCTGAACGACGGTCAGCAACTGACCAATGATATTGTGCATTTACGTCCCATGTCCTTGAAATATTGCATTGCCACAATCTATTCAGCAGAATGAAATTCGTACATCTCTCCGAAGCACCATTTCACCTGAACAGTCTCACATGCGGGGTGTGGTGCCACCGCTATCCACGGGTCAACAATAGCATTGGTATTACTATACTACAGGGGCACAATCCACAAGCGACATCGGAAGCCCGGGCATATCCACCGCGCGTTCATACCTCCTGATTCAGGTGGAGCTCTCTGAACTATCTCAATTAGGGATCCCCAAATCTCCAAGTCGTGGATATCTCCTCCAGTGGCCCATATCATTCCCTAATCTACCTGACTGATTGTCTTCTCCACGTGGGGGACTCAACACTTACATCCACGTCTTTGGTCAATTACCGATCATGTCATTCTGCGCAATGCCATGGCATACTGACTGCCTCTTGAAATGAATAGATCGTGTCTTGCTTCTGCGATGTCAGTGAATGCCGCCAATCGATGGGAAGTCTCCAGAAATCACATTCAATCACCCAACAACCATCTCGCGGCTTACTTCCACAATCGGCCAGTTTACTATGAGCCATCCGGTTCCTCAATAACACTCTGAGAATCTCTAGCCGTTGTTACAACACGGTCGGAGTAGCAGCGAGCGAGATGTGGCAATTGTCCCCCGAGTCCCGTCCTCTTCCCCCACACCACAATCCACCACTCTTTCCCCGCATTTACAACAGGCATTACAGCATCAGCGACGACGATCTTCCAGGGTATCTCCCCTTCAAGATCTTTTAATTCGACGACTAAATAAGCCGTCCAAGCTATCCAAGCATCGACGCCAATACGAGATGCGAGCGTGGATTCTCGAAGCCAAGCGACGCCACCCAAGCCCTGGACGTCATGCCCGTTTTCCGTCCTTATGGTGATGGTCATTCAGTTCTGTGCCCACAGTAATGCATAGCATCATAGGCTTTCAAGGTAAGGCGAAGTGCTGAAATATGGGTATCTCTCGAGATTCAGTCAACCTTCGGCAGCAACTCCGATGAGTGAGACTCCTTGGTTTCTCGGGGGCTTAAAACCATTGCCCATACCCTTCCATCATTGGCACCCATATTGTGGGATATAAAACTCTCGGTATATTGACTCGAGTCTTCGCCCAACACTGAATTATCCATCGCACAGCCAACAGAGCCCCTCTCCCTCGGTGCTCTACCACTTGCGAGCCTTCAGTACCAAAATGGCAGAAAACGTCGACGACAAGGGTATCTCAACTGCTCATGATGAAGCAAACAGCTTGGATCTACCGCCTGCTGGCCACAAATTTAAATTTTCCGCCAAAGCAAAGAGGCAAGATGGCGACGTTGCCTTGGCCCTGTTCGCCAATGCCGATGAATTAAACGAGATCATTGATGCTCAAGAAGAGAAGAAACTCATCCGAAAGATTGATCTCGTCATTCTCCCGTTGATTGCTGTCAACTATGCGTTCTTTTACATCGGTACGGTTCTTCATTTCGAATATGACGATGTTCAAGGTTCAGCAGTCTAATCAAACTACGCAGACAAAACTACACTCTCTTACGCCGCCATTTTCGGTATTCGAGAAGACCTCAATCTCCACGGCACGCAGTATAGTTGGCTGAGCAGTAGGTTACCACCGCCGTCATACTAGAGTTCAAGTAAAAAGCGCTCATCAATCTTCCAGGTTTATTCTACTTCGGCTTCCTTGCATGGGCATTCCCAACGAACTTCTTGATGCAGCGGCTTCCACTGGGCAAATACGTTGGGTTCAAGTACCTTGCTCTCATCCCAGCTCGAATAATGAACGACGGGACTGACATCGATATAGCATCTTCTTATGGGGATTCTTCTTGATGCTACAGGCGGCGTGCAATAGCTTCGCAACACTGGGAGTGTTGAGGGTGCTCGCTGGCGCCGCTGAAGCGTGTTCCGATCCTAGCTTTCTGCTTGTCACTCAGATGGTGAGTTTGTTGATTGTTCTCTTAAATCAAAGATAAGCTGGACAAACTGCTGACACTGCTGGTAGTGGTACACTCGCCGCGAGCAACCACTCCGAATCGGCCTATGGTACACAGCCAACGGACTCGGTATTGCTCTCGGTGGTCTCCTTGGATATGCGATCGGGCATATAAAAGGCGCTTTGGCATCATGGAGATATGAATTCATCATCATCGGTGCCTTATGCTGCATCTGGGGCATCGTGATTTTCATATTCTTGCCTGACTCGCCCGTCAGTGCGAAGTTCCTCAACGACCACGAAAAGAGAATGACTATTCAGAGACTGAAGGGAAACCAGACAGGTGTCGAAAACAAGCATTTGAAGGTCAGACTTGCCAATGAGACCCAAGACCTCTTTCAATATTCCATTGCCGTGACTGACTTTCGAAACAGTGGTATCAAGTGGTCGAGGCATTCACAGATGTCAAACTCTATCTTTTCTTCTTACTGGGAACGGTGTGCAATATGCCGAATGGAGGTATCTCCAATTTTGGAACTATAATCATCAAAGGTGAGCCTGTCTTCTGAGATGAATTTGGTTGCGCAACCACCACCTTTATAACCACCACTCACCGCCCTTAATCCAAATGGCTCGGTAATTCGAGGCTAACCAATGAATCTCGAACCAGGCTTCGGTTTCTCGACCCTGGTCACGACGTTGATGCAAATCCCGTACGGCATCTTGATCATCTGCTCGATCCTAGCTTGCGTATACCTCAACGATCGCTTCCCGAACAACAACCGCTGTCGATTCGTGTTGCTCTTCTTGCTGCCCAACATCGCTGGTGCATTTGGCCTCCGCTTCGTGCCCGACTCTCATCGTGCAGGGCGCTACATCTGCTATCTACTCACCGGTCCTTACAATGCTGCATTCGTGTTGATCCTGTCGTTGACAATCGCGAACACAGCAGGCCACACGAAGAAAGTGGTTACCAATGCGGTGCTTTTCCTTGGCTACTGTACCGGCAACATCGCGGGCCCGTTCTTTTACAAGTCGGACCAGGCTCCGCGGTACGAGTTGGGAATCTGGAGCATGATCGTGAGGTGAGTCTGCGCTTTTCCCCGTCGATCAAGCTTGACACTCCGTTCCCCAGCCTTTCATCATCCCTCTGTCCCACCACAGTCAACACTAACAATCAACGTTCCCCGCTAGCCATCTCATCGAAGTTGTCATCATCATCACATTCTGGGTCTTGATGAAAGCGGAGAACCACCGTCGCGACAAGATCCAAGCACAAGAAGAGGGTGGCCTTGAGGGCCGAGATCTCGATGCCACGGCGTTCGGTGACCTTACGGATCGAGAGAACCTGAACTTCAGATATATTTACTAGCAGCAGCTAGTTTGTCGAACCTGACCAAGAGATTTGGTTGGTTCAGTGGACGAGTTGAGGCATGGGTGAGGATGCACATGGCAATGAAAGCACCGCGCGGCAGCGGCCCAGGCTTTCTGCGTTGTCATTTGTGAGAAGGCGGAGTATCTCTTATCATTTTATTGGTGAATAGGTTAGCAATCAATGATTACCTAGGTACTGGACGAATCTGCAATGCGCCACGGACATTGTTGCCTCCCTAGACTGCCTCATCGTACTGCAACACGAAGCTCGTAACCAAACCCGTTAAAGGCAAGTCACCCCGCGAAGCTGGCGCGTTCGATGCTCGGCCCTCCATCAGTGATGAGGCATCTTTGATTGCCTTACAAAAGGGCGGCTGGCGGATAGCTCGGGAAAAGACCTGATTCGATTGGATTCAGAACACGGATCAGCACAAGAGCTAAGGCTCAGACTTCCGTAGGTAACTAGCTACGACATCCGAAAGCCTCAGCTGCATCTGCCAAGGCTGAAACCCTGGGGGGTGATTGAGAAACTCCGGTGTGCCACGTTCGCCCCCTCCTCAAACGCTTTCGCTTTGATAATCCTGGTAGAGTGCATTGGGCCACATTTAATCGTGTTTACATCATTACGTCTCAAGGTGTTGTGTAGGGATCCTACATATCCGATTGCTGTACGTCCCAGAACAGCAGTAATACCATGTGGAAAAGCCCCTCCATCGAAATGCCCATCCGAGATTGCCTCGTGCTGTCTGACAGCCATGGTTGTGATGAAGCCCTGCCTCAAGCCTTACCATTTTACCGTCTTTATCATTTCGTAATCTGGATGAGCGGCAGTGTCGCGTCATTCTGCCGCCCACCATCACCAACCTATGCGGCAGGCTCGTCGACGCCTAGATCATCAAAAGGGTGAGAATCCTCTAGGAGCTCAATGTATCTCTCCATGATGTGGTACTCTAATCCGATTTCCTTGACATCCGCTTTGGACAAGCGGTCTTCCTCCCTTCTTGGGCGTGTCAAGTTGAGAGTAGGGTTTTCCTTATCTTTGTAAGTGGTCTGGCTGCGCAAGTACATGTAAATGCCGCCAAACACGCAGCCTAGATTCGCAAGCAGGAGGCTGGACACGGTGATGGTACCGACCACGGCCCATTTGAACTTATCCATGCATGTCATTCGAGTGCCGGTTGCTGGCTGTCCATTACGGGTTGACAACTTTGACATTTGTCTTTGGTCCCCAACTCGACTCCAGTCTTGCCACCAGCCTAACCATCTCAGACGCCAATTCGATTGGCAATATGCAAAGACTTGGGGAATGACGTCCTTTTTATGGAAAACTGCTATGGACTGGTGAGAACGAAGCTTCCGCTTAAAGTATCGTCCAAACTCGGCCGTTCCAACAGGAGGTGCCCCAAATGTGGCATGGTAGAGGGACACGTTTGACTGGCCTGCGATCGCTGTTGCGATATCAAGAGCGGCGAAGCTGATTTGATATTAGCATTCTCTCGAGGAATATATCTTGTTGTCGGTAGAAGAGGACTAGGAACTCACCAGGATACTGCACCTCCAAGAGAATGTCCAACCACAAGGATTTCTGTCCTCCTGTTCTCCTTCTGTGCGTTCGTGATTGCCTGCTGACACCGGCCAAGGAGGCCAGTGCTGGAAGGCGTCGTCGGCGGGTTTGCGCGATCGTCAAAACCCGCGAAGCCTTCGGGCGATGCCCACAAGGCCCAGAAGCCAAGATGTACGTGGCCATCATTCCTAGCGGTGATCGACTCCCCAGAAGGCTTTGATACCAAATCTGCGCCGACACGACGAGGCCACACCCATTTGGTCTTTTCAAGCATCAACATACCCCAAAAGGAGTACCATTTCCAGACAGATCCTTGTCGGTATGGAACTCGTATCACTGTAGCGTCGTAGTAGAAGTCGGACAGCCCATGATTCGATGGAGCGAGTGTGTCTAGAGCCCAATTGATACACCGTGATTTGAAAGATTGCCCACTTGGCGTGGTACTTGCAGCTGGTAGTTTGCTCAATTACAACCTGTACTATTCTAGGTCGGTATGCTTACCATCATCGATGAAATTCTTGCCATTTGAGTTTGAATGATTGAATGTCCCCCTGAAGCCCACTACAATTGTATCGACGTCACGATCTTTCCTGAGATGTAACAGATATGCATAAGATTTGAAATATCTGTGCTGATCTTCGAATCGGTGCATGTGGGAACGAGTGGTAAACTCATCAAAGCTTACGACTGTTTGGCCTTGTAGACCCGGAGAACTCGAAAGATAATCGGGCAAGGTCTTGGTATGATTCGATTCCCGCAGTTGGTTGCTTTCAGCTCTCCTATCGGGGTTGCTGGCAATGTAGGCAAAGTTAGCAGCTTTTGCACAGAGCCGTATCTTAATTAGATCCATTGACATGTGTGATCAATCTGCTCTAGTTTTGAGAAATTCAATGGTGTTGTAGCCTGGAGAAAAAATGGAACATTGACTGTGGGAAGATATTTCACATCTGATTGACTTGAGGAGAAGCACTTAATATATGTCAGGTATTGTGGCTGTGGTGTTGCGAAGAGTTCTTGTTGACGGCAAACCAAGCTTTCATGAAATCGTCTGAATGAGATGAGAATACGATGTCAAAAGTGGTTGTTTGCGGGCCATCTGAGACACAAGGTTGATTGCTAACTGATTCGGGGAGTATTCATGGTGCTATCCCGGGTGTTAACGCTGCTACCCTTGAAAAATTCGCCTTGCAGGTAGAAGCTGCGAGTCTTATCTGTGCCCATCTGGTATGTATACAAGGAATGCAGCCTCCAATGTGAAATATCAAACCAGTAAGTGGTAGCTTACCTACCTACCCAGATGCCTGAGGCAATCAGGCTGAGGCTGTGAAAGCCGCCAAGCCACGCAGTGCCACCGAGATTTAGAACGCCCTCCAATGACCCGCCATCAGTTGTGAGTCCATGTCTTGGTCAGAAGATGGCTTGCAAGGCATTGAGGGAGCCTGGAGCGGGGGACCGGATGGTCTGCGGTGATGACGGCATCATTCATGGCCGAAGCAATAAATGTCTGGAAATGAGTATGAAGGGGAAGGAATCTATTGGCGAACTTTGGATAGGTCTCTGGGCACCAAATCGGACTGGCCAACATCTGGCTTGGATCCAGGCAACGGCGAGTGAGAGCAGAATCCTCCTGCAAGCCACTTGAAGGGTTAGAACAGCCAAGCCCGTTGGCCAGCATCCTTAGAGATGAGGAAGCAATTGCAACCCCCATCGCCACTGCATCAATGAAGGGATTCAATGCTGAAGCTCTCGACCAGTGCCTCGATAGACGATACAATTCTTTCCATTAGGACGAAATTGCAGTGCAGGAGTATCGAGGGGGTAGGAATCAGAAAGAAACAAAAATCAGGCTGAGAAGTCTGAATTAAAATTCCGATGTCGCTCCCGTAGCAAGAGGAGGAGAAACAAGGATCAAGATAAGGCACAGGTGCATGTTTCTACTACTTCGTAACTTCAGAGGACAACCTGGGGAAGGTGTCGCCTTGTATCCCCAGACTGGTGCGTGGCGAGCCTCTCAGTGAAGCCCCGGGAGATATCCAGTCAGATCTGTATTTGGATGAGAGACGTCCAAGAACGGCATGGAGGGATGTTTTAGGCCACCCAGCAAAGTATTTCCCATGTGTTCCGCGTGCTGTCCTTTGATGCGACGTGACGCGTCACGCGTTGAGGAGCACGCACCAAGATGCAACGGGCTCACCTCGGCGAGCTGGACGTGTCGAAACGGCAGGACAGAGCTTCCATCTCAAGCTGATGAATCTCAAACATTGGGCAGCATGAGTAAACTTTAGGTACGTTCCATCTATTCAAATATCTAATCGCTTATAGATCGTTCTTGTTGCCCAAGGTCATAATGTGTCTGTACATTCGAAACTGGTTGCAGAGAGTGGTTATGAAGAATGATCATGCCAATCATCTATCTAGCCCTACATAGCAGAGCATTCCAAGAATATGAAAAGGGTATCACTGGGTTCGATCGCCATGATCGGGTATAGAAAGACAAGGTAGGCTCACCTCGACGGGCCTCTCTTTCTCTATCAGCGACCAAATCCCTTTAGTAGGGTTGTGTGCCTATGGAGTTGGTACTCATACATAAGGCAAAGGAGCATTGAAGCATCGCGCTTGGGAAAAAAGTTCTAAGAATCATGCTCAGAGAATATTGGTACAAATCCACCGGCCAACCCCCCAAGTCAATCACACCAAGAATCGTTCGAATTATGGCAGAGCAACCTTGATGTTGAGCTTCGGGTCCGTCACGGAATTGATGAAGCCCGTCACAGCTGAGTCGGTCAAGCTGGTGTCGAAGTTTGTGCTGTCGGGTAGAACCACGATATGCACTGTCCCAGAACTTCCATCGAGGACAACAACTGCCTTCATCGTCTTATCAATAGGACGTTGGAACCAGTTGGAATCGCCCTTGGAATTCAAACCGTGCCAGGCGGAAATGGCTTTGGTGTTGCCAGAGTTCAAGACTTCGAAAACATCCATTTCACCACATCCGGATTGCCAGCATGAGCAGTCGCCGTACTGCATTGTTCGGGGAACCTCGGCGTTGAGAATCCATGCCGCGGGCATGTCTGCGTTGAAGCCAGTCTTTCCAGACAGTGGCATAGAGAATTCCATCAGGAAAAGCTTTGATGCGCCACTGAAGCCATCTAGAAAGGTATGGTTAGCGCGAGTCCCGATTCAGACTGTTAGAGATCTACTTACGATAAGCGACAGTGCCATCTCTAACAGCGCCGCAATCACCATTGCATGGTTTGTCCGTGAAGATAATAACCTCGTTGTTGTCATCGATGAGAGTATCAGCCAGAGTCACTGGAGAGGCGGATCCCGACTTGGCATTGGCGCCAGCATATGCAAGTGAGTTTCCCCACGTCCTAGAGAGGGGGAGGTCAGTCAAACAGTAAAGAAAGTTCATTCACATGGGCTTACATATCAAAAACGCCGGAGCCCTGGCCGCCCATGTTGTTGAGAAACACGAGACCATCTGCCACACCTTGCTCAGCATTGTAGTAAGCTTGTCGTCCCCAAGTTCCTGATCCCGTGTTGACACTTGCGGCAGGGGCAGGGGCGCTGTAGCTTCCTGCAGGCGACGCAGGTGGAACACTACCACTGGCAGGTACAGGAGCAGGTGTGGCAGCAGCTGGTGCTGCTCCGCCCGCGTATTCGTTCTTCCAGGACACGACATCGCCGTTGATAGTCGCCGTCACCCAGTCTCCCAGGCCACGCTTTTCTTCGATGATGTCGTCCTGGGTGTCTCGTGCTTCATGTACTTGTTGATGAAGATGTTGATGAGCATGTCGACGTTCATGTGGCGAAGGATGAAGAGATCTTTTCGAGGAGCCTGATCCTGGAGAATATGATGCAAATTGCTTCAACTTCAGAGGTCCTCGAAAATGCCACGAAATCTGATAAGACCGTCAGCAATGTGGCTACACATCGATACCAGTCTTCACTCACCTCTTTATCGAAGGGAGCTAGTCCACCGGAGTACGGCTGGTCACCAAAGTTGCAAACTCCATTTGACATTGTGGTGACTTTCTTGTAACTGCCGGCAGTTCCAAAATTTGAGTAAGCGATAGCCTGTACCTGATCCGCATAATAGTTGCCGGCTTCAAAGGTCACTGCGTGGACCGCGACTGAGCTGGCAGCCGCAAGAAGCGCTCCAGCGCTCCACGAATACTTCATACTTTCTGATGTGTAAAGAAATACCAGGTAGTAAGTATATGAGTATGGTATAGATGATATTCGTCAATGCTCTGCAAATGCGACTTGGCTAGCGAGTGTAATCGATCGTTCTATCGAGTCTGGTAACGAGTAGTCTGTGGTCTGGTATTGTATAATGAGTGGACGGGCATAAAATGACCCCTTGTCAAACAGATGTCCGTTTGCAGTGGTGAGAACGAAAGGCTGGCAAAGCAACGCACGGATATCACGCCAGGTGACGGAGGTGTGAATGTTTAAAAGAGTGAAAGGCTGACAAGACAAAGTGGGTTGTCGGCAGAAAAACGAATGAACAAGAAATTTGGCACTTGAAAGACCAAGTGTTTGTCCAAGACCGAGCCCAGACGATCGTGATAAAGGAATGGGGGATGAGAATGATCATAGCGGTGGAAGGGTTCTCCATGAGGCACGAGAGCATTCTGACTGGGGGAGGCATGATTGGTAGGAGGAGGCATCGTTTTGGCAAGGGGTGGACTCGTGGAGTAAATTGGCAGGGGTAGGCCATGGCGCCTAGGATTCCAGGGGCCCACTAGGGACAGTCCCGCCTAAATTGCCTGCATGAACAAACCAGCCTTAGGCGCATTAGGCCTGGTGCCTTGCAGGACGGTGCCCATGGTCCATTCATGACCGATTTTGCAGCCTCCTCCAGGCATTCTGCAACCTCCAGTGCCGAGCCAGTTGGCGGGCACTGCCGAGCCTCGTCGCTGACTTGAATCAAACAACCTCCTTAATTCTCTCTGAGACTTCAAACAACCCCCCATCCGTGGTACTTGGCAAATTGCGCCCAAGAGCTGCCTAGACTGGCTACTGCGCAGTTGGCTCTTGGGTCATACGTTTTTGACCGATTTTGCAATTTGACAAGACCTTGTGATCGACCGACATGACTCTTGTTTTCATAGGACACGAGTCCAGAGAGATGACAGAGCCAACGGAAACGAAAGCGTGAGTCTGCTCCGAATTGAGGAAGTGTGTCAGTACAGAGCGCATCCTGCAACGTATCTATATTTACTCAAGATTCGAGATGGTCACTTCGAAACCAAGAAGGCCTAAGGAGCAACGCCGGAAGATTGTGTCACGACTTCTTTCCTTCCCTTTCCATGATCTTGCAAGCTACTTCGAGGTAGGAAGGAGTGAGCCAAACCTCTTGCTCCTACCTCATTTCGTGAGACCAAGATTGCTTGCCTCTCTATGAGGTACGGAGCCTGAGCGCCTCTGTCGAGTTGGACATCCATCCTAGTGAAATCTGCTTCGTTCTCCAGACTCCACGCAGAACGAGAACAACGTCGGCATTATTATTACGTTCCGCAATTTTATCTGGTTTGGTCGACAAGACATGGTACTAACTTAGTCTCTAAGAGTGCTCTTCACCTAGCGTTATCAAGTCGCTTGCCAAAGAGCATCACCGAAAATGGTGTGCCCGCTAAACATCCCATCATTCTTGAGTCAATCGCTTTAATGTTCAATTTTATTTTACGATGTGAAAACGACCAATAACTCGGTATGTCGCAGTGGACGATAATGCTTAGTGCGATATCGTGGCTCGAGACGATGAATATCCAACCTGATTGAGCGAACCATTTGCGCTAAGAAACCAGCCCACCATGCTTCGACATGTTCGTTCTGCGGGTTTAGAGAAACCCTCTGAAATACAATTGTCCATGCCATTCCGTGCTTGCTCGGTTTGGAACTCGACCAGCTCACAGGAAATGAGGTAGAAGCAGACCATTGACTGTGGCTTCGACCAAGCGCGCAAAACCAATCTTTCATGTTGATCCTCTCTCCAATCAAGTATGCTTGCCGTGAACGAATGAAATTTGCAAAAGCTCTTTCATCTCTGTCGGAGCTAACCCGATCTCACTACGAAGGAGAGGACGCTCACGACATGGAGCTTCCTAGCCAATGCCGGCACTACATTATGGTGTATCAAAACAACGCCAGATGACCGCTCATGAGAACCTGGGCGTTACATTACCCTATACACTCAACGCAAACACAGAATACATTGATCCTAAATCACCTTCAGGTTGATCATCACGGCCAAGAAAATCACTATCTTTCTGTTCTTCACTGCCTATCTGGTGCATGGTGGTGAGCAGAAACATCATCACTAGTATCACGCAGTGAAGGACAGTAGCATACCCCTACTCCAACACAGTCATTGACCCAGAATATCTACGAGTTCCCGGTGCATGTCAACGTGAATGTCAACGAATATGGTCTTTCTTCGGCCGTGCCGTTCTCATGTATAGACAAACCTCGCAGTTGGTATTTGAGGACCTCCTCGTCGCGTTCCTAGTACACCATGAGCTAGAGGAAATTTGCGACGCTCCACCTGATGCACGGAGCATGTCAGCGTCGGCTACTAAGTGAATATCCATGCACCAACCCAATCTATGAAGGAAGAAGAAATACCCTCATGTCAAGCATGACCCTGTTGACTACCATATCTCTTGCAAAATCTAACGACACCCTATATCATAGTACCCGGCTAACAACGGCACCGACGAGGATAACGGCCTGACTCACCCAGCCTGACCATACACGGAGAACAGCTAATAAGCACACAGGAGGTGACGCGTCGCCAGACCCTCAAGGGAATATAAGCTGATGACGAGCGGCGAGGGGAAGGCAATCGAGGCCACGAGCAGACCAAATGCGTAGGGTGATGCAACCCGCCTCAAGCGCTATGACCACACAACAGCCCCAGCCGGGCTGACAGCGCGCATGGCTATCACTGTCACCCGAGCGAGTCGATCTCCCAGCCTCGTTTGTCGATCTGCGTTCTCCATCGCCTGCCCACTGACGACAACGAGCCCCTCATGATGAATGACATTGTCCATCCGCAAAAACCGAACGGCTTGTTCTGCTATTACAGGAATTCGTGGTGCGAAGTTGCCGATCACATGCTAATCGTACATGAAGACCCGAGATCCTGTATGGTTCATTTCATGTGTTGTATCTCACTTCGTCTTTAGTCATCTCTTCACTTCCAGATTCACTTCCCCATCCCCTAGATTATAGACTTGTGCGTTCTGGGGTGAATGAGGTCAGATACTGAAAAGGAGGGGATATGGAATAGTAGTGCCAGGTGGTCGATCATGCTACATGAGTCATTCAAGGCAGGTCTCGTATGCGCTACGCTAAAGTGTACTTCAAGTACAAAGGCCTGTTCCAACCACCCCATCGGTCGTCAACAATCCAATGGCTAAGCACTTGGTGGAACAGCGGGATCGATGACAAGGCAGTCAAGGTAGGAAGGGCCAACAACGACGAAAAGTAATTTCCAACGTCTTGGCTTGCCAGCTGCTTCTCATGGCTTCTCATGGCTTTTCACGGCTCTTAACCTTGGTCCAGCCACTCTTGCCCTTTCCCTTGTCACGGGTCTCATCGCCTGCGATCTCCATACCAGCCAACTTGTTCGTCGTGGTGGTCATGATGCTGCGGGCATCGTCATAAGCGGCTCCGTCCATAGCACGAGTCTTAATGAAGACCGCTTCATCCATCTTTTCTCCTCCATCATCCCACTCATCTTGATTTAAAACCTCCCACTCTGCATTGTTCATCTCGTTGAGAAGTTGCTTCTTCAATGGGTCCGCGATCATCTTGTAGTTGTTGAAGCGCCAGTTGCGAGTAGCCTTGGACAACTCTGATCGAGTATAGAAGTCATGCATTGAAGTGTGGGATCCTGCCCCCAGGCGACCAGTGGAACCACTGGGAGAGTCTTGTCGAGTTGAAGAAGAACTGTTGCGGGAGCGACGGTCTTGAAGATCCCGTTGAGACATGACTCGCATGATGGCAGGTGACTGTGGAGGCGCAACAAGTATCTCATACAGAATGCGACCCGTGTCACAAATATCTTCCCAAGAGTCTGTACCTTGAAGAAAGCCCTGGCTGCGTGAGAACCACGCAACGTTGTATGCCAGAAGAGCAATACCCTCGAGGAAGAAACTAAAAGCAACAGGATCCTTCTTGGCGAACTGCGCGACACTTTCAGTGTAATCATCTGAACCAATGAATAGAGGTCGAGGCCGTGGCAGGGATGCTGTATCGGACCGAGTGGCTGATGGGCTGGCAGGTACACTTCCAAGAGCTGAACCAGAACCAGGGAACGGAATATCTTGTCCAAGGTAAGACTGCGCTGGAGTCATGATGGTAGTCAAAGGATAGTCTCGGTGTGGAACTGTAATTTCTGACGGAAGTTTGATACCGATGTAGTAAGTGCAGAGGTAGAGGATGAAAGCAGTATTGCCAAGAACGGCGGTCAGTTCAGTGCAGCGCATATCTAGAAGATGTTAGCTGAGGGAAGAAAAAGCAAACCTCGGGCTAAGACGTACTGTTGATCTGGCGGAGATCAGGTAAGACGAGTCCGGAGACGAAGTAGAGTTCCTTGATGGTGCCATCCTTCAACTTCTTCTTACCATGCCGAAGTCTCTTCAATGAGGCGACCTCTCGACACAAAGTTGCTTTGGCCTCGATGGTCTTGGTATGTAACGCTTCCGCTTTCAATTTATCCTGAGCCAATTTCTCATTCATTTCCTTCAATTGCTGCTTCTTTGCACTGAGAACCTCCTTCTTTGTCTTCGCGAGATCATTCTTTCGCTGAGTATTGTGAGATTTCAATTTGTCGCGTCTGGCTTTCAAGTCTTCAAGTTCTTGTTGCCTCTCAGCGAGTAGCTCACGAACGCGCCCTTCTTCTGCCTGCTCCTGTTCGGCTTCGATTTTGCGGAGGTGTCGCTCTCGAAGCAAGACTGCAAGTCGCTTGGTATCTTCATCAGGCGCAGGATTGTTGTCTGGATCAATGATATGATCAACCTTCTTCGCCAGCTCCTCCTTTTGCAAGAGAACTTTTGTAAGTTCAATTCGGAGTGGATTGATCACATTGCGGGTGCAAGACACACAGGTGAGACCATCCTCCTTCTCAGAGAGTTTCTTGCAGGTAAAGCAATCCATCTCGGGAATTGGGTTGGTGTTGATAAGAATGTAAGAATCGCCACTCAAGTCTCTGTTCTCGATCTCATACTCGGTGATCAGGTGGCCTTTAATCTTCGCATCCAACGGCACCTGCGATGGTGATGGGTTGTTGCTGTCAACGGATCTGTGGACATTGTGTTAGATCGGGAGGGAAATGGGGTGAGGTGTGCTTCTTCAAGCACTTTCAGACGTTGTTAAGTGGCATCGCAGAAGATGAATTATATGATATGGTAGGAGGCGGTGGGACAGGAAGGCTGATAGATAGTACTCACTCAGGCTGATGCAGGCAAAAGCCTTGATTCCACTTCGGGCTGCTGGGGTAGCCGAGGGGATGGTGACTTCCCATGATGACGTTGTTTGGTGCCTGCGGCAAGAGTGGCAGTCAGCACGTGATCTCGTGATGGCGCTAGACACACAAGTAGGATAGCGTGAAAAGGCGCGTCTCTTTCTCCGGAGTTTATCCGACAGTTGGCTTACCAGAAAGAAAGTCTGTTTGATGTCGGATGTTGATTCCATAAGAAACAGTTTGGCAATGAGAAATGAACTCTGACTCTGCATTAAATCAGTCGCTTCCTACAAACGAGGGGCAACAATCGGAGACTCCTATATTGGACGTGGCGCCCTCTACAAATCAAAGTCAAAGACCCAGACATAACAGCAGTGCGCGAAAAAGAACCAACGACGAAATCTACGGACCTGTTCAAACGCCAGTCAAAAGTCCAAAGACTGCCCGCTTTGACAAGTCTAATATATCTGGTGGAATGTCTGAGCCAGCATCTCAGCCTTCTGATGGCAAACTTGTCTCAGGCCAGGTGGTTCAGACATCCCTCGTTGAGGAAGAACGCAAACCTGCCCAAAAAGCGGTACCAGTGTCATCTCTAAGTGACAAACCCAGCCACTCCTTTGTTCAAGATATCAAGGACTACCAGCAAGAACTTGAACTTGAGTTTCAAACCTTTGAACGGTCTTTGGAAGAACGAGACCCGTCTACCGACTTGGAAGATTTGGACTGGAACGATCTTGAGGAACGTTACAAAAACGAAATACAACCTCATATGGACTCAGAGCAAGAGATCATGATTGAATTCGGTTCTCGCTTCCAGGTAAACACAAGGTCTCCAATGCCTTGAATGTGTCTAATCCACTGCTTAACAGCAATTCATGCTTTACATGCAAGTTTGCAATGATCAGGAATCAGAACGAGCCATCAAAAGGTAGACCAATTCTTTGGACTCTACAGCCCTTACTGACTTCCTAAGACTGAGAACCCGCATTGCTGTTGTCCAAAATTCAGAACAGTCGCTTGCCCAAAAGCAAGAACACCGTAGGTCACGTGGGTTCAACATTCTTTACCACTCATTAACACCGCTTACAGATACAAAGGTGTTGGAAGCCTTCCAAAGTGCCATGGCACTCCTGGGCAAACTTTCGTGAATAGACTCAGACATGCCTAGTGGGATCTGTGGGCACTTTTCACAAATGATCATTGATGCACACGCAGCGACTGGAAGGGCCAAGAAGCTACGTCATTCCAGACCGACCATTGGTGCCATTGTTCACTGGAGGGCAATCGGCACCTAAGTTTCACTTTGATTCCTAGCCACGATATGGCTTCAAGTTCACCACGACCGTCTGTCCCTATCTCTGTGGTCTGATCCATTGCTGGACTGAGAGAAAAACGAAAGCCAATATTGATGATAATGATTGTAATATAAATACGACTGTAATGTCTAGCGATGCCAATTCAAAAACAGACCGAGATCTTCTCTCACGATTGAACGCTCTCAAGCAGTCCACCGTTTCTTTTGACCAAACTAAGTGAGTAATCGTGATCTAACATACCTGACCGTCCCCCCATACTGATAAAATTAGTTTTGAGCCCCCTTTGTCAGGACCTGCACCACAAGCCGTAAACCCAAACCCAGCTCGCGCTCTTCACACAGATCTGCTGTCGAGATGGAAGTCGTTGGGCGGAACATCTTCTAGCAATGCGACGGGTGTCATCGCTGCCCCTGGAGGAAAACCCGAGGATGAGAAGACAGTGGAGGAACTCTTGGCAGATCTCGGTGCACCAGAAGAATGGCAGCCGGACAAGTCTGAGGAAGCTCAAGTGGTAGATCTCCTTGAGCTAGCAAAGTCGGCGCTTGCCACTGCACCACAGCTAGAGACGATCCCTGGGGAAGGAGAGGAATCCATCTTGACTACAGCACAGCCTGCAAGACTTCCAGCTGTTGACATCTCTGTGTTTGCACCTGAGCCCGAATCCGACGTGGAACAACCAGAAAAGCCTCTTCCTGGAAGAACCAAAGAAGCACTCGAAAAAGAAGCCGACGAGCTGCTTGCGAGGATTCTTGACGAAGTCAAACATGAACCTCGCGAACAGGAGTCGGACGGAAAAGACGCATCGGATGCAGAAGGCTCAGAAGACGCTCCAATCGAGAACTCTCGTTCAGAAGACCCCAAAACTACAACCACCTCAGCTGATGTGCATTTCCCAACAACACCATCGAAACTCCCTGAACCCATCGCCTCGGACACCACAGCGACTAGTGATGACGACGATTTAGCCTCTCGCTTCGCAGGGCTATCCCTTCCGTCGGTGCCGACAATCATTACCTCTAAATCCAAAGCCTCCGCTACAAAGTCGACACCAGGGTTTACGGACGAAGACATCGACACCTGGTGCATCATCTGCAGCGACGATGCGACACTACGGTGTATAGGCTGTGATGGTGACTTATACTGCACGAACTGTTGGATCGAAGGACATCGCGGTGAAGATGCAGGCTTCGAAGAGCGAACCCACAAAGCCGTGCAGTTTGTCAAGGGTGGTGGGAAGAAGAAAGCGCCCAAGCGGAGGACGATGGTCGGGGCATGACGGCACGGCACTGCACGGTATGGCCTGAATAATGCTCAAGATAGGATCCAACCGTCCATATCCAATTATTACTTTCTACTCAATTCTCTCGCCTTCTCATTGAATTATGCGAATCACGTCTAGGTCTATACATCAAATCACACAGCCCCAGCATCAACACGGGGATGTGGAGCTTTCTCCGCGACATCCTCGCCATCCCCGTCACCCACGCTCCTCTGCTTGAACACCTTCCCCTTGGGCGTCACGGGCGGCACCAGGAAATAAACGAGCCCGTGAGCCAGACTCGCCGCGAGGGGTCCGACCCAGGTGACCCAAGCCCAACCGGGAAACCTACTGCCGACAAACACACCAAAGCACCTCGCGGGATTCAGCCCGGCGCCACCATAGCCATACCTGGAGAAGGAGAGGCTTAGGGCGGTGGAGCCGGCGGCCAGACCGACGAGGACAGGGCCCAAGGCGGGCCCAAACAGCTCGGCCTGCCTGGGATCTAGGCCGACGCCGAAAGCGAGGAACAGCAACAACAGCGAGCCGACGAACTCGACGGTGAAGGCGGAGCGCACGCTCACCAGGTCGGTGAACAGGAAGCAGCCGCCGACCTTGAAGGCGCGGGAGTCGGCGGCGGAGCGCAGCAGCAGGCCGGCGAGGCTGGCGCCGGCGGTCTGCGCGGCGATGTACAGCACCATGCGCGGGAAGGTGGTCAGGCGCGCGAAGAACGTGCCCATCGTGATCAGCGGGTTCATGTGCCCGCCGGAGATGGCGCCGAACGTGTAGATCAGGAGCGACAGCGTGATGGTCGTGATCAGCGCCGCGATCAGTGGGTTCAGGAACGCCGCCGTGCTGAATACGCCGGACGTCGGCGAAGGGAGTGGTGGCGGGTCGGCCGGTGACATGCTGTTGTATGTTGTGGAGAAGACGAGGACTAGTGTTCCTGGTTGTTTGAGGACAGAGTTAGTCGGTCAGTTCGTCTTTTGGTCGGAAGAAAGACACGGCACAGGATCAAGAAAATTTTCACCCACCAACGCCCTCGATCACCGCCGCCTTGTAAAGATCCCAATCCGCGAACCCGCGGAGATCAAACGCCTCCTTGAAGTTCAGGTTCGGCGCCGCATCAGGCACCTTTTTGAGCAGATCCGCGTTCGCCGGGTTCTCGCGGTCCACCACGTACGTCTGGTTGCCGCCCAGACGGCCCGCGAAGGGCGTGACGCGTGTCCCGCCCGGTCGCATCTGGTAGATGCTGGAGAGCAGCGTGTGGTGCTGGCCGGGCTCGTGTGGATGGACACGGTGGTGGTGTGGGTGGTGTGTCGCGCACGCTGAGCACGGCCGCTCGATATCGTGTGGCATCCTGTCTGGGACGGTGTTGTATGGGCGGAGAGGTGGTGAGCGTGGGAGGAGATGTGGGCTTGAGTTGATGTTGGTGGTAGGGTTGGCTTTCACTGATTCGGACTCGTGGTTGACGGATGTACTGGTTGCTTCTTGCCCGACGGTGTCTTGAGGTGGGTGGTGCGTCCTTGAAGGGCTGTAGCCGAGTTCACTAAAGGGCATGGCCTTGCTGGTCGGGTTGGCCATCATATGTACTTTGTACCAGCACGACTTGGAGTTTCTGTGTACGAGTGTTCGTGTTTGGGGGAACTTCCTATGGCGGGTGCTCAATACCCGCCGTGTAGAGGCCAGGTCGAAAGACAACTCAAAGGATCGACAGGTCCCCACTACGCGTTGCTTAGCTGGCAGGGTACTGATCAGTCAGAAGACGACTGCTTTGGTAGTAGCCAGCTATCCTAATCAATCAGCTCTGGCTCCAGCCTTGAAGTGGGAGCGGTCAGGATTCGTCGCTCTTGGAAATATTCAAAGTTGATCTCCCGCCAGCTCAAGGTCAATGTCTCGCTCGCTCAAGGCTACTTCGAAGAAAGTTGCTTTTCTCCTTGGCTGCTGGAATAAGTATATCAATATAAAATGAAATCTCAAGATCTGTGGCCAATTCTGCCACCTCAAGCCAAAGTGAACGCCGATCAGACGGCGGGGACAGGGAAAGAGTTACGAAACTCAACGGGGATTAGGCCTGAGAGCGAAGGCATGGTTTTCTTGAATGGATCTTGATTTGTACGATATGGAGCTGGCTTTGCAGAATTGGGAAAAGGGAGACTGGGGTTCTCACGCGTCGGGTTGTGGTGACTCAGCAGAACACTCTGACAAGAGTAAATTGCGGGTTGAGCTTTGACTCAGCAGAGATCCAGCGGCCACGTACCGCGTTGCTTACATAGTAGCTAACAGTGCATGAAATGGGTATGTGGAACTTGGTTAGTGGTGTCAGATCATTTCTGAGCACGTTGCATTATGTTGTTATTGAGAGCAAATCTCGAAGAGGGTATCATTAGCAGTAGCAAAGGTAAGCATTTATGTCAACAAGACTGCTCATTCACATTTGTACATCCCCGGAAAAAAAGTTGAGGCTGGAGCACAATCTGTCTGGATCAGGTAGTGCCTTCCACGTCAAGGTTCCAAGTCCCGAGGCTCATCAGCGTTGTCAAAGAAAGCGACCATGGTAATAGCCATGGCCATCCAAGACCTCATACATCAGCATCATCCTCAGTACGTTCGATATGATCATCATCGGGATACAACAGCACACCAACAGGTGAACTCTGGTCGAGTAGAAGTCGCCCCTTTGCCGGATCATTCACATGCATGTCCTCCATTACCAAGAGTAGTGTCAATTCGGGGACCAAAACCGCACTCACATAGGCACCAACACCAGCATGTCTGATGGCCGAGTCCGTCTGCAGAGCCTCAACTAGGGCTTCTGTCAGGGATTCGGTAATTGCATTGACCATGATCCGCGAGCCTCTGAGACCATAATACCCTGGTTTCGCAACATCGACAACCCCCTGGGTCAAGTAGAGTTGGAGTTTCCGACGATTGCCTTTTGCCCCCTGTATCCTATGGTCAAGCTGGTCTAAATAGTAGCTGCTCCTCTGCCGTGAAATGACTTTTCTCAATAAGGGCAGCTTCTTAGAAATCCGATCTTTTGCAAGATCCGCCCATCGAATGTCCGGATATTTGCTTTGTTTCCAGAAGTCCTTTGCTTCGGCCATCTGGTGGTCCATGCAAAATTGCTGTTGTTTCTGCAACGATAGTGTGCGTAGCTGGACAGGTATAGGGAAATCTGCTGTATAGGTAACAAATTTACGACAGGCAGGACAACGACGGCTGACGGGAGGCAAATCGATGTCAGAGTCCAGAGGCGAAGGAGATCGTGCAGACGAAAGTGATGATGACGAGTCTGATCGGCTACGACTGTGACCTCTTGGTGATTTGTGATCTTCGAAGATTGAAGGCATGTCTGTACTTGATGTTGTCGAGGACACGAGCCCTGGGGTGAGATCTGGCAGTTGAAACCCGCCCTTCCCGAGTGTCGATTTTGCTTGAGGGAGATCTGCAATCACCAGCACTTGCTTAGTGCCTCCGTTTTGCTCAGCACCCTGTCTGCGAACAGGAGAACGAGGAACAAATGTCTTGGTAGAACTTGGGAGTTTGTCTATTGGGTTGACCAGAGCGTGCATGACGAATGCTGGCGTCTTTTCAACTGATTCTGTCTTCTCCATTACAGGCTCCGGCTGCTGAAAGATATTTTTCTGCCCGTATTTCTTCACGCGTTTGTTCTTCTGAGATCCTGAGGAAGACCACGATGGTCCAAACAAATCAACCTGAGGTTCGTTTTGAACAAGCAAGTTTGACAAGCCTGGTTCATCTTGTATTTTTCTGCGTTTCGACCTCGAAGAGGCCGCTGTTGTAGCTGCTCGTTTGGGTGAAGAGGTTTGTGCCTGGAGGATTTTGGGTTTTGTTTTCGTTGGATCACTCGGTTTGTGTTCGTTGGGGTCGTCTTCGTCGCTGCTCAATGGAGGACCATAGGTGGTTAAATAATCTTCATTGTCGTTATCCATCATTGATTGCATCCGAGGCGTCAAAATTGCCTCACTCTTGACGCAGATTTCGAATTCTTGAAGTTGACAATCGGAGGGAGGAGGCCGTCCTTGGATGAATTTCAAGAGGCGTGGTCCCCGGTAGTTGCTTTTTCCTAAATATATTTTTGAGGAGCTTGGATCGTTCCTATGCATAGATCGAGGTTCATCTGCAGGCACAGTCTTTCACCGAAGTCTTAGAAGTGGCTTTCACCGCAACCGACTGATCAAGATGTAGGACAAACAGGGTGCCATCGAGGTGGCACGGAGTTCGAAGTTCGCAGTCACACCCGGTGACACCCAGTACACCCAGTATACTCAGTATACTGAGTATATAGTAGACCCAATCAGGTATACCCGCTGATATTCAGGATGACGCAAGCAATCTGCCGAACTTGAAGGGTGGTAGGATTTTGTAGGATTTTGTAGGGTTTTGTAGGGTTTTGACGATAACACTCGAACGTTGTCCAGAATTATGGAGAGCTGGGGAAGACGCGAGCGCGGTTGCATCTCGCCCGCCAAGGCTGGCAATGGTTGTGATCGAGATGAGGCAGGAGGCCCCCCGGGCTTGTTTGGAATAGGTGCCCACTCGAGTGCCCTTAGCCTGTGGGTTAAGCCTGAATACCACCCGAACCCCAACACGGCTTGTTGATCCCAAACCTCAGGTACTTTAACTAGGTACTTAGGTTGGTAGATAACTACCTATACCCCGGGCTCTTGCCTGGGGTTCATTTCAATGCCTATCTTCACGCAATGTTCATGTAGATCCACTTGATACTATTCTCAAGCTTCGCTCAACATCAATCCTACCTCATAATAAATAAATATACAGTAGCTACGTGCTTACGCTCGGACTTCTAATCTCACTGGATCTCATGCGATCGCTCTCTTTATCTACTGCTTGCTTTCCTTTAGCACCCATTCCATCAGCCACAGCTCCAGGGTTGTATTTGACGAAACCCGAGAGGGATTGTTCTGTATATCACAGTTTAGCCTTCAGTGCAGCTTGATTAAATTTGAAGTCTAGATCGTCTGGAAGCTCCATCTCCAAGCGCTTCGTATTGACGAAGGAAGGGTTGAGCTGGTCGAGGCTTGTCGCTCCCATATTGCGCATTGTTGTTTCGATCTCTTCGCTGAGCACTATGGTCAGTGTTAGTGGTAGGCCAAGTTCTAGTGGATGTGTTCAATTTGACACCAATGGACAGTAATCACTTACACTGGATGACCTTCAATACACCTTCATCGCCCATTGCACAGCCGTACATGAACGGCCTGCCCAAAGCAACTGCAGTAGCTCCCAGACATAGTGCTTTGATGACATCGGCACCTCGTCGAACCCATCCATCAAGGTAGATCTCGACTTTGCCAATAATCTCTGGATGAAATCGTCGGATCTCTAGCAAGGTACGAATCGCACTGGGCGCATCATCGCATTGCCGACCACCGTGGTTGCTGAGGTAGATGGCGTCGACACCATGTTGAGCTGCGAGCGCTGCATCCTCGGCTGTTTGAATTCCCTTGATTGCAATAGGACCGGAATTCTGCCACGCTTCTCTGATCCAGGGTAGGTCATCCCAATTCAATGTCGAAGAGTGATGTCCTCGAAGAGGCGGCCCATCTTCGTCTTCTTGTGGTTTGGACCATTCCGTCAATACTGAGTCGTCTCCCGAAGCCGTTGCAAGTTCTGCGCGGTATCGCTCATCCTCCTCCCGCTTACCCACCACAGGTGTATCAACCGTGATTACAAGAGCTTTAAAGCCCAAGTCCCGAGCCATATTGATGAGCTCGACAGCTTGTGGTCTCTCATGCGGAACGTACAACTGGAAGAACAGAACACCGTCAGCGCCATTCCCCCTGTGAGCTTTCATGCACTCTACCAGCTCTTTATGGGGAATGGTGGAGTAGGTACTTGGGCAGTATGGAATCCCTGCCTTGACTGCTCCACGAGCAAGGCACAACTCTCCATCCTCATGTACTAACTGAGCTCTTGCTGCTGGGGCAATGAAGAATGGTAGACGACTCTTCTGGCCCATTATTGTTCTCTGCATATTGACGCGGCGAACATTCCGCATCACCCTTGGTCGGAGGGTGACTTTTTTCCAGTCATTTTGATTGTTGGCCAAAGACCCAAGACTGTCAGCGGCAGAGTGGAAGTAAGCCCATGAGGCGCGATTTGTGATGCGTTCAGCCGCTTTCTCTATATCATCAAGATTGAGACAATGCGACAGAGGTATTCTCGCGGTCTTGTCGAGATCACGACTGACTTGAGGCGATGAGATGGTGGCAACAGTAGCAGGATCTACAGCACCAAGATGCTTGTCCTGAGGAAGTGTCTTTTCGATTGTGCCAGCTGGATGGATTGGCTCATATACCGCAGTGGCATCTTTGCCTCCGTATTGCAGGATAATCTGCGAGCCTCCAGGGTGTTTCTCCAAATAATCGGTCACGTCATAAGCTTTGCCACTGATAATGACCCAGCATGAATCTTTTGAGTTGTGCTTTGCAACCTCTAGACCATGGAGTAAGGATGACATTCTGGATGGTCGATGTCCCTTAGCTTGATACCACGAGAATGTGATCTGATGGTGGACCGAAAGAATAAAACCTATTCATGTTTGGAGATCCGAGCCTCCTCTCTCTGGCGTGATCCGATATCCATGACAACCATGGATAGCGGCATGGAGATGCGGAAAATTGTCCGCCAGCATTGGGGTTCACCTCCAATTCTGGGCGCATTTTACCCTCATGCCTCCTCCACCGAGGCACCTGTATCGGCGTTCGGAACAGCGGAGCCGATAAACCTGACCATTGAACATTGGCTGATTCGTTATACCTCGTACCTTTCATTTCAATCTCTTAGAAATTGTGTCTGGGATGAAATGATATCACCAAGTTGGTCAACGGTACGGTCTAGGCATCTCGGAGCCAACAGTGGCCCCTACCAGTGAGGAACTGAGTCCAGAGTCTCCCGGCTGAACACACCTGTCAATTGCTGACTGGTACAGTGGTATCTGCTTAGGCTGGCAAAGGCTGCCCGCTTGGCGTGGTTGTGGTCGTCACCTTCAAAGACTTACCGCCGAGCCTGTTCTTGTGATTGTGTGCTTTCCTATTTCCCAGATCAAAATCCCCTACCTCCAATGGCCTTCCACATGTGATGCGATGGAAATAAGTATTGTCAGATAAGTCAAATCTCCATTCCCGGACTGTGGCTGTTATTATTGTCATCCGACCCAGCCTAGGGTAGTGGCCCTCCTTCGTGTGAGGGACCAATCCATGCCTTGTCTGTGGCCGGGGCCTTGTGACGACTGAGACGCCTGGACGTGTCCATTGACGCCTTTTCTCGTATCAGCTGGACAGCAGTTCTTCTGCCTCGCTGGCCTTCCTAACATCAAACGGACACTTGTCTTCAGCGTGATTATAACATAAGCACACATTTTCTGCAGACTTTTGGGCGTTTTCCGAGCAGCATAGCATCATATTTTGCTGAGTTCCATCTCATTGCTCGTCCTCCGTACTTCTGTCTCAGGTACAAAGCCATGGCAGACTCGGCTGCACCAATTTCCTATACCTCAAATCCCTTCTTACTGTTCGTCAAAGACCTTGGGCTATTCGTAGCCAACATCTTCACAAGCGGAGGCATACTGAGCATTGTCCGTCCCTTGGCTCCAACACCCTCTGGGAGTCTGGATGAACTGTATCCATCACGGCAAAATATCTGGGCAATCCTGCTGCACGCATTCCTAGTAGTGGTCCAGCTTGTTTTTCTTGTCTCTCTGGCACCATTCGCGATCGGTATTCCGCTTCCAATATTGTACTTTCTTTATGTCGTGGGCTTCGTCGTTGGAAATCAATATTTCACCATACTGTTGAATGGTAGAAGGAAGAAAGGTCTGTTCAAGTCCAATGACAGATATACCGAAGGCAGAAAATTGGACGAGCATGAGAGATGGATCTTCATCAACGGAGTTGCAGTGGGGTACGTATTTCCATTCGTCGAATTCAGCTCCATGATATCAAGTTCAGCCCCTAACTATCAAATGCACAGTAACCATTGGCTGCAAACAAATCTCGATAAGCTGGCCTTGACCTTCAGGCGACCTATTTATGGTATTCACAACCAGACGTAAGTATTGTAAAATCTTGCAACCAACTATGCTTACTTCTGCAGTCGTGGTATCATCTTTGATGTCATCGAGTCCATCATTCAACGTGACTTTGGCTATGCAACGCTAGATATTCGCCAAGCGTATTCCGCCATGATCGAAATCCTGAGCGATAAGGATATTCACAAAGTGGTCGCCATCCTGCATAGCCAAGGAGCCATCGAGGGTGGTCTCGTGCTGGATTGGTTGTACGCTACTGTTTCGCCTGATCAGTTGGCTAAGCTCGAAATCTACACGTTTGGGAATGCGGCGAACCACTGGAATGCACCTTCTTCGAAAGTCACCACCAACGGAGCTGAATCCATTGGTGATACAGACGAATCCATGGGCTCATCATCACGAAGAGAAGTCGAACAGCAACGGACCCCGGGATCGGTGAGAGAAAACGCCACTAGGACAGTAAGACATATTGAGCACTACGCAAACCTCCATGACTATGTCGCTAGGGGCGGGATCCTCCATTTTCGCCCGGACCCTGCTCAACCACCTGGAGCATCAGTGGAAAACCAAGTCGACCCAAACCGTTTTGTCGGACGATTGTTCAAGCGCAATGCCAGTGGACATTTGATGAATCAGCATTATTTGAACAATTTCTTTCCTGTTGACACAACTGATCCAGCTACCGGCAAGGTTGTCGAGAACAATGACTACATGGACTCATTGGTCGATATGAATGTTTTTGAGCGATGGGACACTGTCCAGGTCCCCGCTTCTGAGCAAGAAAGTACAAATGGTACGAAAATCAAAACCTTCAGTCGGTTATGGAAGTATCGAAATGGAGGAAGGCCAGATGATTCTAATGCCGATCAGGAGTGAGCCAGACTCAAAAGGACACTCTTTTCAACTCTAATCGCGGGGAAATTGTGGAGGAAGGGGAGTCAACGGAGTAGGTATTATTGTCAGGCCGGGGCATTATTCGAGATATAAAGCTGGAAGGCGCCATTGCAAACTCTAACCCAAATAGGCGTGTGGATGACTTGGTCCTGACTAACATCATTAGTGATACTGTACAGATGATGATGGTATCAGTTTCTGGTATTTGGTCTGTGATCAACATTTGCCAGGATTAGAGACATGTAGCTTGCTCGATTCGACCTAACTCTACGCAGCGCCGTCAACCTTATCGTTTCTCGGCAAGGGAACTCTTCATTCATGCACGTGTGAGATAGCTTTCGTGGGCCCGTCGATCAATTTGGCGACACGATTGCTTCACCGCTGCACTTCAACATCGTTGATAACGAGGAGCCCGCCGGTAAGATCTCATTACAACTAAGAACGGAATTATTCACGGTCGACAATTCTCAAGTCAATACCAGCGGAAGTGAGAAGCCAAAGGATCACTTATTCATGCCGCGCTGCCTACTTGAACGTCTACTATTTTCGCTGCCGATTGTTGGCGACTTATTGCTAGACCTGCTTTGTCATCAAGAAAAATGAGCGGCAAACAGTTTCATTTCTTGTCACCAAGTGTAGCAGGCGTTGTAGCAGATCAAAAGGTTGCTGCTGCCGCCAGAAGCGAAGCTAGGTCTCATGCCGCCAAAGTTTCGTACCCTGAAGAGCACCGTGTCCAGCGAAGGTCGACCGGTGCCAGACTTTCTGCAAAGGAAAGTCCACTCAAACAAGGCCGAGCAGGATCTAAGGATAGTCAAAGTGATCAACAGAGCGATACCTCTTCTTCGGAGAGCATCACGAGCTCCCAAACCAATGTCAGCAATAATCCCAAAGGTAAGATCCACCGTACATCTCGCATCCATCGAGAAGGTTGGCTCACCACGCGCGATACGATACATTTGTATCATCGCCGCTGTTTGGATTACACACTTCCTTCTACAAAGATCCTCAGCACTAATGACGAATAACTAGGGCACACCACTGGTCAGCCCAATGGCGCACGTGTGAAGGTTTTAAAGTTCAGACAGTATGAAAGGAAGGATCGATCGAGGAAGAAAGCGGTCCCAAAGGCAAACCCAACACCTGCCAAAGTGCCCAGAGCAATCAGTAAGAGCACTCTGGATCCGTTCGTCAAGGCTTCAATCAGTCTGTCGGTTCCTGACGAACATTTACTCCATTTGTGTAGGTCACCTTAACACCAATATTGAATTGGACTAACATGAAATCAGACCTATCGACAGTCCCCGACGAAGTCTATGGAAAGAGCTCGGGATCCGCCTCAGAGGTTGTGCGTGAGGGTACGCTTGCAGTCATAGCACGCAATGACATCGTCTTGATGTGGCTGCTCCTCACGATTGAATCCCAAGTCGTCAGTTTTCAGCCAAGCAAAATGGATAAACGACTGTCGATACTCACAAGGCGGGCTCAAGCATACAAGTTGATGAAAGAGAAACTCGACAATGATGCCAATGCTTCTCTTGATTTCGCTTTTACCGTATCCGTCGCATCGAGTTGTGAAATGCGCATGGGGAATTTGACCGGAGCGGAGCAACATATCGCGGCGGTCAAGAAACTGCTGTCGCTACATGGTGGCTCAATAGCGGTCAGAACCATAACTTACCCGCTAGGACTCATGGTAGTTAACAGCCTTGTCGAACTGGGCCGACCGGGTCTCTTCAATAGTCGACTTGACCTTCGAGACAAGCTGAGAACAATGACGTGCAGGTTACACGATTACCAGGCATGGAACCACTCTCTGAGATCCGAGATCAGCCCCCATTCCCCCATGAGTATCCAAAATTGCTTATCGCCTTCATCCGACGAAGACCTAGCAGACGACTCCTGGGGAGACGCTTTAAGAAGAAGAACACGTGCATTCAGTACAGATTCCGCCCTTGGAAAGTATGTCGCCTTGCCTTCCACTGAACTAGACGACGCAACCTACCGGTTTCTGCTCGGCGTTCTCTACGTCATCAACACCGCTTTCTGGGACTTTCGAGACAGTCCTAGTACAAGTAACGATTATCTCGGAGAACTCATGAAGTCTGTCGAACTTAGTATTGCAGCAAATTTCGTTCTTCGAGCCGGTGGATCTAAGCTTCCCTCGTTATTGATGCTCATGATGCTGGCACACAAGGCTGCCAAGGATGATGGACGCGACGCATCTACAAGCGTGGTGTTTCATGATGAAGAAGTCTTCGAATTTGTGAACCTTGTCATGATGAGTGGCCCTATTATTCGTATGAGGGTGCTTAGTGCATTGTATTCATGGCTAGTGACCTCTCCGTCGACAGTGGACGATCTTTTTCGCCTCGGCGACGTTGATTTCAACATCCTTCGAAGAGAAGTGGAGGACGTGTGGGTTTCCGACCAGGCACGCCGTCTTGCGAATCTACAGTTGAGTTGAGAGACAATTATGGAACGCTTTTTGCATTATATGCTCGATTGCTTTGAGATTTCGCGTCGTCCCTCTACACAAATCCTCCGATACCACCCGCAAATCTTTCGAATATACTCAAATCGAACTCCGCAGCCAAAAGCTGATATCCCTTGCCATTGGGATGGAGATAGTCACCACCTTGCAAAGCATCGGCCAGCTGGCTTGGCACTGTCTGATTGCGGAGGATCTGGTCAAAGTCCAGCACTGCATCAAATACGCCCGATGTACGGATGAAATCGTTGACCTTCTGCCTTGTCTGTTCTCTTGCATCGCTTGTGTAGGGCTGCAGGGTGCTGTTACCGTTTGGTGCTGAGAAGGGTGTGATTGTTGCACCAAAAATCGGAATGCCGAACGCGTGGACTCGCGTCGCGATTTGACGATAGGCGCTGACTAGGCGATTATACGTGAGCGTCTGATTCGCGGCGTCGGTGGCTGCGACTCCAATGTCATTGACACCTTCGAAGATCATGACGTAGCGCACACCGGCATGGCTGAGGACGTCTCGATCCAGGCGAGCGAGGACATTTGGACCAAGTCCATCATACAGTATACGATTACCGCCTGCAGCAAGATTGGATATCGATAATGAAGTTGCAAAAGGAGATGCCGAGGATTGCAGGCGAGCTAGGACCAGGTCCGGCCATCTTATGGCCATCTTCAGCATTCGACCTGAACATTGGAAAGAATGGGTTCTCACCTATTATTCTGATTGGTATCGCTGCCTCTACCATCCGTAATGCTATCTCCAATGATCGCAAAGTTGCGATAGTTGGCTGGGGACCAAGCTTCGAGGGCGGAAATGAAATACCTGACGACAAAAGTCAATAAAATTGTGAGAGACGGAAGGATCATGACTTGCCAGTGTGCAGTTGAGTTCAAGACTGGCCCGGTAAGATTGGTCGCACCGACCTGATTCCCAACTGTCATCCACGACGTTGTTCGGCTGCCAGGATGGCTGGTGATCGATGAACCGTTCTGTCCCGAAGCCAAATATATCGTAATTGCCAGATTCGATTGTGCCTGGACTGTGAGATTTAGCGGATCAGAGACGGCAAGCGCTCCATTTGGAATGGTGATCGATTCCTCTCCACCACTAAAAGTTACGGTCTGCAGCGTCGAGGGCTGAATGGCCCCGACTCCTGCAGAGCCGTTGAAGGGCAGACCTATTGTTACCGCGGTGATGGGCAAGTCAGTCAGGCCAAACGCATTCGAGATGCGTAACCGGATTTGCTCAGCACCGGTCGTGACGTGTACTGTCTGCCGTATGGTGCTGTTCTTGAAGATGACAGCCGTGTCGTTCTGATTCGACTTGTTCGTCAGAAACCTCTACTTACCACGGATGTGGTTGTGGGGACTGGTGAGAAACAGAACATACATATGGCACAGGAGGAAGGTTTGCAGGTTCACAGAGCTGTGGCATCGACGCCCAGGTGTCGATCCAGTGTCCACCAGCAATGCTCGCCTCCGTGACCAGGGCTTGCTTCTGGAGAGCGCAACATAGGTTTACGCAGTAAGTGAAGACTGCAAGTGCAATACGCATCCCACAAATGCTACTGGGCCACATCGCTGAATATGGAACAAGACTATGTTCGAGCGGGTTCCCTTGTCGTCAATAATGTGATATGATAGTCCACACCGAGCTAGAGCCATGCGTCTTGAACCATTCAGAGCTCGAGCGTTCCCGTGCCCGTGGGCTCAAAGCACCTTTTGAAGACTGCCATCATGAAGGCTAGTGGATGAATAGAATCCCCCAAGCAAGCTTTACGCCACCCAGAAGCTTAAATGACCCCGGAGATTCCAGATGTAGATATTGGGGGCTCCTCCGTCTGTATTGACGCAGACATCGAAATTGCGGGGTGTTATGAAGATCCCAGGTTTAGGCTAATAGGACCATGGGAGATCCATTCATGTGGGAGCCATGGATTTCCATGCTACCCAGAGTATCTGTACAAGTGTGAAAGCATGATGTCGGGCCAAGTGCTCTCAGACCGGAATTATAAGTCCAGACCCCTATCACATCGTCTTCGAGCGAATGCTATGCTCGGTCGACGTATCACCGTAACTTCCCTTGCAACTGCAATGGAATGGCTGTTTCCACGAGACTTATGCAAGCCATTGGCCACAAATAGACTTGTTTCCCGAAGTCAACGTTGAATACGAGCTCGACTCGTTCTCTCCAATCAATGACGTACATGCGCTGACAAAGACCATGCTCTCGCCAGGGCTGATTGGTATCAATGGCAGAGTTCTACCTCGTGCTCAAAATTCCCGCCTTCCACCCTGGTACTTCGTGAGCAGAACCAACCCAATCTAGCATTGCATTGGAAGGCATACGCCACAAGAATGTTCAGCAGAGATTTTGCGTTTCAACAGCCACAACTGTCCCGTAGTCATGATGAGGTTAAGGATACCCAACTGCTCTGCACATGCAAGGATTTCAGTTCATCTTCCCCATCTAGGGAGCACAACTAGCTCTCGGTGCGAACTACTCTTTGAGCACCTGGTGAACCAGAGAATAGTCTTGGAGACTGTGAAGATGCATCCAACGTCCGAGATATGATAGCCGAAAGGGACAATATGGCCCATTCATCCACAGATAGCAGCCTGGATGCCTATCACACCCCCCATGGGCCGAGGCCAACCTCCACCCAGAGGATTTTCATTAATCAGTACAGCACAGACCGCACTCAAAAGAAACATGGTCCTGGGAAATGGGCTGTTGGGTCATATGTTCAGACAGCGATCCACCAGCGAAAGCGTTCGGAAGCGGATGAAAAACTCAAGTTGAGCGTTAGGAACTCGATTAAGCTAACAAGCTGGAGGCACATTCAGCCGCAGCAACGACAGAATGGATTTAACGGCGATGCCGATGTTGGTGCTCGTCAGCATAATTCGAGTGCAAGAACGAGTAAAAAGTCTCGGGCTAGAGGTCAACAGAGCCAGATTTCGGCTGGTACGTTTCAGGTTGATGTTAGTTGCACCTGCCTAGGTCTGAGAAGCATTGAACAGGTGATATTTTCCACACGCACGCATTGTTGGATCCCAAAACAATGTTGGATATGGGTCCTGTCAGTGTCCTTGGTCTAGCCGATCCTGCTTTGGAATCATCACCCGAAATATGTCGGCGATCGTTGTGGTTTGGTAACACTCCAGAGACAATACTTTACCAATTCACTTGCTGACCACCTCACTGAAAATTTAGTCTTGGAGACCTTTGTTGCAAAGGTCTTCCCCTTCTCACCAACATCTGGAGAGCATAGTCATTGGCTTGTCTCCTCAGCCGCGCGCCATCCATATCTGCTATTCGCAGTTTCTGCGTTGGGAGCCTGGAGTCGATTGGCGATTGAAAACGAACATGATCGTTACCACACAGATCCTCTTAATCCAAGAGGGTCTGATTACCATGTCACCAACTCTCATGCTATTTGGCTTAAAATTCAGGCAGTACAATTGCTCAATTCCGCCATTGGTCAGGGAGCGACGTCTGATGTTGAGAGTGTTATATACTCAATAATGTGCCTTGTGCTGATATCGGTAAGTTTTCCGTTCTGGCTCTTTCCACAGGTATCGTAGAATTGATACTCGTAGACTATAACCCATGGAGAAATCGAAATCGGGATGCACGCACACGCGCTTTGGCAAGTCCTTAAACTTAATGACAGTTCGAGACAACTATCACGCCATGTGCTTTCACCTGTGGTGGCGTAAGTTCAAGTTGTGTTTCAGGAGTACGTCAAAGCTAATCCATTGCCAGTTCTGGCTATGTCTCTTCGTCGATCGTGAAAAACCTGCCAATTTATCCACCACCTAGTGAGCCACCGATTTCCGATGTGAACCAATTTTTCACCCGACTTTATCATCAACAGCCAGCATTTGGTAGATTGGGGTTGGCGTTCCGAAAGGCTCCGCTTCATCAAATTCTCACCACGAATTTAAAAGCCTGTCTGGTAGAACTACAGCACATCTCGGTGTTGACCGAGTACTTTCGGTTCGGTCGTGAGCAACCAGACCGTCACCAATGCTGGTATTATCACAGCAAATGCTCGAAGGCTCATTTTCTTCTCGTCAGCAGGGTGCCTATAATCGTAGAACAAGTCGACTACCTCAGAGAAGCACTCAGACTTGCGCTACTTATCTTTTGGAATGCGAACATCCAACTTCATGGCCGCAAATCAATACTATATCAACGACTCGCGGGTGATCTCAAGGCTGCACTGTTCGCCTCGGACTTGGCAAGGCTGCACAGTGGATACTGGCCCCTATTGACCTGGATCGGATTTCTAGGTGCTTTCATTTCCAGGCACGAAGCTGAGCGACCTTGGTTCATAGCAATGATTGCCAGTTTCACGACATCTCGAGGCATCATTGCCTGGGACCAACTAGCTTCCGAATTCAAAGAGTTCTTTTATCTTGAGAACATTTATGGTCGAGGTTTTACCCGGATTTGGGATGAAGTAACAGTTTTCGCCACATCAGATGTCTAGTTGTACATTTGTTGACACCATGAACTTCCACGCTTGAGAAGCTGTTAAAGCCGGAACAAAAGGTCTAATCCCACATTACCGCTAACACCTGCGCTGATCGAGGTCGCAAAATTCCCTTATTATTAGCTGTTACACCCGCCACATAGCCATATCCTAGAAAAACCGAATGCTCCAGAGTGTGCATCCCTGTCACTCAATGGCCCTTTGAAATTTTGGGCTCCTCGCCATACAATTTTAGCTTCTTACCGAACAAATCCGTACCGAGACATGGTGCGAAAAACATCTTCCCACTGATTGAGCGGCGGATTGTCCCAGCAGCCACCACCAGCCACATAATAACACAAATCACAGCAAGGACCTAATATCTCAGATGTCAGAATCTACCGGGCTGCCTTTGGACCAATCGGAGGGAAAAAGGGGGGGAAACTTACACATGAAAGAACTTTGAAGAACCGCGATTCCAATTCCTCACCAATCGTCACCGTCAACAGTGTAAAAACGGCGACTGGGAAGATGAAGCCCCACCAACCCATATTGAACGGGAAACCCCCAGAATTGACAATCATCATGACGGCAACGACAAGCCACACGGTGGCGAAACCCCATAATATGATGCCGAGCATGACGCCCACGATGTAGAACACGTCCCCTGCGCCTCTCACGTGTGGAAGAGCGTCAGTCAGTGGAAATAGCGTCTTCGCAAGCTTTCCGAGAGTCATGATCCTGCAATGGATTGTCAGTTACCGGTCCAAGACATCCATTTGGTGTGACGAAGTACTTACGAAAACCCTGAAAGTCCTAATGGCCCGATCGGGAGGAGGAGCGAGACGATGACTTCTCGCTGCAGTGGCTTGTGCACCGTCATGCGCAGGAAATAGAGTGTCAAGATGATCCAGGACAAGGGGGAACCGATGCCCCAGAATATGTAGCTGATGATCAATGTCCACAATTGGTGCTGTTGATTTGGGAGGAATTTGGCAACCGTCGCTCCTGAGGTTGCTGCAATGACGACCGCGACGATCGGTATCAGGTATAATGCTGTCATCTCCTCAAGATCGTGTCTCTTGTTCGACATTCTGACCGATGTTAGTGAGTGCTCAAAAGTCAAAAACACACGGAGATCCGGAAAGGGGTTCTAAGCAACCCCATCCACTTACATCACAAACGTCAAATGGCAACAGGTCGTCAACGCCAACAAACTGACGATCCACCATAATACCCAGGCAAAAGTAGCCATCCCATGACCCCACACAGGCACGCACACCAAGACCGTCATATTGACAAGTGTCGCCAATCCGACGGGGAATGTCGCGAGGAACAAACTCTGGTGGGGGTGTCGCAGAACCGCCGGCCATAGTCGCGGATACATCGAGTATCGCAGGGCGGTGATGATGCTGAAGAGGACGAACAGCGTTATATTGAGGACGAAGAAGATTACGGAGATGATTTGGAGCCAGGATCCGTTGTAGGGGAGTTGGTGAAGCAGGAGGGATAGCACTCCCGTGCTCATGGTGATGATAAACCATCTGCGTGAGATTGTTAGTGATGAGTCGGCGGATTTGACGGCATGGACTCACGATGGTGTGAAATTGAGTATGATTCTTCGAAGGCCTCGGGCTGCCAGCACATCTTCCTGGGAGGAGTTTGGCTTCCCGTCGATATCGGGAATGGATTCGGGCTTGACATTATCGTGGGAGACATCTTCTCCTTCCCCATTGATGGGCTGCTCCTCCAGGTCTTTCTCTAACGCAGGATTCTGTGCCTGAGGCTGGTCGGTGCGAGTGCCGTCCGTACTGTTTGTACTGGAAAGTTGCATACTGGCAACTGAAGCGGATGGTTCGGATTATAATGTAATACCACAATTGGCAAAGAATTTAATCACTATCGTATGGCAGGAAATGTTTCGACTGCTGATCCAATGTTTGAGTTCGAACGACGGATGTATTGAGTTGAGCATCTCATCATCCCATATACTCAGAGAAGAGTTTATATCACCTGCCCGCAATATAGGAGCACCGGTAAGGCAAGCTGTCACGGCATTACCAAAGTGACTAATCCCGGCGCTCGACCAGGCTGCGATTCGTCGATTATGCAGCGTGAACCATTAGCCGCAACGTTCGCATACAGATTGGGAAACAATTGCAAGCCACCTGCTTCATCGACTGGCTTAGGTAACGCGAAATGCAGCGTTTCTACTCTCATTGCAGATTCGGATACGGGGGATACTGTTGGACCAGCCAATTGTGCGAGGGATTCCTTTGAGGGGTTTTTCTATTCGTATTGGTTTGTTGGCAGGGGATAGCAGGCGAGTAAGAAGCTAGGCTGTTTTGATACCTACATATCATCCATTCTCAATGGTTGAGGAGTGCGGTAAAGCGGGCCAGTTGTTAGGTAACTTACACGGAGCATCGGCATCGGAGCTTAAGTGCCTGGAACGTCGGGGGAACTGGAATATCTCTCACCGGTGGGCGCTGGACAGGACATGGCATAGTTCTGCAGTTGGTCCTTCAAGTTGCCGCAGCAAGTATCCGGGAGATGATGATGATGATATGCCTTCTGCATGGAAAGAAGGAAAGCGTGGCTGCAATCTAGTCCGGTGCTGTGAAAGCCCCGGGGGTGTAGCTGAGCAGTCGAAAATGATGGGTTCTGGGAAAATATCCACGACTTTTGGAGTTTGTTGGATCATGGAATTGTGGAGATTAGGAGGTCGTTCGTCCCAAATCGGGATGCTACGAGTACGGCTAGATTCCTGGGGCAATGAAAGGGCAAAGAAATGCCTTCAAATTCTGATTTTGCTGGTTCATGGAAATGCGAAATTGGTTGGTCATTCATCCAGAACAGGATGCCTCGTGCGGGGGGAAACTATCGAATGAAAAGGTTGCGAAATGCCTTCGACTTGTGATTTTTGCTGGCTCATAAGTTACCAGATGTAGCAGATAATTCGGTCAAGATAGGATGATCCTGATTACGTAAGACTCTCACGCCGCCTGGCCAATGAAAAGGCTACGAAATACCCCTCTGTTTCTCAATTTTGCTGGTTCATGAATTACCCAAATTGGTAGACTGTTCGTTCGAAATAGGATCATCTTTATCAGCCATTGAAAGGGCGACAAAACGCCCTTAACTTTTCATTTTGCTGGTTCATGGACTACTGAGATTGGTAGGTTGGTAGTCCGGAACAGGATAGCTAGTGGCGGGGGGTCAATCTAAGCATTGAACAGTACGAGGTACATGTACGGTAGATGTACGGTAGAGATCTATCTGCGGTAGGAAAAATGTCATTGCTGGCTTGTGAAATGCCCGATCTAGCAGATTATCATCCGTAAAAGGCAACGGTCCGTGGAGTGGAAGATCATTCTATCTCCGTGTTTATTGGCGTAAGGAGTATCCAAACTAGTGATCACCTAGGTAGGTAGTTCTTCTGAACTCTTCAAACGGGAATCTGCTCTGGCACCGCGCGCTCAGGAAGCCAACGAGTTTCAGCGTTCCTCGGACTTTTAACGGTTGGGATGCCAACCATACAGAGAAGGGCAAGAAGTGATCTCCTGGTAATGGGGCTCTCTAAGCACTGGACCGCTAGGTAGTTAGGAGAGGGCACCAGAACGCATCGATCTTGTCTGTCTGTTTGGATCGTTTTTGATTTATCATTGTATCAAAGCGCTCTTTGCAAGAGTGGCCCGTCCGTGGGTGATCCACGGATTCGTTCCCATAAGCAATTCAATTTTCTCTAACGTGGCCTCATATCCGTTCCCAGAAATCTCAAATAATTGGGAAGATATCAAAAGTCTTGTATCATGTGCGCCTCGCAGTCCTAAATCATAAAAAGTAATGAAATACGTCAAGATATTTCATAGCCATTGGACTCCAATGGCAATGAGGTTGCATGCTACGGCCTCTCAGGAATTTTACAGCCTTTGGTTCTCGAAAGATCTCCCGTGCATTTCATAACCTTGAGTTGCTGGTCGAGATTTCTCGCCCGGTAGGCTACCAGATCGTTTGCTCCTGAAGGTGGAAAGCAGGATGACGGCCATGTAGATGATGAATACAACTACCGCGACGATGCTGTACACAATGACGGCGTATCGGGGAACGTAGCGACTGCCCACCGGGCCAGTCTGATGAAAGCCCAGTCCGCCGTTAACGATGCCGAATGCAATCATGATACGACCCAGCCAACGGTGACCACTGCCCATGGGGCTGCGCGTGCCATTTTTGCGGAAGTGCACATGTTGAGCGAGACCCAAGGCGGGTTGGGCAACTGCCATCCAGGCAAAAATGATGTAGCCAATGATCTGATGGTACCCATCGAGCAAACTGACTTGTTTCGCTAATTGCACACCAAGGCCAAGTCCAACAATCATTAAGATGATGCTGACTACTTGTAGTGGTGCGTGTATGAACCTGACTTTCTCGGCGTGGGGTAGATAGATGGTCAAGGAGGCCAGGGGAAACATGACGACGAATGCCAATGACATGACAGCGGCGTGGCCGGAGCGATAGGAGTCGTTAGGTGTGGTGCTCTGGCTTGAACCTGAGGATGAGGGGTTGGAGCTCGCCAGAGGTCCGCTGACTCCTCCACTGATGGTAGGGGTAGTCGTGGCCGATGTTTGAGACACAGTTTGCGAAGCACCAGTCTGGGAAGCACTATTTGTTGCTGCTGAACTCTCAGAGGCGGACGGATTACTGACTGCTGCAACAAAGGGATTGGCAGAGTTTCCACCTGTTCCTGAGGTCAAATCCAACGACAAGGTGCCAGTTCCATCATGCTCTGATATAGAAGCGTCGGTGCTAGTTGTGTCAAGCGCGTTGCCGTTCTTATAGGCATATATCCAGCTGCTGGAGGAGCTAGTCGCATCCATGCTGCCGCCACTCCAGCTTAAACACGAGTCACATCGAACATTAGCGACCATGGACCCATCGTCAGTGATGCCGGTACCTTCGAGCACGAATATCGATGCATCAGAATTAAGTTTGGGCTCAACATGACCAGTACCGAGTCTGGGTGATACAGTGACATTGGTGCTGTCTGCCGAATAGACAATGAACATATTCGCGCCAGACATACGAGAACCTTGGCCAAACCCTATCCATTCTGTGCCCTTGGGAGCACTGATTTGGAAATAAACTGAGCCGCTTCCAGTGGAAGCAGTGTTCTCAGGTACATTGACAGCTAGGCCAAAGCCCTCACTTGATGTGAACTGTGCAAACTGTGCTGTGGAGCTGGCCACTATAAAACGTTAGCGATAACGAGTTCGTCTCGAGGGCGATCAAACACCACCTACCGAGGGCGCTCGCGGCCAAGATTCGTCTGAACACCATGGTTGTTTCAGTGCTGGATCAACAAAGCCGACGGCGATATGTTATGAACAAATTGGAACTATATCGACGTGTTCAATAATGTTGAAAGTCGTTATCAAGTTGACAATCAGTATAAGTTGGAAGGGGGGAAAGTCGCGTCGCGTGGAAGGTCGGGGGTACTTTTATTGGAAAAATCCTACCCTTTTCAGGCCTGAACAGCTCAGACCATTTGCCGTTGAATAGCAAACTCTTTACTGACAGTAAATTGCAGTGGATTGCGTGTCTCCATGGCTTGCCAAGGGGTAGCTCCAGGGGGGAGGAGGGACAAGAAGATGACAAGCCGCCCTAGCATTTCATGCGGACTTTCACAGCCCCCTTGCCAGGAGGCTTGCTCCAGGCCCTCCAATGAACTTTCCCAACGGGCCATGACGCGGCTCACTCATTGGCTTGTCACCACAACGGCAATGAAGTCGTCATACACTTCGTTATTGTCGGAATAGTCATCATGAAACATCACTTTGATCACTGGTGACAGAGAAGTTTATGGCCGCACGGGGGACACCCGAGTCAGAGCGAGATTGTCGCGTGTTCACATTGAACACTGGTGACCAATTCAAAAATAGACCACATTTCAGATGTCCGGAGGAGATCCCAGTTCGGGGGGTGCCACTTTCGAAATTTGAAAGGAAGGATGAATGGGCGCCTAACCCTTTTCCTTCTAGCTCCCGATGGGCTCACACTTTAATTCCTTAGCACATTGCTTGGCAACACCTCTTCCGAGATTCTTTGGAGCTTCTCTCCCACCCGGCTCGACTTTTCTCTGATAAGCCGGTCGGGAGTCTGATTTTGAGGGCATGTGAATTGGAGCTCGCATCATTGGCTCCTCAAGCTTCGCATGGATATGCCATCCCACTTCTGGGAACCGTATTGGGCGTTATTCAACAAACGGCCAAGAGCTCAACTACCGAATTGGCAACGGTAGGCGTATCAGATTCGGTACCTGATTGTCCATCTGCCGCGAGCCACGTCATAAGTGCCCTATCAGAATGGCGCGCATGTCAATACCCTCCGTGTCTACTCCTACGAGTACGTGTGAATACCCAGGTGAGGCATAAGGCCAGCGCAGAGCACACTGTCAGCTAGGTTCAGGAACAATGTCCCCCAGATATGATGTATTCAGGTGAGCCTCAGGCCCGGGTATGTAGCACAAATGAGCCGCAAGATCGTGGATTACGCGTATACATGCGGCTCATTACGGTGTCCGGCTTTCCAGCATGGCGTGTTGAGATGGGAATATGGTTGATATCGGAATCCTCTTATCAAGTGAACAACTACCGGATTGTGTTCGGCCTTCCGATCGCCGGCATCAGATTTTCTTCGTCGACACTCGGCGTGACAGAGAGGGTTCTAATAATGGCAGATCCCGAGCACATCATCCATGGTCGTCAGGCTTCAGACGAGACACGTAGTCGCCGCATGAGGCCAAAATTTATCCACCGGATGCCAATGATACCATGTGTGAAACGTCGACATGAAGTGATTACAATGCCCACACTGTCATTCAAAGAATTGTGGCTATTCCCATTGGTAGGAGTATTTCCGTTGTGGCACACTCGGATAGGCATAGTCTACGAAGGACGGCGGTTTTCCTACACTCGAGCCGAGTCGTTGATCGACCGCCTCGGACACGAAACAAAAACTATTATTGGCATCTTTGCTTGTTACCATGCACCGGGAATTGCCCTGGTGTTCACACCTTTCACAGCTGTGATATTTGTTTAACCGATCGAAGGATTTTATCAGAGTCATTTCTAGACCTTTCAGTGGCGATGGAATTCCTCACCAAGCCTGCATCGTCAGATCAAACGATGCCTGCTAGTTAAAGCCCCTTCCCGTGAAGGCCTATAGGTCGAATCAAATGCTGAGAAATCGCTGTTCCGATAGTGCCTATGCAGGCATCAAGTCTTTGTGTGCATCATGATCTCTTTGATCATCTCATTACCGAGCCGCACAGCGTCCGGAAATCTTGGTGCAAAGTACTGTTGAATGTTGGTGAAGCGCTCGCGATATGCATCGAAAGCACCAAAAGAGACACACTCGGACCATGCCTAGGCGGAAATATTGTTAGCCTGTGAAAGCAGATGCTTGTCCTATATTGCATCAAGCAAGACATCGAACATGGAAGGCACTCTTCGCTGTTACGAGCACTGAAACATGCAGAACATAGCTCATGGTCTTCGTATATGCAGCTGCACGAGGATAGAATTGGAGATACAGAGACTTACCCGAGCAGCAAAGGTGAACTCTAGATCATCAGAGCGAAAAGTATCATCATCTATCCCTGTATTGATAACTTCATCAAGCAGTTTCTCATTACGAAACAGATATTCTGTGACACCGAGCCAGATACGAAAGAGCTGGATGATGGTTAGGAATAGACCTAACCCTGTTTGAGGACTACTCACTGGAGTGGAACATATCATGTGGTCATAGGGAACGATACCAAGCTTCCACCAGCAATCCACAATCGCTAACAAGCTTAGATGATTGTTGGGTTTCCGCTGCTTGGGTGTTTCTGCCAACGAGAATCGATCCAGGACATCGTCGGCGAGCAGGAGGGTCTGATCTGCTGCGTGCGAGGTGAAAACCGCGGCTCCTGCAGTTTTGACTCTGTGCGCCAATTCCTCTCGGTGACCACCTAGCATCAATTTAAACAGCTCGGTCACGGATTGCGCGTATTGACGAATTTGCTCTTTTGCTGCGGGGTTGAGGATGGCAAGCCCAGCATAGACATGCCACTTATTGGCATAGATACGCAGAGTGATGTTGATCTTGACGTTCTCGATACCTCCGACGTATCGATTGATTTCCCATGGAAACTGCTTGTTCGCAGCCCATGCTGTACCCATGCTCAGGAAGGCAGCGTGTGTGACAGCCTGGGTATCTGCTGTAATTCTATCATGCTTTTCTCCTGAAAGGAAGACAAACTTTGATTTGAGACATGAAAGGATCTCCACGCAGAGGTCGACGCTCTTTTGTGAAGCTCGGTGCTGAATGACGACAAGTGGTTGTCCCGTGGGATCTACTGCTGGGCCATGTAAAGAATGACAAGATACAATTTCAACATCACTAGGGAGGTATTTGTCGAAGGCGGCGAGTTCTGGAGCTTTGCACGAGGTTTGGCCGCCAACTATAGCGCCGACTTTGGTTGAAGGGCCATATTCAGCCACAATTTTGCCAATGACCTCTGCCTCGACACTGTAGATGATCCAATCACTGTCTCGGGAAACAAGGTGACCATTTGGTAATATGTTTATTTTGTTCTACATCTGGTCAATCATGCTTCATCAATGTTGCTGATGACACAAACCTCATTCGCGTACTCCTTCTGGAGTGCTTGAAATTTGTCTGGTCGATCACAAGCATTAACTCTGCGGTTGACAATCTATCAGCTTAGAGTCCTTCTCCGATGGCCCGACTGAGTCAAATTACGAATCTGTGGAGAGGTATGTTAGTCATCATTTCAGACAAATGTCATAAGATGAAGTAACGTAGAAGGTGTTTTCCTCAGACAAATAAAAATTAAGGTAGCGAGTATTTTACATCAGTGACAACCAACACAGCCGAACGCACCAAGATGGTGAAGCAAGGCCATGGAGATTATGCTCGAGCCAAATGCACTCAAGTCATCCTTGAGAAAAAAAGAAGGAATGGGGGAGATGTTGACATACCTTGAGATTAAATCAATCGGGGTTGACGAACGAATTGCTGGAAAGGCAAACTACAACAGCTCTGCCTACCTCCAACCAGCTTCACTAAACCTTCTCGCATACATTCGGCCCATGTCGCCCATGCCGATGATGCCCACTGTGGTGTTAGCCATTTTGTCCGGTAGGGGATGATCAAGGGAAGATAAGATCTTGTTGAGACGGAAAAGTATAGATGTCTGTGAGTGCATAACAAGCAGAAGTAAGAAGAACAATCTTCTCAGCTGCTGTCCACTCTTGTTCAGACAGGAACTACTGCCGGTTCCTTGAACGTTGAGTCATAATGTTGATGATTGAAGGAGTGGAAAAGCTCGAGTCTGGAAAAACGAAAGACTTTCTCGAGGCTTTGCCAAGACCCGTGTCCTATCTGGGTTAGACACGTCGGGTATTTAGTCTCCGGCGCTAGTCATTTCTCCCACAATCCCAACTTTCGCAGGCACGAATTTATGTGAAGTTTCCCTCTATCTCCCAACGACAAGACAATTACACAGCACTTCACAAGCCCTCGCTGTCATCATCAAAATGCCTCCCAAGAAGAAGGTCGAACGCGCCGCCACCGAGAATATCTCGCTCGGCCCCCAGGTCCGCGAAGGTGAGTGACAACTTGGAAAGGCTTTTACAGTCAAAGACCAAAAACTGATCGAAATGTCTTATGCAGGTGAACTCGTCTTTGGCGTCGCCCGCATCTTTGCTTCCTTCAACGATACCTTCGTCCATGTCACCGATCTCTCGTAAGTCCTCTCGCACACCACATTAAAAGCTGGGAATCAAGTTCCACACACAACGGGATCAGAAGGTTCAAAGGCTAACAATCTGGGTGATTTCCAGTGGCCGCGAAACCATCACCCGTGTGACTGGCGGTATGAAAGTCAAGGCCGATCGTGATGAGTCCTCTCCATACGCCGCTATGTTGGCTGCCCAGGACGTCGCACAGCGATGCAAAGAACTCGGCATCACCGCTCTGCACATCAAGATCCGAGCCACTGGTGGTAACGGCACAAAGACACCCGGCCCCGGTGCTCAATCTGCTCTCCGTGCTTTGGCCCGATCTGGAATGAAGATTGGCAGAATCGAGGATGTCACACCCACACCTTCCGACAGCACGCGACGCAAGGGTGGTCGCCGTGGTCGTCGTCTCTGAGCGATGTGCCAGTCTCTTGGTGGATCTGGAAGTTTTACTACTACATACGCCCGAGAGGGTTCAATGATATGTCGGTCTACGATGGATGCCAATGATCCCCAACAATATTACGCGAAGAACGGCATTTTTCAGCCTGGTCTTCAGAAACTCCAAGCAGTTTTCATCTATCTGCTACATACAAAATGGCAGATGATGTAAATGATTCATGAATCCCGATCCAGTGCCGTATTCAATTTCCTCGTTCGTGATCCTGTTTTAGTTTTACCAAATTGCAACCGCATACCCCTCAAACTTGTCGGTTTAGCCTTGCCCCTCACAGAAATAAATCTTCCCCAAAACCACCATCCAAAAACCACCACCATGTCTGGTTCGCAATCCGGCAGTCTGATTTTCCTGAATCTGCCTCCTAAGACATTTATCGGTCTCGATCTCATCACGTTTAACTCATCTGCCCAGTTCCAAGGAATCCACAACATCCGACATGGCCTGCATCTCCTCTACAGTGGGACGGACGCCTCGCTTTCAATCCGACAAGGTCGATGGGTAAATCTGACCCCGGACGATCCGCGTCGGATCCTGCAGTGGAACGCAGACAGCGAGTCTCTCGATCTCCTCGATGACGAAGCCGAATCGGCGCAAAATGTGATCTCTTCAGCGAGAGACCCGTCCCGCGGATTACTCGACTACGAGGCACTGCAAGCTGCGACCAGCGATCTCGCCGCAAAACAGAGCACCAACAACGGCAATACATCTCTTAGGTCCACCAAACACCGTGATGGTGCAGAAGAAGGCGATGATGCCGAAGTGGAAGAAGACCAGGGCAATGACAACGGCAACAGCGACCCTGACGACCAAGCAGATCCCTCGACCTGGCAAGACCTGACGTCTCACATCTCACCGACGCTACTCACACGCATCCTCCAGAGCGAGTGGACCACGACGTCCGTCGCGTCCGCGCCATCCGACACAGAAACCATACCTGGGCTCTCGCACCTCGAAGCCAACGACGCCCTGCACCAGCACCCGCTGCATCTGACGGTCATCGACCTCAAGCAGACCTGGGCTGCCGACGATGTCGGACGCGTACGCACAGACCGCGCCCGCGACCGCAGCTGGTATCTGTCGACGCTTGTGGACGCGGTAAGTCTCGAACTCGTGGACACTGAGACCCCGTCGGCTACGGCACGGGAAAAGACGCAGAACGAGCGCAAGACAGTGGGTGCACGGGGTTTACTAGGGGAACTACAGTTCTGCTTCCTCATGGTGCTGACGCTCGCGAACTACAGCTGTCTCGAGCAGTGGAAGCGCATTCTCGTGGTGTTCTTTACGTGCCACGAGGCGCTCCGGGATGTGGAGCCTTATTTCGTGCAGATGGTGCGTGTGATGGGCGAGCAGATGCGCAGGGTAGAGGATGTGGAAGGTGGGTTGTTTGAGTTGAGGGATGAGGTGAGCAGTGCCTGGTTGAGACGGTATTGGGCGAGGTTTCGCGCTGCTGTGGATGTGCATGCTGCAGATGGTGGAGTGGAGGACTTGAAAAGGGAGGTCGAGAGACTGCAGTCGTTCTTTGAGGATAGGTATGGTTGGGCGAGTGAGAGGGATAGGCTTAGGAGGGGGATGTTGGAGTTGGAGGATGGTGAGATGGTAGAGGTTAGTCTGGCTGGGGTGGATGAGGATGAAGAGACCGGAGAGTATGCTCCTGTCGTTGTCGAGATGTAAGGACTACCAGGCTTGCGTGAAATTTTGAGATCGAGAATATATAAACATTCATTGCATGGTTTAATTTTGAATTCGTTTTCTGCATACCTGCAGATGGTCCTGGATGTCAAGAAATCCATCTACGTCAAGCGATTGCTCCTTTTCCGCATGGACGAATTTATTTCGCCATATGAACCGATTGCCAGTGGTGCTCCGTTCCCATGCTGGACGCAAAAAGCCATGTCCTTCCAGGTCCGATCGAGGATCCTTCGGCACAAGAGCAGCTCGAGAAGTCCTCACCATCCCTTCTTCCACATCGCCACACTCCCAACAACAGCGAAACCAGCCATAACAATCGCTTAACGGTAAGATTTCTGGTATCTGGCTCTGGCACCTGGACCACCGAACTTCTTGGGTTCCGACCGTCTGTTATCGGCGACAAGGAGTGTGCGGTCGTATTGAACAAGAGCTTGCTTCAGCGAGTTCTTTGTGAACTCATCGACGAATTTTTGGTAGTAGGCAACGACGGCTTTGGCGATCGCTTGACGGATGGCGTAAACTTGCGAAGTGTGACCACCACCGGTGACCCGGACGCGGATATCGATCTCAGAAAATTTGTCGAGACCAACAATCAGGAGTGGCTCGTAGACCTAAATAAAAAAAACCATCCGTGAGCCTTGATCCACCTCTCTTTTGTTTCTGACCTCTTATGGGACTTTGTGTCGTGCGTACCTTGAATCGTAGGATTTCGGGTTGGACGAGGTTGAGAGGTTTGCCATTGACTTTGACGAGGCCTTTTCCTTTCTGTGACAATCATAAGCTGCTGTTCCCATCTATCCACCATCGTGTTCGGAATCTAACCTTTGCGTGTGCGACTGCGGTGGCTATGGAATGAATTCGTTAGCACGACATTCCACCTTCTACATATCTCGAAATTGGGGGCCTCACCAGTCTTCTTCTTGCCGAAGCACTGTACACTCTGAGTGGCCGACATTTTGAAATTGACGGCAATTTACAGAGTTGATACAGTTGAGATATTGTCGGGTAGAGAGGTCGCTGTGAAATCGGTCTTCGATGTTGGTGGTCCGCCAAATTTCGTTGCGGAAAGTGCGACTGAATGCCAAGAGTGCATTTTGAGTTGGGGCCGGGATTTCATTGGCCAAAACTACCGTGGAGTATTATTACTTCTCTTGCAGCCACTACGGTGCGCGACAGATTCTTATGTGCTATAAATGCTTGGCACAAAACCCATGCTCTCGATTTCCGACAGCGAGCGATGATTTTGGTGGACAGTAGAGAGTTACTATCCAAACAAGCTCCGATCAACCGTGCTCGACATCAGGTTGACTGCACCTCTCATCGTACTCCGGACAGAAGCATCTCATGTCACGGTAGAGACTGAGCCACCATGTCTCAAGTTGTGGGCAAGGTATGCTGCGCGATTCCTGTATCATGCGTCTGAAAACTCCCTAACAATTCTCACAAGACCCGCCTGGCCTACTCGCGGACATGGCATCACATCGATATCGGCTCTGACTCGCGGTCACTAGGCCGAATCGCCTCATCCATCGCCATCTTCCTTATGGGCAAGCACAAACCGATCTGGGACCCATCAACCGATTGCGGCGACTACGTGGTTGCGGTCGGCTGCCACGATCTACACGTGACGGGCAAGAAACGAACGCAGAAACAGTACTACACTCATAACACGCGACCGGGCAGCCTCAAGCAGATGAGTTTAGACTATATGATGGAGAAGTGGGGTGGTGGTGAGGTGCTGAAGCGCGCCGTACGGGGAATGTTACCGAAGAATCGATTACGGGACAAGAGGTTGGCGAGGTTAAAAGTGTTTGAGGGGACCGCACATCCCTACAAGCACAACATTGTGAAGTTTGCCGGAAAGCCGTATCAGCCTGGGAAGGTGATGGAGGCAATCGAGGCACAACGTGCTGGGTCAATATCCTCTGCGCCGCCATCAATATCCTCTGCGCCGCCGTCATAGCCACATGACGGAGCTGTTCTGCATATTTTCACAGAGGCGTTTGAGCGAAGAAGGTAAAATTAGTCTCTGACAGGACTTGTATGACTATTGTTATCATATTATCTACAAAGATGGCATTGTTCTCATAAGACTCCCTCCAAGGATCCGACATCCGTTTCCTGCGCCATATATGCTATCTATTTCTTGACTATCCGAGATAACCTTTCATCGTCTATCGGGAAACTGTGCATTTGATCAGTCCGTTGGGATCCGACTGCGGCGCATACACCTCGGCGTCCTTGCCGGTATTCTTCAGTCCGTGATGCCACGACAGATCAATCTCGAAGTAGTGCTTGTTTGGCAGAGCATAGTCGACCTTGGAGACGAGTGGCTCTGCGGCGAGGATTTCTTCACTCATCTTGTACATGGTGTTTTGGACACTGGGACTTTCCTCGGTAGCGAAGAGTCTGAATGTGATCTCGCGCGCCTTGTCCCAGGTCTGATTGAATTTCGCGAGGTCCTTCTTCACAGCTTCCAGGTCTTTGAAGGTAGACCACTGCCAGCCTGCGTCCACAGAGGTACTGAGAATGCGGTCGTATACGTCGGGGAGGGTGGTGAAGTCGTTGCGGACGAAGTGGTGGAATTCCGACCCGGTGCTCTTGAGCACCAGGAGGTCGGAGATTCCAGACCGGATCTCAATGCCCTTGCCCTCATATACGTCGGCTTGAACCAGTCTCTTCTCGTTGCCGTCTCTGTAGAACGAGTGGGGATGGGGCTTTCCATCCACTGTCATTCTGGTCCATCGATGTTGCACAACAGTGATGTGCGCAGAGTGAATGTGTTTGTAGGTTTCGATGAAGTGTGTTCCTAAGATCGCAGCGAACTGTTCAGGAGGTGTAATAGGGTTCTGCTTTGCGATAATATAGGTGGTGTTCTTCATGGTGTCTGTAGCAACAACGACGCTATTGTCTGCTTGTGTGTAACTGCAGTTTTGTCAGTTTCCTGCGTGGATCAGTCTATATCGAGTGTACTTACGAGATTTCGATCTCGCCTTCTAACAGAACGGTGACTGTATATTCTACAACAGTATGGGTCTTGGTGGCTTCGTCCTTTTCCACTTTGTACACCCGGATATTATCCTTGCCATAACGGGCCGCAGAGAGTGAAGGCATTTTAGAATAGGATTGCAACCTCAAGAGTACTTTTGTAATGCGAACTATTGCGAGGAGGTCAACTCGTGTCAAAGAAATGCTTCAAGCTCTGTTGCAAAAAGAGAGGTCTGCCACTTCCAGTCTGGCCAAGGGACAAGACGAGCTTTATCTTTATATAAGATGTTTATTATTTCTTATCTGAGGGGTCCGAAGGTAAAATGGGCGCGACGGCACGAGCTGCGAGTTCATTCACGTCGTGCACCAATTGCACAGGCGTACGAATGTGAGAAGATCTTGTAGACCGCTGATCGTGACAATTTGGTAGACCCTTTCGCAGCTCTGGTCTCAATGATTGGGCATCGCTTAATCAAGCGGGCAGGCATCGCTCTGAAGGCGTGCGCCGGTACGATCAAAGACGCAACGGAGCTCGCCGATGGCGTTGGATGTTCCTGGCCTCATGCTTCCGGCCAGTCCAAGAACAGGTGTAAAACGGATATTACCATCTATCAGCTGATGGACAAGTCAACTTGCTTGGTCGTGTCCATTTCGGGTGCCTCAATCATACTGCTAGGCCACAGAGATACCGTCGTTGTTAAGAAGCCTTGTTCCTCGAAGCCCAGAATGATCTGAATGCTATGATGTCACCGCCTTTTACCGAGAATCGCCTTTCAAGCCACCAAGCCAGATCTGTGCTGTGGTCGAAACGCCATCTCTAGAACCGGAGGTGGACGCCGTACTCGTACACAGGATCGATTGTACGACTCGAGGAGTGCCGTTGAAATAGAATAAACAACTCATATTACTACTAAAGTGGCATAGCGATGGCTGGTACCATCTGCAATGGAATCTAGTTTCGGTATCAGTCGTGGATGAGAGGGACCGAGAAGCGAAAATGTCCCCTCCAGACCTGATCGAATTTAACTAGCAGTTGGTAGCTGCACATGGCAAATGGAGCTTAGAGGTTAAGGCTAGGGGTCCTAAAGATCCCTGGACACCTTAACCAGACCACGAAGAATGTTTAACTAATTTGTCCCTGAGTTGCTTAGGCTGAGAACAAATTGGGGGTTCCTGCGGGGGGTTGGTGGGCGGAGCACACAGACTCCAAGCGTAGACGTTATTCCATGCCGCGCTCCGCCGCGCCACTGCACATGGACTCGAGGCTGTTTCTCTCCATGAACAACACGTCTTACTCAAATCCGACATCTGAAGCTACTCACCATCCGAACGTTCTACGACGCTGGCGGTTGTGATATCCTGGACTACGCCTACGGCCTCGTCCTTTTGTGTACCTCTCACCTCCTCAATAAATTGGCGGATCTACTCCGGCCCTTCCACACTTCACCTCCCCATCCTGCGCTGGAGCAAGACCACGAAAGCTCAGAGCCAATGGTCTCCACATATGCGATCGCACTCACTGCAGATTCGAACTAGCCACAAGTGTCCATAACAGTGTTTCAATTCTAATGTCCTGAGGACCGGTCCTTGGTTGCTCCAAGAAGTCTCCATCCACGACCATCAAGTTGTGCTCGCGCTCCCCTTCTCGCTACAGTCCACGAGTGGACGGCCAAACTCCATGGCTCGATGGCCTCATCGGAACAAGGGTCAGGTTATTCGGTGACACCAATTCAGAGCAGAGGGTTCATAGGGCGTCATACTTCTAGGAAGAGCGATGACCTCTCTTTCCAGCGTCCATCCGTCAAAGATGGCCGCTCTCTGTCGGGTGGCAGTTCTCAGTATGGCCAGAAATCCCTCATCGCCTCCACGCAGCCGTCGGGGCTTCCGGGCAGTTTCAACCCGGAAATGAAGAGCGCCATGCAAGGAGGAAGGACGACTCCCCAAGCGGAACCCGGTGGTCTCAATCTTTCGCGGCTGCAAGTCCAATATAAAGATAGTGATGCTATTGGTATCTCGGAGCAACGGCAGGCGGCGGTACGGGATAAGATCGCGAAAGAAATGAAAATCAAGTTGGGAACAGAGAACATGTTGGAAGCCCTCTTGAGCAAGAACAACAAGCAGAGCAAAGAACAACGGCAACGAGTCGAGATTGAACTAGGAACATCGAACCGAAAACTTGCAGAATTGAAACAAGAACTGGACCAGGAGATTCTAAGGGCTCAAACGCCGACAACTCCGCCGAGCAAAAGAATCTCGAGTTATTTTAGAGGAAGCCCTTTGAAATCACCCCCCAGGGCGCAGGATCCAGACAATGACCCTGCTGATTCTGTCGATAGCGAGTCTCCTACTGTGGTCTTGACCGAAACTTTGCAGCAACTTGAAACCGATGGCATGCAACCCGACTACTATATCGAACGAGCGAACGCGCTTGTTGAGCTACTGAAGCGCAATCCCACCTTGAAATACGATCTTGCTTGGTCTGTTTTCAGTCTGAGGGTTCAATTGATGCTGCTGAGTGAGAGTTCAGATGTGGTTGCAGCAGGGTACAGGTTGACCCGACATGCGATTGCAGACAGGAAATCTCTCCAGACGATCAGAACTCTACACACAGATGAGTTGGTGATATTGTCTCTGGTCAAGAAGGAGAAGGCCGTCCTTGAACGTGAGCAGGCAGTCAAATTTGTCAGAGCTTTCCTCGATGTCAAGGACGGTGTTCGCGAAATTTCTCGTGCTGTGGTTCGTAGTCTGGTGGCAGTTGCTGAGACATATGATGATAGGCTCAAGGACATCTGCCTCCTGACACTTGCAGAAATTCTAGCAAAGAATACAGAGCTACTAGTTGCTGCTGATGGCATGGGAACTCTGACCGATGCGTTGGCCGACGGAACATTTCCAGCCCCTGAAGGCCTGGTGGCAAGCTTCCTTCACATACTTGATCATCCTCAACAAAGGCGATATTTGCATACTGGTCGTGAATTCGAGGCCATGTTTGCTCCGTTCACCGATCCACTTCTCTTGAATGGCAATGAGGAGAAGCTAAAGACCTGTGCGCAGGCCATTGCAGCAATGTTGAAGACATGGCCTGGTTTTCTTCTACTGGCCATGAACGGTGCGGCACCTTTACGATCATTGATTGACTCATTGGTCTATCCCATCACCCAATCTAGAGATACAGTCGTGGAGTTATTGTTTGACATTCTACGCATAAAGCCTCCCTCGTGGTCAAGCTCATTCCTCGCTGGCCGAAGGCTTACCACCTATGGACGAGTCAATACTGTACCTACTGAACAGCCTTCTCAACGTCAACTTGCCGAATACAGTGCCGACGGTAGATTTGATTTGACATACCACTTCTCTGCTCTGGTCCTGGCGGCCTTGATAAAGGCAGGTTTGATACCGGCACTGGTCGAACTCATCAAAGTTGAGGAGGACTTGACTTTGAAGAGAAAAACTACACTCCTCCTCACAGAAGTGTTGAAATTGGCTCACCATGCACTACCAGAAAGTATCAGCGCAAACATTCAAGTTCTTGGTGATCTAGTATCCCGCGTGGAGGAATTTGGCTCCGAAACTTCTGCGATCAATATGAGCATGATATACCAGATTGAGAGTATCAATCGCACTTTGAACCGAACTACGACGTCGAACACATTTGGACGGGCGATGCCTGGAGACGAACTGGCGGTCGGCCCGCAAGCTATTGAACGATCAAAATATACGGTCTTGATGGATGCGGACCAATTTCGCCAGGCCATGATCGACAGCCAAGTCACAAACCATTCCCAATATGTCAAGTGGAAATGGGACCTCATTCATGGCTTAGTGGAAGGGCCATTATTGAACCCTAAAAGATTGGAAGAAGCCATCAAGTCACCTAAATTTCTCAAGAGGCTTGTCGGCTTCTTTCGACCGTTCAAATACAGATTCTCGATGATTCGAAGTACCAGGCCGAATCAACGATACGTACGCACAGGATGCGCCTTGATGAGGACATTGACCCAGACTGCGGTTGGACTTCAGTACCTTGCAGAAAATAAACTTCTCCGACAGATTGGAGAATGTCTCGCACAAATTGATCCTCATAGTGGCATCACATCCGCTACCCCATTGTTTGACCGTCATCAGATGGCCGAGACTCTCAGTGGTGGCTATTTTGCTATGCTCGGAGCGCTGAGTCGTAGTCCTGAGGGTATGAGACTAATGGAACAGTGGCATATGATGGACATGTTCTATCATCTTGTCGAACTGAAGAACCGTGATGATCTCAATAAGGCCCTCCTCGGGAATATGGATTTCACTCTAGATTCACATCTTCGGGTGGTACTGTCCAAGGCACTCACATCCGGAGTCAAAGACATTCGGCTCTTCTCCACTAAACTTTTACGACGGTACGCCGTTGGTAGAGTCCAATATTCCTCAGGACTACAGGATCCGTCCAGCTCACACTGGGCATTGCGACTTGTGTTAACACAACTCTACGATCCAGACGTTGAGGTGTGCGAGACTGCTGTCAAAATTCTTGAAGAGGCATGCAACCAGCGCAGCCATCTTGAGTATGTGGTCAAATGCCGACCATCGTTAGATCACCTAGGAGAGATTGGCGCCCCGCTCCTCCTACGATTCTTATCCACGTCCGTGGGATATCGATATCTGAGCGGCCTAGACTATATTACACAGGAAATGGACGATTGGTTCCTAGGACGGAACGATGCGTACGTGGCACTGGTCGAGGCCTCGATATTACGTGCGTATATGGATGGCAGTTTTAACAAGACAAGCTTCAATGAGGATCCCGCGGTAGATCCGCATGAGATTGGGATCGCTCCCCCACATTTCTACCGCGAGCTCGCACGAACGGAGGAGGGGTGCAAGCTCTTGAAGCATTCTGGCCATTTCTATGAATTTTCGTCCACAATCCGGGATTTTCGGGTGGACGAAGAAGACGCAGAGATTTTGACAAAGGTCAAAGGATGTATGTGGGCAGTTGGAAACATTGGCTCCATGGATCTGGGTGCACCGTTTCTTGAGGAAGCGGATGTGGTCACTGCAATTGTCCGCATTGCTGAAAATGCAGAAGTCATGTCAATGCGCGGCACGGCATGTTTTGTCCTAGGACTGATCTCCAGAACCTTACATGGGTTTGAGATGCTCGCTGAAAATGGGTGGGAGACGACAGTCGATCCTCGTGGGAGATCACTCGGGCTCTGCATACCCCGAAATTTGGAGACTTTGTGCCTGGTAAGTTTCAGATTGTTGGATATTTGCATTGCTATGCTAACTTTATGCCAGAAATCCGTTGGTTCATCCACCCATACCCGAGTACCAAATTCTGAACATGAGGCCATCTACAAAGCAGCAACGACCGACGAAGACCCCGTCAAAGCGAAGATACTGAAATTGGTGGTCGAGATGGGTAATTCCGTCATGTACAAAAAGGCCACCGGTGAGCTTCACACGATCAAGGTAAAGCAACCTGCACATTTCTCAGACACCGAGCTGTTTCGGAAATCTCTCAGCATTCTCGAGAGTCATCATTACCGTCAACAAGCGAGACACAAGATCTTGAATCTTTTCAACCCCAATGTGATGAGGAACATTGTACTGGACGAGGAGTTGGGAGAATCGACTGGATCCGATACGGGCTAGATACTGCATGTGGCTGACTTACCGAGTTGGGCATAAACATGAGTGTAGCTTCGAGGAGTGTAGCCGCAACGACTACCCTTTCGGGATCAAGTGGAGTCTTTAATTCGGAGTGGATAGACACGAGGGCATCTTGAGGGGTCAAAGGTGAAAGTGGCGTCAACACACAAGACCCTGACTCCCTGACCATCAAGGTTTAATGATACCTGTCAGTGCTGCAGCTGAGAATACCATCATACCGCGACTGCAACAGCTGCGCAGAAGCTATTACTGAAGGACAAGTGGCAAGGCTGCCTGATAGTGTCCAAGGATAGTTCAGGTCAGTGCACGGCATGGGATTTCAGCTGGTCACGAGCCTGGGCATGGCGTGGCGCAGAAAATAGGCACAGGTTCCTCGGGTAGGGACTGTGCTCAACGTGTTCGAGCGCGTGCTTGTACAGGTTGGGTACACACAACGATATTTTCTGCCTGACTCGAGCACATCGGGAAGGAAATGGTTACCATATTGTCATAGTGATGACCAGTGCATCTGCAAAAAGGAGAGCAGCACAAGAAGGCATATCACGTGAAGAAAGACCGCCAGGACGGCTAGTTCCAGAATGGCTTAGCGGGTGCCAAGAGTGCCACAATCTATGACGAGTTCTATCTGGCAGCAAGTTGGCCTTCCACACAAATCTGCCCGTTCGGCTTGTATTGAGCCCGCACCACCGTTTTTCCTCGATCCTCAAGCAATCCTCCAGATCTGAATCATCCTTGACATGTCGTACTCATCGTTGTTTTGCCCATCAAACACTTGACTCGCTTTGTGCTTATGCTGCGATGGCCAATCCCTATCCTCCTGATGTCGCCTACCTCTGATCCCGGTCGTAATCCTTGTCATGATACCACACGCCTGGAGCCACTCGTGCCTGGGTTTGCCCGCTCTTCATGCTGCCCGCCTGTCCACCCACTACCCTCTTCGTACGAGAGAATCCCGAGTGCCATCGTCGATGCCCCCACCGTGCCTTTCACCATTACCAGTATTGCCATCAAAAGTCTACACGTCGATGATCTGTCGAAATGAGCCTTTTCATTGATTGACCATCGCATTAGTCTTTTGTTCATACTTGTTTGCGGCTGGTTGCTCTACTCCGTTTACATCTACGACTGCCTATCGATCACCTCATCCAATTGACTCTCCTTCGCTATCGTCTCCAATTCAAGATCATGCACCTTCCTCCGAACTAATTACCTGTCCCTTCACCTCTAGCAATTGAAAACCATCCTCCAACTGCTTGACGAGACGACGAGAACGAACAGTGAACCACAAATACAGCGACACCCCCACAAGTTTCAGTTGTAGTAAGACGAACATTGATCCTGCCGTACATGGATCTTATCCATTATCTGCCTTAATCGGTCCCGAGATTGTAAAGGAGAAGGAGGACATTTGGTTTGGACAGACTCCGTCTTGCACTTTCTGTCGAACCGCGCAAATGAGTGGCAATGGCGAGCAGTCACCGACGACGGCCTCCGCGGCCTACGATTCATACGACGACGCTCGAAAGATAGTCAGGTTGTTTCAGTGCTCACAGTGCTCATATCCTCTGAGAGAACCTTTGACCTTGCCATGTGGCAACTCCCTATGCAAACCATGCCTCCCTCCTCTATACAAACGAGAAAACATCACATATCCACAAGTCGAAGGACGAGCAGAGGGATTTATATGTCCCTTCAAGGACTGCGGCTTGGAACACTCTCTAGCGGACTGCGGCACCGATGTCACGCTTAACAAGATCCTAGGCGTCGTCAAAGAATATGTGGGACGATACAAGACTGAGACTCCCGAAATCCCTGTTCTCCTGGACGAAAAGCCTGACCTCGCTGTTGTGGCTGATTCGGCCATGGACTTCATGCCCAGGTCACGTGTCCTACTGGGTGGTCGCATCGTGGCCTCGTTTGTTCTGGCAGATATGGGTGAACTGAATTATCACTCAGATCTCTCATATACTGCCATCGATCCCAACTCAATTGAGTCGATCCGCGCGCTCGATACCGCCGTACTTTCGACCCTTCAAGAGACGGTCCGGTCTGAGCTAGAATGCCAAGTATGCTATCAGGCCATGTTGGACCCGTTGACCACAGCCTGTGGCCACACCTTTTGTCGGAAATGTTTCGCCCGAGCAATGGATCATGCCAATGTTTGCCCGATGTGTCGTCGAAGACTACCTGTCCTGCCGAGTGCATCAGCCGAACCAAGTAACAAGAGAATCACATATCTCCTTCAACATTTGTTACCAGAAGCTCTTGCTGCTCGGCTTGAGATTGCTCAACAGGAAGATGCGATCGATGAGCAATCAAGACTACCGCTATTTCCCTGTACCTTGGCCTATCCACAAATGCCGACCTTCTTACACATTTTTGAGCCGCGTTATCGTTTGATGATCAGAAGGGCAATGGAGTCAGGCTCCCGAAAGTTTGGAATACTCATGTATCGGCAAGATGGACCTGTACCCGGTCAACCCAGTTTTATGCCATACGGCACGGTCCTTTACATCGAAAGATTAGAAATGCTACCAGACGGTCGCAGCCTCATAGAAACGCGAGGGATGTATAGATTTCGAGTCATCAACACTTCGGTGGTTGATGGTTATCTTGTTGGAGAGGTTCAACGCATTGACGACATTCCGGTACACGAAGAAGAGAGTATTGAAGCTCAAGAGACGAGCTGCGTACCCACCACAATGAACGAAGATGAAGCCCGAATACAACAAATGTCGACCCAACGTCTCTTGGAGTATGCTTCAGACTTTGTGGAGCAAGCCAGATCAAGGTCAGCACGTTGGCTCCATCAACGTGTGCTCGCTGCATATGGTCAGCCGCCAAGCGACCCCGCAGTTTTTCCATATTGGCTTGCTAGTGTTCTGCCAATCTCGGAGTCTGAGAAGTATCTCCTGCTTCCAGCTACCAGTGTTAGGGAACGGTTGAAGATTGTGGCAAGATGGATCCAACGGCTGGAAGCAGCCAGGTGGTAAGTCTTAATTTCCACATTCCATTTCTCTTCCTATATTGCAAGGCAGGTCGGCCTGACATCCTTTCCGTGAAGGGGGTTCGAAGCCGAACAGCGCGCATTGGCGCTCGCCCGTGAACACCAACCGACTGCAGATAGCACGCCACCCCCACCACCCGATGCTACAGAGAACACATCAGACGACTGCTGATCAGCCGAATGCACCGTTCCTCTTGTGCGGATGTCAGTCGATGCTGCACTTTGCGCAAAGACTGAACAAACCACTGACTCAAATCAAACATAGGCAGCAATCATCTTCTTGTACAGTCTTATGACTAGCCATCGCCAGCATAAGTGTGCTGGCGATGGCGCTTTGCATACCCTATTTTCATGAGCCTTTGATTAGACTTGCAGTCATCAGCAAGAGCGAGAGCGGGCAAGGAGGTCATGATGCAGACGCCAATGATACGATTGTGTACATTTCCAAGGCGTCTATGTTGGTCGGTTGTGTTGTATTGGCGATATTGAGGATTATGATACCACTTTTAATGTTAGTTGTACCTTTGCCGCGCATGGCTGGTGGTGTGGTACGAATCTAGCGGCATGAGCTACAGCTGCAAGACAGGGTGAAACCAGAGAGTCCGCATAAAATGGTACGGATAGAAGTTCTCTGCATGACTATGAATCATCTACGGGGGCTGATTAGCTTTGCAATGACATGGATATACCCCAGTTCTTTCACCTGTCTCGCCTTTCAGCCTCGCGCCGACATGAACTCGGCAGCTTATGATGCACGATGATGTCATCGTTCTTGAAGAATTTGGGGTTGACATACTGAACATCTCTTTGTGCAAACTCAACGTACTTCAAGCTTGCTATGACCTGCATGTTAAAAACACAACGGCTCGCCTAATAGTCACCGATCGAGTATATCCGTGATCCGCACTATAGAACCCCTCTCGACCAGTCAAAGCGACTCATAACAGATACAACATGACACAAACGACAACGCGTCCCCTCTGGACGCTCGTCCTCAACATCAGCAAGCATCAAGCTCCTAACATCAAGCACACTCGCCCACTGCGCTCAAACGCCATCAACCCCAACACCAACATCACCATTAACACAGCGCGCCTCTTCTCACAAAGCATCGCATCTCGTCAACACCAATCCCCCGTCAGCAACAGAATCCTCGCCCCGTTCCGCACACCCTCACAATTCCAGGACGCACTCCGCCTCTGCTCGGCGAACAACACGCTACTGCTAACACTCTTCACGACCTCAGCATGCACGCCGTGTCGCGTAATCACGCCGTTACTGACGTCATTGATCGAGACGCGCCCATCCGCGCCCAGCGACAAGTACGCGGCGCTGGCGTTCGCGGAGCTGGAGCTCGACAGTCCGGACGCAAGCGGCGGGGGCGGATTTGGGACGATGATGGATCTCGGCGTCGAGTACGGCGTCACCAGCATGCCGACGTTGATGGGCTTCGGGGGCCGCAGGGCCGAGAGGGTCACCGAGCGCCTGGTCGATACCAGGATGTTGTGTGATGAGCGGCGCATGGCGAGCTGGGTCGATGAGCAGATGGGCAAGGGGGATCCGTTCTCGACTAGCGCTGCTTCTGGCGGCGGTGGTGAGGGCGCTGGGAAGGGGGGTCTGTTGAGTCGGATTTTTGGCTGATCAAAACTTTTGAGCGGTGGGGAGGGGAAGTGAGATCAGATGATGAGGTTTGTGAGTCAGATTCTTCTCTTTTTTGTATATTAATTGTGCGGGTATCTATGTCGTGTATGGGAACTGGTGTATCGCGAAAAACCATGTATCCACCACCACGGATCGAAGAGACTGCCGCCCTGCCACGACCTCCGGATCTTCATAGCCCGCCATCCAGTCTGCAGGAAGCGCGAGCTTCCATATCGCTGCACGGGACGCGACCTGTCTCTGCGGGTCCTTCAATGCCAGATAGAGTGCTTCATGTGTCTCTTTGGCTTTAGTGGTTGCAGCGTCGAGATTTGATAGCATGCCTTCATCTTTCGCAATCTCGTCTCTGGCCCAAACGCCACGTGGATCATGTCCATACGCACCTTGCTGCGCGATCCGCTTGAATTGGAGACCTGTCATAAGTCGAAGGGCTGGAATGCTCACAGGTTGTGCTGTGTTACTACTGACACTGCCACTTGTTTCATTTATTGCTCCAATAAATTTGGGGAAAGATGGAACATCCCCAGATTGATACATGTGGGGACGATGCTTCAACCCGAGGCTCCATAACCACACCCAACCCCACCCAAAAGTGGAAGGCCTGCTCATGTAGATACTGGTAGGCACACCACCGAACGTAGCAAGGCTTCGACATCTTCAATCTTTCAGCGCCTTGAAAATGGCCGATGTGGACCATACGTTCCTATTGGCCGAATTTCTATCAGGGCTGACATACGAAGACCTTCCTTCTGAGGTCATCCAACAAGCCAAAAAGTCGATCCTCAACGCCCTTGGTTGTGGTCTGGGGTACGCTCAACACGGACCAGCAGAGAAAGCATTCTTGTTGATTCAAAATGGCCGATCTTGCGAAGATGCCACGATCCTTGGTCGAAGACAACGTGCAAGCGTGGAGAATGCAATTCTCATCAATGGTATTGCGATGACGACTGCGGACTATGATGATACGCACCTCAAGACCGTCATTCACCCGAGCGGCACATCGCTTGCTGCGTTACTTTCTTGGGCTGAGGTCAACCACATGGCCGGCAAGGATTTTTTACTCGCCTTCATCTGTGGTGTGGAGGCGCAGTGTGCTGTTGGAAATGCGGTTTCCCCGGCTCACTATCGGGATGGATGGTGAGTGCTTTACTCACGGTGCCATGATCCTCTGGCTGACCTCCTCCTCAAGGCACATCACCGGCACGACCGGCACCTTTGGCGCAGCCGCATGCATTGCTAAAGCGATGAAACTTGATGCAAATCAATTTGCTGCCGCTTTGGGACATTCTGCTTCCATGGCGGCGGGTATCAGAGCAATGTTTGGCACTGATACCAAAACTCTGCATATGGGTAGAGGTGCTCAGAATGGTCTCCTGGTTGCTGAACTGGCTTCTCATGGATTTGCAAGCTGTTCCAGAGCCATCGAGAGTTGGGCCAGATTGGTGTCGACGACAGTCAACGAAGACGCGTCATCAGCTTTAACTCGAGGCGGCGGCTACCAGATTCTCGAGAACACCTTCAAGCCCTACCCATGTGGTATTGTGATTCATCCTCTGATAGACGCAGCTCTTGAGGCACATCGTGCCGCTGGAGAATACTCCGCATCAACATCCGCTGGTGGGTCAGCGGAGAAAGTCACAGGAATAGAGAAGATCAACGCCACTGTCAGCCCACAGTGCGTCCGCCTATGCTCAGTCCGACATCCAACCACAGGTCTCGAGACGATCTTCTCGCTCTACCACGGCATTGCGGTGGCACTTGTCCATGGACAAGCTGGTCCAGCCCAATTCTCAGACCCGGCCTGCAAGGATCAAGCAAACAAGCAGCTCCGCGATAAAATCGAGGTGCAGATTGATGAGAATCTCGCAGAAGATTCAGCCTCACTGGAGATTTTGTTCGCCGATGGACAAGAACGAACTTTCCATGTCGAGCATGCAATAGGCTCACTGGCGAGACCGATGACTTCTGAACAGCTTGAGGACAAGTTTGTGGACTTGGCGAGTGGTGTTTTGGGCCGACGTCAAGCAGACCAGGTGATTGAGAGGTGTTGGAGCCTCAATCGCGTCCCTGATATGCAAGACTTTATCGCGCTCTTGGTTCCATCATAGATACAGATAGCCGAATTTTGAGCTTCGCAGCCTGGTTGGCTTTCGGATTGAAGTTACTGCCGCCCTGGGTGCCAGGGTGTTGAATCCAGGCATCAAGTGCCACCTACAATTTCTGCCCGTGCCGATTCGTCGCTTTCCCTGTTTCCAAATGCTGGCTCAATCTGTACAAGGCACGAGTGGGCGCAGCCCAATGCCCAGCCTTTCAGTCTCATTCTCTCAAGTGCTTTTGTGGGTGGGGCGAAGAAATATTTTTGATTCTTACGATTCAAATTAAGGGTCCTGTACTGACCAGACTTGAAGACGCTTGACACTGCAGAGAAAGCGAGGAGATTCCACATCGGAGATCGAGATACTTGATTCGGACGATTCAATGAGAAAGCCGCAAGGCTGAGGCTTGAATTGTTGAATTCGCGCGTAATGGAACATCCTCCTTTGACAAGTTACATAGCTATCTTTTATTGAAGTGCTGCCTTGATGGTGTGGGTTGGAGGCTGTGCGTCAAGGTCGTGGATAGCGGCTACCTAAGTAGTCTAGAAGAACTTTTGTGAGGTTCGTTCCATCAGCGCTAAGTTGCTCGTACTTCAAGTTTGGGGCGCCTAGTGTGGTGTTTAGGTTACCTCGTTGATATCGCCCGCTATAATTAGTTGATTGACTCTGTTCTCAGCTGTGAGGTACCGATACCCCTTCATTGGGTGGATGACTCGTTCAATGAATCACTTAGCCAAAACTTTGAACCCTTCCATGGCCAGTCGTCTTGATGGTCTATTGCTCTAATCAAGGTCGGAACCTTTTACTACAGCCTAGATCGCTTATCGTCCAGCAGCACATTTGTAGTTTATCGTCTGATTCTTTTCCAGCCTTATCCCAGATCTGCAGTCTTCTTCTCGTTCTCTGATAACTTTTGGCCACTGGACTGATCTTCAAATGTCTTCAAATGTCCAAGAGTGCACTTTTACTTGCAAGGGGACGGTGCACAATTGTGATACTGGTCAGGCTGTTGACGCAGATATAGCCGGTATTGGAGTGAGGTCCTACGCTTCTAATAATTGAGTGGCTCAAACAGCCATGACTAACAAAATCTGGTCAAGGTCATCGTTGCATTCATTTTGACTTCACTACTCACAATCTTGGCTATCCTTGTTGGGTATTGTTCGAACTCGCTTCCAGGAGTGCATACCAACGATCTAGATACTCAAGTAATCTGGGGTACGAACCACATCTTCCGAGGCCGCAACGTCTCCAAAGGTATTGAAAAGAGTCATAAACGTGCACTGGGCGTGGAGAGATTCGTACTAGCGCTCAGTGACCAACAACTTATCACTGGAATCGCCCTGTTGATTACTGGCTACCAGAAATGCGACATCTCGGTCTATTCTTTTCTCATGGTCACCAGTCTCGCTTGGTTCTCCTCCACAACTCATCTAGCCACTCTTTTAGTGCTTCGAAAGTAAGTCCTCGAAGCCAACGAAACCCAAAGATAAGATAATGTGATCTTTCTGTTTGACATCATCAGGTACTTTCACGAATACAAAGTACTTCGGCGTGTGCGAGTACTAGGAATGCTGACAATGGCTGTTCTATTGCTCACAGCACTGGTAATCAGCAACATCTTCTTATTAGGAGTTCCGTACAGCTCTTCTTTTCATTTTGAAGTACGCCACTCTAGCTTTGGTATTGATCCCCCCGAGATATGGCAGAGCTATTATGCAGCCAAAATGTTCAACTTAATTTTAACGACGGTATGGCTCATCTTTGCGTATACAAATCGCATTGTAGCCCTGTCCAATGCTGGGGGCGAAAGAAGATCTGATAGCTGGATCTATCGGAAGCTACTCGAAAAATTTGCACCCGGTCTCCAATCTCCCAGCAATAGAGATCGAGCTATTGCTCATATCGAAAGGTTACAAAGTGCCAGATCCCTTCCTCAGCGCGTGGGTAACATTTTTGCGCTGTTGAGATATGCAAATGCAGAACTACGAAGCAGCTTCCTATGGGAGGTGATCTGGATTTTATTTGGAGTTTTTTACGGTCTTACAAGCTTAGTATCGATCTGGGTTGCTCCACTATTTAGTGGCCAAAATTATTACATTACCACTATGGGGTTCGGACAGCTTGTTGCGATACTGCTCGTTCTCCTGCCTGTTCTGAGCCTGGGCGAAACCTACTACGGTCGGTCCATCATAGTTTCCTGATTAAGAAGAGTTGATACTGACGGACCTAGATGTCATCACTCCGAAGATTATGGAAGGGCCTCTGGATACCCTAAATTTCGAAGCCAGTACATTGGGGACGCCTTCAGGTGATAACACGTCAGGAATTGGGATCATAAATGCAGTGCATCTGTATGAGATTGAGTCGGATGGCATCAATACCGATCAATTAACAGCACCACCACTACCTGATCCGCCTACCACGAGTCATTCTAAGCCCGGGGCTCAGGTCAAGGCAGCGCAGATCACAGCGCAATCAGGAATTTTACGGCCCGAACAGGCGATGAAAACCGGACCAGACCAGCTCGTGGCCCTATCACGCTCTGCGACCGGCGCGACATCAACTATGGAGCGCGGTGACCTCATCGTAACGCTTCCAACCCAAAGACGATCATTTTCAATTGAATCTGGTGCTCTGCTCGCAACACTTGCCGCGAGTGATAGAAACTTCTACAAGCTACCCATATTTCAAGCTATACTGTGGATCGTGGTTCTCTATTACACAATAGTGATCCTATTCTTCGCTCTTGTTGGTGGGGGGCTATTCATCGTCGTCAGTGAGGTCAACTCTGCGTGGTACTTTGCGATCCTCGGATTCCTCATCCCTCAATACATATCGTCCCTTTCCTGGGTTTCGATGGTCATCAAACGGCGACAACGTAGAAAACTTTGACCGCAGACGCAAGGGGGTCGCTCAGGATATTTTGGTTGCGTCAGATTAAAGATCCCCCAAGTACGATCCCAGAGTAGTGTACGGGGGCAAAACCAACCAAGTTAGCTGCGGCCCTGAACCAAAGAGAATCGATGTTGGAACTTTACCGGGACATAGCAGACTTTCCCTACTGCATCGAAGGCCACAATCAATACCCTCCGCATAGTTCTCTGCACAACATCACTACTCGCAGGAAGTGGACTGAGGTGTGTATACAGTGGACCGGAGATCCTAAGGTTCAAAGAAGTAACAGGATCATTAACAATGATAGTTCAATTAGGGTTTTCTCGATATCGCGCTCGGCGATCTCTGAGTGAGAGGGCGCGCTTGCTCGCGATGCTTCTCCGTGGATAATAATAATAATAATACATACACCAATGATCTCCTGTTCATAGGGAAAGCAGGTCCATAAAGAACTCAATTTCCATACCGTCCATGTTCTACAGTTGAGAATGATGTTCACAGAGGAAACTTTTGGTGGTGAAAAGTCCGCATCTGCGAGTTTTGACGGTTCATTGAAATATCCGTTGGGTTGCTGCCTCCCGAGGACACTCATGGTGGTCGAAGGGTTGGTCTCTCAAATGTTTCATGTGAGGGATAGTCTGAGCAGCGATATCGTAGGAGCGGTCCAGAAGACTTTTGGTGACTAAAGCAGGTAAGAAGGCGGAACTCGACCAAGCTCTGCGCACATATCCCAACGGGCGGTGCAGGCGCAGAAAGGAGCTTTGCAGACCCAGCAAGTTCCTATTTCATCACTCCTTTGTGACGATAGAAACTCAGCATGCTCACTAGACTTTCCTCGTCATGAAATATATCATTCTTCGTTTTCAGCAGATACTTCTTTCTCCGCAGGTGTTCCTTCCTCAGCAGGGACTTTGCTCTCAGGAGACACTTTGCTCTCAGGAGATACTTTGTTCTCCGCAGGTGATTTGTTCTCAGCAGGCAATTCTTTTTCAGCGGCTGCTTCGTCCACACTAGCCAATGGATTTTGGGCGAACCACTCATGCTTCAAGATGTCTTGAGTCGACAGTCGGTCTTCGGGTCGGTAGCGCATCATTTTTGTCAACAGATCGGCCAACCTCTCGATGCTCTCCTCGGAAAATTCCGCCGGTCTGTCTCCCTTTGTCTCGCCATTGAAGTAGAGGTGACGAAGCCGTTCTGAAAGTGGGGAGATGCGGATATTGGCTTTGCAGTCACCAATAACCACCTTGGCCTGATCACTCCATTCTTCCGGCACGTCATCAAACATTGCAATCCACTCCAATACCAAGTGATTTTCTCTTGGCATAATTCTACTGAAAGGCGGGTGTCCAATGATGAGTTCAAATATCGTGGCTGCCAGTGCCCATATGTCCATGCGCAAGTCCCATTTTGTACCGAGCAGTGCCTCGGGAGCTTTGTAAACAAGTGGTGTATAAACTTTCGGCAGTAATGAATCGGTTTGGAGGAAAGACTGGCCGAAATCAATGAGTGTCGCGTGGACCTGACCAGCGATAGCTGGGTTAGGAAGCTCAACTGGATCAGGTATATCTTGTGGGAAATTGTACGCAGGCCACTCATCAGCGAGGTCACGTATATCATTCAAGTCTGGAGGTCCAAGGTCTTTGACTGAGCCCGGGTCTGAAAACTGCCCCTTCTTTTGTGAGACCAAGATGTTGCCGATGTGAAGATCTGGACTCCGTTAGAATGAAACCTTTGCAAAGCCGAGGACATTACTCACCACCGTGTGCAATACCGTTTGAATGAAGACAGTCGAGTGCAAGTGTGATATGTTTCGAAATCTGCCAGGCTACATGTCCTGGTAGTCTCCACCAATTCGGACATTCATTCATGAGAGGCGCGACACTAATACCATCGACCTCGAAAACGAGACATTGGTGTCTGCCATTAGGACCATCATGGAAGAAAGAATTGGTCAGCTTGCGCAGATGACGGTTGCCTTCATGATCTGCTGGGATTGCAGCAAGTCGCTGGAGAATACGAGTTTCATTGGACGCATCAGTAAGCTTCGAGACCAAAACTTTCAGTGCTGCGAGTCGAGATTTTGATGAGTCGAGGACCAACCAGACTGTCGAGAAGCCACCCCATCCCAGCTTCTGGACGACGTGATATCTTCCCGAATCAAAGGCATCACCGATATTGACAGGATGATACCCACCAGGACGGTACTTCTGGACTTCTTCGCACGACAACCCGATGGTCGGGTAACTCAAGTTGGCTGTCCCAAAGTGCGGCATGATGCGTAGGCCTGACGAAAGTGTGTTCTCAGTGGCCGATCTCGAAGTTTTCAGGAGTGCTGGGGGATCCTGTAAGTCAATGTGAGAAAGTGTAATCAGAGACCTGCCAGTCTGAAACATCTTCATAAGTGCAGCGCAATGTCGCTGGCACCAATGCCGAGCAAGTGTCACCCAACCGCCAAGCCAAGCGAGGCTGCGCGGTGCAAAGTCACGTGAAGATGAGGACTGCCTCGCAAGTCAGAGGCAAGAAGTGAAGTGAAATGTGCTGTTGGGGTCCGGAATCGGTCAAAGGCACCTAAGTCACTGGCGATACGTGCCGAGAGACGCAAGACGTAATGTCACGCGAACTGACCACTCATCAAATACACACAAGGATGTAACTGCACCCCATGAATAAAGGGGCAAGTCTGTTGATGCTCGGGCTGTTAGCAGTGGCAATGAAGCAAACCGGGTGGCAAGCCTAATAGCACTTTGTTGGCTTCCTTTGTTGACATGGGTGGCTCCTCCTTGCCATCAACCAATTACCTGATCAGTGAGAATAGATAATGGTTATTGTCCTACATCTTCCATCGTGGGGATCGATGATTGGTTCTAAATATTCTGACACGTCTTTGTCGACCGACTCCTTCGACGGTCTACATATCAAATTGACCCACCTCACCAGGTGTTATGTGTCTCAGGCAGGGTCGGCACTCTTCAAGGTAAGTTTTGCGGAGATATTTTCTTGATATTACGCTCCAGTGGTGCACAAATCATCCAGTAACAACGACGTTAGCTATGAAACCATTGCATATGTGCGATCTCATCGTCTGTGCCTGACCCAGCATGAATTCGGCACAGGTGCGGTGGAAAGGGGCCAATAGTTTTTGACTCAAAACCGATTTGTGACGCACAAATGACTGCTGTTGATTGTAGAGAGGAAGAAAACCTTGCATATTGGTTTCGAGTCGTCTTGACGGATTGATTACGGAGGAGTTGCCGTAGGCTGTATGCACAAAGTAACTCACAACCTGACAAAAGAAAATCATCTCACAGTGAGATGAAAACGGATCATCGTTCTTTCAAGGCGAATAATCAACTTAGAAAGGATAGTTATTCGCATTATCGTGGGTTTTGATAAGGACCACAGTCCAGAAGTTCCCCTTCATTGAGCATGCTATCTGGGCGCCCTTTCCCATCGCCGGATCAAAGTAGTCTACGGAATCCTGGTGTCCAAGAGTTTGCTTGAGAATACTGTTTTGGCTGATCGAGAGTACAATAAAGAATCAACTTCCGAGCTCCATCTTCATTCCCGAACCTCGATACTCGCTAGCCGCCACCGCGTTCTCCAAGCACCCATGTTTGTCCACGACGAGTTCATTTGTAAACTTGTGGCCATTGGATCTTCTTCATCTTGTGCTCATTGGGCCAGGGTGTGGTTGTCACATTCTCAAGTGGTTCTTCTTCCTCGTCGTAATAAACATGCATAGTTTGACATACTTTCCGGGCCGCTTGAGCTTTTGTTGCCATGCGCACCGTGGCGTGCAGTTGATTGTCGGAATCACTATTGTGAAGACCGCAGCTATATTCGAGTGTGAGCAACACATAGTATTATTGCGAGTGTGACGTACATTATGGAGACATAAGCAAAGTGTTTGAACTCGGTTTTCTTGAACAGGTCTTCTGTGACTTTGTAGAGTTTCTCGAGGAGATCTGGGTCAATGTCACCGTCCTTGATCACGATTCGTATATCCGGACCGTCGGACTTTGCAGCGTCTGTCATTGCAGCGAAGACTATCCTTTCTTGTTTCGAGGACTATCTGTGAACTTCGAAGACGGACGATTTCCTGTTGACTTTGGAGTCGAGTAGTTCTGATGACTGGAACATATGCTTGCGACAAGATAGCCCACGCCATAGTAGAGTTCATTTGTAGTTAAAATTATATAGCTCTTTGGATCTTAGTGTGAAGGACACACTGGTGACGATATTCATGGTGATGGACCCTGATGACAGTATCCATGGTGAAGGTAGCCCTTGCGTTGGTAGCCTTCGTGCATATAGCTGAAGTGAAGATATCCATTTTGAACGCAGGTGTCGAGAAGGTGACAGATATCTTTGCAAGGATAGTCACCGTGAAGGAAGCAATCGTGAAGGCTTTGAGAACCCTTGTGAAGCATCAAGCAAAACCCGATATCAAGTTCGGCTATTGTATGAACCAGTAGCCGGCCCGTGCGTTACCTACCAAATGCTAGAAGTTACCGAAGTTCATGCTCAGCAGTCTACATGATGCATCCATTATCCCTATTACGAACACCGGCATCAATACCTAGCCTCCTATTGCGGCGGAGTACATAGCAGATAAGTGTAATCGGCAATACCAGAACTCCCCGAGCGGCTCAAATGCCGAAACCCCAGAGCACAAGAGACCTTCCATCACTTCCAAGGTTGACCGCACAAACATCTCTTTTCCTTTTCAAGTTGAAGTTACAACGAAAGTCCCCACTCCCTGATGGATACACCTATTTCTAGCTCCGAGCGACAAAGGCTGATCAACAAAGCATGCATGCCCTGTCGTACACGTAAGGTCAAATGCAATGCCGCTGTGGTTGGCCTTCCCTGTAGCAGCTGCATCAGCAGGCAGTGTGCTGAGGAATGTGTCTTGCGAGTCCGGAAAAACAGGACCAGGTTAGTCGGTTGCCGAAAAAGGTTATCTATGACTGTTCTTCCGATTGATATGTAACGACGCTTCCTGTGCTCATAGGAAAGGGGCACATATTTTGCCGAATCCCAGCAATGTATGTTTATCGCATTGACCCCCGCTATATAAGCAACATTGGTAGATCCTCAGTTCCGACTAATTCTTGACAGACTACAGACATACCAAACACCTGCGACAGCACGCTCACTGCTGAATCCCTAGAACGCCAAAGTAATCGAACCGAGGGAGACCTGCTATACCTGAACATCCTGAACGAGGCTGTCACAGAAACCACAGAAGTCAGTCCACGGCATGCTGCTAACAATACGGCCTGCGGTATAAGAGAGGGAGACACTCTAACTCCTTTAAATCCTCCATGGAGTAGTCTACCCCTCTTAGACGATATTGACAATGATTACCTTGTCAGGAAGGGTGTGTTCGATTTGCCTCCTCCACAGCACTTGTAAGAAACTTGAAATCTTCGATTTTCCACTATTTTCGCGTCTGCTGTTCTACTCTGCTGACTGTTGAATAAAACAGAGATGCGCTGGTTAAGACGTATTTTGATCAAGTTTACCCCTTTGCTCCTGTGGTTGATAGGGTTGGATTTGTTCGCGGATATCAGTCTGGCAACTGCTCTCTGTTCTTGCTTCACACTATACTGGCATCAGCCACTGTCCATGCACCAACAGATTTACTATCCGCGTGTGGGTTTTCCAGCCATTCCGCTGCGCAAGATTCATTCTTTCTCAAAGCCAAACTTATCCACGACTTTTCTGGCGAAGATGACCTACTGTTGATGCTGCAAGGATCTATAATCTTGTCTATGGTGATTCTCGACCACCCAACGGATCGAGATTTCGACTACTGGTTCCACAATGCGATTCGAATTGCAGCCAAACTTGGCGTACACGACAAGTTCGTTTCTCCGGCCTCAGATGGGCACTTGTGACGGGCACTGAGAGCTGAAGCTGACATGGCTCCTTCACAGATGTGTCAATGAAGACAAGCCCCCGAAAATGTTGAAGATGTACAGACGTATGTGGTGGTCTCTCTATGTACGTCCATGTTCTTGTCTCCGTGTCATAATCTCCCTGATTTGTGGTCATTGACCCCATGTAGTCTTTAGATATCTTCCATGTATTTGCCAATACCAGAAGCCCGCGCTTGGTCGAGACTACCAGCACCATCAAGCCTAGGACCGAACATGACTGGGAAACGGAAGATGGATTTGGGACTTTATCTGGGTTCTTGTCTGCGCTTACGCCTCAACAAAGAGCCTTGCCGGTTGTTCACTGCGAGCTGTCCCGAATCTGTATGTGATACCTATCATCGCTTCTTAACCCCTTTTCTTCTTTTTCGTCTTCGGTTTTCTCGGTAGACCAGAAGCATGACTGATGTCCTTCAGTTGGTCAAGGTTTGTCCGCAGTGATGGACAAGCCATCACATGATCCTCGTCAGATAGTGCGTCCAATCGATACATGGCGCAGAGCCCTCGCTGCCACGATGCATGTAGAGGACACTGGCACCGATGTATATTACCTGAATATCAAAGCCATCAGCTATAGGTATGAGTGTGTCTTGTGTCGTCTGATAGGACGCTCGTTGCGGCAGTCCCAATATCATGGAAACTGGAGCGAATGGGTGAAGAAGCGAGCTAGGTCTGCGATTTTGGAGTTAGACATGATCGCCATGAGGGTATTGGCGAGTGGGAACTTCCATAAATTCCCCATTTCTTTGTAGGTCCCATTTATTCCTTGTCCTTTCATTTTCAGCCAGAAGTGCTTTGTCACTGGCACTAACAATGGTCTGGACAGTGTGACTACAATGACTGCGCTGCTGGCTTTACACATCGAGTCAGCTATTAACATGGCCGAGACAGACCTCGTCCGCTCCATGGCTCGGATATCTATCAGTCATGTAATGCTTCTGCTCACACAACGAAAAGACCTCCCTGTCTTGAAAAGAGCACTGCCAATATTTGACAAGATATTGACCGAGAAAAACTTGTACTTGATTCCGCCAAATAACAGCATTCAAGGACCAACTCAACCGCGGTCCCAGGAGAATAATATGGCAGAGACGTATGCCTCGCCGACTGCGCAATTCAGCGCGTTTCCATCTCTAATGGAACCTGGTTCGCATCATCAGTCGTTCGATGGGGACTTTTTAGGATTCGACTTCTTGGACGACTGGCAGATTGGGCAACTAGATTTTGCCGACCAATAGAGGTCGGTTCTGCTAAAATGGTAATATCAAAGCACAATCAGCACAATCAGCACAATCAGCACAATCACTACTATATTAACAGTGGCATCTATGACCGTGAGGCATTATGAATCGTCCTTCCAAGCTCTTGTCCAATATTAAGCGTTCTATCTGCGAAATGGGGTCGAGTGAAGAATCTCACAAAGTGAGACCATCTATGCTGCAGTGCTCAATAGTCTCTCAGTCCCATGAGCCATTCTTACAACCTCTATGCTGGTACCTTAAACTTAAGAATGAATTGGCGAGACATCCCAACTAATCAACCCTGTCATTTTTCCTCTCGAGCCCACCTGTCTCACCTCCGATAGCCACAACATGCTGACTGCGCATCATCGCTAGCACCTTTGCTGCTTCGGACGCATACTTGCATTTCGAGCGTATCTGCGGGCCATATTTGTGGAACAGAAAGGGGAAAGGCAGGCAACCAAGCACCAGAAAAGCAGGGATCGAGCTTGCCCATTGATTCCCAAGCTTTTCGTACATTTGAGTAGTGAAGAGTGGGAATGCTGTGCCGAACAAAGATCGAAGCACCGAGTTGGCTGCCAACACAGATGCCGCATACACAACATCTGTCCACAAGTGAGCACTTGGATTGCTGTTGTAGGACAACGAATCAGGGATCAAGAACATACAAGAGTCAATCAGATAGCTCATTAGCGAGATGAAGACCATAACAAGCCCACACGAGAAAACCATGGCGCCAATGATAGGAATGATCCAGTGCACCGAAGGATACGTGGTCCATGCAAACAGAAACAGGCCTATAGGAAGGATGATGGAGCCGACCATGGCTGTGCTGAGTCTGGCTTCTGGCTCGACGGCACGTCCCTCTGTGTCGGCCGCCAGGCACAAACGCACATAGCGCTTATTATCCACACCGGCCGCTAGGGTAGCAAGGCAAACGCCAATGGCGACACCGATGAATGGAAGAGTAGCGGTACCTTGACTCCAGCCTCGGGTTAGCTGGAAGACGATGGGAAACCCTGCAAAGAACATGTACAGTGTGCCGTAGACGATAGAAATGTACAAGGAAGTGAGCAAGACAATGGGTTCGCGGAACAGAAGGGCCCAGGGACGCGTGAAAGAGATTGACATTTCTTGAGCAACTGTCTTGGGCGGCTGTCCGACATCGATGCGGGACATGTATACTTTGCTTGTCCGCCGGCAGAGGGCTTTGGCTCGGCGTCGCAGTATGAATGGTGCGTATGTCTCGCGGATGACTAGTACTGTGGTAATGCACACCACACCCCCAAGTATGGCGATTAAACCGAGAATCCAGCGCCATCCTTGGGTTTCGCCAAGCAATCCACCAGCAATCGGGCCTGGATCCGAAAAGCAACGGAGTGTCAGCGAGGCTGCAAAAATAGAAACGGCAAAGAGCAGTCGGGAGTGAAATATGACCAGCACCTACCAAGTGCAGGCCCCAGAAACGGAGTCGTGACGAACAAACCCGTTGCCATACCACGCTCAGCTTTGCTGAACATGTCGGCAATGACTCCCCCAGTATTCGTCATCGACGACGATCCAAAAGCGCTCGCAAGAAAGCGAAGAATCAGTAGGGCAGTTATGTTGGGTGCACACGCTGCTGCCACGCTGAACGCTGTGTATGCCGTGTATGATATTATGTAGATTGACTTGCGTCCGTACACCTCTGACAAAGGTGCCCAGATCAGCGGTCCTAGCGCGAACCCCAATACGAAGAGCGACAAGCCTAGCGTAGCCACTTCTGTGGACACATCAAAACGCTGCATGACGCCTTTGATGCCGCTGACGTACACCGAGCTGGCAAAGGTTACGGCGAATGAGGACAGAGACTGGAGAATGGCAATGGCCCATTTTCGCCCCTTGCTGAAGTTCATGGCATCTTGCATGTCGTTGTGTAGGTAGTCAACGACATATGGATCTTCGTCTGTGCCTTGGCCAGTGTAGTTTTGATTGCAAACCTCGTTGGTGAGGCTCGGGTGAAAAAGGAGAGGTCGAACCCAAGACGTATGTGGGGCTGGATCAGTGACTTGCTGGTTGACTGAGTCATTGGACCCAGACGGCTTAAGACGGGTGGTCATGATGAAAATGATAGTAGTGACGAGAACGCCTGCGTCAAAATTTCCTTCATGTCACCTGCAACTATGAAGCCATTCTCTCGAATAAGTACTTAGTGCACCATCTTCAAAGCTCAGTTCGGAGTTTCAGCCTCGCGATATTTGCGAGGCTCATAATCCCGCGGCAATATCTAAAGTGGGGCTGTTCATGGAGAATAGGGTTTACAGGCAACTGAACATGAACTTAGAAAACAACAAGTTCGTCTAATTCTCTTCATTCTCCTACATCTATTCTAGTCTCCGAAGCCGGACCTGGCAAGAGATTTGATTTAGGACTTATCGCAATGCAGCTGCCTCCTTTAGGCACAGGATCAAGGTGCACCATCACTCTCACCAGAAGTGCATCATGCCATAAAGTACGAGCTATGGGCGAAATATCATACATGTCACGCCTTACAGGTGGCGTGGTTGTTTTTCCATGCAAATAACGCACTCCTGGGGTCAAGGCGGGACTAGTGTCATTGGTTCGACCATGACTACTCGGTGTCCTGGCTACATACTTTACCTAGTGTTGACCTTCAGTAGGCCTCCACCTTCACGATCGAGTCATTGTCAATTTGGTGCGCCTAGGCTTTTACCAGAGCCCATCACAGATCGGGATTTGGGAAGCTCAGGCAAAAGTATTAAGTATATCATACACAAATACTCGCGAACAGTGTGACCTTGTCAATATTATAGGAAATAAGAACAAAAAACATCAAATGGGAATTTCAGAGATCCTCAGTATCCTCCTTTCTGAGCAACGCCAATTATTATAATTCAAAACCCATGCTCACGCAGCTCATTTTCGGTCCAATCCCATAATTCTTGGGCTTGCTTTTCATCTGTAGCGAGCCCCTGTCCCGTGTACTCTTTCCCAACCGGATAATAAAATGCACCACTCTTGACATTCTTCGCAGTGCTAGCCCAAAGCTGGGTCAAAGTGCCTGTGTGGACATCGACGCTGATAAATATATTCCCAAATGCAACGAATGCGCTCAACAGTCGATTGCCATACTCAGCGCCTTGCGTGATGTTTGTTTTAACAATGCCCGGGTGTAGAGTGACGGTTTTGATATTTGGGTATTTCTTGGCCAGCACTTGAGTGAAGTAGATATTGGCGAGTTTTGATTGAGCATAACGGGCAACGGCACTGAGGTTTGGAAGTGTAGTCTTGTTCTCTGACAGCAGCAGGCCGGGCTTGGGGGCCCATTTGTGTACCTCCGATGACACGGTAACCACACGCACATCACTTCCAGGTGCTGCGGCAGTCTTTTCGAGGACTGGTAAAAGAAGCTTGGTGAGTAGGGCGGTCCCCATATGGTTGGTACCAAACTGAATCTCATAGCCATCTTCTGTCAGCGATAGAGGTCTGCCCAGGACCCCGGCATTGTTCACAAGTATATCGAGGCGGTCGGTCTCAGCCTTGAATGTATCGGCTGCTTGTTTGATTGATGCGAAAGAGGCAAGATCAACTTTCAAGAACGCAATGTGCGCTCCGGGAACGGCCTTTTGAATTTCGGCAATGGCGGCGTGAGCTTTTGTTTCACTGCGCGACCCCATATAGATAGTCTTTGGGTTATGTTTGGCGAACTGTAGAATAGACTCCTTGCCTAAGCCAACGTTGCCTCCTGTCACGAGAATGACTTTGCCGGACAGGTCCGGGATGTCTCGATCAGCATTGAAAGCTGCTTTACTTCCAAACACCCCCATTTTGTGACTGAATTGTAGCTTGGGTCTCGTGCTGAAGAATAGATTACAGAATTACTCGACCGTAACTTGAATTGTGGGGCCAACGCTTCGATGTGTGGACCATTTGAGGTATCAATACAGAATCGAAGGGCTACCTGACATTTATATGTACATGTTCGAATTCTCACTGAGAATTTCTCAGCCGTTGACTTCAAATGTTTCACGGCCATGAAGTCTACACAAAGCAGGGACAAAGGTTCAGTAATCAGTCCGAGTTGATCGGTCTTTGGCTCCAGGTTAGTGATCCACTTCCACCTTCTCTGAAATGGCTGCTTGGCTGGTGAGCGACCGATCAGAACCCTTTCATTTAGTGTTTCGGGCGCTTGGTCCGTGAGCAACTCAAGGCAGTAAACTACATAGATTTTCCTGTGCTTAAGGAAGGCAAGCTGGCTAGATTTTTCAGTTTCTAGACTTTACGCAGAGAATCAACAATCCGTTCTGCGAGCTATCAAGATGTCGACATCATTAGAGGGAGAAAACAGTGTGAGAAAGAAGTTTTTGCCTTTACCGGATTACTCTCTTCGCCGTATCTTGATTGTCAATGCGGGGCTCTGATTCATCCGATGCCGAAATCAAAGTTCACCTCTTTCACCTGCAGCCATCCAGACTGGGTTCCAGGGATACACCTTCACATCCGTCCACGCATCTTTCACCGCTTGAACGGCATCAGGTCCAAATTCCTCTGCGTATTTGACAGTCAAATCTGCGAACGTCTTGAATGCAGTCCTAGGATTCACACCGCGAATCTTGGGGTCGAGCATGGTATTATACCAGATCTTGCCTGCTTTCTCCCAGGCAAAGCCGCCAAGGGTAGTAGCGACAAGGAAGAAGGCCCGGTTGGGGATACCAGAGTACAAGTGCACACCGCCGCTGTCATTTCCGGTTACTGGATCACTGTTCGGAGGAAACAACTCCCTGTATCCATCCATGTCTCGCGGCTGTCTATCCCGACCGGTTATTCCCGTGTTACCATGGGCCGTTCCGGGGTTGGCCATATCACGGAGTGCACGCGCATCAGGAACCAAGAAGAGACCCCGACCGATCAACCAGTCTGCACTGCGTGCATCTTGCTTCGGAACCTTCGAATACTGTTTGACCAGTGAACCAAAGACGTCCGACATGGATTCGTTTAATGCGCCAGATTGGTTCTCATACACGAGCTGTGCGGTCGCCTCAGTGACGCCATGGGTGAGCTCGTGTGCCGTGATATCGATGATATCCGTGAAGCTACGAAAGATTTCTCCATCACCGTCACCGTAAGCCATCACTTCATTGAAGAAGAAAGCGTTGAAGAACCCCGGCTGTCGGTCCTCGTCATAATGCACAGCGCCAATGAGCTTCTGGCCGTGATTGTCGATGGAGTCCCGACCCAAGACCTCAAAGAAGAAATCATAGGTTTGCTTGAACTGTTCGTACACGTTCTTTGCGCTCTGGTCGTCTGTGTCCTTCCAGACATGCCCCTCTGCAGCCAGCTTGGGTCCTCTGAAGCGGGGAAGTCCTTGGATATTGGTGTCTGGAATACCATCGTGGTTGAGATCGATTGGCAAACCGGCGCGGTGCTGGCAATCCCAGATTGTGCGGCTCAAATGGCTGACCCCAGCAGCAGCTTTTGGAGCAGCTTTGAGATCAAAAGGACCCGCAGCCTTCGAAGCTGCGGAGAGGCGAGAGTGCAATGCGGCATGACGGATCTTGTTTACATCATCACAGCGCTTGAGTGTACTATTTGCACCATCTCGTGCCTTTTGGGAGACTTTGTCCGATTTGGAGATGTGGATGAGAAGGTCCGGAGGGATAATGGTGCACATGGGAGATGTCTTGCTTGGTTGAGCCATTTTGGGATATGCTGTCGAATGAAGCTTGTTTGACAAAGAACGCAGATAATTCCTAGAACCTCTTTGCAAGATTGACTTGTAGTTAGAAAGACTGGCTTTGTGGATCAACATACCTAGATATATAAGTTTCAGGACAGTGTGTGCGGTGAGATCAACCCAGTACTTCTGTGCCACGAAATGATCTTGTCTTACATAAGAGGCACCAAGCTTGATCTCAAGCTTCAGCTGAGCCCTTGATTCTTCACACCATCACGAAGATTGACCCCTCCTCGATAGTCAATTCTTTGTGGTGTTGCACAAGAGGGGTCGAAAATAAGGATTCCATCCAGTAAGAATGCACATCATCAGTCTAGGCTTTGTTGTTGGCTTTTGACAAATAGCTCAGCCTCTACATTTTCGTATCGGGATGCACTTGGCATCGTGTCAGTATCACCTGCTCGTATCGCCAGCCTCTGCTGGACACAAAAGCACATGTTGAGAAGGTTGATGTTGTGGACGCCTTTTTCATGCCCGCTGAATTCGCTTCCGAATGAACTGTGGAATACGAAAAGCCGTCACCAAATGATAGGTTGCACGTCCACTGCGGCAAGGGGCATAAGCATAGCTCTGAGACCTTTTGACGGGTGGGTACGCTAGCCACAGAGCATTTCAGCCTTATGAGACCACTTCAGGAGGGCTCGATAACATACCTCCTCGTACAGAGCCTTGACCTAGTCATTGTCTAGGCCTATAGTTGAAAGAGTAATCTTCCGCAGTCACCATTTGCTCCCGCAGATCTGAATAGTGCTAGACCCGGCTGCAAGTCACTAGACCAAAGTCACAGGAATTCCACTAGCAATGCGTGAGATCCGTCTAGAGTCAAGATGAAAATCCCGTGCACAGTCTTCGTGTAACTTTTGTACTTACGAATAGCGACGCCTGAGACTCGGACAGCCACCAGCTGGACCTGTCAACAGATCAAATACACTCGCAAGTACGCCTCGTGAAGTAGTTGTTGTAAGTAAGTCGGACAGGGGAGAGCGCAGGACATCCCCAACTTCATGCGGTTCGTATTTGAGAGTCCAGCTGAGCCACCAGCAGTTGACATTGAACCAAGATGCAGGGGGCTAAAGTTATTGACGGATCCGTAAAGACGAAAGTCCCGAGATGTAAATGAGGAAAATATCAATTTAAAGAAAGATTCGGTGTATGCTCTGAACTTGGTGGGTTCATCAGGAAGCTTTGTACGGACTGGGCTAAAAATCTATTGCCGCTACTTGAATACCATGCCCCTATCGGTAGTCCTGAATCTTTACAACAGTGACTAAAATTGCCAAAGCCCATGCCTAGAAAACACCACTTCGGCAGCCTAACCTGGCTACTAATTAGTTAGGGTCTCGACGAACAGGGATGTCCACTGCGCGAGAGAGGAATGTTCTAGGGCGGATTTCACTGAAGCCGGCGTCTAAGATGTGCCCAGCGGGTCGCCGAGAACCACCTGATTAACTAGTTAGGCATCCGAGCCAACCCCAGATTTCAGAGCCTTTTCAATTAACCACCTTACAAGAAAATCGTAATTGGCGTACCTCTTCAATCAACGAGTGAAATGAGCTGACAACTCTGATCAAAGTAAAGCCTCCCCCAGCTTGAGAGATATTCTTTCTCTTATGGTTTTCAGGTACCCAATACCCACACTAGTAACTTCTGATCTCCCTACGAGGCTGAACCCCCTGATTTTCACTCCTCAACTCTTCGTGGACACCTAACTAGCAATAGCACAAAGTTGCACGCGGTCCATATCCCTAGTGGTGAAGTAAAACGTGCAGCAGCACCTGGACACCTACTCACAGAATTGCAAGTACCATTTACTAGGGACTCATTTCCTTGGAGCAAGCTCATTGCTGTCAGTGGTGAGATCCTGCGATCCACTAGGTTGTAGAATACCCAAAAAGACGAAGAATCTCGAGCGATTATAGCTCGATTTCCAGGAGCTCAAGTAGTTAGATTGACACAAAGTCCTCCCGGATGACATCGCGGGCTGCGGTGACGGTTGTACGGAGCTCAGAAAAAAGCCGCGTCGCTTGATCTGCACAGTGCTCTGATAAAGGCTGAACGATGGCAAAATTCAAAAGGAGTCAGTCTTTCTCAGCTTCGCATGCTGTTAAATAGACATACTTGTGACCCTTGAGCTCTGGAAATGCAGGGAGACTCCACACATTCAGCGTTTGTTTGTGACTGAAGTGGTTTCCGTATGTCATGACATTTATTAGGCCCACGAAAGCAGCCTGAAGAATTGGTTTCATGAATTCGCGAATGAGACTTTGTTCTTCCTGGCTGAGAGGCTTGTAGTGATTGAAAGCTTTCATAGCGATCTGCCACTGTTTTGAGGATAGTGATTTGATGTAACGCCTGTCTATCCAGAATGGTATGCTCGTGTAGCATGTTTCGTCGCAAAGTTTTGGACAGTTATAAATGATTCCCATGGGCGACGTGCGGTCTAGGTCATACCGTTCGGTTATTAGTGCGGTGTAGAAAGACTTGGCAAAACTGCTGTCAGGAAATGCTCGTTCTATGTTGTCCAAAGCGTGACCAAAACGCTTGACTGCGGAAGCCATGACTGTGGCCCTCCAGGGCGCCGTTGTCTGGAATTGCTTCTCCACCTGTGAGAAATGCTTGTCGTTTATCTTCGACGGTGCCATGTTATGTGTCCAGAGAGGAGCAGACTTGTAGTAGTCAATGCCAACAGCAACAATCCATCCACCTCGTGTTATGTCATCTGAGCTCAAAATTGGGGTACTGACATGATCAGTTCCTGAAGTAGGGATTTTTTCAAGATAGAAAGGAGGATATCCATCCAGAATTGCTTCAACTTCTTCCTTGGTCACTTCTGGTAGCTTTGTCATCGATGCGCTTAAGTGTGCGACAAGGACCTCATCTACCTCGTGAAAGTTTATGACAGGATTCTGTTCATAATTTTCAGATCTGGCTTCGTGAGATATAAGGGCATATACCCTGAGTGTTGTCGGATCGGTTCGAATATATGCCTTTTTGGGATCGAGCTGGTAAGGTTTTGAGACCCTTATATCACGCCGCTGAGATGAGATCCAAGCATTTTTGAACACTCTGCCAACTGTCGACGCAAAGCAATTCTCCTCGTCATGTGCAAACGTTTCTCGTTTGGCCCCTGAGTAATTGCCTCGGCTGGGCAACGCCGTCTTGTTGCGAGGGGCACCGAGCGGCCCACTCGGAATATCTCCCCATTGTAATCGCTCACAGGTCGACCCATGAGAGAATATGATGCGCATGAGTCGTTGTAAAATAAGTTTCAGAAGCCATGTTGTCGCGGAGGATAGCATGAGTGGGACACCTGCAAGGGCGACAACTGCAGCAAAGATGTCCCAGCGCATATTGAATCTTGAACTATGGGCTTACCACAGACCTGCCCAATCTTTCAGAACGTTATGTCCGCGTCTGAATGATTTACCAATAGATATTAGAGTATGTCGTAGACCTGGCCAGCACTGGCATCGCTGGGCCAGATTGACGCCGTGGTGAGATATGAGACAGCGAAATACTTAGCTGAACGGAAGAAGAAGAGATCCATTAGGATGAGCAGGCAGGTTACTTGGCATGAGTGAGGCTGTACTTGAATAATTATCGTTAGTGGCGCCTGATTGAGGCTCAGCCGAATTCTGCGGATTGATAGAAGTCATTGCCTGTCTAGGTCTAGACATTGAGGGCATCGGCGGGGACACCAACGAGGCCTCTAGAAAGGTGATCGCCTGGCAAAATGTGTTTCTCATAAACTTTTCTTATTTGCGCTATCATGATGTGGCTTGAAATTCCATTCCATAATTTCGCTCGATGCCCTTGTGAAAAGAAATATGGGGAGCGCTATGGATATGAAGGGGATGTTAATATCGGAGAAGATGACGCGGATGGTTTATATCCCGCTTATTTTCTACCCCGTCCGCCGAAGAAGACCTTTTCTGGTCTGAGCAAGAAAATACAGTATCAGCAAATGGCGTGGTAATTTTGTTTAGTTTATTAGCTAGCTTCTACAGGCCGTTTGACTTAGGTCTTTCGTGAATGGGTGGCCGCCATTTACATCTGGCGTTATTCGTGCTTCGGCCCTAACAGGCCACTCTCTTTGAGGAGTGAGCCCGGAGTCTACAATGTCGCGTATGTGGAGGAGGTGTCTTAGAGAGCAAGAGTGTCTGACCCGGTAGATGATTGTACCCTCATGGAATATCCACCGCGAAGGAGTCTGAACGAATGGTTACGTCTTAGACAAAGCAGAGGTGAGATTCGACGACTTGAATGGAGACTGTAATCTGTAATCGCCAAGGCCAAAGTAACACTAAATATCTGTTCATCAACCGCCAGAATCCCCTCTTCAACGACCTTAAGTGTAAAGAAAGACATTTGATTTTTGTAACGTATTCTGTGTGCGGAAAAACCAACTCCAAGCACCATGGCATCTAGCACGCAAAGTCCAGAAGGCGCAACAAAGGAACAGTGGGCCGAGTTATGCCAGTCAGTCAAGGGCGCGTTGCTAGAAGAGCTGGGCCCTGAGAGCTGGTATCTCGTCATAGTAAGTGGGAACCCTTTTCTCATGCGATCGATCTCCATATCACGATTTTCCTTGCAATGTGAGGGAAGGTAGCAAAAATCAACCAAGACCTTGGTTATGAAGGTCCGTTGTCTGCCCCGTCGGGGAAACGATAAATCTTTCTCGGACGGGGACCAGTGTTTTTACTTCCTGAGAAACTGATACTCGGCTTCTGACACCGCACTGCGGAATCTCTCCAGGCGACCGTTTTGACAGTCTCACCAAATCCACAAACAGTGGCAGACTTCTGGACATACTTGACGACATCGGAGCAAGAGTTCTCGACCCTAGAGGCACAGACCCGTCTTTCGGAACGTCTACGAGATCTACTGATCAAGCAGCTGACGCTGATCGGCGCGCCTCAAGTGCTTGGTGCTTTAATCCCACTCGCGAAGAAACAGCTCACGGAGCAGGGCAAGACCGGTGAGGAGGAGCGAGGTGAATTGGATCTTGAGCAGTGGTGAGTCTTCGGCCTTTCATATGATCACTGACTCGGCATTATGACATTTCTGCGTAATATGTCAATCAGTTGACTTTCTGACCCGTACAAGGTCCAAGACCGACTTCACACACCTCCACGCCCGGGGCATTGAAGGCATTACATCAATCTACGGAACACTATGGCCGAAGATCTTCAGCAGTTTCGGCCCCTACCGCCAGGAAATGGGCATTCATGAACTCTCCATCGTATACGGACTCTACCTGTCCGATTTCAGCATCTTATCCTCTCTGGAAACGGAAACCATAGTATACACCTCGATCCAATGCCAAGGTCACCGGGGCCCGAGTCTCTGGCACGTCCGGGGCATGGGCCGCGTTTTGGGCGCGCGTGGCTCGGACGACGAGAACGAGAAGATTCGGCGCATCAAGGATGTGCTTAGGGGTCTGAAGGTGGCGATCATGACCACGGTGGAGTTTTGCGGGCCGGAGATGGTCCAGAGGAGTCGCCTGGATGGTGGGTCGGATGGATTGCAGGGCTGGCCTAATGTGGGAGACGTCAAGCGGGAGTTGGGTGGTTGGGGCGACGATTGAAGGTTCATGTAAAATTCGAAGATCTTGAATCCTTGATCATTGAGATGGAGTTGCCATTCGACATCGGCATCGCAGAGTACACACGAGTTTCCTGGGCCAATATACTGCAGCTAGAGTTAGAGCAGAGCGAGGGAATCACCCAAAAAGTAAGAGAATTAGAAGACGCCGAAATAAGACACCTGGAACTTGACGTAATTTTTCAATCTTAACTATGGAGGGAGAGTTCTAGCTGGATCCAAGTCCCCTGCTTGGGTCGACCAGCTCTCTATCGTTCGTCGTAGTGTAGTAAATTGGTGATACATTACAGTACAATGCAGTGGCGATATGCTTTCATCTCTATGAAATAACGCAGGGCGACGGGTTGAGAAAGTCATCAGAATACAACACTAAGCAGAAAGCCCTCTCTTCTCGGATTCGGAGAAGAAGATGAGCATCCGCCATAGTTTGCGGACCAAGACTTCGGATTCTTCTTCGAGAGCCTGTGGAGTTCAGTCAGTATAAAAGACCATAGGCGCAGTAAAAGGAGAATCAGTGGAAAAGGAGTGGGAAGGAAGTGCCAACTTGACCACCAAAGACCAAGAAGAAAACTCACCCCTTCCAGTTCGCCGACCAGTTCGTCAGGTTTCCCGCGCCTCCTCAGAGCCGTCACCACGACATCAACCAGCATCTGCTCCTGTACGCCGAGGTACTCGACAATCTTTTTCTCGACGAAGGGCTTGAGGCGCTCGTCGATAACACTCTCATCCACAAAGTCCCACTTGACGTTCCAGTTCCATAAGCCATCCTTGTCGTTTGGAATGTCCGAGGCCAGTTGGCGCGCCGCTGCAGCTCGTTCTTCTTCCGACATGGCGAGGGTGTCGTTCTTGTCGAATTCGATAGGGATGAGGGTACGACGAGCACTGGAAGATGCGTCTTCTTCCTCGTCTTCCAGAAGGCCTTCGACATCCGCGACAACCGTGCGTTTTGATGCTTGCGATGCGCTCTGTGCTGCGACTCTTTGAGCAGCGGCGCCAAGTGAAAGCTTGAAGCGGGCAGGTTCTGGGCGCGAGAGCCCTCCTGCTTGCGATCTACTTTGCTCATCGTCTTGCCTGGACATTTCTTCTTCCTGTCGACTAAGGAAGTCGTCAGCCATAGCACCCGCTCGTTCTTGCTGTTGTGCATCTCGTGCTCGCTCTCGTTGTTCCGACGCTCGATCGGCATCATCATTCTGGATTTCTCGCTGCCGGAACGAGATTCGATTGCGTATCCAGACACTGCGATCACTGTAGTATTCCTCAACTTTGCGGTTTGCCTCGACATCATCATCCCATTCCCGAAGTCGTTTGGCCATGGCTTGTTTCTCATCTTCAAGCCGAGCCGCTTCGTCTTTGTCTCGAGTTTTCTCTCTTTCGACAGCGGCCGTCCGGGATCTTTCACGATTCAGCCATCTGCGTTCTTGATCGAGATAATGCTTTTCTTGCTCTGCATCTTTCTTCTCTTTACGCCTTCGCTCTAGCTCTTCATCACTTGCATCCGTATCTTCGTCTTCGAACGCTGACGCACCATTGATCGCTGTTCCATTGACAAACGTAACTCCTTTTTGGTAATCTCGAGGTATCTGCTGGCCAAAGCCTTTGGGACCAGCTGGAGCTCCACGAGGGCCAACTGGAATGCCATTAGCACCTCCTGCTGGGCCAGAAGGTGCAGTTGGGGGCGGTGAAGCGAGACGATTGAATCGTTCATTATTCATCCGATTCCGTTCCTGTAGTTCAATCTCCTCTTCTCGTCTGAGCCGCTCAATGTCCCGGCGATTACTCCGATCTCTAAACGCGGCGATTTCTTTAGCCACAGTCTCCCGCATCTCAGCAGGAATGTCGGACAATTCATCGTCGACATTGATGGGAATAGTGACAATATCCCCATTGGAACCATCGGCGTTAGGTCGATCTGCCATGCTGATGTCGCCTTCCTTGTCGATACTGGAAAGCTCGTCTTTGTGCGCTGGGACCGACGGGTTGGCGAGATCAGTAAGAACGGCTTGTAGCGCGGCTCTCGCATGGTCCAGTCGCATTTGAGCTGCGTCCGCGTCCTGACCATGAGTCTCCTCCCACTGTTCGATATAACTCAACGAATTGTCATCTGCGACGATCTGAGCAATAATGTCAGCTTTCTGAATGCAGTAGAGTAACGGCAAAACCACAGCAATAAGCAGAGGGGTATACATACGATCAATTTTGACATCTCCACCTCACTCTCCTCGTCTTGCTTCGCGTCCGCCGTGGGAGTCTGTCGCTTCACGGGCACCTCGACATCCCGCAGAACTTCGATAGCGGTGCTGAGACTCAAGGGGTCCTCATACTCTGCAAAGCCAAACTTGCAAGGCTTCTCGTCAGCGTCCGTGGCGCGGACCCATCTCCTCAAAGTGCCCACGGTACGCAGGATGCGTTCGATACCCTCATCCCCACCAGCACCCTCTGTAATCGCACCGACGAAAATAGTCTTGATGATCTCCTCCTTCGTCTGCGGCTGGACCTGTGTGATGCGCTCTCTTTCGCCAGCGCCTCCACGGTCACCGCGGAAGTCTGAGCCCATGCCCGCCCCAAGGCCCGGTCTGCGCCCGCCCCCGCCGCCGCCTCTCTCGCGTTCATCCCTCCCACCTGCATGATCGGGCTTCGCGGGGCCAGAGGTTCCGAGGCGGATGACGGGCGCCGAAAAATTGATGTTGGGCATGTTTGCCGGCGGTTGGAAGTTCGCTGGGAAGCCTCCAGGTCTGCCGGGTTGGTGAGCTTCTTGCTGCTGCATGCCTGGAGGGGCTCCCATGCCGGGAGGTGCCATACCAGGAGGAGGCGCCATGCCTGGCGGCGCGCCAGGGAAACTGCTGTAGTCTCCTGGTGGGCCATATTGTCCAGGTGCTTGGTAAGGATTGTACATGTTGGCTGCGACTGGGAATTAGGATCGGTCGAGGCGTGGGAAGAGGAGTGGGCGATTTTCGATGCACGTTGTTTATTGTAGCGACATCTGAGATTCACTTCGGAATCGAGCGCACGCGGAACAGGCACTTTCTGGACAAGGAAAGGTCGTCTTGTTATTAGAGGCTGAGTATTGGAATATTTCTCCAACGGCCAGAAATGAAGCCTCGCTGCGCATCGGAGAATTATCTCATCGTGTCTCGGCACGGAGTTTCTATCCTCCGACCGCGGTACACAGCCTTGCGCAGCCCTGCCCTTTCTCCTCAAATTCCCTGCATATCCATCTACACAAGGGAACGAAATTGGGAAAGGAAAGAAGGCTTTCTAGCCGTTTCGACTCTTCATCAATGAAGACTAATCTATCTACCTGCAGCCACCTCATAAGTGACTCAAACCTGCACATCGACCACGCTTCCAAACCAGCCCTTCAACGCCGTCGCAAGCACGCCTGGCAAGTCCCTAACATCTCTGACCACCAGATAGTACGGGAAGGGGAAATCCTCCAGGTATCTCTTAGTCCTCACACGCATCTCAGGAGCGTTGCCGACGCCACCAAGCCCTGCAGATGTAGGATCCTGCTCAAAGACGGCCTCCTTCAGATCAAGAATGCTTTCCTCTCCTGCATCGACGATCACAAACACGATGATGATCTTCTCCTGCTGAGCTTGTCGAACGAGTCGTGAAATGGCTGCATGATCGGAACAGTGTCCGTCACTCAGTATGAGTTGTAATTGCCAGAGATCTTCGCTCGCAGTATGACCTTTCATTCTTGCATCACGGAAAAGTTGGATGCTTTCATTGAGGAGATTCCTGACGTTGGTCCCTTTTTGTTGGAAACTGAACGACTGGAAAACATTAATGCCGGATTCGGAGGGAGAGAATGGAGTACCAAAGGCGTGCGCGATGCGGACGTGTTGTTCATCACCGAACCCGACAACACATAGCTCTCCGGCTTCAAGCATGCTCAGAGACTTGGTGAGCAGTGCAAGGGTTTCGAAAGCGAGGATGTCTGCCCCAGATTCAGCCATTGACTTGCTGTCATCGACGGCGATCATGATTTGATAGTTGCGTTTGCTGGGAACAGAGCGCCGCATCCAAATCTTGTCTCGTTTATAGCCTGATGCTATGTATGGGATGATGCGTTTGAGATTGAGCCGCTTGCCGGTGCGAAAATCGCCACGAAGTTTGGTCGCGGTTGTTGGAGAGAGGATCAGTCGCAGTTGTTCTGTCAGAACCAATGAAAATTGGTGTGTTGTTGTCGAGCAGTGATTCCACAGCTGTGCCGCGTCCGCGGAAGATGTAAGAGGCGACAATCCATGATCTTGTTGGCCAATCTCGAGCTGCTCAATTTCTGGGAACAGTTCCTCTGACACAGCGTCTGTATCTTCGTGCGATGAGAGAGTCTCATCTCGTTTTTGGTTTAAGTTCGGGACAAAAGCACCATTCTCTTTGACCTCACCTGCTTTTTGCTGAGCTTGCACTCGATTGAATCTTTCTGCCATGTTATCTTGCTCATCTGGTTCCTGAGCATCGTGAACATCAACATCCTCGTCGATCGACATGTTGTCGTCTTCGATGGCTTTGCTTTGATCAAGATTTTGAGCCTGGTCTGGAGCGGCCGCTCCAAGAGCTTGTGTTTCAGCTTGAGCCTCGTCATCGATATGCTCAAAGTCGACATCTGCCATGTCGACATCTTTGTTTTCCTCTTGCTGCTGGCTGTCATCAGCAGCTGGTAAGATCTCGCGTCGCTGGTGCCATTGGTCGAGCACATCAGCAAGTTTGCGGAGTGCTTCATTTTGTTGGCGTTCGATTGTATCCATACGTCCAGCACCTTGCTCTGGCGCACCCTTGCCACTATCACCTTGTTCGTCATTCTCAGGAGCCTTACCAGGTTGTGCCTGTTGAGGATCAATCTCCTTTTCTGCTTGATTGGCACCTTGCGCATCCTGGTCCTGTTGAGATCTGTCTTCAGTTTCGTTTGCTGCTCCGGTATCACCCCCAGTAGTTTGATCCACATCATCAGGGATATCCGTCTCGCGAGTATCGTGTTCATCTGAGCGCTCTTCTTCTGGTTGGTCTGGCTGGTCTTCCATGATCTCATCATCTTGAGCGGCGCCCTCCCAGTCGCCTTCGTCTGCCGAGATTTCTTCGGTGTTATCGGCATCTTCGAGCTGCTGATCCTCCCCATCCACTTCATCTCCCTCTTTTTCAAGATCATCCTTTGACTCTTCAATATCAGACAAATCGTCCATACCACCATCTGACATCTCATCGTCCTTCGTCTCATCTCCTCCGCCAAGGTCCAATTCCTCGGGTAAGTCCAAGGTCTTTTCATCCTCCGGATGAGGATCCATATTCTCGGCCTGGGGGCGTTCCACACCCTCGCCGTCTTCATCCTCTTCCTCTTCTTCAACCTCTTCTTGCCCATCAACACCCTGCAGATCCTCACCATCGGTCTTTTCACCATCTGCTGCTGTTTGGTCCTCAGTCTTGCTCCCCTTCGCTTCGTCGTTCTTCAGCTCCTTGTCCTCCTGCGATTCTTTCTTCATATCATCCCACATCTTCTCATCCACTGCCGATGGATCAAGGTCATCTACAGACCCAGTCTCTTCATCCATGTCCTCTCCATCTTCGTTCTCCGAACGGTCTTCACCACCTTCATCATCCGACTTCTGCTCTTCATTGTCGACGTCCTCCCCCTTGAGATCATCGTTGCCCATATCCACCGCATCGTCTGCGTTCTCCATTTCGCCATCGTGTTTCTCTTGTTCTTCTGCTTGAGCAAGGTCTGTCAAATCCTCATCATCTTCCACATCTTTGCTGATGTCCTCCGCCCCCTCCCCTTCGCCAAGGCCAGTCCCGCTCTCCAGCTTGCCAGACTTCTCCTCTTGGTTACTTGGGTCAGAAGGACGACAGAACCCTTCTTGTGCAAGAGTAGTGAAAGTCTTGGCCAACTGGATTGCAAGTCGACAAGTCTCGAGATGGACTGTGCATTGTCTGTGGAACAAATCTTCCAGAATGCTGCAATACTGTTCAATGATGGGCAAAGCAACCAAGAGTAATGCACGGCCAATCTCAAGCTCTCCCGACTGTAAATGTTGTAAGCTCGCCATTAATTCTTCAAGTACAGGAGAGATAACTTCAGCGTGCAAACCCTCAATTGCCTGGAAGGAAAAGCGGTCGGATTTGACGAGCCAGTTCAGATCCTCAATCGATGTTGGCATCTTGTCTCTCGTCAGCTGTAGCCTCTGAAGTGCCACAAATATTCTATCCGTGACAGCTCTCAATTTTTGGTCAAACATTTGCAAGCTCGAGGCCGGAAAACCATTCTTTAGGGCATTTGTTCGGTTCGGTAGTTCTGTTGTCCAAGGAATAAGTCTTGTGAGGAGAAATCTCACGCGCGGCTCTCTTTGTGACCACTCCGTCAATACCAGATTAAAGCCACAAAGCTGTTTCCAACATTGATCATGTAGAGATTGAGCCGAATGACTGCTGAGACCTTGTGGGAGCTCTTCTTGTTCTTCAAGCTTCGACCTGAAATCACTGAAGTCACTGCTATAATCATTGATAGATGTCACAAGTTCGTCGATTTGAAGTTTGGCATGCTTTGCTTGGAAAACCAGAACTTTGGAAGTCAGGTTCAATATCTCCGAGAACCACGCGAAATGTTGGCAAAGAGTATTATTGTTGCCGTTGAAATCTGCCGCGTTTGACAATTCGCCCATGGCGACATCTCCGATCGAATGAATGGCGAAGACAGCTTTCCGGAGGGGTTCAAAATCCTTTACCGCAGATCCAAGATGCTGTCTTTGACTGATGCTCACGGAGAATAAGCCTTCGAGTAGGCCGAGACTGCGACTTATCTCACCCTCAGTGAGATCATCTGAATGCTCCTTTCTTGCACTGCGCGCGGTAGGCATGACATCGAGCAGATCGTGGAAATTGTCACGGACACGAGGGTCGAGTAGAGAAGAATATTGTCCGTTTTGGACGGATGTCAGTACAATCACATTGTTTGCTTGCTTCTCGAGCTCGGACACCGGAAGGTTTTTGCGAATACCCATCTGTGCGAGGGCCTTGAGAGTTTCCGCAAGTAAACGGCGTTTTCGCTCTTGGAGATGGCGTACCAACGACGAATTATCATCTGTGTTAGTCGCTGGTGTCTGCTTCCTCAGCTCTTTGATGTTTGATATCAAGTCCTCATGGAAGGATGCAATTTCAAGTCGAACGTCGAGATGTGGGATTGTGGTCTCGTACACATATTGCATGCTCCGTATCGAACCTAGAGGATTGATTACTCTTTCAGGTCTGGCAGTCCAGTCTGAAAAGGCTGATTTACAAGTCTGTAGTGAGGACGAGATGCTTGATTCTTCAACTGTAATTCTGAACACCGGCTGTGTCTGCTTCTCGATTTTGTCAGGAGGAGCCGAACTCTTGAACGCTGTGATAGGTTGATTGAGAAGCTTACGATACTTTTTCACGATTCTGAATAACTTCATGTGCGAGCGACGGGCACTATCACGAAGTGCAGTGACGTTGGTATCTTTCCAACTAGCAAGTTGGATCTGTTCTTTGAGCGCTTTCTCGAGGTCCGCACGCCCGGTCTGTAACAAACTCGTGACATTACTCTCATACCTCCGGTAATGCTCAATCGTTATGGATACTGAAGCGCTGACGACCAAGAGGTGTTTGTCATGCTGGGCAGCATCATGAAGTGTTTTGCCAAGAGTATCAAGCAGTGCCAGACGCGATGAAAACTGCCCCAGGGTAGTGGCTCTGAGAAATTCTTCTAGCGTTCGAGACAGTTCCCTACAGTAGTTCTCGATGTCGGTGGTGTCTGGTTTGATCCTGAAGCTGGTGTAGATGACAGCCTCGTAGGCGATGAAATACCATGCTTGTGCCCCATCTTCATGCTTCTTCTGCTCCTCATCAAGAAGTCTCGACCATGAAAGAAGCTCTAGA